AAAAAACACCAACCCCCAATACAAACAACCTAAACGTTCATGGTATTTTGTTTTTTGGTTTTTTTTTTTTTATTTTTCCCGGTAATGTTAAAACCCCCCCCCCCCCCCCCCCCCCCACCTCCCTCCTATCCCCTCTCATCCCCTATGTACGAGTAAGCAACGGCATGGAAAGGTCGTCGTTAAAGTATATTTCTATCAGTTGTCAGTTATCATATATACGAAATCCGACTCAATGCTGACTTCTTCTTCTCCAATTGTCTAAATTCCAGCGTCGCTGTACAGCTATATAGCACTTATCCAAGTGATAAAAACCCGTGCGCTATTGAAGCAGCACTCGGTAGATGTAGAGTTAGTCGCTTTCTTTCATTCGTTTTTTTTTCTCCCCTTGTTCCTATCTTTTCGCGGAAACATGGTTATGTCAGGTATCTACCTAACACCTCCCCCCTACCTAGCATCCACCCCATCCTCCTCGGCGCCGTAAACGCCGCCTCCGGCAACAAGCCCCCCTGGACGCTGCCCGCCAAAGCCGCCTTCGGCGCCCACGACGCCCGGCGCTCGCTGCGCGCCGTCGGCCTGCTGCCCCCGTCCGACGCCGTCTCCGCGCCGGGCGACCTGATGGAAGCCGGCAAGAGCCAGGTCGCGCTGCGCGCGCTGCTGTGCGTCAAGGACAGGTTTCCGGAACTCGCGTACCTCGCGACCTGGCGCGCTTTGATGCGCGCCTTTTGGACCCTGCATAGGCCGCCGATCACCCCCGCGGCGCTGAGGGAGGCGCTGGAGCGGATCCCGGCTGCTGCTGCGATGGAGGACGGGTTGCTTGGCGGTAGTAGCAGCAGCAGTAGTGGTGGTACTTCTTCTCCGCCTAAGAAGGGGAAGGGAAACGGGGAGGAAGAGGGAGAGGAAGAGGAAGAGGGAGAGAGGAAATTGTTCTCGCCCGCCGAAGTCGCGGAGATCGAAAAGGCGGAAAGCTCCCCTGAGTACAAGGCCAAGCTCCGGGCGACGACGCAGGAGGCGCTCGAGCGAGGCGCGTTCGGCGCTCCCTGGATGTGGGTGACGCACGGGACGACGGGGCGCGGCGAGCCGTTCTTCGGCAGCGATAGGTGGAGCCACGTGTATGCGTTCCTGGGGCTGCCGTATCGAGACGTCGAGTTATTGCCGCCGGGGGGTGCTAGAGGGTCGGGAGCGAAGCTCTGAATTTCCTTTCTACTTACATAAGTCATACGTTCACGTATATTGGAAGCTATAGCGAACGGATCATTTGTGCTTTCATAATAGGAATCATGATTTCTCTGGGAAACAGATTTATACTTGAGGATGTTGGGGATAGTTAAAAAGGCACTGCGTCTGCATTCAAAATTGTTCATTTATTAATTAAGCATGTTGTATACGCTATATCATGTGAATCTTTTTTTCTCTTTACCGAAGCATTAAGTAAGTAGGTCCCAGTTTATGCCCTACGGATATATACTTTCGTGAATAGTCGTGAAACCGTAGCGTCGTGAGGTCTATCGGCAAAAAATAAAAGTGAATATCCAAAAATCAACAACGCCGGCCTTGCTTCTGCGGTCGATCGATTCACCGGGCGACTAGCGCAGGCACATTCTTGACGTCGACCGCAGCCAATATCTGGGCGCCCCTAAACCCCTCGCTCCATTGTCGCAAGCTTTTCTCTTTTCGCTAACTCCAACGTCATAGGTTGCCCGGCCGAGTTCCACGTCGAGGCCTTATTAATGGTTTTCTTGCGCATGATGGCCAGAATATCCTTCTCCATCGTGTCAATGCCCTTTTCGATTTCTATATCCTCTTCCGCGTACTTCCTCTCGCGCCGGTGATCTATAATCCACCAGACCAGTACGATCAGGAACGTCAACGGCACTGTGACGGCGAAATATACCCAGAGTTCGCTCGAAACCTCCGATTCCCCGGAATCACCACCACTGTCGGACCCTAGAGAGAAGTGAGCTTATGAGTCTAGTTGCTAGTAGCATAGTGGTTCTAAGAGAAGGGATGGAATGCAAATTGAAATATAACTACTTACCAACTTTGAAATTAAAGAAAGTCATGCTGAAGACAGAAGCCATAAATGTCCCAGGAAGGAACACAGCACCGAGGAGAGATAATGTCTTCATAGCAGTACCGTCTCGCTTTGTAGCATGAGCCACTCTCCTCTGTTGAGAGGCTATTTCGAGATTGAGTTTGGATTCCTTTTGAGCCATGATATTATACAACTATTTACCTTTTATTAGTAAAATACGCGTCAGTTAAAATGGGCAGGACAACTTACAGCTTGCCGCTGGATGTGCAGTCTCTCCAACGTCGTATGTATGTAATGTTCCATACCCGTGAGCTTTACCCGGTAGAAATCCAGTCTAGATAGCATGTTGTCGTGCAAAGCGCGTATTTCCTCCGTTTGGCCTCCTTCGGGCTCATATTGCATGAATTTCCGCATAGCCTCTTTGATCTCCTTGATGATCTCTTGGTATGCTTGCGGTCGTTTCCAGAGGACTTGAGAGTGGCATTCTACAAGGTCCCGGTTGATGCCATCCACGTCGAAGTCGGAATACACTTCCGCTGCATCAATCTCATTTCGCATGGTGATGGCATTCTCAAGACGACGTAGCCAATCCCGTGCGTCACGTTGCCTTTTGTCACCCTTAGCCGAGAGGTCGTGAGAGAGAATGATGATTGGTAGAAGAAGTGGATGGCCGACCTCAGCTCGGCAAAAAGCCAAATGTTTCAGCGACTTGACAATATCTGAGGACTCGGTACCTTTAACAAATCCCGACGTTATACGCGTTTTGTAAGAATACGAGAGCACTGTAGCAGCATAATTAGTAAATGTTACCTGTGAGGAACTACGAATGTAATGGCTAGGCCTATCCCACCACTCCAGAAGCGAAACTATAGTGGGTAGGGATGAGGCGATGCAGATAGAGGCGCAAATAAAGTGTTACGTACTAATCTCCCATCCTCGAGTTTTGCCCTTCTTACGGACATCAGATTTTCTGAAGATAATTTCTAATAAGAGTTAGAGATGCTGCCCAGTAAATACGATCCTTTGCTCAGTTCATCAAGCAACGGATTTTTCGTTGTTTACTTACGTAGATGGCGATCCTCTTTATCTTGATCATGAGAGCACCAGAAAAAGGGCCCAACAATACTACTACCTTCAATAGCTCGGAACGGAAGACGCCATTGCTATAGCACCCACAATCAGCCCATCTCCCAGAAATTAGATAAAGGCTTCGGGTCGAGTTATGGGAATCTTAAGTTTGAGAGGCATGCAAGATCTAAGTAGAAAGTGATAATTAAGAAAAGGTTGATAATTTATATAATATACGTACTGTCATCATGCTTTCATAAGAATGTCGTGTAAGTGATATATAATCGGGCGCAAACGTGTTGGCATGGCTCGCGTCTTTTTGAATTCTATCATGCAGTTCTTATTAGTTGTAAGTCTTGGCATGCAATTTGACTTCCACTCACATCAGGCGGATTCCATCTTGTAGCTTTACTCCCTCTTTCAGCTGTTGAGGAGCAAAAGTGCCCTAGAAATAGTCACATGTTAATTTGGAACTGAGGTCACTAGAACACAGGTATACAATATACACATTACGAAGCTTCCAAGAAATATAAGACTTGGCTTGGTGTAAGAGAAGTCACTTACAGTTTGAGCGAGGAAGTTTTCAAAATCATCTTCCGTCAATAGAGAATGGTCCTCGCAGCTATTATAAGCTGGATCCTAATACGTTGCATTGGAGTTAGTATTAAGTCTGCTCATATATATACCTACCTAGCTAGGTACCTAGCTAATGTATACCTCATCTCATATGAAAGGCTGGCAAGTTAAAAATACTCATAAAATAACAGGGTAAAACATACCGTGTAGTTAAAGATCTCCAAGTAGGTAGTTTTCTCCTCGACAGATTTGCATTGATCGAGATGCCAGCGGAACAGATAGTTGTCCATATCCATAGCGGTCAAGAAGAGGATGGGATGCAAAGCAAACTACGTTGTGTTACGATACGGCGAAGGGGGGTGGGAGCGAAGACAAAAAGCACCTATATCGAGAAATAATTATCGAATAATAAAATACGGTTATCGAAGCATCTTCGATTAAGCTTTCGTAAAAACTCGTGACATGCAGGAGATCGAGGCGCAGTCCTCCCCGAAATCGATGTAGAAAAATCGTGAGGCAAATGCAAATGCTTGACCGAACTTATCCTGTCCTCTTGGGGATTTGCAGGGAAACGAAACAAAACCCTCCCCCCAAAAGCTTGTTTAGATAAAATAATTGAATAATTTGAAAAGCTAACGATTAAGGAGAAAATAAGGGAGAGGCGGGAAGACTAGGTTAGGTTAGAAGCTTGTTCTAAATTGTAAGAAGTTGTGGAGACACGTTACGGGATTGGGTGGAGAATTAATGGGGTCGCGGCCGTATCCCCACCATCCGTCCCATTTTAGGACTTTCTGCAACTTTGAACTTAAGGTTCCTCATCCTAGGTACGAATACCTTAGGTACCTTCTATAACACTATGTACTTCCATGATAGTTACCTAAAACCTGCATACCTACATTAGATACGTAGGTACCCAAGTAAATAAATATGATGCATCCTTTACTTGGAGAATGATACGTGTCTCTTTTCGATAAGTTACCTAAGGTACCTGTTATTACCATCGTTATCGATATTAAGATCGATGATATATATTATGCGCCCTGAATAGTGACAAATCGAAAAGATGAGGCGAAAGGTACCAACCTACTACGCAAGGTATCTATGTTTCGCGAGGGAGTACTTTGTCTTAGAAAAGATGGGGAAGGCTGCCTATGAAGAACCATGAGCAGAGCCTCATGCGGGTCTCTCGCATCGACGTGTCCGGTGAATATCATCCCATAGCCATTGGATATAGCCAATACCAAATGGCAAGTTCCTTATGGTAGGTAGCAGCATGGCCTTTTTCAAATAATCTGCTACCTTCGTGGCATAATACATAGGTCGACTGCATACGACACTCCACTACTACCTACAAACGACCTAATTTTTTTTTTTTTTACGAATTACGTCGTTCAAGTCGTTGGCCTACTGACCTATAATGCTCAATAACGCCTCGTCCTTAGAATTCCCAAGGCTAGGTTGACACCCAATTCCATTATTAGGCTCCCCCTCCTTTTATTGAATTGAGCCTTATCACCTCATGGTTTTTCGTCCGGGTGCAAAGTTGTGCGTCTCACCCATCTCTTTTTTCTTCAAGCGTATGCCATCGCGTTCGACACGGTCTCATGCCATCATAGCCACTGTCGTCATTTTCTCTCGAGGTGTCTACAAAAGACAAAGCCATAGATTACAACCTTTTGCCCAAGTCTAGCCCAGCTGATAGGCCCTGATCTAAGAATCTGCAAAGCGCCTCGCCCAATAGTACTCACTTATAGAATAAGTCTACCGAATTATCAAAAATCCGGGAACAGGTGGCCAAACCTACAGATGTTAGCACGCAGGATTTCATCGCAACTCGATTAGCTTTACTTACTCATCGCTTCCCGGCTGGCCGTACTGCTCCGTTTCTTCGGGATACCTATCGAACTGGCTTGCATCGCCAGCGCCAGCCTTCACTGGGGGTGTGTACGGAGCGTCGATATCCTTTCTCGATAACCTGTCCCATGTGACCTCCGAGAACCACGGATGGTTTTTCACGTCTTGTGGTCCACCATAGAGGTTACCCAGCCGTTTCGTCAAATCTGGCGTAATAAGGCGCTCCAGTAAGTTCTGGGCGTCGGGGTGAATATACGCCGGATACTTGACTTTGCCCTTCAATATATTTTCATAAATCTTCATCGGTGAACCGCTATCCCAAAACGGTGTATAACCGCAGAGCATCTCGTAAATTAAGATGCCCAGAGACCACCTGTAACAAGTGCCGCGTAAGAAATAAAGCTACCAACATCATCCTGCTAGATGAAACTTACCAGTCTACAGATTTGTTATAGCCCTTGTTGGAAACGACTTCTGGTGCTAAGTAGTCCGGAGTCCCACACAAGGTCCATGTCTTATCCGGAACCTTCTTGGCAAAGCCAAAATCAGTTATTTTAAGGTGCCCGTGGCGGTCCAGGAGTAGATTTTCGGGTTTAAGGTCCCTATAGATGATGTGTCGATCATGAAGATATTCAAGTGCAAGAGTGACCTCCGCAGCATAGAATTTAGCCACCGGGTTTGGAAACCGCTGGTACGAGTTAGCAACAATGTGTAGGCACCAGGCTAATAAATGATAATTGACGTACGCCTGATTTCCTCAGCAGAGAGAATAATTCCCCACCTTCGACGAAATCCATTACCATATACAAATTCTTCGGGTCTTGAAAGGTACCCCAAAGCGTGATGAGAAAAGGATGTTTAACCTCGGCAAGCATTCGCCGCTCATCATTTGTGTGTTCCACCTGCTTCATTTTGACAACTTGAGCCTTCTTTAAAACCTTGATGGCGTAGAATCTTTGGTTGTGTTTTGACTGGACCAAGTGAACACGCCCAAAACTTCCCGTTCCCAGCGTCCGGAGGAGATCAAAGTCCGTCAGCGAGTATTTCCCTTTCGTTACCCTAGCCTCGGTAGGTTGTGATGGGTGGTGCGGGTGGTGCGGGTGTTGCGGTGGGGCAGTCGCGTGGTGACCTGCCTTTCACGTTAGATAGAAAACCAACTAGTTATAGCTATAGGTGTCTTTTACCGTCATTTTGCGGTAAGTTGATCAAATTGTTGATACTCGGTAGATTCTGTGGTGTTGCCGGGGACGCGGGGCTCGGAGTAGGCTGGATTCCGTACGGAACGGCCTGAGCTGCCGGTGGATTCATTTGTGACCCCCCGCCAGCGGAAGCTCGTGCTTCCTGAGTATTTTGCGTTGTCGATTGGGATTGGGATTGGGAGGCTACGCTCGTCGCGGTGGTGCTATGTGTTGGGACGGTGGTCAGGGAACTCGACCCGAATGTTCTCGAGGATGTCGGGGTGACCGGTGTAACAGGACTCGTAGGCTGGCTGGAAGAAGGGTCTGGCTTTTCCTCTTTCGTCCGCTTCTTTTTGAGGAATCCTAATGATCCTAACGTCGGCATATGATATGTTTAGGGACGTGAGGGGACGGGCCCTTCGTGATATTAAATAAGTTAAGGTAGCGTAATAATGTAAAACGTCGACTTTGACTAGAGACCAGTTGTCGGTATGAGATGACGCAATATCCCACGACCGAGTCTATTTCGAACAGGTAATGAAGTAGTTATTAAACAGCGATGCTTTCTTTAGGTTGGAACGTAGGTAGGCGAAGGAATAGCCGAGAGCGAATAGCTTTAGAGTTGGATGATTTGTGACACGCCTTTGCCAGGGTGTTTCGAAAGCGACTGAAGATAGGTAGCGAGAAGGTTTCAAGGTATGGGCGTGTAGCTATTTTGAGAGTGTAATTTTTATGATGGATGTGAAGCTTCCTAGCATAAGATAAACAACGTTGAAAACAGAAATCCAACTTCGTTCTTTTCCCGCAGCTGAATGGATGCTATGTCGTCCTGGTACAAAGAGGTGAAAAGGGCCAATTGAACCAATTGAATGGTCTGAACTTTTGCGCAGTGTAAATTCTCTTTCTCCGAAGGATTGTACAAGAAAGATGGCCGCGGGGCTGAACTAATGAGGATGCGCTAGACTTTTGGACGACTCGGCGTTCGAAACCAAGACCTGAAGTACCTGATATTGGTGTAATATACCTATACTTAACAATATTGGGTTGAGGAATGCGATAATTTGCAGGTGAAGTTAGGGGGGGCGTAGACGGAGTCTGTAAGTCCTCGAAACTTGGTGAAGGAGGTCCGAAGAGAAAGACCCGAAGAAGTGACAGCAAAGTGGGCTGAATGACGGAAAGACAACCTAGCGGGGGAGGGACTAGGGAAGCCACTGTAAGTATAGAGGTACCTAAACTGCTAACCCAGGTTGTACAACAGCAACCTGTTCTTGCTGCTTCGTGCAAGAAAAGATGGGCGAATGTCGAGTAATGTTAGTTTAGGTAATGTTAGGTAAATGCTACTACGGGTTAGATACCTAGATCATGCACCTAGCCTGTACCTGTATTGTAGGTACCAGGTAGATCATGTAGCTTAGGTACGCATAGGTAATGGGAAAGGGATCGAAGAATATAAAAATAAAAATAAAAAAGAGTATGCAAAATTTTAGGCAAGGAGATGGTAAAATAAAATGCTGTACAATAGGAACACGAACCCAACCCACGTAGCCCTAGGACGTAGCCTATTACGTGTAATAAGACCTAATACATGTAATGTAAGTGCTATACTATAAGTTGCTATAGTATTACCATCTGAATACAGTATAACGTTACCGTACTCAGAAAGGCTTAGCGGCTCGTAGCAGGATCTCTAGGCGGAAGCTCTCAAAACTGTGGGATTAACTGTGAGATTCCTGAATTTCTTCAGACGAGGAAGATGTTGCGAAGATGTTGCGAAGGGTAAGGGAAAGGATCATGCTGGACCACCGAGAGGATGATCGAAGGAGGTGGGGTCCGTTTTCCCTTTCCTCGACTCTTCCACTTTGTTTTGCTGTTGTGCCTCGTGCCAATCACCAATGTGACAAGCGGGGTTGATAATGATTAAAGATTGTGACAAGCTGCAAAAACGCTGGCAGAGAGTGGCTGGAGCATTTGAAGCCCAAAGGGAAAAGGCCGCATCTTCCTCGGCAGCTCTACCATCTAAGAGAATACCCAGTCGGGATTCGGGTTGAATCTGAAGAGAATCTCATGTGGACATTACGTAGATCCTTTATAATTGTGGAAAAGAAAGTGGGTGAATATGATGGGGGGAAGGGGTTCATCAATTCTAGATCGGAACCAGATACTTAATAAGATCCCAGACTTGCTAGCAAGCAGCATTGCTAGTATTTGTATATGGTTTTGTATGTCTGTGTGTTTGTTAGATGGTCGGCTTAAATGAAACCACAAGCTCGCTATTCCCTTCTTCCTTTTTTTAGAAACTTTACATTACGTCGAAGGGTAAGCGCTTGTTAGGTAGTTGTTGAAGATGCTACTATGAGGTATGTAGATTGGGTTGTGAGGTGGTATGAATGGACAAATAAACATTAATAATTCGCTTAAATCAAGTATACCGGGTATAATGCAATAATAAATGTTCGGGTGCATCCTCGCCACGCTAATACCTAGCATGTACTCGATACCTACATCATCACCTTATATTAGAATACTAGGTAGGTACGTACTAACGTGGGGTAATTTTTATATCACCGACGCAATTGAGCTCGAGTGCTATACCTATTATTTACCTCTTACATGTACCTTATGTACCTAGGTAAGAAGTAAATGTATTGGCGGTAACTGGTTAAAAAGTTACAAGTTATTTTATAAGTAGAATGAATATTTTCGAATGTAAGTAAGCCCGAGACCTACATCTAATATAAATGACTCGCGAATTAAGTTACTACGGCCGTTAGAAAGATACTCCAATATCCGGAATAAACGCGTTGGGGTCGATAATTTTCAATGAAAGGCATCTTTAATACCGGAGGGGTATCACTGATGACATCCGAGCGATTTGATGATGCAAAATACCTAGTACGTAGTCAGGTAGTGCGACCTCACATACAACTGACACTCGGTAGAGGTAGTAGTCATCCTTCTAGTAAGTACAGAGGAAAGTCTCCGATGAAAGACTATATCCGACGAGAGACTATATCGTCATAAACGCAAATATACACTGTGCTATGGATAGTTAAGCCGTCAACCTCATGCTACGCTTTAGCTGGAGGTAGCTTGGCTGAATCCAACCTGGTAATTTTTTTTGATTCATAATTTATTCTGTATTTTGCGCTACTTCATAATTTTACATTGCCACTCAACGCCCGACAACCCTATAAGACGGAAAACATGAGACTTCGTCAAAAGCCCGCTGCTCTGGGCCTTCATATTCTGATAATATGTACGCCTATTGTTCTTGGCATTACCTCCACCCTCTCAGGATCGGATATCTCCTGTTCACTCTTCAAAATCGATGGCTCTTCTTCTTATTCGCTCGGTACGCCGCGAAGCCAACGTATGATCCACCAACGACTAATCCAAAGATAATGAATTTGAAGAAGAACCAGGTCCAGCTGCTACCACCGCTTTCCTTGGGCTGGCTCGTTTTAACGCTTCCCTTTCCAGGTGTGGGCTTGTTAGCTGAGCCTCCCGTTATATAGAGATTCTTTGCGTCGATAGAGATGATATCGTGGTTGTCGCTCAATTCGCCTGTCTCAGCACTGAATCCAAGGTACGTGACGGCAGGGATGGCGGGGGGTTCGCTCGTTTCGAAGCACAGCTTCCACTCATCCTCGGATTGGTACTGGAGTTCTAGCTTCAGCGACTTGTCCTGGAAGTAGGTGAGCTTTAATTTAGTAGGGATGTTCGCGTTTCGGATGCCTCGAGCGGGGCAGCCTGCAAATTCGGTGTCCTTTCCGTCATTGTCCTTGTTGTATGATGTCTTGCCGTCGCCAACCATAGCCATAACGTAGGGGAAAACGACGCCAGGTCGATTGTTCTTGTAGGTATCGATGAAAATACCGAGACCTTCGAAGTTGTCCGCATGTCCAAAAACCGGTCCGGGCTGTCCTCGCTCCTTCGTAAGCCACATAGCAAAGCCGTCGCCGTACAGTTGGTTCGACCCGTGGATCTTGAATTCAACAGTGATTTCCCAATTCGTAGCGGTCATCGGTACTCGAGAAAACAGCCAGCCGTTTTGCGATGGGCGATCCGAAGTTAAACGGATATACCTATCGATGTAACGATTAACGATTAATATGTGTTATTATACTATGAAGTGCTAGGCAGTAACATACGAATCTGTTCGAACTATCGTGTCGCCTCCAAAATCATACCACCGACTTTGCATCTCAGAATCCAGGTAGGGCTGCTTCAAAGTATGGGTTCGAAGCTGCAAGACAAGTCGAATTGTCAGCAGCAGCCCAAACAGCCTAACTCAGGCGCGCAATGCTTACAGATATAGTCCTAATATTGCCATCCTCGTCGCGATTCACAGCACCCCAAGCCGTAGCCGCCAGCCATAGGGCTGACAGCGCTGGAAACCACATTATCGGGACTCGGGACTCGGTACTCGGTACTTGGGAGACAGGGTGTAATCTGGAGAAGAAGAAGAAGAAGAAGAAAAGAATATAGCAATAATATGCAAGCAGAAGCGAAAATGGAACAAATAGAGAAAGGAAGGTTGAAGTGCGACCTAATACGGCGAAAGGAGGATGTACGATGGTAAATTGATCGTGTGAGAAAACCGTTAAGTTTCTAGACGGGTTCTACATACAAAACCACCTAATGATAGCTGGCCTCTCCTCAGCTGGTGCGAAAAAAAAGGAATCCGGGGTTCGCTTTCCTCAAGTGGCCAGGTTGTTTCACTGAGCTACCCCTGCTTAGCTCTCGGTCAAGTATCGAAGTATATTTACTTCTTATGTAAAGCAAAAAAATGTAGCACTAATAATAAAGTTGTGCTGGTGTGAGGACAGAGTAAGATGTGCAGCCACATGAAACGCCACAAAAGTAGTGGAATGGTCACTGATCTCCCACTGGGAGTCAGGGGAGTTGGGACCATGCAAATATCATGTACTATGTAATTTTAGCCGCATCCAATAATAGCGGGTTCAAGCAATGATCCTTGTAATCTGAGCACAGGCCATGTCCATACAAGTAAAGCCGACGTCAGCGATTACAACTACTGAACTAGTGCCACTAATCATCTGCAACCTATTGTTCCGTCCAAGCCGCGTTCCTGACATTTACGACTATAACCATTATATTCAACCTCACCTCAAAACTCACTCTCATGGGGAATTTGAAGTATTCTTAAGTTTCCAGGATGCTACACATAGCGAGCAGTCCGTCACCTGTTCCCTCCGAGATATTCGCGCTTATTGCGCTTCTGGTTTTATCCCTTATCGTTCTCCTAATCTTGCGACATTACCTCCCACTAAGAACAACACCGGCCTACCTGCTAGTACCAGTCTTCTTTGCGTTATGGCTACCTGCGAGTATCGTGTTGTTAGTCCCTATCGATCTAGCATCGAATGCTCGAACCGATGATGAAGCAACGAGAGGCATTTGGCTCCCTCCTAGGGCGTTACTTGTGTCGTGGAGGATCTCATACTGGCTGACATTTGTCTTGACTTGGTAATACTTAGTCACATTACACTCGTACCTAGCTATATGTAATCCTCTTTCCTAACATAATTCTACCTAGGTTCATACTTCCAATACTTGCCGAATACTCGGATGCTGGATACCGCGAACCGAAAGACCGAATACTCTATTCGTTGCGATCGAATGCTCAATACTACGCACTCGTGTTTGGCTCAGCCGTCCTTGGGCTCGTGTATTTCTTCATATCATATGGCCCTTCATTCATATCGTTAAAGGGTTTGATATTAGCCTTGGCTTACTGCTGGGGTTTGATTCTAGCTATCTACTTAATGGGCCATGGGCTTGTTGCGATTCCCCGAAATTTGTTCCAGAACGCAAGCGCTAGTCACCGACTACGCCGGCTCCAAAGCCATGCGCCGAAACTCTACGAGAAGATGGAGGATGCTATTCTTGATTTGGAGGATCTAGAGATGCAAGTATCGGAACTAAGCAAGCGTAAAACCGGAAGTGCTAGGGATTTCCAAGACTGGATCGAAGAGCTGTCGGATATATGCAATATTCCCGAATCTAGGCCCAGGAATTCTCTCCCTCGAGCAGATAATGATTCCCGCATAGTTCCAACAGTCATCACGGGGAAGTATTTGGCAGACCTCACACGCCAACTAAACCGCGCAAGACATACTAAGTCACGGTACGTCGATGAATGGGACCGTTTACTTCGCGATGCGGCAAAAACGCAAGCAATCCTAGATTCCGCAGCCTCAAAGAAGCTTGACTTCGGGCGAAGTTCTCCAAGCGCCTCTTTCTGGGAGAAGACTACTTTGCTCACTCCCTATACACGGTATCTTCTTCACTACCACATCATACCTTGTCTCCATATTCTTTTTGGCGGCTTCCTTGCGTTAGCATCGGTTTGTGTCATATGGTCGGAGTTAGTAAAAGTAGCTCTACCGTCATTATCGGTAATCAGGTTCACTGTGGTTCATCACTGGACAGGTGAAAGTGGTGGCGTTGGCTTTGCAGGCCAGGCCATTGCCGCACTCTGGATAATGTACATGTGTGCAGCAGCTCTCTATTCCGTAACCGAAGTCAAGGTCTGGCGTGGCCGCGCCTTAGTTCGTCGCAATACTGCTCACGAATCGGCGTTTTGGTATGCTGGACAGGTTGCAAGGCTCAGTGTCCCCTTATCCTACAATTTCGTCACGTTCTTGTCTCGGTCGATATATGAAAAGACCACCTTCTATAAGATCCTTGGGCAATACGTCGACCTTACTCCGCTCGGAAAGTGGTTTGACTATTTATTTCCTGTTTTCGTTCTTGTCCCAGTGTGTGCCACTTTATTTGGATTATATGGAAAGGTGAGGCGACTCTTCGGTTTTGGTGTTGATATTGTAGATGAAGAGGATCAACCTAGCTATGGTAGCGGCTCTTGGCGCGAGGGGCGAGACTTGATAGAGCGAGAACTCAATGGAACATCGATCTCGCGGAGGTTGGATGAGGCTACATCTAGGTTTACGAGTGGTCAACGCCGTTCCGCTCCTATCTTAACTATGCCGGCAGCCAGGGCTGAGGGTACTAGAACACCTTTTGCTACATCGCCGTCATATCACGATGCACCTATTGGAAGGCCAGGGCGGCCTTCCCGGGCTGAAATCAACGACACGGAACATGAAGATGATGACTTCTTTACAAGCCTAGGGCATCGATTTAAAAACACATTCGATACTATAGATACTCCGAAGTGGATTCAGGACATCGGAGATGGGTTGAAGAAGCCCAAATGGATGGGCGGAAATGACGAAGCCGGCGAAAGCAGCAGTTCAGCAGGGCGAAGCGATTCGGACATTCGTCGGTGGTTTGGAGGTGATGGTCGAATAAGACTATAAGATTTTTTAATATTGATCCCTAACAAATTTAATTCTCAATTCTACTTATGTTACAGTTAGTTGGTGTAGAAATCATCAGGTTATATGATAAAGCTAGGGTACCTTGGGTACCTTCGGACCCCTGAGTCAGATTTTTGCGTAGGACATGTAGGAGCCTCGTGAGATCTACAAGCTCTAGAAGCCTGGAACACTGCCAGAAAAGTTCACCTTTTGGGCTCAGCCTCACGATAGCTTCTCATCATTAACTACTACGGTGGTGCTTACAAAATTCTAACCTCAGAACCCAAGATTTCAGTTCAGTCCTTGCTAATTTCCCTTCCCCTTAACGATGCTATGGAGGAAAGGTTGATAATCATAAGTCCTTAGGGGGGTGTAGCCAAAAGTGGCAGCCCACAGGAGCTCTTCAGATGTACCTTTTTCAATATTTGCAAAGTCTTTTGGACGTTATTATTGCTGCTTGTGGGACAAGACTCAGTACGTTAAGCTGAAGCAGGCAAGTAAACAAGTGAATAGACCTCCATATAGTTCTTGTTAATCTTTCATCTTAACATTGAATCAACAAGATTGAATTTCTGTTTATTAAATGTGTATCTTGTATATATATTGGTCTTTATTCGGTCTAGATCCAGGAAATTATTTGTCTGTACAACAATTCACTGATATAAACTACCTACCTACCCAAGTAACTATTAAGCTAAGAAATCATTGACTGGAGTCATAGGCCAGGAATTAGGCATGTCCCCTCTTCGATCATTGAAGTACCTAGGAGGTAGGTACCTACCTGTTATGGGGCTGCCTGCCAAAGGGTTTGCTAGGCAGCCCCCCTTTTAAGTAGCCGACGACAACTTTGGAAATAGCTTAACGAAAATTTTCCTCTGCAAGCTGCCTGATTTTTTTTTTCTTTCCTCAAACATCAACGTCGCCGGACAAGACTCTTCCAACAGCACATCATTATTCTTGCCTACCCTCTCTAATTACCATCGCCGTTAGGGACACTTCTATTTTTTTTTTTCATCTAATAACACGTCGCCGATATCCATACAAACAAGACATTCAGGCATCCGGCGATCAAACTGTCGAGATGGTCCCACCCTTGAAACCCGATAACCCATCTCGGGAACCTCGATCGCCGCTGCCAACAATTCCTGCAAATCCAAACCTCGTAGAGTGCCCGGATTGTCTTCGCCCGTTTTCTAGAAGTTATCTACAGGAGCATATGGAAACAAGACACCTCGGCTTCAAGTGCCACTTCCCCGGCTCTACACTTGTCCTTGTTGAGGATGACATCCAGGCAATGACAGAGGAGCTCATTTACCACAACCTCTTGCAAGGCGGCGGATTCAGGAACGGCGAGTTTTAGTGTCACTGGCCGAACTGCAAGGACAACGGGGAACCACATTCTTATAAATACCTCGACAGCCTGAAAAGGCACCTTCGAATGAATCAAGGAAAAGCTTACCAAGCCTCCCTCCAGTCCGAAGAGCCCCCTCCTCCTCCACCCTTTCCCCCAACTTTGCCCCCTCTAAAGACTGTGCTTTCTGCAGCAGAAAAATCCGCACCTGAACCCAGTTCTCTTCCTGCCCTCAAGATCAAACTTCCCCCTCTTGAATTACCCAAAGCCACCATGATGAAAATAAATGAGGTCTTTGGCGAGTTCGTCACCATCCGAGGCCTGCGCGACACGAACTTCGAGCAGCTGCACAAGCTGATCGCGGCACAGGGCCCTGGACTCCACGGCGAGCTCCACGGCGCGAAGGAGCTGTGCCAGGAGATCGAGAAGGGCACTGACTCGTTGAACTTCGCGGTGCAGCGCCTGAAGCACCTAGCCGGGACGGGTCCCCAGGGCCAGTTCGCAACATGCTGGCAGGAGTTTGTGGACGCGAGCGACAACGCGCGCCTGGGCCACCACGTGTGGACGACGGACTTCGACTGCGACTTGGTCGTTAAGAACTGGGACCAGCACACTGCTTGCAACGCCACCCTCGGCGTCGCTCTCGACAGGGTTGAGTTTCTGACAGGAGCACTGCTGCTACAGCAGATGCAGATCCAGCTACAGCAACAAAGAGAACTAGTGGAACGTGTGAAGAAGCAAGTGCAACTGCAGGAACCGCCCGAGAAGCAACTTCAGGAGCAAATGATGAAGGAACGGCGGGAGCTGCAAGATCAGGTGGTGCAGGAAGCGCTTGAAAAGCAGCGCCAGCGGAACCGGCTGCGAAAGCTAATCAAGCGGCCAAAGCTCAGGCTGCAGTACAAAAATTCGAAGTCCCAAGAACAGCAAAATAAAGGACAACAGCATGAATATGATTATGAATATGAGCTGCATGAAGATGAGCAGCCTGAAGATGAGCAGCAGGATGGCCAGCAATTTCTAATGGATTAGGATCAACAGGAGCAGGACCAAATCTGAACTACGCTTGATTCTTCTGCCTTCAACCTTCAGCACGTCAACTTGCGTTTCTTTTTTCTTTTGTCTTTTTCCCTTCGGTTTCGTTTTGAGTGTTACAAAACGAGACAGTTCATGTGAGTACCTAAACCCGTGATCTTCGAGTCGAGGCACAAGAATGTATATATACTAACTATCAGCAGGTCTCCTCTAAGGGGAAGACGTCTTTCGAAGCAGTCCACACATCATTTCTTCGACAAGCTCCATGCGAATGGCAAGGGTAATGATGATGATGATGATTACAGTGACGAAGACGACGATTTACTAGTCCCGTTTGCCTGGACAGTTACTAGTCTGCATTGACAAAGCCTCAAGAGCTTCTTAATGTTCTCTTCAACTGCTCCTTTGATGGCGATATGTGCCATGATTGCACTCGCCAATGTCTTGTTTTGAACCATGATCCATCTTAATAATAGGCACCTATTGGGCCTGTGAACTACCTACATCTCCTATGATGTAAATACTCGATGGTTTCATAGCTTAGCTACTTAGTCTACTACAAATCCGTCATTACGGACCATGTGAATTTGCATGATGAACGTATTTGACCTTTTTAACCTTTTTACTTCCAGTAAGCCCTTTTAATAATTGTGACTAGCAAGTATTGTTCATTCCATGTCTAAATGATGTCCCTTGTGGTGTTTCCTTGAAAGCCCACATCTTAATAATAACCTCTGGCCAAAAGGATGAACCTATTTAATAAATAAGGCGGTCTCCTAAAGATATGCCCGTCTTTAACCTGACATACGGTGAATTCCTATGGCTCTATTTAATAGTCATTGTTGTCGCGGCCATACCTAGCTCCCTCACGCTTCTCACGGCCCTTCTCCTCGAGACGGTCACTACCGAAGACCGAACCAGCTTCTACGAGCAAGTTAGTATATATATGGTTGCTGTAAATTATAACAGGGATGGAATATCAACGATTGTAATGGTATAGTGTAGATGATAACTTGGGGGGAAACAAGGAACTAAGGTCCAGACTCACTCTCCAGCAACTTCCCAGCAGCGCTATCTCCCTTACGGCCCGAAGTGTCATCATCATCATCTCCGTAGCTCCGGGAATTGTTGTTGTTGTTGTTACGGTTTCCGTAAGAGGAGTTACCATACGAGTTCTGGTTGTCATCATCCGTAGAACCGTAGCTGTTACTAGAGCCAGTGTTGCGAGACCCGTAAGTGTCGTTGTTGTCATCGTCGTTGTTATTGCGACGGTTAGTAGAAGAGCCGTAGGTATCGTTGTCACGGGATGATCCGTAGGAGCTGGTGTTGTTACCAGATCCGTACGAGTTATCCTCGTTCGACCCATAACTGTTGTTGTTGTTCTTGGTAGACCCGTAGGAGTTGTTGCTTGAGCCGTAGCTATCGTTGTTCCGGCTAGAGCCGTAAGAGTTGTCGTTGTCACGACTAGAGCCGTACGAGGTGTCGTTATCTCGACGGTTTGAAGACCCATAGGAGTCATTTGATCCATAGGTGTTGTCTGATCGATCATTGCTGCCATAGCTGCTAGTGTTTTCGTTGCGGCCGGATCCATACCCTCCCTCATTACGAGAGGACTACACCTGCAGCGTTAGACATGGTTATAGAGGTAAATTATGGTTCGTTTACTACGTACGTAATCATCGTTTCGGCCGTAGCTAGACTAATTCTTCAAGTTGCCAATGAAAAAAGAACTTGATTACACTTACACTGTTGTCGTTGTCGTTGTAGGACATGTTGAAGATTGGTATGTTGATTATCAAGAAATAATTCCTGGGTGTAATTCTTATGATCGATGGAAATATTATCTAGCAAGGTACAGACAACAGCGAGAGAGAGGGATTATTATATGCAATGAGCTCAAGCAAGACATGACAGACTCTTAGGAAGCTAGCAATCACGCAAGCTCCCTAGCTAAAAGAGGGGAGCTCCCAGAGAGAGCTTATCTCGGAGCTACGAGGTGCAACGTCACCGGCTACCTCTCAATAGATCAAAGAGCTATGCCTACTATGTAAGTTCGGCGAAGGCGAGGACGCCACGGTGGGTATCCACAGCTGCCTCCGGCGAATTAGGGGACTTCGGAACTTGGGGTATTGCTTGTTAGTATTGGCGCTCTTTGGTCTGAGGCAGCCCATTTCCAGCTCCTTGAATGGCGATCAAGCAAGCGCAACTGCACGACATCGAGCTACCGAGCTTCTGGGAGGCATTGACCAGTCATATCGAGTAGATTCGCTCGCACAGGCTATTAATCCAGCGTTGCTAGGATGATTCGTCATCCCTCGTGGTATGGTAATGGGTGTCACTTTGCGACAAGATGTCTTGGATCCTCTAGCTTCTTGATCGCCTAGGATCTTCCAATATTTCCCGTTTAGGTAAACTAGCTAAGTAGCCCATTGAGCTTGCGCACGCCCCTTCAAAGCTTGTTAGCTGAGCAGTGCGGGAACTAGCCATTGATCTGTTGCTTAGCCGCCGAAAAAAGCAGATGTGGCAGATCATGCAGAAATCCTACGGGTACGTGCCATGCAGGTATTGTTCAGACGTCATAAATGATATGATGTAGGGATCGTGATGTACCTGATGTATTGTATTGTAGGTAAAAGTGCAGTGGAGATGATCTGATAGATTTTCAAGCTAAACCACCTTGTGCCAAGGAAATAGGGCTTCTAGCTTCCAGGTTGGACTACGTGACTTTTGTGGAATTTGTTGAGATCGGACCCATCGAGAGCTATGTCTGTAAGTCCGATAGGATATATAGCTCATTGTAAGAGTAAGTTGATCTTTACCACCTAATTTCACGTCGAGATCTATAAACTATTCACTCAGGAGGTTGTAAAACGCATGATAGAACAGAATACAAGATGCCCTAGAAGACAATCTTTCTTAAAATATGTGCTATAAAGTGGTGAATTATCAATACATAACACGTGTTCAAAATTGGAGCAGACAGATACCGAGGCATTGATCCAAAGCTTTCTCCAGTCTCGATTTCTCGAAATTTGCTGATATTTGAATATATATTCAGTTAAAGGCATCTCTGTCCTCTACCATAATTATGCCTCTGAATCGCTATTGCTCCTCGGAACTCAAGCTCCAGGTCGTCTAATTGTAAAGGTTATAAAGCAAGAGTCTTGTCATGACTTTTGCGAGGTAACACTGCCGGTGCCCCTGAAGTCTTCTGAAGAGGACCGTCTCTAGTTATGCACCCATATGACCTAATCTATAGGGGTATCAACGTATATGCGCTCTTTGTACTGAGTGATGCCTCCTGGTTCAACAGGGCATCTTGTACTAATTATAATGATTTGGATGAAAAAGAGAGCTGCAAACTATACTGGGAAGTGGCACGCTTGGGAAAAATGCCCGCAGCGCCATAGAGCTCTTATGAGAGTCGATTATTCTTATGATAGCGTGGCATCAGCCCCGCTAGCATGCACGACGCCATCACCACTCTCAGCAGGTATGGCAATGGGTTTGCCTTGAGCCTTCTCAGTCAAGGCTACTATCTCCTTAAGCATAAGCTCCCGCGTGCTGCGAGTTAACTCGTCGATATCTTCGGGTTTCAATCCAGCGGTGGGAATCGGGTCGAGTACTAAAGGATGTCAGCATTAAATTCTTGAAGGGATCAAAAGTAGTGATCATATTCAAGCACCTTTTACAGGGATCTTCCCGGATCTGAATACAAAATCCTTGATGTACAGCACGTGCGAATAGTTTGCCGCTACCACAGGGACGATGGGTACACCAGCCTGGACAGCAAGGTGGAAAGCGCCCTTCTTGAAAGGTAAAAGGCCGGGTTCCTTTCCGTAGCTGCGAGTGCCCTCGGGGAACATGTAAACGCTCTGTTTTCGAGTCTGGATTTCCTTAGCAGCACCCGCCATGGCCTGTCTTGCGTCCTTCGAGTTTTTCCGGTCAATGAAGATTGTGCCGCTCAGTGTCATGAACCATCCCAGAAATGGTACATATTTTAACGCCTTCTTGGCAGTTACACTGCAGTACTTGGGGAACATGCATCCAAGCATAAGAACATCCAACTCGCTCTGGTGATTTCCAATAAATACGGCTGGCCTAACGGTTTCGAGATATCGGTTCGGATCGTCGATTTCAAACGTGATTCCTAATGTAACCGCCATAACGTATTTGAAAGCACGTGCTGTTGTCCACTGCGCAATTTGCTCGCGACCGATTATTCGTAGGAATATCGAAGCGAATAAGCCAAAGATAGCACATATTAGTATCGAGATGTAGGCAGACAGCGTGCGGGCGGCAAAGCCCACGATGGGGGCGACGGCAGAAACCATAGGTAGGGTGATAATAAGAACGAGGTAACCCCCGAAGAAGTAACCTAGGATCGAAAGAAAGGACATGGTTTGTGTTAGGTATAGAGATGGATGACGGGCGACGGCGTCGCGCAGAGAAAATCGAGGTCTAGGTCTTAGCGGGCTATATTCGTGAAGAATTAAAATGATGAATTTATATTGGACAACTCTTCACAACGATCACGGTTACTTTCATAGTCATAAGTCCATGTCTATGCCTTGTCCCATCGTAGTACTGAGCCTAGATTAGAGGGGAGTTAGAGGGGATACGAAGGAAGATTGCCGGCAGAATCTTTTTCTAGGTAGTGGAAGTGGAAGTGGAAGTGATTTCTCACCGACAACTGGGTTGAACTTTGAAATGCCAACTGGACAGAAGCTGGATTTTGTTGAGGGGCGGCAACTTTTTTTTTTGAGCTTTGTACACTGGTACCTTCGTAGTTCCCGGTCATCTGGGCAATTTTGGCACTTGGACAAATCGGCCAGGGAAAATCCTACAACGCATGTGATTCTACCCCACAAAACCTTATTGACCTGTGGGCCGCGAGACGTGCGCCATGCGCCACGAGCCACGAGTCAAATGCATCAAACGAGTTGCATGCTACCCAAATATCCGGAAACTGCTTACGTACACGCATTTTTGGATTCAAACTTCCGAGAACGTGACGTGTGTTCTGTGCGACTATAATAATGAACAATACTTTTGCTATACTTATTGATATCCAATCCTGAGGCGATTTTCGATCTCTATAGATTGAAGTGTTCTGCGCTACTTATACCGATTAGGATCAGAGAAATAATGGCCATCATTTTGGGACCTAAAGGTAAGAACCTGATATAGCTTAGGTACCTGTAATAGGATGATAGTAGAATTGTTTCGTGCGTAGTAAGTTAAACATTTTGCTAGTTATAGTTAACTATAGTTAGTTAAAGCAGAGTATAAACTTACTTTACAAGCAACCAGCGTTTAGTCAAATAAGGAAGTGTTAGTTCATGTTTGTATAGACTATCGGAAATAGACGAAGTCTACCGCGATTATAGTTTCTTTAAACCGTAAAAAGGTGTCGATGCAAGTGGTTCTTATCCCGGAGTGGAATGGGCTGGAATAGTACTTACAACAGTATGCTCACAAAAGTCTTGAGGCTTGGGTACAATATATATAAGCCCTTGTCTCAGAGTCAAACACGTATTCATACTCTAATGCGCGTAACCGTTCCCAATATAGATACTCTAACTACCTGAGGTAGGCTTATAAACGGGATCGGAGAATCGTAAGCGTTCGGTGAGCTTAGCTATTGAAAATCCGGAAACACTTGCTACTCGGACTTAAGCAGGTCCTTATGATTTATGCAAAGCTTCACGATGTCGACATCAGATATAGGCTATCACGTTTTGAAACCCCTTCTTGATAGAGGCTTTCGGCGTAGAACACCGGCGTTAAGCAAGTCGTGCTTCTAAAACCAACTGACGCGGGATACACCGCTAAGACGCATCGGCCTCTCGCATCCATCCCTAACGGCTTCCGATCCGTTGACTTAACAACCCTATGTAATAATATAGTTAACGTACGATGCCTCGCAGGCCTTGTTCGGCCGTGGAGTATACGTGCGAGTTCCTTTTTAGGTAAGAAATAGCAGTTTCGGCCAATAGGAAAAGCTAAAGAAGAAAAATGAAGAGGACCCACGCAATAGAGGGAGGTACCTACGTAAGCGGGGCAAATGTAAGACACCGAGGTTCCGAAGGAAAAGGGCGCAGATCGGTACGATTGGTTACTTAGGCAGGTACTTAGGTAATGGATAATGTACAGTAAGCAACTATAACCAGTTACTTGCTATGTCCATACGATCAATCCAATCCAATAGAACGTCATACTTTAATTTAAGTCATACAATTAACTTAAAAGTAAAGTATTCGTCAGATCAACTACGTAGGTATACATTATAGACATTCAAAGAAAAGGGCCATCCCGTTCCCCGCCGTTCGTGCATACAACAAGCATCGATTTGGCCCTGTCTCGTATGTTACTTAGTGTAGTCTCGTACGTTTTAGTTCTTTTCTGCGCGGGTTTTGCCCCCCGAGTTTTACCTAAGAGACTTGACTAGAACGGATTAGAACAACGGAAATAGGTACCTACCTACCTTAGGGGGTGCCTTACCTAACCTTACCTTAGGTAAGTTTACATAGTAAAATCTGGCTTTTCCGGCTGTAACATCTACTATGGTACCTATACCTAGATCTAGGTAAGCCGCTTGCTCGGCCCTGCATATTTCAATTGCCTGGCTCCCAATCAGATTTCGCTCAACAGTCATCAATTCGCAATAACGGTGGGTCGCCGATATCCCGGGGATTTTTTATTTTTTTTTTTTGGCTACCAGAGAATGTAAACCCTTCCTTAAAGACTTACATAAATTAAACCTTCTCTCCTTGATCTAACAAAACTTTTTCTTTTTCTTCCTCAATTGATACAACTATTCCGCACCAAATCAATTGGTTACAACTTCACCTTGTTTTGCTCTTTTTTGGGACCTGTCGTGATCGTCAATATGGACGCTGTGCTTCGCCAGTCCAAGGCGATGTGCCCCTTCTTAAAGAAGGCCTCTCCTGCCACTCTTCGCGCATTGTCAACCTCTACTCGCCCGCAAACTTCTCCATGCGGCGGTACTATCTCCAAGTTGCAGCTGCTCGGTCAGCGCTGCCCTGTCATGGGCAAGGCGTTGGCCATTCAGTCTGCTCGAGTTGGTAGGACTCCGATGGCCGGCGCTGCAACTATGAGTGGAATTCGCAACTACTCCAGCCAGGCCGGTCATACCAGTCAGACGAAGCAGGGGAGGGCCAAGATTCACACTAGTCGTTCGCACGAAGCTAGAGCCGTAGAGACTTCTGTCTTCAACACGCGCGAATCCGGTATGTGTGCGCCATCATGTGTCGAGCTGAAGTGGATGACTTACAATTTCGTTTCTAGTCCAATTTCCTCCATCCGGTCATGTCAATCGCAAAGCCAATGCGACAGCCCCGCTGGCCAACCCGTCGACCTCCGATGGTAAATTCAATTACAATGGCTTTTACGATGCAGAGCTCGACAAGAAACACAAGGACAAGTCCTACCGTTATTTCAATAACATCAACCGACTAGCTAAGGAATTCCCACAGGCTCATGGAGCTAACAAGGAAGACCGAGTGACGGTGTGGTGTTCCAACGATTACTTAGGCATGGGTCGTAACCCCAAAGTCCTCCAAGAAATGCATGAGACCCTTGAAGAATACGGTGCGGGCGCAGGAGGGACTAGAAATATTTCAGGTCACAACAAGCACGCTGTCGAGCTCGAGGGAACTCTTGCGAAACTACACGCCAAAGAAGCCGCACTCGTATTCAGCTCCTGTTATGTTGCTAATGATGCGACACTTGCAACACTTGGGAGCAAGCTACCCGAATGTGTTATACTATCGGACAGTCTGAACCATGCTTCCATGATTCAGGGCATTCGTCATTCGGGGGCCAAGAAGATGGTCTTCAAACATAATGATTTGGAGGACCTTGAGGCTAAGCTCGCCTCTCTACCACTTCACGTACCCAAAATCATCGCTTTCGAATCAGTCTACAGCATGTGCGGTTCCATTGGGCCCATTGAAGCTATTTGCGATCTAGCTGATAAATATGGGGCCATCACATTCCTCGATGAGGTCCATGCGGTCGGTATGTATGGCCCGAAAGGCGCTGGCGTTGCCGAACACCTGGATTTCGAGGCCCACAAACAGGGTAGACCCGAAGGGACAATTATGGATCGCATAGATATCATAACCGGTACCCTCGGTAAGGCTTACGGATGTGTTGGTGGATACATTGCTGGAAGTGCAAAGCTCGTGGACATGATCCGATCTTTAGCGCCTGGCTTCATTTTCACTACCTCACTTCCCCCGGCTACCATGGCCGGTGCCAGGGCTGCTATCGAATATCAAATGGAATATAATGGCGACAGGCGACTCCAACAGCTTCACACACGCGCTGTTAAGGAGGCGTTGGATGCCAAGGATATCCCTGTCATACCGAATCCCTCACATATCCTCCCGCTTTTGGTCGGAAACGCCGAGCTTGCAAAGCAAGCATCCGATATGCTTTTAAACGACTATCAGATTTACGTGCAGTCTATTAACTACCCGACTGTACCCGTAGGTCAGGAGCGCCTGAGGATTACCCCGACTCCGGGACATACGAAGCAATATCGTGATGAACTGGTAGCCGCGGTAGATGAAATCTGGACTAAGCTTGGTATCAAGCGAACTTCCGAATGGGCGGCTGAAGGAGGCTTCATTGGTGTTGGTGAAGCCGGTACCAATGCTCCCGAGCCTCTCTGGACGGATGAACAGCTTGGAATCGATCAGAAAATCGCCAAAGAAATCAAGGAATCTAAGCCAGCTAATGGCTTCATGGAAACTCTGCTCGAACGTGAGAACTTGGATAGGGGCGTGAGCGCTACTGCCTAATTGCATTCTAGTCCCAGTGGAGGTAAAATTGCATCCGCAAAAGGGGAGCTCATCGGACCTAATCCACGTTCTTTCGGGCGTAGCGGAAGAATTGAATGTGCGACGTTGAAATTTTGATCTGATTCGAATATAGCCCGTACTGCGAAGACTGCATTGTTCTGTCGTAATAAAGTACCGAGGCTAACCATATAGCTAAACCCAGCATTATATACATGGCAATACAATCAGCGCCATCTCGCTAGACGATGGATAACGCTCATTGAAGTTTACATTACTCCGTCAACTTTTGCATACGTGATACATATTTAACATATCCGTGACTAAAGTTGTAAATATTGGTCATCGTCCGCTCTGCGAGTTGATCTACAAAGCAAACGCTTACGATTACTCTACACCGACCCCTCTAATAGGACAAATTTAAGATAACTCCAATTTTCCATCACCGCAGCTGGGAAATGGAAACTAAACACTTTACTAACAGTCTAATAGTAACTGCTAAATTGGCAAAGGTCAAGCTTACTAAAGTATTTTTAGACCTGACTCGTTCCTAGAAGGCCAGACCTATCTAGGCGGATAACAACCAGTGGCTAAATAGACACGTACCTCGGTGCAGAGGATTTCACCTCGATCATTTACCCGTTCTTGGCTTAAGCGTCGTTAATCTGAATATTCTCACGTACCCCACAGTCAAGACGCGGAGGTCACATCTTACGGAGCTTAACACGACGACCACCTGGTTATTGAAGCTAACCGGCTGCTTCTCCACGTGTTTAGAGTGTCAGATGGTAACCTATGGCGCATGGATGTTAGCGTTAGAATATGATGAGGATTCTAGAACGAGGTATAGCAATTAGTATGGAGTTACCGGCAAATATGGATCATATCGGCCGTTGTCGTGCCTAGAAGCATCTATTAAAGTCGTTCTCAATGATAAAACGGAGCGATACCAGTGTGAATTTTGTAGATTATAGACTACTCTTCAGAGAAAAAGCTACGAGAGTTATTTAAACGTAGCAAATATGATATTAACTGATCTTATCCTCGCCTCCAGCACGCTGCCTTTCGCCTCGGCGGGACCGGCGTGGCTCGGCCGTCGCCAGGCTGGATCAACAATCACGGTTGATCTGTCGAAGACCTACCAGACGATCGACGGGTTCGGATGCTCGTTCGCCTTCCAGCGGGCGAACCTCATCACCAACATGTCGGACAAGACCAAGCAGAGGGAGCTGCTGGACCTGCTCTTCAACACGACCTCGGGCGCGGGCCTGTCCATCATCCGCAACGGCATCGGCTCGAGCCCGGACAGCAGCTCCGACCACATGAACACGTTCGCGCCCAAGGACCCCGGCGGGCCCAAGGCCACCCCGCAGTACCAGTGGGACGGTAAGGACTCCGGCCAGCTGTGGTTGACGCGGGAGGCGTATAATACGTACGGAGTACGCCAGATTTATGGCGATGCTTGGAGCGCGCCGGGATACATGAAGGTAATTTTTTTTAACAGCCTGAGAGAAAGAAGATAATGACAGTATTTTTTTGACTGGGAAAAAGAAATTAATTTTATGCGTAGACAAACGGCAACGAAGTAAATGGCGGCACGCTATGCGGCGTCTCGGGGACGAACTGCCGAAGCGGCGACTGGAGACAGGCGTATGCGGACTACCTAGTCCAATACGTGAAATACTACGCCGAAGCCGGGGTTCCCGTTACTCGGTGAGTCGTCGTTTGTTTCCTTATACTACCTCGCAGAGGCTCGCAGCCCCTACCTATATACAAGCCACTAAACGAACCTCACTAACCTACTCGTAGGATCGGCTTCCTCAACGAGCCCGAGTTCACGACGAGCTACGCGTCGATGAACTCGAACGGGGCGCAAGCGGCCGACTTCATCAAGGTCCTGCACGCGACCCTCGAGGCCGCCAACCTGACCGCGCAGGTCGGCATCGGGTGCTGCGAGTCCGAGGGCTGGGGCAATCAGGTCAATATGGTAAATGCCATCAAGTCTGCCGGCGCGGAGAACCTGCTCGCGACGATTACTTCGCATACGTATACCGGGGGGCCGAATGGCCCGATGAATTCACGGTGTGTATATGGGGAACCCCCCTTACGATGGGAATTTTGTACTAGGTTAGACAGAAGCTAATATGATCGTAGTACGCTATAGACCCCCTTTATCTCCTTACGTTGTCCCCCTCTCCCTCTCTCTTCCTTTCTTACTCCGCCTAAAACCAAAACCCCAACTCCTACCTAAGCTACCTATCCTATGTATTCCATAGATGAATACACCCATCCGCTAACGCACCAGCAGGCGTCCCCGTCTGGCTCTCCGAGCAATGCGACCTCCAAGGGCAATGGACGACATCATGGTACAGCTTCGGCGGCGCAGGCGAGGGGCTAACATGGGCGAACAACATCTATAACGCGCTAGTGAACTACAATGTCTCGGGGTACCTGTACTGGGAAGGGGTCCAATGGCCCTCGCCCAACACCAACGAGAAGATGATCCGCGTCGACCAGCAGGCGCCCTACAACTACGAGGTCTCGAAGCGGCTGTGGGCGTTCGCCAACTGGTCGCGCTTCGTGCGGCCCGGGGCCGTGCGTGTGGCGAGCTCGGGAGGAGGGTCGGGCGTGAAGAGCGCGGCGTTCAGGAATGCGGATGGCAGCGTGACTGTGGTCGTTATCAGCACGGGAGGGTCCGCGAGTACCGTGAATGTGAAGGTTAACGGCGTCAATGCGACGGAGGCTACCGGCTGGGTTACCGACCAGACGCATAATTGCGAGAAGATCGGCGTTAGTGTCTCTGGCGGCTCCGTCGCGGGAAGTGTGGCTGCCCGCTCCATTACGACTTTCCATATCCCGGCACCGCCTGCTCCCCCGGCTGCGAGGAGCGCGGTGAGTCTAAGTGGTTGGCGATTCGTATGAGAGTTGAGTCTAGCATGTCGGGCCTTGGGAATCCCGTACAAGTTTACCGTTGTGATTCCTCACAAACATCTACGAGTTTTCGATGAAATCCACTCTTTAGAACATAAAAAAGTTTGTAAGGGAACATTTTGATACTTTCACATGCCTCACAACTGCAACTGGGTCCTGAATATCAGACCCCGCGCCCCCTGAATAAGTCCACCTACATACTTCGTGCCCAAGGCCATAACAGCGTTATTATCTGTCTTAGATAGGTACCTACCTAGCTATCTGTACGTGATTACGATGATTCTACGACAATGAGGTACCTACCCGCCCCCTTATAACCCATAGTTATTTCTAGGAGGTACCTACTTAGTACTCGTCACCCACTCCCTCGCCTCACACCACACCACACGACCATCCTCCTTCCTCCTTCCTCCTTCCTCCCCTCCTTCTTCCATCCTCCCCTCCTCCCTCTCAAGCCTACCTCACCCGCACCCTACAAATTACTCTCCAGCCCCCTCAGCACCTCCTTCATCCCCGGCCCCGTCTCCTTCACGAGCCTCGCGACCTCCCGGAACTCGGGGATCCCCGCGTCCCCCATGCACTCGTAGATCCAGCTCTCGCTGGTGGTCACGACGGCGCCCTCGGCCCGCAGCCGCGCGAGCGCCGCCCGCGCGTCCATCCGGTTGCAGCTGCTCACCCCGTCCGCCAGCACGTACACCTTGTGCCCGCGCGCCAGCAGGTCCAGCGCCGTCTGCGTCACGCAGATGTGAGCCTCGATCCCCACGATCGCTACTTCGCTCGGGGGCTCCGCCGCTGCCGCGGCGGTTTCCCGGGCCGGGTCGACGACGACGCGCGGGAATCGGGCTGCTACTTCGGGGACGCGCAGCACTGCGAGCGAGTGAGCGAGTAAGTGAGTGAGTGAGTGAACGAGTGCGTAGGTTGCTCGGTGGTATATAAGAAGAGAAGAAGTCTATAGGGATCTAGAGGCCTTGCGCTATTGCTATGGGGTGACCATGTCTTTGAATGCCTCAGGATGCCTCTTAATGGGTACCTAAGGTAGGGAACCCCCACGCCACGGAAAAGGGAAAAGAAAGAAAAAAAAGGGGTGAAGGAGGATAAGGGGAAAAGGGGTCTTAGTAGCACGTACTGCTAAAGGCCGTCTTGTCTGCGTTAATCACGGCATTTTCGGTTAATTCCTGGAGCTCGGAGACGGTAGGTCCCAGCTTCGCCGCGTTCTGCGTCGTCACGATGACGGGCACATCGAGGATCTTAGCGGCGCGTAGGACTTTCTGCGTCGTCCGGAGGCTGCGGTAGGTAACGGATTTTCGTTAGTCATTTTGCTTAAGCCAGGTAGTTCATTGGAAGATAGAATAGATAGATCGTTTTTGTCGACAGGGCATCGATCTTCATCTTCGGGTATAAAAAAATCTGGAACCATTTGCTCAAGTATTGAGGTACATAGTAGTATAGTGGTAGTGGTGGTAGTGGTGGTATACTGTATACTACCTGGGTTGGGTAGTAATGCTGCATGCATGCGGGCTAGGTACCTAAAAGATTGGGTGGCCATACATCAAGTCAAACATCAAGATGGCGGAGCGGAACTTCTCCTGCATGTCGCAGACGCTATGCCGATGTTCTCGTCAGCTTTCTCCTTCCCTCTTTTTTTCCTTAAGTTTTCCAATATAAGAGGCAGACGAGGAGCAAAAACCAAAGCTCTGCCCTGCCGCACCGATTAAAACTCACAGGACCACGGGCCGCTCTACACAGGATAGAAGCGTTGGTTAGCAACATTCTTTAGGTACTTCCCTTCGGATTAATTCTCGCGCACTCACGTAAGCGTCTCTGCGGGATATCCGCCATCGTGGTAGAAAACCTGGCGTATTTCTTCGGACCGGCCTGACAGGTGACGGGGTACGGGGACGGGGACGGGTACAGAGGAGGCGAGAACACGAACGGCTGCCGCCGTAGTCCTTTTGCAAGCGTAAATCTAGATGTTCTCGCAAGATTCATTTAAATCCTGTCTTGATTCGAATATAGTGCGAATATGCGGTTGCGTACGACCAAGTTTGAAAGAAGAGAATCCCGAGCTTGGAGCGAAGGCAAAGGGAGGGAAAGGGAAGGGAGCGGGGGTTACACTATACATTTACGAAAGTACCTAAATGCGGAATGCGGGGCAGGAACGGGAACAAGCGGGGACATAGCGGGGACAAGCAGGGGACGGGAATTCCGTTAGTACACCACTACCCCGTCTACCCCGTAAGCACCTACGCGAAGCAGCAGACGGCGAGTGTGTGTTTTACTATGTTAGGTAGTTTTAGCTTTACAACCCGGACAACAACATCACGCATCTCCACGCTCAAGCAGGGGTTCAATACATCATGTACCCACTAGTACACACACTTGTCGATTTTCCATAGGTATATCACTACGCGAGGAGGGGCCGTCGTGGGCTGCGGGGGTGTATTAGACATATCCTATCATGATACGATCAACGTTGACTCCTAGTAGGTCACCGGTGTATATATATAGGTAGGTAGCTAGATGAGACACCGTCCAGTCTTTCCTTTCCCTTTCCCTTTTCCTTTTCTGTGTGCAACAATAATCTGTTCTACCACCATCGTATTCTTGGGCGCTGCCCTGTCCACTCTTTCCTTTTTTTTTAAAAAAAAGGAAAATGTATTCGCGATCATGCCGACGTCTCGGATTGGGATAACTTCGACCACGCCATGACAAGCCTCAAGGTTGGAGAATTCCATGCGACCATGCCCAAGTAATGCCATATACCCTTTGTATTAGTTGCACGACGCGGCCGCCTTTACTTCCGAGCCTCGAGCTTCTTACCTTATATAAAGATGTTAGAGATAATCTGTATTTAATATATAGATGCCGTATCTTTTTTTAGCACCAGGCTGTTATATGTTACTTTTATGTCCTGTTTATAGGACTTTATTTCAGGTATCCCTTTCCGGGAGCAAAGCTTCTTGAAAAACGATTTAGATGGCTGGGAAAAAAGTGATATGTCCTGCTAGTACAGGAACGGCCTCCAATTTCCTCGTACTCTGGCCAGGTATGGCTTTGCGTTTTTCCCTTCAGAGGTTGTTGGAGATGATCCGCGTCCAACATATCGATATAACGTCCTCGCATAGCATAAGAGTGGGGCAAAGCACTCTTATGCTATATCTGCGGGACGTCATATCAGTATAATAAAAAATATATAGTAATAATAGAAGTCATGACAAATGAAATGTTTTGGGAGACTGTGTATGTGAAAATGAGCGAAAGTATGAAGATGAAAGAAGAAGAGAAGAGTAAAGTCGTCAAACGGGCCTGAGAGAAGGTAGCACCGATTAATATACTCGTAGAACAGCGGGGCCACCGGTACGCTAAGGCGTGTCCGGTTGGAGTTATTTTGATATTGCCGTTCCGTTGGCCAGCGTGGGTGGGAGGTACCCAGTGCCCTATACTCCTCGGGATCCCACCATATGCTGTCAGCTAATATGTAAGCTAGGTACCTAGGTACATATTGTAAGCGCTATCATAAGGGCTCGTTGTCGTAACAGGTACGGTAGGTACTTCATAAACCATATAGTAAATCACGAATAGAAGGACGGGATGTATTACACTACCTAACCTAGGTAAGTACCTAAGTAAGTTACATAGAAAGACATTGCACACCTAACATCTATTTATAATATGTACCTATGTATCCCCTTATTAATAAGTATATTCAAGAAGCTATTAATAAATCAGATGGATGGGTATACACTACCTAGGTACCTAGATCAAGACACCACCGTGACCTTCGCTCTCTTAAGCCATTCGAGATCCCCCCGAACAGTAGCTTTCCTCACGTTATACAGCTCGTCGATGAACGCCGGCACAAACGTACCGGGGCCCTTAACATCGGGCCTCTCGGCCGCCAGCTCCGCCGCGACGCCGTAGTACAGGACCGCGGCGACGGTCGCGGCGAGCTTGTCATTCGGGTGCGCCGCGACCGCCGCCGAGATCGTCGTGCCCAGGCAGCACCCCGTGCCCGTCACCGCCCCCAGGTACTCGTGGCCGTTCTCGATCGCGAACACCGTCTCCCCGGCCGTCACCAGGTCCGTCTTTCCCGTCATCACGACCACGTGTCGGCGCAGCCGCGCTAGCTCTTTGATCGCGGTCCCGAGCTCCTGCAGGTTCCGGCTCCCGGACTCGCTGTCCACGCCCCGCTGCTGCACGTTGGACCCCCCCGGTACGCAGGAGAGGATTTCCGACTGGTTGCCTTTGAGCACGTCGACGTACCCGCCGCCTAGGATCGTCTTGACGGCGGATCTCCTGACTGCTGTTGCACCAGCACTATACGCAATTGTTAATTCAAACGCCTGTTCATAATAAAAAAAAGAAAAAAAAGAAAAAAAAAACAAATATGTCGATACTCACCCAACGGGGTCGTAAACGACGGGCTGCCCAGCATCATTATACGCCTTAAGTGCTTTCAAATAGTTCGTCAGACCCTCGGGCGTAACAGTTCCCATATTAATAACCAGCGCGCCCCCGAGCCTCGCCAGGTCGGCCGCCTCCTCGCCGTAATTAGCCATGATCGGGCTGGCGCCGACGCTCAGCGCGACGTTGGCGGCGAAGTTCTGGACGACGAGGTTGGTCATGTTGTGCGACAGCGGGTTCCTGCTGTCCACCGCTCTGAGGACGTACGGCACGAGGGACAGCAGCTCCTGCGCTGACCTCATCTGCTGCCCCAGCCTCGCGACGGATCGGGCGAACGCCGGCGGCGACTTCACGAGTTGCGCAAGGTCTCGCGATGCGGCCTCCGGGTCCCCGGATGCCATGATGGCGCTTACTACCGCCACGCCGTCGAGCGATTTCCCCTTGGCGGAGCTCTGCCATACTACGCGCGATACGTTGGACGCGTTGATGCCTCCGATGCATACGGTCTTCACGGGCCAATTCTCGGCGGCGATCTTGAGTAGGATCTGCTGGAGTCCCTCTACACCAATAATGCTTTTTGTGTTTTCTTTTCTGGGATTACGTTAGCTACCTTGAATAAGTCTCCTTAAATAATTCTTATTGGCGGCCATGTGGCTCCTTACGTAGGCGTAGCAAACACAGTCCCAATCCCCAGGTAGTCGGCACCTCCTTTAGCAGCGGCCTCTGCTTCGGTAATATTGCTCACAGTGACGCCGATGATAGCGTCTTCTCCTAGAATTTTTCTAGCCGTGGGTAAATCTATATTATATCGCCGTTCTGTCAGTCCACATCTTCCCAGCCTCCTTCGTGGCGAGCCATCTTTTAGGGGAGGGAGAGAGGAGAGACCATCTTACCCAGGTCATCCTGTCCGATATGCACGCCCTCGCACCCGACCGCGAGCGCAACATCCAGGCGATCGTTAACGAGCAGCGGGACGTTGTACCTCCTCGTGACCTCGTGCAGTTTCCGGGCCGTCGACACCAGCACGCCCGTGTCGCTGGTCTTGTCCCGGTACTGGACGCATGTGACGCCGCCCTTCAGCGCCGCTTCCACCACCTCGCATATGTCCGCGTCCCCGAGGATGGCGGGCGTCGAGTCTGTCACCAGGTATAACGAGTAATCTACTTCGTGCTTCGGCATTTTTCTAAAAAGAAAGAAAAAGTATGAACATGTATACTTAATATATATCATCCATATAAGCTAATGAGAAGCTAGCGACGGCGAGGCCTTTTGTTGACTGCTACATTTTGTCTTCGGTACCTAAGTACCTTAAATTTAGATACATCCTATTTCGCTAATCGTGCAATGCAGGTGACGGGATCCCGCCTATAACGTTAGTATGATGTACCTACCTAACCCAGCCTAATATCAGGTACTTACTTGGGTATGTAACTAGCGGGGTTGCTCCGTATGTCGGGAGTCTGGACCCCTACGTACGACCTACAAGGTGATAAGCAAGTCTAGGCCGAACTAATGCGCCCAAGTATGTGAACTTCCATGAGCTACCGGTTGTTAGTGCTCCCAGCTAGGGTTTCTTGACATGTACTAGTAATAATAATAGCTGATATCATTTCACTTTGAGTATTTATTTTTATTCTTTTCTTAGCCATCTCTACCTACAACCAAGTAGGACTACTTGAATCATGGCAGCGAGCATTAACACATAAGCTCAGCAAACCGTCATATCGAGCGCCACTCCGCTATCTCATAGAAATCTCACTCGTGTCTGAGTGTGCTGCTCTTTGCTCAGCTGCCGCAGTCGGTGTCCTTGGCTTACCCGACGAACTCATCCATGAAAAGGCCGATGCGCTTCCTATAGGATTTGTCGACGTACGCGGCGTTCCCAATACGCTTCGAGCCTCACGTGTAGCTGAGGTCGCTTTCGGTTCAATGCTGCTAGGTACCGTTCGCTTCGATTCCCATCGGATACTTGTACTCGTACTGCTATTGCTAACACTGTCTGCTCCGACTTGGCTTTTACGTCTAAGTTCAACGTTACTTTTGGGTATCGAAGCTGGTTCGTAAGATGCTCCTGTTCGTGTCGATGAAAACGACCCCGAAGACTTGGCTGGTTTCAGAACTTTCATATTTCTACCCCCACGCCCAGGAGGTTGGTAGCCACTCAGCGGAGAAGCATCTTTTTGCTCGTTACCGTTCAGAGTAGGTCCATGGCGCCACGAATTCCAAATGCTCCCCGCCGCTGAGGATCGCCGCTGGTGATCACTTGGTGTATCGTTCGGCCGGGCTTGGGACTCCTTCGTTCCTGACTCCGAATTGCCTATCTCCTTATAGTGCCTCTCACTTTCACCGCCGCTTTCCGATATGCTGCTTGTCCCGGTAGCTACGGCCTGCTGACTTGCTTGTTCCGAAGATGGCGATGCAAGTGCTCGAGCATCATCCTCCCCACGTGCTTCTCTCGTCTGGACTCGGTCTGACACCGTGGTCGTGGTTGTTTGCGACTTAGCTTCGCCCAAAACGAATGGGCGGGCCGTGGCATTCAACTTTGGTTTTTCTGGGAAGACAACCATAGTCCGTATATGCTTGAAGACCCCATTATCTTCAGGACGTACGAAGGGAACCGACAGCTTCTCACGTTCACTGCTATATAGCGTCATGCGATTCTGAGAGAAGAGAATATCGGCGCAATGCGCTCTCAACGTCTCGCTACCAATAAAAATGCGGATGTTCTTCTTGGATTCCGTGTTGTCGGGTACATCTATCCCGGCTACTTCAAACGTGCAAGCCAGACTTGGTATCTGTGGAGCTGGACTCATCCCTCGAGAACTCGGTTGTGACACAGTTGCCTCTGTTAGGTACACGGGTAGACGGATTCGGTGAACACCATCCAAATCGCGATGAATATCACCTGTCAAGTCCAACTCCCTTATGAGCGAAAATTCAACGACCGACTTTTGCGATCCGGTGCAAACGACTGCGTAGAGCAGAGTATCGTGCGCAAAGTTGGCGGTAAGCCAACATCGGATGATTGAAGGTACAGAGCCTAACACGAACAGGCTCGGTGGCGGCTCTGGAATCCCAATAGGAGAATCATCGTCCTGGCCTGCAGGTGTAAACGTAGTGTCTATACCTAAGCTACTTCCGCGTCCGGAGGCGATGGAGTGATGAGAGTGAACCGAGTGGACTGAATGGCCGGCGGAGCTGTGCCTACCATCTGATTTATGAGACAGGGAGCGTTCCATCATGTTATGGTTGCCAAGGCCACTGCCGGGTCTGATTGGACCGAAGTCGCCTGAGTGGCGACCATTTTGCGCCCAGCTTGCACCCTGAAGAGCACTCTCGTCGAAACGAACACTATTCGCTCTAGAAGCTGCGCCCCGTCTTGCCGGTTCATCTTCAGCGTCCAAGTGTAAACTTCCCAGGAGACTCTGGCCCTGCTCCTCGAAATCGTCAAAGATTTCATTTGGGGGCATTTGAAGCGGTCCTAAAAAGGCGTTAGAATCTGGAATGACTACTTAGATATCCGTTACAGGTAGCGGAGAAACGAACCATGCTGCGGCGTACCGCTTAAGGCGCTAGGAAATGGCGAATTCCAAACAGATTTCATCGCAGCATCGTTAGCTTGGTGCTTCTCCAACCGAGAAATTCGTTCAGCATGGTGGTTCTGTATTAGCTGCATCTGCTTGACGTCCATTTGGACACTGTAGAATTCGTCACGGGAAACCGGGAAGCGGGGATCCATGCCAACCCAAGTTATCAAGGTCACAACGTGAGTAAGCAAGACTGATAACAGGGTAAACAGATGTGACTAAAGTGGGTGGAAGAAGAGGCTCGGTATACCTAGGTAGGGGGCTTAGATAGAGGTCGGAAACGACGGGATCAGAGGGGTCGACTTTAAGGAGCTTGGAAGGCCGAGCCGTATCATTGACTTGCGATGAATGATATGCCAAACTGTAGGCTGCTGGCTTCATGTATAGCTCTATGAAATTCGCTCTGCGGCGTGGCCTTCTTCCCGTTTGAACTTGTTGCGACCTCTATCTCTGGTTTGTAAAAGACGGAGTCCACCACCACCTCCTCATCGCAGAGGACCGAATGGTCACCTTGCGAATTACTGTGTAGTACAATATTACTATGTTCTGGTCTTAGTATATGCTGGTATTCAATGATGGAAATTGTTTAAGGTCGAAACACAAGGGCTTCCGGCGGAAATATAGATGGACGGCGGTAATGTGATGTTAATCCTCAGTATCGACCAAGCGACCTTCACGTTAGGGAAGCTGCTCGACAATATTCTGCGGTCGAGAAGGGCGAGTCAATTCTCGTAGCACCAAAGACGAGGTCGGCGTAGCAACGATATATTACAATCACAAATTTATGGTTACACGCCAATTCGATTTCTTTGTAGAGGTAGAGATGGACGATGTTAGGTTCGTCTAATCGGCGGTGGCGACCGAGTCTCGCAGGTGATCTACAGGCGTATGGTGTTTAAGTAATCGAGGGCAAAGTCAGGTAGAGCGACTGAGGAAGAAAGGGAAAAAAAACGCTTCAATCGGTGTCCTAAAGGTTTCAGGATGGCACACGAGATGGGATGGATATATTGTGACGGGTTAACAAGATGGAGTATCAAAGCAAAGAAGCAACCACGTAAGAAGTGGTACAAGCCGAAAAAAAAATGGAAAAGTAAAAAGGAACTAAAATTACTGAAGAAGGCAGAATCTTCTGAGAAACAGGGCGGTTGCTGAAATCGAGATTTTAGAGGGTTTTTTTCTTCTTTTTTGGGGGATGATGACTGCTTGTAGTTTACGGGCTCCTCTCGTAAAAATGGATGGCGGTTCAGAGGAACAGTGGCAGTTCACGTTCGCAGGCACTTACCCACCATTGGATTTCCTTAGCGCGCATCAACCTTTCCAGTTAGGTTAGGTTAGGTACGTACAAGTACCATGCCATGTTAAACCCTGCCCAATGCACTGGCCAAGCGGCGGCTGACTGAAGTTACCTTACCTTAGGTAAGGTTAGGTAAGGTAGGTAGGTACCTACCTAGGTAACCAACATTGATATAGGTATTGTACAAGAGTGATGTTATTTCAATAGTAGTGGTACTTCAAATAGTAGTCCAATTTTAGGACCGCTTTTTTCACTGCTTGCCTAAAGGGTTTATTACTTAGAAATTCCTTATTTGCACTTATATATAACATGGTAACGGTAATTATTATATTGTATTAACTTTAATAATTTAATATATAAAAATTATATAATTAATTTTATTTTAATTAAATATATATAATATTTTAAAAATTATTAATAATTAATGTATAATAAGTAATTAAATTAATTAAAAATAAATGGTAAAATAAATAAAGGGGAATTTTTATTTTCTGCTGTTTTTTTCAAAAAGTGGGACTGAAATTAATTACTATTGAAGTACCATTATTATTGAAATAACATCACTCTTGTACAATACTAGGTACCTACTTAACCCAGCCTGCCAACCTGCCAGCGAGGAATCATAGATTTAGATAAAATCTCCGAATAGCAACGCAACTTCAAATTCCCCTAATGCAACAAGCATATGTCTGTATGTCTTGCATGCTTCCGGTTTTCAGCCTTTTACAACTGCTGCATATGTAGATTATTCACTTGCGCGAATCTCATGTACGAGTGTCGCATTCGAGCAATCTAGGCTATTAGTATTTCAAGAAACCCGGACGGCTCGCTTTATATAGGTATATACCTATCTATGCCATGTGTACTATGTGTACCATGTGTACCATACTATTTACAACGTTCCCGGGTTGAGCACACGCCAATCTGGGAAAACTCCCTTTTTCTCTGGGAATGGGCCGATGTGTGGCTTGACAATGTCAAATAAGACTTTGTAAGCATCTCCGCTCATATGCAATCCATCTGGCAGAAGTTGTTCCAAAGCACCTCTCTTGCCTCCGGGATATCCTAAGGGAGGCCCGCTCGAGTCAAAATCAGCCGTTAAAGAGATAGCCTTGTCCAGGATGGCGTTCTGGAGATCGATAAGCACCACCCCAGGAATTTCTGCCGCCACCTTTCTGGCCGTCTCAGAGTAAGCCGCGCTAACAGCCGCTTGGCGTGTGGCCTGCGGGTGTCCGAGGGCTAGATCAAGCTCAGTAATTCGGATCTCATCAATAGGAGGAGGCGTGATGAGCAGAATCTTGGGCTTGTGGGCTGCAATGTATTCGTGAGTGATTATCTTCGTTAAGTTCTCTTTATATTGCTCGATCGGAACACCTTGGGTGTTGGTAGGAATATCGATGCATGCATCATTGGCCCCTAGTAACACTAGCTGCAAAACGAAATGATCAGACTCTAGGTACAGGCATAAATGACGCTAGACGCACAATAAACGAGAATTATTCAAATATCATTACTTACAAGGTACTCTATCCTTGGATTCGAGGGCGACGGCGGCAGGAATATCTGCGGTAACAATTCCAAGGCATTTTTGGTGTTGTAACCGGAGAATCCCCTGTTGATCACGTCCAGATGTCGCATACACTCTATTATGAAAGAGTTAGAAAATAAGTACGATTGGCTCGCCCGAGAATGTGTAAGCAAACTTACGACTTTGCAGGGCCCCTTGGAAGGAGAAGCCACTTTGAACTTCGCTAGCACCCTGGAATAGCGAATCCCCAAAGAGGACCACTTGGTTATATGGTTTCTATCTCATACATTAGATTCCCGAGTATTACCTTGAGGACAATGAGAAGGGATGTTGTAACACCTACGGCCATTTTCTCAACTGGGAACTCTAGAAGAATGTAAGACTTGAGTTGTTGCTCAATAGTAGAGAGAGGTCGAGATAGAAACTAGCCGCACCCACGAACCTGAGGTGTAGGTACCTATCTAGGACCTGGACAAACTCGAGCTAAAATAGTGGACGGGCTGGCGAGGGGAGACTTGGTCGGTTACCCGTAACGCATTGCATAGACAGATAGGCACGGTCCGATCATTGCGGAAGTATTTCTACCGAAGGCGTTGGAACTTGAACGCACCCGCCAATTGGCGGTTCGGAATATCGGCCTTTTCTCGATTTCCGCCATATAATAATATACACTCTTTCTGACTTTGTGGTGGTTTGAACCTTAACATACGTTTGTTCTTATAGTTATGAGATATACTACGTATCTAGGTTTCGTTAACGCCCAACACTAATATTGTTCCCTGTGGTTTCCATTTTCAATATGTTTATCAGGAGCTTTTCGTGATACTCATTCCTTTCTTCATCAACATGTGAAAGTTATAGTATCGACTTAGATTATATCCCCGTTGGCCTACACCTGCCACCTAACGCCACCTGTATATCTACACCATATTTATAGGTCTAGCCAAACTATATAATCTTGTCATGCCATATAATCAGTTACACGAAGTCTCGGAGAGGAGAGTGTAACATTAAAAGCAACTACAATGGCAGCAATATAGGTAATAACTACCTAGGTAGGTAATAAAAAGACTACCGTTTTTATAACTGGATACGGAGTGATGAACAAACATATAACTGACACTCAACACAGGATCACAGCACTGGATACATATAGCCTAAACCCTAGTACATGATGACTTTATCAAGCTCGTCACCAAAAAGAGAAGCGAAAGCTACATAACCTATTCTTCAACAGGGAAGTACCTAAACATATAATTGTAAAGTTCTATACACCTGCATGCATGTAGGGTAGGTTGGGTACCTAGGTACATTCGAAACTTGTTCCAAGGTCCCAAGGTTATTGGCGCTTAGTTCGGAAATTGTATGCAAGACTTTTAAGAAGTTGGTAAAAGTGGAACTCGAATTATCCATGTTATTTGATTCGTCAAATCTCTTATCAGCAAACGCCTCTCTACCTTTTTCTACTTTGGAATCTTTGCTCCCCGCTAAAATTTTGGGAAAAAAAGTTCAATTGCAAATCACGAAAAGTCTCCCGGCAGATAATCGAACGCGCGCTTGTTAACCACCGAAGTTTTCCAAACCTCGGAGCTAGAACTTTCTGATGGAAATAAAAGCGCTTCCGGTACGAACACAAAGATGACGACGGCATTGGCTGCGCAGCTTGCGCAGATCGCTGCGAATTCGAAGTCGACACTCGATATCAAAGCGCAAAAAGCTGCACATTCAAAGTCGTTAATATTCGAGCCGCGAGTTGCCGCGTCACAAAATTTCCAGACCCTATATAGTATCTGCTACCAAGGATTCGAAGACCTATGTCAACTAGACTCGCGATTCGCGCCGTTTGGTGCTACTCTATTCAGCGAGCAAAGTCAAAATGAGGACCGGACTCAAATGAATGCTGCTGAGAATGCCGAGCTCGACAAGAAGATAGACTCCTTCCTTCACTTAGCTGGTGCGCGGTTAAGGCTTATGCCGACTATAAAGGCTATAGAATGGCTTATTAGGAGATTTAGGTAGGCGTGAAGGATATGTTCTGGTAAGCTTCGAATTTTAACATTATAATAGGATTCACGAATTCAACACGGCCATGCTCATTTCGACATTTCTACCATACCACACCATTCCTGCCTTCGTAACTCTTCTATCTATCCTCCCTAGTACGATACCGCAAGTGTACAAATTTTTAGATCCTTACGTTCGATCCTTAACCCAGCCACCGAGATCTGTCCTTGTTCATCAGGCCACACATCACCCTGACTTCCTCGCTGCCCTTTCGACATATACGCTGGATGCATGCAGGGCTCAGCAGCACTATCCTGCTTTAATATCTTTCTGGGCCGGTATTATGACCGAAGCAGTGAATGGTATGCTGGACAGGATGCGATCCGGCCGCCGCAGTATCCAGCGAAGTAACGATCAGACTCTCCTGCACCAGATTGGCCCAACTCTGAGCGACGCGTTAGTCATGTACAAGGTCCCTAGTCTTCAAATAGCTTGCTACATGGTAATATCCGTGTTTGTGGCAAAGGGTGATCTCGATGATGCTGCTATTAGTGCACTGATGGACCAGCTCGTTACCGGTTGGACTACCGAGTCTCTCCGTCCCGGTCTTGTCTGTCTCTCAATCCTCGCGCAGTACCGTTCCGCGAAGCAAATGTCAGGAAAGGTGACGAAGGCGCTTCTTAAAATCCCAAATCTATCTAGTCTCCTGACTGAGATTAGCAGAGAACATAACATAGGGAAATTGGCAAATGGCCTTTGTCTAGCTTTGGTTGAGAGGGCTCACAAGAAAGGTGACATAAAGGGTCTCTCAGTTGTCGAGTCGCTGCTCTTGAGCCCTACTCTCAACGACCAACAGAGAGCGGTTATTTTCAAGAGCCTATTGTTAGCTGCTCACAAGGTCGAGGATAATATCGATGCGCAAGGAGAAGTGCGAAAGGCTCTTGCATCCATCATCATCAGACTCTCGCAATTAGGCACGGATTCTGGGAAAATCTTCACCAAGGCGATTAACGAGACAGAAATCGATGTCGATGCTCTAGAATTGAGGCTCGGCACTAATCTTCAAGCGAGACGACTTGCGATTGAGCCTCAACAAGATGTTGCGATGGTGGATAATGAAGTATCGACATCCGAGCCCGTCGAAGATTTCAAATCCGCTCTTCAGAGAGTGAGCAACCTATCGACCTCGCCATCCGATTCATGTCTACGGGCCAATATTTCTGACGTTTTCACGGACTTATGTTCTGTTTTCGTTTCCGGTCTTACGGAGCCGGATAGCCTCAAAGCTTTCGAGGAATTGGCACCTATACAGCATAAATTGGCAAACAACACCCCATTCTTCCTCACGTTTCTTATGAGAATCTGGTGTGGGCCGTATCCGGTGTTAGCTCGTGCCGCAGCTCTAGACATGGCGAAACGACGCCTGAAAAGCAGCGATTGCAATAGCGTAGATTTCCAGGCTCTTTTGCCATATACCCTTGCCGGGTTGAATGACCCCTCGAAAAGAGTGAGACGAGCTGCCGCAGACCTAGTCGCTGTGCTTGAAAACTTATTTCAAGATCTGGTTAAATCCGAAAACTACACACGCTGGGCCAGCGATAATCTGTATGACAATACAGATGCATCCATTTGGACGACAGCAGATGTCTGTCACAAACTTCTACGAAACGTCATCACACCTAGCCTTGAGGAATGCGTATTGAGTGCCGATTATGTCGTCGAGGTCTTGCAAAGCGCATTAAATAGTAGTTCCAAAACCCCAACTGATGAAAGCAAGGAGAAGAAAAGTCACCTGTCTCATGGAACGAGACGCTCTGTTCTGACTTTTCTCGCTTCTCATACGATTCATACGCCATTAATAACCCTCAAGGTTCGCCTTCTCGCACCTCTGAATCAGGTAAAGGGCGTTTCAGGCACTACCCGTACCCAATTGCTCTTACCACTACTCAAATGGTGGTCTTCTTTGTCTTCTCAAGATGCCACACGCATTAGCTCTCAGGAGGGAGTAGAGGAGTCAGCTTTTGATCAAAGCTGTGTTGAAGTCATTCTTCCAAATGATAAGGAAGGTTTGGAGTTCTTGCTCAATTTTGCAGCGTCTCAGCAATTACTAACTAGATCAAACCTCCTCCACGTCATTTTCTCGCGCGTCCAAAGCCTATGGCCCTCTATGAAAACGGAAGCGAGGCATATGGTCGCTAAGCGTATGCTTGAGTTGTCACAGAATAGCCTGTCCGGTGATAGGGACGCGGTTTCCAGTGAAGCCGCTAATCTCCTAAGGAACGTTGAGCTCACAACTGATATACTCCTGTTCTTCCTGGAGTCTTTGCAACCGGCAGCTAAGATGGCTACCGAACCCCCGTCCGGCAAAAGGAGGAGAACCAGTTCTTCAGAGGCTCATCGAGGACTTGGCACGCAACCGACACCAGAGTTGAGCGCGGTGCTCAGACAAGTGACCTTTGTGTTGCAGCTCGTCGAGGGGTCCGATCCTGAAAAGCACCCGGAACTTCTCAATGCTCTTTTCAACGCTCTTTCTGAACTCCAACATTTCAGGGTGCTCGTCGGTTCTGAACTTGGATATCTTCAGAACCTGATTCTTCGAAGTTTATTAGCTATGGTCCCTGCATATAAGAACAACAAGGCGTTAAAGATTGATAGCACGGGTGGACATGGTGATCTCCTTGTCAATTGCATTCAGAAATCATCAAGTCCATCGGTGCAAAATACCGCTCTTCTTCTTGTCGCGCGTTTGGCAAATGTTGCTCCGGATTTGGTACTCAACAGTGTAATGCCAATCTTCACACATATGGGAGGTTCGGTACTCCGCCAGAGCGATGATTACTCTGCTCATGTGATCAACCAAACAGTAAAGGAGGTTGTGCCGCCACTCATACAATCCCTTCGCAAAGGCAAGATCAGCCCGCTAGCAGGAGCTTCTGAGCTTTTGCTCAGCTTTGCGACCGCATACGAACACATACCATCTCATCGAAGACTTGGGCTATTCGTATCTCTTGTCGAGACTCTCGGTGCCGATGAATTCCTATTTGCGCTGTTAGCCATGCTTACGAATATGTATGGCACTACCGACCAAGTGCTATCATTTGCTACCGAAGTTTTCAACTACTTCTCTGTTGAAGTTCAGCTCCAATCCTTGATCAAACTACTTGACCTCATTGGAGACATATTCCAACCGAGACCTAATCTCTCCGCTGTACTTCTTGGTACAAGTGAACAAGGTGACCGAGATCCCCTCAAAATCGGATTTCGCCAGCTGGGCCTTGTTCCGCATCTACTGTCTAGCAGGAAGCTTACCACGCAAATTTCTAAGCTTGCCGAACGAGATGACATGGAAGCTTCCAAAGTCCGCGAGCTCTATTCGACACTGCTAGAAAACCTTCTGGTTTTAGCAGACTCGTTAAAGCAGCACAAGAACCTGTATAACCGCTGCAGTGAGGCGCTTTCGAAGCTTTTGGCCCTCCTTTCCATTGGGGAATTTATTAAAGCTGTCGAAACACTTTTGGATCGTCCCGATGCCGTCTTGCGGCGGAAGGTTCTCCGGGCTGTCGAGGTTCGAATCGACGAGGAGAGCCAAGGAGACGCTAACTCTAGGGCCTCCTTGCTCGCATTCCTACCTCACCTGACGGCTATCATCAGAGTCTCCGATGACATGGCTTACAAGCACATAGCTGTAGGCTGTGTGGACAAGATCTCAGAGAAGTACGGAAAGAAGGACCCCGAAGCCGTTACCGCAGCTGCTTCGACGATTGCCAGCGACAAATGTCTGGGTCAAGACGATGATAAACTCCGCGTCATGGCTTTACTCTGCCTGGCTTCCTTGGTCGACGTTCTCCAGGACGGTGTTGTACCTATCCTGCCATCTGCCATCCCGAAGGCCCTCTCATATATAACCGAAAGTCTTCAGACCGAACTACCTAGAGAAACACTCCACAACGCCAGCTACGCATTCATAGCAGCGCTAGCACAGCATCTCCCCTACATGCTTTCTGGTACATATCTAGGGCAACTTTTGGCAGTTTCCAGCAAGTCGGCTGGTTCTAATCTCAGCAATGAAGCGAATAATGCCAGGTTACAATGCTTGCGATTACTTGCTACACAGGTTGATGCCAAGACCCTATTTTCCGCCCTGGAACAAAACTGGGCCACCGCGAAAGACTCCGGTTCTGCTGTAAGTTTGACATATCACATTAGACTATCGCTCTAGTAAAGCTAACAATAATAATAGGCTACACGAGAATACATTAACGTACTCGGCGTTGCGATTGACAAGCATTCAAAGGCAGATATCTCCAAGAATGCCGGTTCCCTTACGGGTATATTCTTCAGTGCCTTTGACCTGCGTAGACTGGAGCTGTCCAGGGCCGAGGTTAGCGAGGATTTCTTGCGGCAAATTTCCCGTATTGAAGAAGCTACAAATGATGTTGCCCTGAAGATGATATACAAGCTTAACGATGCAGCGTTCCGGCCCATCTTCTCACAGTTGATGGACTGGGCTGTCTCACTACCAAAGAAGGATACTACAGGCAGACACCTCCGTCTCCTGAGTGTTTACAGTTTCCTTTTATCCTTCTTCAGCAGCCTGAAATCCATCGTCACCAGCTACGCATCATACATCATCGACAGTGCCGTCGATGTTCTCCGTACTGCAAGTCTGAAAAAATCAGAGGAACGAGACTTATGGAAGAAAGTGTTGCATACCCTCGCCAAGACTTTCGAGCATGACCAAGATGACTTTTGGCAAGCTCCAGCACACTTTAACGCAATAGCGCCTACTCTAGCTGCTCAGTTCTCTCATGCTTCTTCTGTCAACTTAGTAGAGGATCTTATTCCTGCTATCGTTGAACTTGCTGCCGCTGCCGATTCCCAGGAGCACCAGAAAGAGCTCAACGGTACCTTACTGAAGCACTTGCGTTCGGAGCAGACGTCGATCCGCCTTGCAGTTGTTAAATGTGAACAGGCTCTTACAAGTAGGTTAGGCGAGGAATGGTTGTCCATGTTGCCAGAGATGCTCCCTTACATCAGCGAGCTGCAAGATGATGACGATGAGGATGTGGAGCGTGAGACGCACCGCTGGATCGTAGGAATTGAGGGTGTATTAGGGGAGAGTTTGGATGCTATGTTACAGTAAAGGGTCTAGTTAAACCATAATTGAATAAGACTAGTTGTTTCAATTACTGTTTGTTAATGCATTGTAGCGACTGAGATCACACGAGAAATTCAAGGTAACTACAAGAAGGACCCATCATCATCTTCCCTTTGACAAGCGCCTGTTTTACCTATTTAAACTAGGCAGGTAAGCAAACCTAGTAGAAAGGCCTTCATATTTCTTCTTGCATGTTAATTAATATTCATACGAATCACGGCTCAGAACTTTAGGAGCTCCATGCCAGGTAGGATTAGGTAGCATTATCTACAAGGATGTTGAGCCATCCATTCAGTACAGCAGCATCTTAGGGTCATATAGATATTTACGAAGAGCTGAGGAATTAATAACGCAAAGTATTATCGTTACTACGGAAGTGTAAACATACAAAGAGCAGGGGGTATCAATTGACAATTGCTTGCCTTTTTCCTAACCTGCTAGCAACCATGTTTCCTTGATTTTTTTGTTTCCTATTCATTCCATACACCTGAAAAGAGAGAGAAGTATCCCTTAAGGGGAAAATGACAAAAGAAAAAAAAGTTTTGGGTGAAATGTGTCAAGAGACATGCCATCAGACTTCTGTTGTGAGTTGTGATGGAAAGAATCGAAGTAAGAAAAAAAGATAAGCGCAATTTGGATCCTGTTGTTCTGTTCGGTCAGGTTGTGGAACTGAAATATGCCACTCCATGCCTATGAGACTGCGAACTGAGTACTTTGTAACTGCAATCCAAGTTGATGGATAGGACAGGAAATGTTTCCGGTCATATCGGCGATGGTTGATTGGCTAGACACTAATTGGCAAAGAGTGATAGCGTCGCATTATGTGAACGTAAAGGAATCCTCCAAAAAAAGGAAGTGAAGAAAGTACGAAAGTAAGTACTTGTCAGAATAGAAAAGCCTTGCCTCTAGATGGACAGCATAATGGCCACCACAGTAGATAGCATCACAACACAGGTGAAGGGGTCAAATGTGTTCTCCTGATCACGGTGGAAGCCGGCGAAGAGAACCTTGGACTTGGTACCGCTGGACTGCTGCATCGCCGGTGAGGTGGTCGCCGGCTGGTCAGGGGTGCTGATGGAGAACGTGAAGTTCTGGGGAACAACGCCATCGGGAGCGGCTGGGCCAAGAGGGATGTTCTCAGGCTTGGAGGTGTTGGGGGCCGAAGTGTTGTTGCCAGTGCTGTTGACTGAGAAAGGGTGAAAGGTCACAGTCGCAGTGGGAAAAGACGACAAGGCGCTGACGTTGCTCGTGGTGTGCGAGTGCAGGCTGTAGGTTGTGACCATGGTGCTGATGAGAGTGCTCACGACGAAGTTGGAGTCATCAGAAGTAGTAGTGCTGGTGGAAGACGAAAAAGTGGTCTTGGGAACCTCGGCAACAGAGACAGATGACGACGATGAGTAAGTGGTTGTTGATCTGCTAGTGGTCTCCATACCAGTTGTCGAGTGGGACACGGTCGAGTTAGGGCTGGCAGTCACGAGAACGGTGTGAGTGCAGGTGGCAGAAGTGGAAGAAGACGAAGTTCCAACAGCCTCGGCGCCATAAGTGCTAGTTGTGTTCCAACCGATAGAGACAGTTCGAGTGGTGTTCATAAAGACTGTGGAAGTGGAAGTAGAACTGATCGTTGAGATGGTGGTCAATTCTCGCGCACTCTCGTTAGTGTAAGGGACAGCAGAAGAAGTGCTGCTCTCAGTGGCGCTAGACACGGTGCTAGTAAAAGTTACACTAGAAGAGAGAGTGCTGGTCGAGATGGGGCTGGCATAGACGGTTGAGTAGACGACAACAGTTGTAGTTTCGGACTCCTTTATGCCACAAGTTCCCGCCGGCGATGTCAGAGAAAGAGTCTGAGTGACAGTAGATTCCAGAGAGACGGTGACGGTGACAGTGCCAACCTCTGTATCAGTGATGCTGGTAGTTCCCGGGACAGTGATAACAGGAGTTACGGTCTCAGTCTCAGTGCTGGTGAAAATCTCTGAAGAGCTGGTGATCTCTGAAGAGTTGGTGGCTGATTGAGAAACAGGGGTGGCCACAGCCTGGGTGCTTGAGAACATGGCATCGGTACTATAGTAAGTTTATTAGCTAAAACTCTAAGAGGAAAGGAAACAATATTACATACCCGGCAGTTGTAGTCACAGAAGAAGACGTGGCGGTAGGGACAGATGAAGTCTTTGAGGCACTTCGGGTGCAGTTATCGGAGGTCCAAGTCTCGGTGACAGTCTGGTACACGGTGGGACGAGTGGTAGTGGTGTTCTGGAAATCAGAGGAGAAGCTTGATCGCGAACAAGGCGTAGAACCAGAGATGTTCACGGCAGCAGTACCACCAGTAGTCATGACGGGAATAGGAATGACAGTTATAGTGACATCGGAAACCGAGGCAGCAGTGAGAAGGCCAGAACCATAGCCAGTGCCAGGTTGTTGAGTGGAAGTGGTGCCGTTACCGAAAAACCAAGTAGTAGGTCGTCGAGCGTTGTCAGTGGAGGTGCTTTTGTCAGGGTAAGAATACTCAGACTGAACTCCAGTAGGGGTGACCGAGACGTTAGTGATACCAGTAGGGATGTCAATGGTGGAAGTTGCCGATAGAGTAGTACTGTTGACAGACTGGGTAGTGTTGACACCAACCGAAGAAGAAACAGTGGGAGATCCTGCAACAGTAACGGGAACAATGACATGAGAAGTGGTCGTGGTGGTAAGGAAATCAGTCACAGTGGTGCTCATGTCACCGACAGAAGGAACGAAAGGAGTAACAGTAATGTCAGGGTAATCTCCATAACCAGTGACCTCTCGGCGAACATTGCCAGACTGATGGGTAGTCTTGCTGTACTGAGCTGTAATTGCCCAACCAACTAAGAAATAAGTTAGCATAAACGAATATCACATAAAAAAAAATAAAAATTATTGTCTTGTGTGTAAGTACATACCAACAACGAAGAGAATGCCAGTGAGGATTATGGTGATTGCAATGAACGGGCACATGCGGTTGAGGAACTTCATATCACCTGATAAATGTTAGCCAATTATAGTCCAATTAATGGTAGCTTAAGCAATAGTCTAAGAGATAAAAATCTAAAGAATGTATAGTACTTACTATTGTGAGAATAGGCTGCCTCAGGATCCTGAGTCTTGTAGCCCCGAGAAGTGTAGCGCATGGCCTGGGCGTCCATGGCTCCATTCTGCTGGCCCTGGTAAGTAGCAGGCTGCTGCGACTCCGAAGGATAAGTGCCAATAACGGAGCTAAACCAGTCGCGACAATGCTGAGCAGTCTTGACAAAGAAGCCAGGCTTCTTCTCAGGACCCTCACCAGTCGCAACGTTCTGTTCCTTGTCGACAGTCATTGTGACAGCGTCAAGACCTCTAGTTAGAACAGGGGAGATTGGTTAGTGAATAGTCTTAATTGAAACAGATGGTATTGTCAAAAGGATAGCAGTGTTGCCCAATGTTAAAAAGTAATGAAAGAGGTGTAGGTGTGTGGTAAATTAATTAGGATAGAGGGTAGTGTAAAGAAGGGTAATAGGGGTGGACAATATAAGACGATCGCGTATCGTATGTCGAAAGGCAGACAAGATACCAAATCAGGGGATTGCCAGTAAATAAAAAAGAAAAAAAAACTTACCAAGTAGACTAAATTAATTGAAGTTTCTTGGAACGGCACTTGAGGATTGGTCAGTAATAAGCAACTTGATGGGGTAACAAATGCGTTAAATGATTGTGTAGTTGTAGGAACGATGGTGAGTAAGTGTTGTAGGAGAGGAAGGAAAGGGAAGGTTGATGTGTAGAAACAAGGCACCAAGAGTTTGGATTAGGAAAAAAAAATGTGTAAAGAAAAAACTTGGGAGTCTAAAGGAAAGGCAGGTAATGAGTTGGGAATTGGGTTGTGGATGTGAAGGCGGTCGTCAAGTGCACTAAGGGTATGTGTATGACAGAAACGCGACAGGCAGCCGCGGAAGAAACAGACGAAAAATGTGAATGAGTGATAGAGAGGGTTGCACTTACGGGACTGGAAAACGACGCCTGCGTATTCTTATTATTCTTATTATTCTTATTAGTGAATGTTAACAAACTTGAAAAAAGATGAACGAGTGAATGATTGTTGACAGTAAACGGGTCAAGGGTAAAGACGGTAGAGAAAAGAAGACTCGTCCGAATTAAAAGTGTATGGATGTAAAAGGAAGAAACGAAATTCCCACGTAGGACGGGGGAAGGATGCCTGATTAAATACTGTTGTGTGGGATGGCAGACTGATTCTTCTCAACCTGATTTAGGAACTCGCTCTTCCCTTTCAAAATAATTAAGAGCAGGTACGTGAGGTGTAAGTATTTCGTTTCCAGGCACACTACCATTAATTGGCCAATGATAAGCCAGCACAATTTGCAATAATTTGATTTGTATTCCTGATTGTGCTGCTTCTACTTGAACTCGTCCTTGCCGCCTGGCGAATCACCCGAGTGATTGATTTCAGACGAACAGCAAACTAGCCCAATCAGCTTAAGTAGTAAAAGTACGGTAATTGTTTATTCCTAAGAGGGTATTAAACCAGCTGTAGATTAATGGTAATGTATATCTAGCCCGGCAGCCGTAGCACCTGACTCCTTAGGTACTAGACAGAATAACAGCCAATATAGCAATATCATACAGTATGTCAACTAGGCCACAAATTCCTCAAAGTACCGAATCCGTTACTATGGCTTATACGTACAGATACACACAACACTCAAGGTTCAAAATAGTTATTTTACAGCTGTGTTTTACGGATATGACTTCTAATGGTATAGAGCATCTTGGTGTCTTTAATATACAGTACTTAATACTAATAAGCCGGATCTATCGTAACATATAAGGTGGTCACTATTTGAAGTAAAAAAATAAAAATAAATGGTACAGAGATAGTAGAATGCTGAAGTTAAAAAAGAAATCAATTTTAAAATGTAGGCGGATTGTAATCATTGGCACCAATGAGCTCATATGTTGTTTGATATCACAATGTGAGGTTCAAGGATCATTAGAGCCTCATGTTCAATAAAGGTACACTTGTACCTAGGTAGTTTACAATGTACATAAGGCATGTGTTTCGTCAGTACCTAGGTATCTAACCTAACCTAGGTAGGAGCGGTTGGTCCAAGCTCCTGCTCACACCTGCTCTAATAATATGCACTACAGTAAAACCTGTTCATAACGAATTGGAAAAATCAAGGGTCTAAATTCGTTATGGAATGTATTCGTTACAGAGAATATTCCCCACTTTCAACATGTGATATGTAATAAGTACATCATCCCCACTACTTTTTTGATTGGCCTGATTGGCTGATTAAATAGATACTAAGTAAAATCACGCCGGGGGTGAAGCGCATATACAAAGGTACAACGAATAAAGTACCTAAGGTCAAGTGCGAGGACGCCACACGCGACGCTGGGAATTGATTGATTTGACCCAGGTACAAAGCCCGTCGCGTAACACCTCCCCGATAAAATACCCATCTCATCATCAAATGTCCTTCCGGCATTTGTCCCACCAATGTTTCTAATTCCTCCTCTCCAACTTGATTATACACGTTCAACTTCTTCTTCTCTGGAGGCGCTTTCTACTACTGGATTAATTAATTTCATTTTCCAGTCGTCGCGCGTTTTTGTTCATTGACTTGATCAGTTCATTAGCCCCACTCCCCAGACGAGACGAAACCAAATTGTGCAGTGCAATCCAAATTACAACGACAGCTATTACTACTACTACTAGTACTAGTACTACTACCGTATACTATACCTCATTCGCATCCGACTGTACGGTTCCTACCGAACATTCACTATCTAATCTATCATGGTTCGTCGTAGGGACGAGGTCCCGGAGGAGGAGGACCAGGAAATGGAAGAGGAGCTTGTGAGCCTCCAATTCGATGAGCCTTTATCATGGCGCGCGGGAAAGCCAATCGCAACTGGCGAGCTTCTGCGACGTCTAGAAAAACTTTCTAAAGAATTAGTTGATATGGATCAAGAGACTGTTGACAAAGAGTCCCTAAATCATGTTGCGAAAGAGCTGGCTTCACCGAACCTGCTTACCCACAGGGAAGCAGGTGTGAAAGCCTTTGTGGCAGCCTGTCTAGTAGACATCTTAAAACTCTGCGCCCCAGAAGCCCCCTTCACACCAAAGCAGCTTAAGGTTTGTTCAAGCATGTCATTTATAGTTTTGTAATTCTTCTCGTTCTAACCCTTACAACCTCTCAATTGTAGGAAATATTCACCCTTTTCGTCAAAACCATTCTCCCGGCGCTCTGGGATCCGAGTAACGCGTATAACACACAACATAAGTACACCCTCACATCTCTTGCCGAGGTCAAGAGCATCCTCTTGATCAACGATGTCGCAAATGCAGAGGAGCTTCTGCTCTACATTTTCTTATCCTTCTTCGATGGGGTATCGGGGTCGTCAAAAGCCGCGTCGGGAGAGCAAGTTGCCAAGGATGTTGAGTTTCACATGACGGATATCCTGGTGACTTTGGTTGAAGAGAGCCCTTCACTTCCGCCTGCTGTACTAGATGTTATTATGGCCCAATTTCTACGAGCAGCGCCCCCAGGAGGCCACAAGGAGAAGGCGGAGGCCAATGGGAAGCAAACCACTCTTCTACCTAAAGAGGAGCCAGAGGCATATGTCATGGCTAAGACGGTGTGCAACTCATGTCCCGAGAAGATGGCACGCTATGTGGGCCAATACTTTAGTGAAGTAATTATGGACGTCACTGGAAACAGTGGAAACGCCAATGGACATAGGGATGATGACGATTCAGATAACGATGATGGAAATGCGGGTCCTTCAGAATCTGATTTTAAGGAGTTACGAAAAGCTCACCTACTTTTGCGCGAGCTTTGGCGAGCAGCACCCACAGTATTGCTCCATGTCATACCCCAAGTTGATGCTGAGCTCTCTGCTGATAATATTCAACTACGTTTGTTAGCAACTGAGACTTTAGGCGATATGATATCTGGTATAGGTGCTGCTGGACCACCTCCTCCCCCAGAGCTTGACCCGGCGGCATATCCACCCCTAAAGTTGAATGACGAGGTTCCAGACCATCCTGCCACCAGCATTCTCACCACCCCCATATCCCCCCTATCCTTCGCACAGACACACCCTCAAGCATTCCACAATTTTGTTGGCAGGAAGAATGACAAGTCTCCTCTAATCAGGGCAGCATGGACAGTAGCTGCAGGTTACATCGTCTCAACGTCAGCAGGCAACATTGGGCTCAGCCGAGAGGACGAATCTGTATTTGTTACCGGTCTCCGAGATAAGCTGACTGATAACGACGAGAAAGTTAGGCTGGCTGCTGTCAAGGCCATCGAAACTTTCAGCTTCCGTAACATTGTCATCAAGCTAGCTGCTGCTGGAGGTGTAACAAAGGAAGGCACAGTGTTGTTCACTCTAGCGGATCGTTGCCGAGACAAAAAGTCATCTGTTCGTGTTGAAGCGATGGCCCTTCTAGGTAAGCTCTGGGCAGTGGGCAGTGGTGAAATAGCAGCGGGACAAGAACTCGTAACCTCAGCATTATCTGGTATTCCGACCCGAATATTCAATACGTTCTATGCCAACGATTTAGAACTCAACGTTCTATTAGAACGTGTAGTGTTCGAATGCTTAATCCCGCTGTCTTTCCCTCCACCCCCCAAATCGAAGGGGTCCAAATCGACGAATGGCAATTCTCAATCACAATCGGCTGTCGATTCTGGTTACGACCAAGATAGAATTCGAGCTGAAAGGATTCTACTGCTCGTGAAAGATCTGGATAGTAATGCTAGAAGGGCCTTTAACGCATTGCAAGCACGGCAACCCCAATTTTCCAAAGTATTAGAAAATTTAGTTCGCCAGTGCGATGTATTCAATGGCGGGAATCCAGAAGGGAATGCGGATGCTATCAACCAAAATCTCAAAAAGACGATCCAATACCTAAGCCAGTTCCTTCCTGATCAGAGCAAGGTTGAAGCAGATCTACATAATTTTGCCAATTGGCATGATCGTCGCTGTTATCAGCTCATCAGGTTTGTGGTCTCTCCCGAGAGCGACTTCAAGACGATGCATAGAGCCGTTAAGGAGTTTGTCAAGAGGGTCCAAAGCTCACCGAAACCTCATATGCTGGATACCCTATTGCCCCTCCTTTACCGTTCTGCTTACATTGTGTTGAATAAGAGTCACCTCTCCACCTACATGGATTATTCCAAGAGCGACAAGGATGGGCTTGGAGCTGCTGCCCAAGAGATTACTACAGAAATTTCCCAAAATAATCCTGACCTGTTCAAGACACACGTTGGACAGCTTTGCAAGGACGTAGTCGATGGTGCGCCGACTATTGACCGGCCTAATGAGCCTGCGATGGTCGAAACTTTAAAAGCCTGCTCTTCGTACTCCAAAAAGTATCCCAATGAACTTCCGGATGACCGCAAGTTCATCCAGGCACTCATGAGTTATGCATTGCACGGAGAGCCAGCTAAAGCTGCTAAGTATGCCGTCAACGTCATGATGGCCAGAAAAGACGAGAAAAGTATGGTCTCGGCAACGGACTTGCTACAAAGAATCATGAAGGGTTGGGGATACGATTCGCCCCATTTCCCAACCAAACTTGCGGCTGTCAGCCAACTAGAGCTTCTGGCCCCCAATGTGACAGCAGATGCCAACGATCAAATCATTGACACAGCACTGGAGGATATTCTACTCAAAGTTCGTACAGACGCTAAGGAATCGGACCCAGAGTGGGTTCCCGACTCCGAACTTGACGAGGAATGTCAAGTCAAGTGTTGGGCACTTAAGCTAGTGGTGAATCGCCTCCGAGGTGTTCGTGATCCGGACGAGGCAAAGGAGCTGGCCATACCAGTCTTCAAGCTTCTTCGCAGTCTTCTAAAACAGGCCGGCGAATTATGCAAGACTAAGGATACCCCTAAGCACCATAAATCTCGCCTACGACTGCTTGCCGGACAGCTCTTCTTGAAGCTCTGCACGTCGAAGCACTTGGAGGAAATCTTCTCACATACCGACTTCAATCAATTGGCGTTCCTAACACAGGACCCAATCGCCATGGTTCGCCGCCTGTTTATTGAGAAGCTCCAAAAGTATCTCGTACAAAATAAGCTGCGACCTCGATTTTATACCATGATATTCCTGACAGCCTTTGAACCGGATGTCGCGTTCAAGAGCCAGATTGAAACGTGGATACGGTCTAGGGCTCGCTTTTTCCGAGAGACTAAACAGAATGTTATGGAGTCGACAATGTGCAGGTTGATCTCCTTATTGGCCCATCATCCAGATTTCGGAACAGAGGTAGACGATTTGTTAGACCATGCCAGATACCTGCTGTACTATGTCAGCAACGTTGCTACAGAAGATAATTTTGGCATGATATACAAATATGCCGAACGTGTAAAGCAGACTAGGGATGCCATCACTCCTGATCAGAGCGAAAGACTCTACGTCATCAGTGATCTCGCCCAGAGCGTCCTGAGAAAATGGCAAGAGAAGAAGAATTGGAGCTTCCAGGCATATTCTGGCAAGGTTGGCCTCCCAATGGGGCTATTTACGGCACTTCCTAGCCATAGCGTAGCGCAAGAGATTGCCCAGAAGCAGTATCTTCCAGAAGGACTTGAAGAACGGCTGGACGATTTGATTCGGTCGGTGGACAAGAAGAAGGTATGGTTACAAAACATTATTCACCTTCTACTATCTATGCTCCGTGCTAACATTATTACTTTACAGAAACGTAAAGGTGGAGACGAACGTACGGATGGGCAGCCTGCTTCGAAAAAGGTTAGGACAACGGTATCAAAGACCGCCACAAAACCAAGGGCGACTCCGAAGGTAGCAAAGACTTCAAAGAAAGTTAAACCCGCAAAGAGCTCTTCGAAATCCAAGAAGGTGGCCGCATCCGCATCGCCTGCCGCAGATTCTGCAGATCGTAGACGTAGTGGGCGTTCTAGGAAGAACTCTTCATATATCGAGCGAGACTCATCGGAAGACGACGAAGACATGCTCGAGGGTGTAGCGGAATGGGACTACTATGACGCAAAGGGGAATCCTGTACAGGACGATAATGAAGACTCTTCAGAACTATCTGACCTTGAGGAAGAGCCAGAGCCTACGGCCGAAAAGGGAGAAGTGGATGAGCTTGATGGAGATGAGAGCGAGCTCAGCAACGTTGAGGACGAAGAGGAAGAAGCCCCTCAACCATCGTCGCCGCCGAAAGCAAACGGGAGGAAAGGCCGCGCTACTACTAAGTCGTCTCCCGCTTCAAAGACGAAGGTCCTGGCTTCACGACCCGCCGTAAAAGCGAATGCGGCCAAAGGCAAGTCACCTGCTGTGTCCAAGACAAAAGCAAAGCCGGCCCCCAAGGCCAAGCCGGTTAGCACCCGATCTACGAGATCAAGGAGAGCTGCGACGCAGGAGGAAGATGAGGGTGGAGACTCCGAATAAAACGGCAGGTCTACAACCACGAACCTAACTCAGTAGACCAACTGAGCTGCATCATGGACATGAGTGTTCGAGGGAAAATACCAGGGATTAGGGAGTTCCTTTTACCTATTTATGGGGTGGAGTTTATAGCTCATGATATTTCTCCGGGTTTCTATTCCGTCTCTCTAATGTGCGGCAGTAACCCCGGAGCACAAGACGGAATATGATAACGAGATGGTAGTCGATGCAGGACCGGGTTCGCGGATGAAGTCTTCTGACTTGATGTTTTTTTATTTCGCTTTCTGTTCAAGGACCTTTAACTCCCTTTTATACCCGTGTTCGTGTAGGAAAAAAAGAAAGATAATGAGAATCTTTTTGTCATCGTGCGGTGATTTATATCTCATCTCCCCTCCCCCCTCCCCCCTCCCCCTACTCCGTTTATGCCTTGCGTTTCCTGTGTAAATTATTCGCATACTTTCTTGGTGGGTTGGTGTAAAGATGAGATGGGATATTCCTGAACGGATGCTTGTGCTCAGGGGCACGAAATTGTGTTTTTGCTTTTGAAAACACCCTCGCTAGGTACCTAATGCATTTTACTTGAGGTTCGTCAATTGGGCAAATAACCACCAGGTTGGCCTAGGTAATCGTATATTAATTAAAAGCCGCGATATGAAATACGAAAAGTTCTTGTACCAACAACAACAATAATAATAATAATAACACTGGTTATATATTTTCTACCCTAACAGAGCGTGATGTCCACAACAAATTATAAACATATATGGCATGATAGATTTTGAGAGCAGTATAAATACCTTAGGAGGTAGGTAAATAGCCATGAAGAGGGAATAGCTACCTCTCCCTATTGCGTGTTATGCGTCATCGAGGAAAATGGTAAACGTCTGGATTGAACAGCAACAATCTAACCGTTGGATATATCGTACCTCTTGGCATCATATCATGTTTACCTACCTCCCTGCTTAGGGTACCTTGTATACAACATTCTACGTAACGCCCCTTTTATAATATTAACCGCATCTACCCACGCTAGGCGGAATCATAATCATCATCACGAGAAAACAACGCCATATATTTTGACAGGCGGTACCTAACCTAACCTAACCTAAATCAAAGCCGCATTTTCTCCAAACTCCATTCCGGAACCACACCCACATATACACACACACACGTCTTAGTGGTGGTGGTATATATGTATGCATTTTCTAACCCGAGTTTTGTTGTTGCCGTGCTATTATTAATTTTTGACAAAAAATTTAATAAATCACGTGTAGTATTCGTCGTGCGATTCGCTTTCCAATAAAGCCTCCGCCCTCTCTAGGTTGTACACAAGTAGGCTATGTATGAGAAATAAAAGCCAAAAAAAATAAGAAGCTTGATCGGGAATTTGCCGTATTCCAAAGAGGGATCAAGGAGGAGGGGGGTTATTGTGAGATTCGTCTTTAAATATCCGGTGATAACTAACCCATTATCGATGCTCGTTTCGCTGCTTGTCGCGAGTTTTCCAGTTATCTCGTATGTTCTTGGTGTAGCTCAGGAGCTCCTCGCGGGTCACTCCGTCTTGGATACTCTCCACGACGCTGTTGACGACAGAAATGTGGTTACCGTCCGTCTTGTCGTCGCGGAATCGGTAGAAACGCCATCGTCTCTGGCTGTCCATGTAGACTTCTACCACCCGCTCGTCCAGGGCTTCGTTTAACCCTTTCAAGATCTCCCACTCGTCGTCTTCTAGATGTAACTTGTCAAAGACGCGATATTGGCCGCCGCCGTGGTGTGCTAGTAAGTCTACCGAAGGTACACTGTCATAATCGATGAAGGGCTCCATAATACCTTCAGCTCGCTCTCGCTCGTCCGGCTCGACCATGGGGAACTTCAGCTTCCACCGGAAATCAACCGTATTCTCATCGGCATCCTTCCACTTCAAAATGTTCGGGTCGGTGCCCGACTTATACTCTGTATGCAGAGCAGTAAATATCACACCGTCGTTTTCATGCATCAGGTTCCCGATGACGTCGTCAAAGATCATGCGGACGCCGTAGGACAGCTGCATGGACTTCAAGTCGATGAAGAAAGGCTGGTATTGCCTCTCCTCGGGATATTCCTCGAGCAGTTTCTTATAAGGCTTGAAGACTTGTTCCTGGAAATAGCCCAACCGCTTTGAGAGCTCTCGAGACGTCAGGGATTGGCCGTCGACGGCGAGGCAATCGAACACGAGGTATCGCGGCTCCTGGCGGCCGTCGCTCAATGTGTCCACGACCATTTCTCCATCTAGAATAGTTCCCCGGTGGAAGGCCTGCTGATTGCCGGGCAGGGGAAAATGTAGCGAGCCTGCCTGGATAAACCAATAATCGTTCTTACGATCGATCAAATAATGACACTCTTGGTTAGCTTCGTCGGCGGTTATGTACAACAAATATCGGATGCCATCGGATTTCTCGCAGACGTAGTAACTATAGAAGAATAAGATTTTACGTTAGAATTCTCAGAAAATAATATATGCGCGCACTCACTCCTCTCGCATCAGCTCTTCTAGGTGTTTCCTCGTAAAGCTCACGGGTTGCGCTCCGGGGAACGCGGTCGAGGTGCGATGAAGAAGATTGGCTACTTCCTGGCGTAAACCGGCTACCACGTCTGGCGGAACTTTGATGCCTGGCTCGTCGATGGACTGTATAGGTAGAGCCATGTTGGGCGACACGAATTGGTTAATTAAAGAAGATAAGGGGGATGCGATGCGATGCGATGCGAATCGAGGTATACGAAGGTTGGAAAAAAGGGTAGAAAAGAAAGAGGGAGGAAATATTAAGTTGGAAGAGGGTACGGTTTAACTAGAGGTAGATTAACTTAAAAATGTAAGGAGAACGAAGGACGCGCAGCATTCACGTGCTGGACAAAATAATTCATTTCATTGAGTTCATCGTCTGTATCAAGGGGAAGTTGCTATCAAGAGAGGTACCTAACATATAATATGTCCATCGCAAATCGCAAATCGCAAACGCGGCGTCTACGTGTACCAGGTAGGTACCTATGAGCCTTATCAACCTTATCAAAGCTCCATCCCTGCAGGAGGTGAACAACTGACCCACTACCTAATGTAATGCATATGTGCCAAGCCTCTTAGCCGAACTGGTTTTATACAGGGACGGTTTACACAGTAATCCGTTGTATTGTACGGTTCTAGTCTAAGGAGATTTTTAAAGAGATTTTCAAAGCATCTATACCGTTAAGATAATGTATATAGATACTATACGAGAAGCTTCTTCATAACCCAAGATACATAGTATATAAGTAATGCTTAGGCACCTCCTAATAAAGTATGAACTTGCTTAAGCGTAACTTAACTGACGTAGAAACACCTATCATTATCATCATTCTCATCTGGCTATCAGATATCTAAATTGCCGAAACAGGACCAACTCGACTGCATATCTCTAGCTAAATTAACTATCGAAACAACTAGTTGGTTTCAACATGGGGGGCGTCTCCGTCGAGGGAAGGGAGAGGGAGGGAGAGGGATAGGAAGAGAGAGAGAAAGCTGATTAGGTACTGTAGGTAGGTATGCTGCGCTGAGAGCTGATGTTGTGTTGATACAAACTCCGCGCTTTTCCCATTTGCAAATTTTAATAACTCCCTGTAACCAGTTACAAACTGGCCGAGCCGCATATCTAAAATAAAAATAAAAATAGAAAGAAGAAAAAGGCCGCTTGGGAAGGACGATATTCTCCAATCCGTAAACTCCACACCCCATCTTATAAATACTTTGCGTTCCCAGGCTCTTATACTCTCATTTCATCTGCTGATATATGCTTATGCATCGTTTATTTTCAGGCGACCCCGCCAGCCTTGCCTTCCGACGCCAGCCGGAGCTCGACTTTTTCTTTATGTACTTTGTTCTTAAGATGGACCTCAAAATTTGAAGCTGATATGTCTGGACCCGGCGTGTACAGCTTGCCCGGGCAATCGAGACACCGGATTCGCGGGAGAAAATAGAACCGCACGTGCGCGGGGATCGGCTCGCCCTGCTGAGGCAGAGGGACAGGCGCGCCTGTGTTAGAATCGACCGCACTATACCGCATAACCCCTTCAAATCTATCATTTGCGTACGCTGGTTCTTGCTTGAACTTCTCAAGCGCCGTCACGAGCCATGCGGGAGGAGGAGGCTGTTAAAGGTTGTGAGTATGAGTGTTGACGCACCACATGAGAAAAGGGGAAAGGGAGAAAAGGGGAAAGGGAGAAAAGGGGAAAGGGAGAAAAGGGGAAAGGGAGAGGAGGGGGTAAGGGGGTAAGGGGGGGCAGTTTCGTTAAGTCATAGATCCGATTATAGATCATAACGACTACTATAATATTTAAAAATAGAAGGATTAGGATATTGGGATGGATGTGGAAGATGTCTTACGGGAACTGGGGGAGCTGCCCCGGCTATCGGCGCAGGGGCTTCAACTCGGCCGATTTGCCCCGGTGGTACATTGCTGGAAGGGGTTGTCGCAACAGCTACGGATGTCGAGGCGTTCGGAGTAGAAGGAGGAGGAGGCATGCTATTCGATACAGAGGCACTAGGGGCACGGGCATGGGTTTGAGATGGTGTCTGTGATCTGCCTGGTGTGCTTTGCTTTAACCTAGGATCTCGCAGTAAAATCTTCCGTAGTTTCTCTTTATTCGCAACCCTAAGAGTGACGTAGAATTGATGGGGCTCTTCGGTGTCTTCCCTCGTTAGTTCACGTCCAAATCTCCTTGATGTACGTGTTTCATGATGATGTATCGTGGCTTCGGGGGTTTCAGATCGGCCAAGGTTCGCCATTCGCTGTTGTGCGGCAGTTGCGGCGCCTCTCATACCTCTGGTCCTCGCCGTACCGGTTAGCTGCGAGGGGACGGGAGAATCAGGACCCGAATCATCACTTTCGTCGGAATCTGATATGTCGCCGTCACGTGCTCCTGGTCCTCTTCTTCTGCCCGTGCCCGTGCCTGCGCCTGGCACACCTGCAACTCGCTTATAGAGTCTACTCTCTTCTACGCTTTCTGCTGCACCTGGTAGTGTGGAAGAGACAACAAGCGTGCGAATTGTCCTCTGTCTCTCCTTTAGATCCGGTAAGGTTGGTCCTCCTCGTCTATTTATGGATCTCTTTTGTCTTCTTTGCTCTCGGGAGAATACCATCTCATTCCGTTCCAGGTCCGCCTCGCTGAGCTCGTAGAGGTAGGGAGCGTATTCCTTGGCCTGTTGTTGTGGCCGGAATACAGAGGGCAGCGGTGATGGAAGAAAGGCTGCGACCAAATCCGGGTCCTCGATTGGTCTGCCGTCGAACGGGTGTCCTATGCTGTATAAACTCCGCGTGAATAGCTGCGTCTGCTCTCGAATACAGTGAGCAATGGCCGTGGTAAACTCTCCGGAAAGTGCAAGGTCCTTAGCCATGCTCGCCGCAAATTCCTCGGGCGAGTTCAGAGGGTTATTGATTTCCCATTCGAACTGATCTACCAACGTGTGCTGCCCGATGGTGATGTTAAGCTTGACTAATATTCTCATCTCGTCATTCTTCCAAGCCGAGTAGGGAAGCTCGGGATCTAACGCATCTTCGTCAGAGAATACGAAGGGGTAAAAGTCGTTGAGTTGTTCGTGCATTTGCTGAACGACCTGCTCAAATACGGGTTGAGCGACAGGCGCCTTAAGTCCCATATCTTCTACCAAATGCGCCGCGAATAAGTCAGCTCCGATTATTCTTTCGTGGAGGTTCCATGTGAAGGTATCGCGCAACTTGATCTTGTCCCAGTCTACATCCAGTCGAACAGGGACCAACTCTTCATGCTGCTCGGCCTGTTGTTTCATATCCTTTCTTTTCCATTTCAGGGGCGGCGCTTGTCGTTTACCAGGCCTGGGCTTTTGAGCTGGATACACCAGTTGCGCCTGTTGTTGCCCGGTCTCTGTTCTTCCATTACCATAACCGCTATAGCCTTCCCCGTAAAGTCTACTGGGTGTGAACCATGCTCTGTACTCGTTTCGTAAAAGTTTATAGTCGTTGATCATTTTATATTGATATTTGTTATGTTCGTTCTGCCGATCTTTGTCGCTAACCATGGCAGCAGAGTGTATTTGATCTCGGGCGATGGCTTGTCCTATTAGGATTTGCGTGAAGGCATCTTTGTCGCGGCCCCAATGGGCGCCAGCGTGTGAATTATCTGGCGCATCTGATCTATTTTTAGGGGTAGAAGCAGAAGAACGATCTGATTTGGATGAAGAACCAACTGCGCTCGTTGGAGCTGGTTCTGCATCCTGTTGAGTTGCCATAGTTGATTTAAAGCTTCACATAGAATAAAGTATCTGGGGGGAAAATGTAGACCGTGATCAAAGAATGTATTCCAATTCGTCGGCTCTCCTGCTTATCCTCTTACCGTCCTGTCTAACCTCGTCTCGTCTCGTCTCGTCTCGTCTCGTCTTGTATTGTATTGTATTGTGTTATAGACAACGAATGATATTGCGAATTGGCGCTGCAGTGCACGGGGACCCGGAGAAGGTATCGGGGGGTTGCAGGCAGATCATTGATTGCGCGCAAGGGTTGTGGTGTTGTGGTGGTGCGGTCGCGATGGACTGTTTAAATGAGCGCTCAACTTTTTAGGAGTAGAATATCTTGGACGGGTGGCTGATGAATCGACTGCAACGGGGAGAAGAAAGGCTGGATACGCGACGAACCGCGACCGAATGAGTTGAAAGGAACTTTTATTTTCGCGCTCTCTGCAACCAAATCACAAGTACCTTACTACAACTTTGCCCAAATGCTAGATTGGGGCCCGTGCGTTTTTCTTTCGGTAGCGTAAGCAGCATAACCAGCATAATGTGGCGTTTAACACATAACCTTCTCTTTTACATACAACTGATGCAAATCGATGCAACTAAAGCAAATAATGTATCTATTAGGGTATTATCGTAACTTCGGTTTCCGCTTTCCCTTGCAGCAGCTTTTTAGCGGCGGTCCGGGCACACGGACCTGCAGCCCTGAACTAAATGCAGAGCAAAGAACGTCACCAGCCCAGGCCCCAAAGTTGCTGCCCCTCTTACTCGCACAAAGCCCCGCAGTTAACGAAAATACGAAAATACCTTAACCTGCTTTTTACCTGTTCCCGCTTCTTACTACTTCAAGCTTCCTTCACCTTGTCACCATAAACTAGAGGCCAACCCAATCCCCCCTTCAACAAGTACTAGACAGCACAATTAACTAGCTTGTCAACATGTCGGACGAAAAGGATATCGGTAAGTTCTTAAATATCCATATTTTTCCTTGTTGATACCTTCGTATAATCTATTACCCCGCCATCGGCTCTGTCCGACTCCCTCGAGATGTTATTGCTGGACCTCACGAGACTCGGTAAACTCGACTAATAGCTAACTTATGCAACTTATAGATTACTCCCTGGCGAACCCAGACACCCTCACCAAGTATAAGGTCGCTGCTACCATTTCGGAGAAGGTTCTCGCCGCCGTATCCAAGCTATGTGTTGCGGGAGAGAAGGTGGTTACTATCTGCCAGAAAGGAGACAAGCTCATCGAAGAAGAAGTTGCCAAGGTTTACCGCACAACTAAGCTCAAGGGTAAGTGTCAATGATAGCTTGATGCTGCATAGACCCTCCGCGCATTCAAATGTTTGCTTATGCCATATCATATTTGTGTAGGCTTCTCCCACCCCACGACTGTCTCTCCGTCTTCGTACGTGACACCCTATACTCCCTTGGCATCCGACACCGCCGAGGCAAACATCGAGCTTCAAGCGGGTGAAGCCGTCAAGATCCAACTCGGTGCGCAGATCGATGGATTTGGTTCCATCGTTTGCGATACGATTATCGTACCGCCGAAGGAGGAGGCCCAAGACGCTATCACCGGTCGTTCTGCCGATTTGCTTCTCGCTACGTATTACGCCAATGAACTCCTCCTGCGTCTCTCGGTTCCCCCTGGATTATTAGCAGCTGGAAGCGACGAGGAGAAGGCGAAAGCTGCTGCCGCGAAACCTCCCACCCAAACCAAGATCACCTCTCTCTTAGACAAGGTTGCCAAGACCTACGAGTGCAACCTCGTAGAGAGCACAACGTCCTGGTTGTTTGACCGTAACGAGATCGAAGGCAAGAAGAAGATCGTTATCGCCCCTGCAGAGGGTACTAAGGGAGAAGGTTCACCTGAAGTTGGCGAGGTTTGGGGTGTCGAGGTCGGTTTAAGTTTGGGTTCTGGCAAAGTTAAAACGATTGACCAGCGGGCAACGCTACTTCGCCGTACAAACAACACGTATATCCTAAAGTCTCAAACTGCGCGTAAGACATTATCTACTATACAGAACAAGTTCGGTCATTTCCCTTTCAGCTTGAGACAACTCGAGGAGGAAGGTGGTGACACCAAGTATAAGGTTGGAGTATACGAAGGCGTTCGTCAAGGCGTGCTACGACAATATGAGTTAGTCGGCGATAAGGATGGTGCCCCAGTGGCCAGATTATTAACCACCCTCGGTACGTTAAAAAAGCATCTCTTAGCCAGGTTATCGCTAATAACAGGAAAGCTGTCACTAAAAACGGCATTACAAAACTCGGTGCACCACCTGCGCTAGATTTGAGCAAGGTCCAGTCGGACAAGAAGATCACCGACGAGGAGATTCTCCAGATCCTGGAGCAGCCCCTGAGCAAGAATAAGGGAAAGAGCAAGAACAAGAAGAAGAAGAAGCCCGCTAAGAAGGCTGCCAAGAAGGAAGGAGAGGCCGAGGAGAGCGGAGATGAGAGCGAGGAGTAGGCCGCATCCATTGCATGGACTCCTTTGACGGCATGAATTGAGCAAACCGTCAGGCCTTAGTCACAGGTGATACTACGCCAGACGAGTAGCAGGGGCTCTGAATTGCATCGTTTATCAATTCGATACGACTTGCGTGTCTACCTAGTTCGGCATTCTGGAGTGTTGCTTTGAGCTACACAAGGTGGTCTAGAAAAGGGCACGCATAGTGGGCTCTACGTAATCGAAGGAAAAAAGGGGCTATATAAGGCCCAGCATAGGTGATATCAGTACCTGTAGAAGAAAAAGAAGAAAAAGGAACGAAAGAGCAGAAAGTTTGAGCTGAGATATGAGTTATATATGTGAAATTACCCGAAGCGAATGTCTCTTTTGATGCTAGAGAAAGCTCGACACATCGATCCACACTAATCATCTCTATCTTCACTACGTAATGCTCTAGCACGACGAGGGCTTAAAATGCGAAGCGTGCTTTTATGATAAATCGGGGGGGCAAGAACCAGGAATCACGGCGATTATAGCGCTTTGGCGCCGCAGCAGATTTTACAGGGCAAATCTCTAACCTAGGTTTCGGGAGTAAGACAGTATTATTATTCCTCGCCTTAGGTAGTTACCTTCTGATTCCGCATGTGAGTCAGAATCCCGGGTCCGCGTGGGTGGCGTGATCATCTTTAAGGCTACAAAAATAACGAAGGGGATAGATGCAGCAGGAAAGATGTGGAGAAAACGGGTTGGAGAACGAAAGTCTCAAGATACACTTTAAAAAGGGGGGACATGTGACGACGACGAGTTAGTGACTAAATCGGACGGGATAGCTTTTCTACGTGCTTATCTTTTTCTCCTTAAAGTGAAGGATATATGGTGAATTCAGGGGGAAGAGGGGGAGGGGAGTGAGAGAAGAACATGGGTTAAAAAAATCTAGAGTGAAAAGGAAGAAGGAAAAACAAGTGTTAACATTATTTAATATTCGAGTATTCAAGGCCAAAAGTGCAAGCGCATACATAAAGAAAAACGAGAAAACAAAATTATGTACCTAATATAGAAAAGACGAAAAAGGATAGACAAAGCCACGAGGGAGTATACAATCCTCCCTCTCAGAAAATAAATGATTGAAAAATTAGAAGCAAGAGGAAGTCGAGAGATAATACAATTATTACATAGTAGGTAAGCGTTAAGTACATTAAGCACGGTAAAGGCGAGACGGGCTTACCTAGGGGGGGTGGTGTACAATACAGTACAGTACATTTTGCCCCGGTAGCAGAGGTAGCGTGTTGTGTTTAAGCGTTGTGTAATTGCGCCCCTGGTCGAAGCTGGTGGTGCTTTGGTGCTGGTCGTGGCGGGCCACCGTCCACTCCCGAATTTTGGAGCTCTGGAATCTCGCATAACCCTCTCCCTTCGCCCTACCGCGTAGGACAAACACCATCATTTAAAAAAGCGCGACGTGATCCTATCGCCGTCGGATCCAGCGTAAATAAAATGTGAGTTAAGATTTATCAATACCTAAAAAGTAAGAGACTAATAAATTTATAGTGACTATACAATTGATTCGATACTGTGTGTCGCGCAGTGCTGAGCGCAGCGAGGTTCCTTGGGCAAAAGGGGTGTTACAACCCCCCTCCCCTAAAAATCAGTCAGTTAAAAAAAAAAAGGAAAAAAAAAAAAGACGCGAGAAAAGGATGCCCGAAATGGCTTCCAACCACAAACCCATCCGCTCTCGGTTCTCCAGTCCGTTACATTCGACTTCGCCTTCCGGTTATAACGGTCAAAGATCATTCATGCAAAAGTGGCTCGAACCTCCGGTGCAGAACAAAGCAAGCTTTCAGGAGGCAGGATTGATTAGAGGAGGAGTGGTAGAGAACATGGCACCTCTAGGAACATTACCAAAGGCAGCTATGCATAAAAAATCTCCTGTAAATGGAGATGCATTGCCTACTCCTCCGGTAAAGACGCGGATTGTGTTGAAAAAGCCATATGTTGCTCCGACGGTGGCGGAGAGGACACCGAGTAGGAGAGAACGGTCGGCGGAAGAGGCGGGTGGAGAAGTGGAAATGGTGGATGCAATGGATTCAATGGATGCAGTGGATGTAGTGGATGCGGCGCCATTATCGCCATTATCCCAGCCTCTCCTTCCAATTTCAATTATGGACGATGGAGAAGACGAAGAATACGTGCCTAAAAAATCAAAGGTGCGACCAACGACCAACCAGGGCAACCAGGGCAACCAGGGCGGTTCAGTTAATCAAGTCACCCCGAACAACGCGCGAAGGCATTCGGCTAGGCGGCGAAGTGCACGAACCAGCCCTGCACCAGCAGCACCAGCAGCACCAGTTGATTCCTCACCCATTCATCTTGCAACCACACATGCAAATGCAAACGCAACCTCAACTGCAACTGCAACTAAACCGACTTCAATTTCATCTTCAATTTCAACAAAAACAACAACAACTCCAATGACAGCTAAAGTTGCAACTACAGCTGCGACCACAACCAAAATTGCAAACACCCCAACAATCTCATCACCTCGTTTTCACCCCCCTTCTTCCATTCTTAACCATCGTGAGCCTGACAAAGAATTCGCAGACAAAGTTGTCGAGGCTGCGGTAGACGAAGCCCTTAGGCATTATCGTTACCCCACAGCCTGGGCACTGCGTCTTCTCTACGACGAAAATTCATCCGATCCTCATTTCGTGTCTATGATTGAGGACATTTTCCATCAGCGCGCAGACATAGACACGATAAAGGAGTTTAACAGGCTTGTCAGCGACAAGAAAAGGGACGGTAAAAAGGACAACAAAGGCTGTTACTATTTTGTGCCCCCTTCTACCGGTTCTCGCTTTACGCCTCACAAGCCCAAGCCTGCGCCCTACGCAGATCTGGTCAAAATGGATCTAAGCATCCTTCCTGAAGACACGCCTGATGAGCATGTCAATAAGAAAGTCAAGCTTGATCATCGAGATGTTGATGATCTTGGTGCTAACGAAGATGATGATAATAATACGGTGATGGATTTGGACGAAGGCAGCAATCATGATTCCAACCAGGCCAACCTTGTCAACCTTGTTGACCATGTCGACCATGTCAATCACGCCAACCACATCAAGGCAAATGGTGTCAGCCATCCTAAAAGTCTCACAGGTAGCAAGTCACCACAAAAAATCCAACAACAACAAAAGTCACCGGCAAAGTCGCCTCAAAAGTCGCCTAAGTCGCGAAAAACGCGATCAGGATCGGTTAGCAGTTCGTCATCTCTATCTTCAGTTCCTGATGATGTACCCGATGACTACGAAGAATACATGGATCAGGTGGATGACAACCTGGGTGTCGCGCGTCCCATAGCTGCCGAGCCAAATAATGCGCAAATCCCGGCAGGCTCAAGCCAGCCAATCAGCGGCCACCAGAAGAAACCCGCCGCGAAAAAGAAGAATGGTGCATCACCCAAGTATCCGCCCTCACAAAAGGATTCCCGCTCATACCCACCCTCTCGCGATTCGAGCATGCCTGCCGTTGTTACTGCCAACGGTTCCCCCCATCCACCCCATCACCATCACAACCATCAGAACAAGCAACAAGCATCGTCAATAACCAGCTTCAAGTTCGCGAGCAGATTTGGGGATCTAGATGATTCTGATCTACTTGTTCGCAAAAAGTTGTCCAAGAAGTTGGAGAATACCAGTACCACTAAGGACATCTCTGAAGATAGCTTCATCCGCCGACCCCTTGACTTGGACAATCTATCCTTCGATCTGGCTGTTCCCCCTCCCCCGCCGCCTCATGCAGCGGAGCAGAGCCGCTCCTCTCGAACTCCAGCTTTGAGTTCGCGAGCTACCAGAGCGGCTAAGAGACACCATGACGAGCTTGATGCTTCCATCTCGCCCACTGCGCAGTCATTCAGAGCCGCCGATCTGGATCCTCCTTCACCGGCTCGCGGATCCCGTGCCGCGACGCCTTCCAACCCTCGATCTAATAAGAAGCCCCGAGCAGGACTACGCGTGAAGAATTCGTGAGTTTCTTTTCCTCATTTCCCTCTTATTCTCCCCCCCTCCTCCCTAACTTATTGCTGTGATGTACTCTACGCTGTTTTGTTGTGTGCGTGTGCTGCGTTGTAGGCGTTGCAATGTTGTTTAATTATCACAGCGTGGTCCGACCGGATGGGTGTGCTGTCACAAAGCAAGGCCCAAGCCAAGTGGCGATGTGGCACCACATGATTTCATGTCGGGCCAAACCTAACTCCTACGTGGAATCCTTTACTTTACTCGCGAAGCCTATATCTACGTTGCAAGGGAGCATTCGCTAACCGACGCCCGTGATATACAGACCGATGAAAAAGAAGGGCACTTCTGCGGGAATTCCTCGTAGCAATGGTGATCGGCCTAGCCCTGTGGGCAACGGACCACCGAACAATCAGGTAAGCCAAAAAAAAATTATTATCCATTTCTTCTTCATAATCCCCCCGTCATCTATTTCCGATGTAAACAATCGCGCTTTCTCCCTCCCATCTCATCTCTCATCTGTAATGTGCGTTTGTGCGACTTTCTACTACGGCGGGCCAAGGGAGACTTAGCCCTAGGACTGCAAACGCGCGAGTTCGGAGCGGTGGCGATTGGGTCCTCTTGGTTCCCGCTTGGACCCGAAACCATTGCATCAACTATCCGCGACATGTGCGCGTTCATGCTGACGAGATCCACTAGGACGAAAACGACGACTCCTGCTATACATGTGGGGGTAATGGTGAATTGGTCTGTTGTGATGGATGCAACTATTCCTTCCATTTCTTATGCATCGATCCTCCCATGGACCAAGGCCACATGCCTGATGAGTGGTATTGCAACGAATGCAAAAACCGCCAATGCCCACCTTTTGGCGAGCATATTGGCCCCCTCCGTTCTTTATTCACCGCCCTGGATAGGAAGAACCCTAGAGCGTTTCGCCTCCCAGAGGATGTTCGAGATCTTTTCGAGGGTGTCCGAACGGGACCTGAGGGCGAGTATGAAGAGATTGTCCCTCCCAAGCCCAAGTAAGTACAGGTTCCCTTGCGTCTCATGTCTCTACGTAGCTAATGCATCCCTTTTCCAGGACGAGCAAGAAGGGCGTTGAGGAGCCTTTCGACTTCTTCAAGGTCAGAAACGCGGATGGCGCAGTACTTTGCCACCACTGCCAGAAGGCAGTATCGGACAATCGCCCTATTATCCCCTGCTCCGTATGCGGGCTTCATTGGCATCTGGAGTGCTTAGATCCGCCTTTGGCTGTCCCGCCCGTTCCCCGAACCTGGCGCTGTCCTTGCCATGTTGATGACATTCTTAGCGAGCTACCTGAAAGACTGGCTCCAGCGCATCGTCACCGCAAGATCAAGAATGCACCAGTCATTGAGCTGGCCTATAGCAGAGGAATGGCCAACGATGGTTGGATAGAGGTTGATAACGATGACAGCGAAGATGAGGCATCTGCTTGGCGACGATACAAGGGCTTCGGTCAGACGCACCGATTATCTGCGAAGGGCATCAAAATGGATTTCATCTCGCGGTAAGATAATCTTGGGCGTATTTTCTAACTATAACAATACTAATTAATTTATGGGACAGTGTACGCCAGAATCGTCAACAAAATTCCGCCCTAGTTGGTTCATCTAGCCCTGCTCCCACAGTTCAACCCAGTGTACGAAGCATTGAGGAGCAGCAAGCGGCGTTGAACCTCGCCCAACTAGCTAGCAGCTCTAACGATGGCCTCGGCATAATACGCCAGGCTATGATAGTAGGTTTAATACGATTCTTTGTTCATATTATGTGGCTAACGATATATACAGTCTCAAGCCAGCCCCAGTATGCTTTCTCTCATGGCAGCGGGAGATGCTGCACGCATTGCCGCAGGCGATCTATCCTCGGTAGATACTGTTAGTCTTGAGGCTATGCTTCTTCAAGCGGATTCCATGAAAGAGGCTATCCGCCAGGCTCTGCAGAGCCGAAATTATCATGACCCCGGAAACATCGCTGCTGAGACCGTACTCGAAGGCACGACGCCGGAAGCGCATCTTTCTAACGAGAGTCCTGAGGACGACAAGACGGTTGTTGCAGATGATAAGAACTACGCTCCGAGTAAAGACGCTACCGAAGACTCTAACGCTGATGATCGCAAATCTACCACTGATGATTATACAATGCAGATCGACTAAGAATCACGTCCCTCTATTCACGCCGTACACGCCGTTGCTCTTTGCGATGTTTTTATTGTTTCTTCCGAAGTGGTTATGACAGGATCTTGCCTGTCTCAGACCATAACGCTATATGGATTTCGACGTTCGTGGAAAGTAGGCACGAGAAGAATTGCAGCCTCATGCTCACGATCTGAGATCCTCGTTGATTTTCTTTACTCCGTCGACATACTCCGTCGACATCATTGACGGGAATTGCATTAATTATTTTTTTTTTTTTTTCATTACCTAGCATTATGAGATCGCGGTCCTTATTCATCGACTGTTCTTGGCAGCCATTGGAAATGAGTCATTTGCGAGAAAGTGGTAATTTTAACCACCTCTTAAGCTTCTCTAGCCCCTAGGCATTTACAGGCAAACGGATACCATCACGTCTCACTGGAAACCCTGTTTGAAACGGGGGTTTCAGATCATGGTCACAGGTCACAGTGCACCAAACCTACGACATCATATTACAGGCGATAATGGAAGGCTAGAAGATGGCCTTCGCCCGTCTCAATACGTGTATCAGTACTCAGGGCGGAGAGAGAAGGAAAGAGAGAGAGAGAGAGAGAGGACGAACGCTCGTGCGGTTAGGTCAGGGCAGGAGGAAGTGCCATTAGTAAGGACGGTGCAAGTCACAAAGCTGTTAGGGTTTCTGAGAAGTTCTTTTTTTCGACCGATTCATTCAACTTGTCCATATTTGCAAGCCTGCGGTTAACATAGACTTTGACTTTTTTCTTTCTTTTTGACGCAACCCCTTCGCAAGCTGGCCCAGTCCAGAGAGGAGAGGAGAGCAGGTCAAAGAAGAAATAGCTTGGCAAGGGTGAACCGGCCCCCCAGTGATTTCTTTTACTCTTCACGAACACACCTGGTTCTCGTGGTTTCTGTTTCCTTTTCTATTTGCCCGATCGGTTCTCTCTCAACAACGACTTTTTTTTCTAATCTTCTCCTTTTCTCGGAGATGTCGAAGAAGAATAAGAAGAGAAACCCCGAAAAAATCAAAGGGGAAAAGGAAATCTGGCCAGAGCAAGCAAGAGGAAGCCCGAAAAAAAACCCCTAGCCCATGCGAGTGGACAGGCGGGATTGCGGATCGGCGTTTATGTGTGAGGTGAAGTGAGGGGAGGGGAAACTGGATCAATCATCAATTGCACTTGTTCGAGAGCTAGCTAGCTTTTACCTAGTACTATAGTTGCTTGTTAGTATACTAGGTTGTAGGAAACGCAGAATTTTTTCTTTCTCCCCCATAGTTTTTGAGGGCTTTGGTTGTGACTAGCTAATAATATTTCTTTTTCCTTTCCTTTCCTTCCTGACTTTTAAAGAGGTGGCTGGTCTATCCAGTCTACCTACCTATCTATCTACTTGACACGTACGTATATAACTGCTACTAAGGAGAGCGAAGGTAAGAAAGGTAAAGCCAGCCAGCTAGCTACTGGTGTAAAAATGAATGTGGCTGGATAACTGCTCAACTAAGAGAGGACGAAGAGGAGAAGGAGGAAAAAAAATATTCACCCGGATCTCCACCGAGTTCCGCAATCCCGAGTCCCGGCGGGCTGGGCCATGACATACCTACCTACCTCCTACCTACCTAACTGTAGCCTAAAAAGTAATACCTACCTCTTACCTTACTTTAGGTACGCGCAGTACAATACGCACGTAGTACCACGTAAAAGGTGGCTGGTAGTAGGTTAGGCGTTAGTTTGCCCGAGCCATTGGATCCTCGCCCTACATATGAAATCGATCAGCCCAGATTAAGGGGGGAGGGGGGAGATCAATAAGGCGGCCACGTCAGCGGGGGGGCGCGTTTTGTATGGTACACTAGATAGATAAATATATAGGTACCTACATAACCTATCTAAACCTAACTTAAGGAGGTAGATGATACAAATGCGTCGACTTCGCCTATCCCCTAACTATCCAAAACGAACAAACGAACCAATGGGTATGGTGAAACAGGTATAATGGTATGGTATCAATTACATTACAGTCCAGTCCAGTCCACGTGCCAGATATTCCTTCACCCACCCACCCATCCATCCATCTATATATCCATATATCAGGTACCTACGACGACATACGTGCCTACGCACGTAACCTCGTGGGGTGTAGAGCACCAGGTAGTTTCCTCTTCTTCTTCGTCTCCCTCCATCAAACTTTGTATTGGTCTGTAAATAGACATGCTACAAGATAGGAAGATGCGAGTAAGGCAAGGCAAGTATAATTCAGCATGCAAAGTATTTCATTCATAGCTACCTAGCTTAAGCTAGTTAAGTCCGAGCCCTCCCCCCAAAAAGCGTCGCCGCCGATGATGCAATAGTGTATAGTGTCTCGGCAGTTTCGTATATAGGGTTAGGAGGGAAGGAAGGTGGATTAGGTACTGTTGATCATAACCTAGGTACACGGGCGAGATACAAGCAATCATAGAAACTACGTAAAAAACACTCAAGAGAATGTAAAGAAAGAAAAATAATACTAAAAGAGGAAAAGAGGCTGTCTGTCGTCTTGCAAGTCTATCGTATAGTACCATCGGTGCCCGCAAGACGATACCGAACGCCGGTCGTACGAAAATATGCTAGGATCGTCGTTCTAGATAGAATGCCTAATTACATAGTCGGAGCGGTAAGTTGGAGTTGAGCAGGAATCATCTCTCACCGCTATTCACGACTCTAGCGTCACGAAATAAAACTAAAAAGAGAACCCGGAACGGGGAACGTGAATTGAAAAATAAAATCATTCGTCTCTTAAGAATATTTTTTCCTATCCATCTATTCGGCTTAGTGATGCTAGATCCCTCTGGCCACTTAGGAGTTGGTGTCTCTCCCTTGCTTTGGATGGGGGTCGTCACAGAAGCCGAAGCAAAAGCCAATTGCGAGCAAGTCTTCCATTGTAACAGGAGAGCCTTTGGAGGCAGAGATCCAATTTCTCCGCACACATTTCTTGTTTCGTGCCACATCAGCTTCATCAACCCTGGTTGCTTTTCTCTATATCGCCTGCTGATGATAGAATCGCGTCAAAAGTTCAATAAATCCGGTTGAACTTTATCTGACCCGCGCGGAGCAACTGATTTTGTACACATGATAAACGTGGTCCGAGTACCCCTTTCGTCCACCAACACTCACCGCAATCTGAAAACATGGCCGCGAGGTGAAGCCCGTCTTAAGATTTGTTCGGGGGGTCGACGTTAACAAAGGTAACCGTAGAGATCCAAATACTGCCAGTGTGGTTTCCAGCCCTCCACAGCGTACCAGACCATGCTGCTAGCTGGGTCTCCCTGGATTGCCCACAACCGCTTTGCCACAAACTTCAGAATATAAATCAAACATGTCGAGCCTACCAACACCCTTATCTGTACAGTCATGCAATTCGGAATAGTAAAACGCACGAGGACGTATATAAGTCATCCAATCTCGTGCGAGACAGTCAAGATGACCTCGGAGATCACCTCTGAAGTCATCTGTCAGCATCATCGGAAATTACGGTCGAGGTGACCTCTTCCGTTGAGGGGGTTGACCTACGCGTCCGCGCCTGGCGCTGACTGGTTGTTCTTGCATGTAGGGCATAGCATTCCCGTAGCCGTAACCTCCCATGCCCATTCCCATTCCGAAACCAGGGGGGGCGAACCCGGCGGAAGCCCCGGGCGGTTGGATAGGACTACCGTTGGCTGTGTTCTGCCCACGGTACTGATCCATCGACGGATTGGCGTTGTTATACCCCCCGAAGCCTGCTTGCACAGGTTGGAAGTAATTGTTCATAGGCGGCGTTCCGCGCGGGAGCATATTTTGCTGGTATTGCAATTGCTGCACACTTACCGGCTGTGCCATCGATCCACCAGTTGCATTATACATAGGGCCCTGGGGTCCATATGATGGGAACGCAGACATTCCAGGCTCCACGTTGTCACTCCTCGGTACCGGGAAACCACCCATATCAAAATTTGAGTTATTACTGGTAGGATTGAGCGGGTTCAGATACTGGTTGCCGTATTGAGAATTTTGCTGCACGGCAGCGTTGTTAGCTTGAGCCTGGCGGGATGCGGGTCGTTGCCGTTCGTTCGACGGGTTGTTACCCGCAGAATGATCGCGGGATCCGCCTCCTCCGCCTCCACTGCGAGTGGATAGACCAACCTCATCCATCAAGCGCTTATAACCTTGGTTAGGCTGTGCCTTGATGCGAACGAGGACGCTTTTCACGTTCTCCACCACTTGGCCCCTTATGCTCTCATCGAAGAACGGCGTAGTGAGAACTTTGAAGATCAAAGTAGCACCGCATGAGTGGTCGCTTAAAATTGCCTCCAAAATCTGGTCCTTCGGTGTAAAAAACAAAGCCTTTAGGATAAGATCTCTCGCATCCGGTTCCCCCTTCTGATTAATGACCTTTAAAACGGTAAGATATGCAACTTTATGTGTGCAGAGGTGCACAAGGTAGGGAACAAGCTGCGGGGCTAGAACGCTACGTCGCTGGGTGTATGTACAAGTATCCAAGAGCCAGGTCAGTAGAAGGGCACCGTTTGCGTTGGTCGCCAACTGTACGCTGTGAAGGGCAATAGCTGCTGCAAGCATCCTCTGCTGGTCCTTAGTAGCATAATGACTCTCAAGACAAGCTCGCATAGCTCGGGCACCGTATCGACCTTGAGCAATATCCCACATCTTACTGAGCATGGTCTCGAAGATGAAATCATTGAACGGAGCACCGAACTTGAGACAGCCTTGCAAGACATAATTACCATATTGATCTAGGAACAATGGAACAGTGTACGCTCGTAGGTGTTGAACAATCAGAGTCATCTGGTGTGGCGTCTTGCAAACATCAATAATCTTCTGCGCTGCCCAGGTACCGTTCTTGTGAACGCCGATTTCCGCCAGATGTGGAGCAATTTTAGCTAGCATGAGATCTCGGATGTTGTCCGAGCAGTGCTCGAATAACTTTTGAACCACGGTATTGCCCAGGTAGTCTGAGGACAACTCTGCAATCTCAGGGAGCATCTCAGTGGCAGTGTGTTCTATGTCACCCTGAGACAAACTTTGATTATCGATACGCTTTCGAATGTCCCTTAGCTTTGGCGCATCATGAACCCTTGTATGCGTGGGCTCTCGAATCGGAGGGATTTCGTCGATAAACGCATTGTACTGGATAGCTTGCTGAAGACTATGGGAGATACGATACGCGTCTTCGTCTGTGGCGTCGAGGGCCTTGGCTAATTGAATTATATCAGATGTCATTTCGTGCAGAGGTCGGATTACAGGCGCTGCATTTGCTGCGTTTGCCGCATTATCAGCCGTGGCAGCAACGGCACCAGAAGCAGTTCCGTCTTGATTCTTCGCAAAGGGATCAGGACTAGGGCTCGGGAATACTCCGTCATGACCAGGAGTGTTCGACGCAGAAGGCGGTTTGGCAAAATTAATTCGAATTGGGCCAGCACCAGGGAAGATTTCTTTCCCGTTCATGGTAGCCTTCGCCGAGATAGCACTGTCCACTCTCTCGAAATTGACGAAGCCGCAATTCTTGTGCGTCAGAACCCTTGCGGACAAAATTGGACCATACGACTTGAACATTTCGGTAAGGGTCGATGTCGTCGTCGAGGTTGGGATGCTGCCAAGCCAAAGTGCACTCGTAGGACCCTCGAGACCAGCTTCTTCTGCTGTAAGAAGGCCATTGTTCCGGCTATTTGATCTTCCTAGATTCATCGCTGCTACAGCTGTGGGTAGATCATCGTATTCCTTTTCTTCTGGCAACCGAATCTCAGCAGCAGTCATCGAGCTATCAAGGCGGGAGGGAGTAGGGTAATAGTTTCGCATCAATCTTGAGCCTGCTCCCTGTAAATCCAAAACACCGGCCGTGCGGGCACGAGGTCGAGTAGCCGATGCCTGGGACGCAAAAGCTTGGAGACCTTGGACTGCCAGATTGTGGTTGTGAATAGCAGCATTGGTAGCAGCCAGTTGGTCCTGAAGATGCGCAGCATATTGGTTTTCCAGTACCAAGCTGTCCTCATCATAGACATCTTCTTCTTCGTCCGCATACTTATCCTTATTGTTGACTGAGTAAGAACGGAATCGGTTGGCTTGCTTAGTGAAATCAGCAAGACCAGGTAGATAAGGCGTGGCCAACTGAGCACGGGCTGGCTGGGGAGTCTCGGCAAGACCTAGATAGTCAAGAGTCCTCATATGGACGTCATTGTCTCCGGGCCCCTCCTTAGAAAACGCGGACTGAGCAGGTGAACTTGGTCCATTAGATCCAATGCTTGCTATGCTCGCGAGAGTATTTCCTCTCTCGCGTCCACTACTCGGGTTCCATGTGCTGAAAACCGACGGGCCGAATGGCGAGCTACTGCCAGGGCCGTGGGTGGCAAAAGGGCTGCGTTGCGGCATAGAACCAGCCCGAAGCCTTGACAAGAGATTGGAGGATCGACCAGAGTCGGGAGTATCGTTCAAGCTAGGCGATGGGGACTTGAAGGGACTTTGAGATGGCGTAGGTCGAGTGGATTGAGAAGAAATTGACGGGATATTGAGGAGACCATTTCCTATTCCACCAGCAGGAAATCGAGATGGAACGGTACCTGCTCGGGCGCGGCGCGTCGAGGGCAACCCATCGGACGTAGATAGTTGGGCAAAGTCCGGGAATCCGTCGGTTGGTGACTCGGGAATATTCTCTCGTAAAGGCGTCGAGTTACCACTGGTCGGCGGGCCACCCCAAGGATTATTGGACAAGCCAGTAACTCCCTCTTGAGCTTGGATTTCTCTCGCTCTATATTTGGATAGTTAGACGCATCACGATTAAAAAAAAATTGTCGAGGGCACGCTGGTGCGTCTAAGATAGCAATATAACTTACCGCTTGGAGAAAAGTCTACTTGAACCGGCAACCTCGTGCGAAGGAGAACCAGCCCCAGAACGCGTGGTACCTGCCATCTTGCCGGATGGGTTTAAGACGCCAGACATGCCGAATGGAGACCTAACGGTAGATGAACTCGATGGGTCGATGGGAGGTATGTTGGTGGTTGGTGATGTAGAGCGACCGTTGGCAGTCTTTGGGGGATAGCCAATGGTCAAATGTTCAGATCTAGCAGTTGACATTATCGATTATTTCATCCGACCCTCATCAGGAGGAGCAATAGTAATGGCTCTCCACGGATGATAGTTAAGGGCAAATTTGCTTCGTGTGGTAAATAGGTAGCGAGGTCAAACAAGTTCGTAATGACGCAGCGTCAGGTCCGTGGGCAACTTTTTTTTGGTAGTTTTCGTCCTATAGTAATTTGACGATTATAGCGACGGGGTGTTTAATCAGCCACACCAGATTGATTGATCGCTAGGCGTGCTCAGTAGATTAGAGTGTCGCACACGAGGCCGTAGGAGAAAATGTAGGCTTAATGAATGAGAAAAATATCGAAGGTAATAATCCCACAAGTTTCTCTTTTGCTTTCCGGTACCTAGGGGTTTATTACAAGGAAGGCAAGCGACCGGGCTAGGCCAAAACTGTGTCGACTGGATAAAAACTGCTGAAATAATAGGGTCTGAAGGAAGAAAAATACAAGGAGTGTCGTAGTCTTCCGAGGACAATGTCCAATTCGAATTAGGAGTGTAATAAGGATTCTGACGGAGGACAATTATTTTTTTCGATTAACCTTCCCTGTAATTTTTTTCTTTTCTTTTCTTCTTTTTCTCTGTCTTTCCTGGCGAAAACCCCTGTTGAAGAAGAATTGGTGGGAGGGAAGAGAAAAAAAAATGAAGGGCTTGTCGAGACGGAAAACAAGTGACCAAACGGATCAGGATCAATATACAGGCTCCATTAAAGATCTACGTATGATCTAGAGGCGGGGGGATATGAAGGAGGACTTGAGCCTGGAGAAGGGCATAAAAAAAAAGGAAGAGGAAGAAGGTTGGAGACTATGATTCTCAGGAGGTTCAAAGAAGACGAACGGGATGTGGATGGGTGTGCGCAAGGTTGAGGTGCAGCAGGGAATGGGTGGAAGGTACTATGGATTTTAGTGGGGTCCATGCCCTCTAAGCCCGGTTTGGATTACGAGTACCTTATGTACCTAGGTAGGTACCTTAGGTTAGGTACGTATACCTACCTATCCTATCCTATCATTTATCAAAGAATTCCATTCTACGGCGGGAGGGACCTAGGGAGGTAGGTACCTAGGCCGCATGCAAGCTCTTCTTTCCCACTCCAACAAATATTTATATAACTTCCATCTACATACCTAGGTAGTATACATAGTAAGGTAACCAGATAAAAATAATTTCATTGATAAGTGCATGGGAATCCGCAGACATAACAGACCAAGGCAACAGCATAGTATAGCATGGCCTCTCGCCTCTTCCACAAAATCAATCTCACAATCTATATTCATATATCGCTTCCTTGGTTAAACCCCGACGAATTGATTGAGTTGCTTCATCAGGCGCTTCCACCTGTCCCCTTCTCAGAGTTTTTCTCGGGACAGGGGTATTCAGAGGCATGATTGGAGAAGAATAAAACTTATGGGGAATTTAATAGCTACCTAAGGTAGGTAGGGACCTCTCCGTTGAATAGTTGGCAACCGATTTGGCAGTTTATCAACCAAGAAGAATACTGGGCTGGCGGGCTGGCGGGCTGGCTGATTAAACACTCTGACAACTCTCCGGACACTGAGCACGTTGGGAAAGGCACGGTAGTGCCGTTTGCTTACGAAGTCGACGAAAATGACGACATCTTACCCATAACTGCTATATCAAGCTATCGTGTCGGATCCCGTCTAAGGAGAACAAGACTCTGGATCCCATACTCGGTTGTACCTAGCCACGGGTCCTACGGGTCCTACGGGTTCTCCCCACATTACGTTTATCAAATTCCTTAAATGCTTAAGCTATCCTACCCTAGGTAGCCATGTTGGCATTGTATAGAAGCAACCCGGAGTGTCCCTGAACCCTCGGCACACAATCACGCGAAACGTGCCACGAGCACATAAGTCTTATATTACATCTGGAATCGTAGCATGCCCTCCGGAGACGACAGGTTTTTCTCTTCAGTATTGTAGTTAGGGCTCGAAGTGGTTAACTCAAACAGACGAGCTATTCAGATCTGCTTAGGGGTAGCTGGTCAGTGGCTACCTAACATGGATGCTCAAAGGCGTCAAGTAGATGAAGGGGGCCACCCTTTAAATCTGAGCCTCTTTAAAGATGCAACAGACAACCGCAAACCACAATTGAGGCGTTCTCTGCCCATACATTTCCACATTCCCACCGTTGGACTATATAATGCATCATACATACATACAAGTACGTAAGTACTCCAGGAAACGTGATATCTGACACTGCTACCTACTTCGAACCCGATCCTTGTCAGAGTTTATTCGATAAGCAACATCAAAGTCAATGCAGACAGAATTCTACCACGAGGCAGATTGGCATTGGGTTGGCAGGACTAAAACTTTCTTTACGAAACTATCGGAAGCTAATTTCGAGTTCAGAACTGATATCTTGACAAATAAATTACGCTAATATCTCGTGGCATTGTACAATAGGAAAAACACGTCAAAAAAGCTATTCAACGCTGGCAAATGCGCGACTGAATAGGTAGACCAGCGAGTTCAGCAAGCCAAGCCAAATCAAATAATGATGTAATTGTGGCTTATTTGGCTGTATTTAAAGGCTTGATTTAGAGTTAAATTTTGGAAAAATAAGCTCCGAACGCTTTAATTAGCTAGAATTTCTTTAGGAATTTTAATTAATTAAAAATATAAAGCGTAAATATTTACTTATTTAGCTTTTTTATTACACTTTAATTTAATTTATATATATATATTTTAAATATTTTTACTTTTATTTATATATATATATATATATATTTTTATTATTTTTTATTTAACGTTTTAATATTACGAATTAATAGTTAAAAAAATCACGTTTAAATTTAAAATAAAGTTTTAATATCTTTTAATATAAATAAATTTCGTATTAATAAATATATATATAAAATAAAAAATAAATAATAATAAATTTTAAATTATATAAAAAATAAAATTTAACTTATTACATTTATTTAAATATTTATTAAATATTTTAAAATTTTCATTTAACTTAGTTAAATACTTAAAAAAAATAAGATTTTAATAAATTAAATCTTAGTTTAGCTTGCTGGACTTGCTGAGGTAAATTAGCCTTTTCCGTGGTTCTCCACAAAGTGGTATGTTTCTTGTGCTCCCAAAGCATCTTAAAACGCCTTTTAATAGAAGAGGACATGTTTATGGCCGCCATGCCGTCTTGTGGCTCGTGAGCCAGAATGTCTCTCACTACCTAGGTACCGCCTTAAGATGTGCAGCTATCATTTTACGCCGGGGGTCTTTCAACTGGGAGCCGAAGCACCAATCACAAAGTTGGACGGTGTAGGAAAGGGGATCTGCTTGAAAATCTGAAACGTCGCTCCAAGTTGCCCTTCCTCGCCCTCCAATCCAACTTGAATCCTCACGACGCTCAATTGGCCCAACGGTAAGCCACCCTGCAACTCAACAACCCGATATGATATCGCATTGGATGGAAGAGACAAACCTTGGCTTGGTGACTTATGTCCTTCCACGTAAACTGTACTACCGCCCCCCCCCCCCCCCTTTTTTTTTTCTTATTAAATTTCCCCTTTTTATTCTTTTTACTATCTGGCTTTTCTATATAGCCTTTTCCAGCCCCTTTGGGTTACGTTAGGTAGGTACGTATACATATTAGGGCTACAATAACGGTTCTAAGTGCGTATGTTGATTAACGTCACCACAACCTCTTCGCCAAATTTAACATTTTCCATATACCTTAGGTAGACTTCTATAATGTCCTAGCCTTGTTGTAGAATCGAGGCGTTTCATACCTATCTAAGAAACACGGTTTTTCTTTTTCTTTTCAAGACGCAGCTTAAAACATTCCCATTCACCGGCTTGAGTTGCCCTTGCGGCTGGCTATTCATACGCGCACAGACTGGTTGATCCCCGATACATATCAGCGGATCTCAAGTCTATAATTAACTTTAAAGCCTTGTCAGCCAGCACTAAGACCTAGTAAATTCATGCGTTCCTTGAATCTCTCAACTCTATGTAGGCGGTTTCATCTCCGTCTAGGTATTCCCTGCCCATTGAGCTACGCCTCGCTTAAGCAGCGGCACTGTAATAGCGCTTGCTATCTAATTCTAGTCCAGCTAGTTATGTACCCAGACTTTTCCATGGATCGACGCTGCATAATACCAGAGGTCTCTCTGAACCCTTTTTTTTCTTTTTTTTTTTGCCCTCTCAGTCCTAATTCTGTTTCGGGCCAACGCACGTCCTATAAACCGAACCTCCTGTTGCTTGGTCCTTGCGTCTAAAAAAAACGCACGGGGGAAAGGCACCGAGCGACGGACAACTGTACCGATTTGAGAAAGTCTATGGATCTGATTTACATACGTACATGATGTCGAAATGCTTACACGGCCGATAAACAGCTGCTTAATGGCGTCAAGAAAGAAGACGTGTCACATTTTTGCCTCATCTTTTCCCACAATAAACTTCCTAATCGAGAACCCATACATGTAGGTAAGTAGGTCCTTTACGGAATACCCGCCCGAAAGGTAGCGGGTTTTGACCGGAAATCGCGAAATATGTTAAGTTACCTAGACCCTTGTGTAGACCCTTTGTTAGGTTATAATCGCCGTTTTTTTCCTCTTATAAAACAACTCCTTTCCTAAACTGTATACGGTATATATGGTGCCGGAATACGAATATGTGTAAGCCCCGGTGCTAGTTAAAAATATCTAGTTAACTAATAGTTGAATCGATTCAAGTTTAGGTACTGGACATCCACGTAGGTAATTTACGATATCGACAAAATATCATTATCAAGACAAAAAAACAAAAATTGAGGTTATATAAACTGGGTATCAATTTCTCTAACGTGCTATCGGATCTTTCGGGACAACAAGGAGGACACAATCCTATTTGATATACAACACCGCCACGGCGCCACTAGCAAACATATCACAAGAAGTATCATTAGGCTTATGAGTAATGAGTTAACGAGTAACGATCCCCAATCCATATTACAGAGCCCACTCGGTCTTATCGTCGTCCACCGTAATAAAGGGCTCGTCAATGCGTTTGATAGCGTAGTCGCTACACAGGATACTAAGTAACACGGCTCGTTAGCTTTTCACGGTTCCGTTCTGGTGGAAGTGGAGAGGCGAGATATTGTCGACTTACCATGCTGAAGCCACTAAGGCGTCTAGTTCCGCGACCATGGCGTCCTTCCTAGCGCCGCTGACGAGACCTTTGCTAATCTGTACCTGGCATTCTTTGATGCGTCTGCTCTTGCTAACACCCGCCTGCTCTAGCACCTTTCTCCCGAGGCAGTCGGAATGGAAGGCATGCTGGCACGGGAAGACGAAAAACTGCCTGCTAAGTAGTGGTAAGGTACATACGTAGCACTTCTCTCCTGGCTCGACGATGGCGTAGCGGTGATCGAGTCCGGCAATGTCGATCTTGATATTGGCAGCGGTTTGAGAGCTCTCGTCCATCTCCTTCTTCAGGCTGTCGATATTGCGCGAATAATCCTCTAACGCGTCGCATATTTCATCCTTGAAGTCATCTATGACGACAAAGTCAGGGAAAAAGGGAATTAAGTCCTCAATCTTAAGGAGGTCGCAGCGTTTTAGAAATTCAATAGCCGTCTTTATGCCGTTGGACTGTGAGATGACCTTGCGAGCTACTGCAAGCCACAGCTTCTTTCGAAGAGCAGGATTGGACATAGGCCTGTCTGCTATTATAGAAGCGTACTCTATTTCGTTGTGTGATAATGCGAGGTCCACAGCTTGGACGTATTGTCCCATATTCGTGTAAATATGTACACACGAGAGGGTGCGCTTGTGCTGGATACACAGCCGAAGGGCAAAATCTGGATCGAAGTGAGGTTCTTCGCCTTGCGATTCGAGATACGCCAGGAGTCCCGATTCATCTTTGGACGCATGTGACGCGTAGATGGAGACAAGGGTGTTATGAACAGCCGCATCAGTAGAATGAAGCTGGTTGATAACGAACTGTAGATACCGGATAGCTTGGTTCTGGAGGAGTGTTCCCTTGAAACTCCTGTTGTAGTCGAGGAGCGCTGGAATGATTTTGCGCGGTTCAAGTTTAGGATGCCGCATCATGATCTCGACGAGCTCGTGTCCAACTTGTGTCATTAATACGCTGCTATACCGGTAGAAGACTTCTGGGTCTGTTTGCTTCTTGAGCACGTTCAGAGCCTCCGTCCATCGCTCCCTCTGTACCCAATATGATAGAACATAGTTATAGTCGTTTACCGCATCGGCAAAAAATAGAAGCTCATCTTCTCTAGCATGGCTACTAATGACATCGTACGTTGTCTTGCGGTCGAGGTCGAATTTATGCCTGCTGACAAAATCTTGGAACTCGCTTCGAACTGCGTTGAGTTGGTGCCGTGACTCCTTTGCGTTTCTACCAGTTGACTCGGCTTCAACAGTAATGGAATCCTCCAGAGAATTCAGTTTTGCCATGAAAATCTCGACCAGCCACGTCGCTATCATCATTCTCTGCATCGTGGAGGACTTTTTATATGTCGTTAATTTTGTGATAAGGTATTTCCGTAAAGCATCATTTTGATCATGATCAATAAAGATAAGCGCAACGTCTTCGAACGGTTTGCTACTTTTCCCATATACACCAGCAGCCTCGACGAATAGCCCTTTCTCAACGAGGTAGTCACCAGACGCGATTGAAGCAGCATCTTTTTGCGCAGGATTATGAGCATATTGCATAGCCATATCGAACTGTTGTCGTTGTAGCATAATTCGCCATATGTCACGATCCTCATCTCTGACAACGATCTCGAATATCTCCTGCGCGGTAAACAGCCAGAATGTGTTTTTCTGCTGGTCGATATATAGACCTAAGGCTTTCTGTCCCTGGTCTAAGATTAGTTGATCGAATACAACCGACCCTGTTAATCGGTTTACTGCTACGATACGACCGCCGATCAAGCCAATGATATGCCATTGAGTTAACGCGATGGCATCAATAGAGTCTGCCGGGGTCTTTTTCCGTCCCGACGTCTCTGTCGAGACAACTTGCGACCTTGATAGGAGTTTCGATTCGGCAAATACCTTGTTCCCAAGGTCATTGTTGATTGGGGCCGTTAGAAGTTTCCCATGATAAACACCGTGTGAAGAAAGCCACGCAAAGGCTCGGTCTGGGACGGTATCCTCATAAATCTGAGAATTGGGGGGATCTGGTGAGATAGCAAGCATCGAAGGAGCGGTAGTCGAGCCTCGTGAAATTTCATGTATAATAGGCTGCTCGGAGTCGAATAATCTGGTATAGGTCGAGCCGCTCCCGTCATGACTACTTCGACCAACCTTTCCCACAAGATGAAGTATGCGGCTCTGCGTAGTTATAACCACCCTTCTCACATCGACCTTCCCGCCCATGTTATCAACCCAGAGTCCCGTAATTGGTCCATCGGGGTATTTGTGTAGCACTTTTATGTATTTCTCCTCTTTCCGGTAAAATTCCGTTGACGTTTCAATAAATGTTTCGTATACATTTCCATCCGAGGCCCCTATTAGGATTTCTCTTGTGGTGGCGGTGGGCAGAGAGGGGTTCCAAGCAACTGACTCGACAGAGACTCCCCGCAACCTGCTCAGAGGCCGCGGCTGGCGTGACTGGGTATGCAAGTAATAATTCTCGCCGAGAGATGTACATATGAGAAGATGAGATGCGGTGGGATCGAGGAACATGCGCCGTATAATGCCTACTTCGGAAACTCGTCTGGGAAGGTCGATGTCTACGAATAGCTTCCGTCAGTGATGCTGTAATGGATGGACCTCGAAGAGGAAAAGCCGTACTCACCATCTATATCTTCCGGGCGGTTTAAATCTATGCGCAAGATGCGCCCGTTTGACAAAGCTAGGACAAGCACATTATTGGCAACCTGGGCAGCGACGAAGTCGGCGGCGATGGAGAATTGAAGTTGTACGGGTTCGACGTCGAAGATAGGTAGGCTCTCGACAGTAAGGTCGTGCACGCCGTTGGCGGCAACAAAGCCGTTTGTTGCTTCTTCTAGCGACATCTGGAGATCTATTCTGGCATGTTGAATCGGTAGAGTCGCGACAGGCCGCAGTGCTGCCTGTTGGTTGTCGTTATATGGAGGTTAGGCAGTGATATAAGTTTAAAGCTCATTGGAGTTATTGGAGTTGTTGGAGTCGATGGGGTTGATGGGGAGCTCAGCACCTGAACAAGGTTAGGTATTGTACATGCCCTTGTTTATCAGGTACCTCCTACACAGTAGGTACCTACCACCCTAATAGATGTTGTACAACAAAGAGGCCCAGAGCTTATCCAAATTTATGCAAGTACCCAAGTATATATAGTGCAGCAATGATGTAACTTTGAAGGCAGCTGAACATTTATTAGACAAACCTCGGCCATACAACAACAAGGTAACCTCATGAAGCACCTCAAAATTGACAACATCACATCTAAATTTTTGACTCAATTTTAATTCAGTATTTCTTTCGTAAGGCTCACTCAACAGTACGTATCACCTAAACTAAATAGCAAAAATGGATTATGATGTTCGGTTTCAAATTATCTAACTTGGTAGATGATTATCTTAAAGAGCATGTCGCTCATTCAAACAAATCGGTAGATATATACAGAGCCTCATGTCGACCTTGGTCTACCTCTCTTTTTTTATAACCCCAAAATTTCAAATATCCTCTCAATATCCTATGCACAAAATAACACGAGCTTTAAGCTGAAAAAGTCACCTCGCCTATAATCTTTCCGTTACTCCCCCCCAAAAAAGTCGGAGTTTAATGTATGTATCTATGTCGAATTTAGGTATTTTCATCCGTTGACGCACGGATTATGCAAATATTTACCGATGGAATGGTCCTTGGGTCCTCGGAATTTATTCGATCTATACTCGATGTGGTATGTTCGTCCAGTCCCACCGATCTATTGTCGGGACCTGACCTGTTTGCGAAACTCGTCGTGGCGTCAACCATCGTTATCTTTCTAGGATTCCCGTACGCTAGCGTTGCTTTTTGCGCGGAACGGTCTAGATGATCATGCTTGGTGGGTTTCCCCTGAGCGATCACCCCTTGATCTGACCGCTTCAAATTAAATATTATGCCAGCGGTGCCGTCATGTCTGCTCTATCTTAATATTGCCTCAGTTGTTCGAGAGTTCTGGTTCTAACCCGAACAAAGCGATTTGCTATTCGCAACGCTTGTCGGGCCGCGAGATGGGAAGGAGCAAAAACCGCTTCCTCCGTCCGTGAATCCATCTGCCAGATTACTTTCATCCGCATCGGTATCGTCCAGCATATCTATGTACTTCTCCTGAATCACGGGAATAGGTTCGCGGGACGGTAATCTGGACCACCGGTTGTATGGGCTTGGTTTCCTCCCCTTCAATACCCTGACCTTAGCAACGAACCCCTTTGCTCTTTGAGAGTTAAGTGCCATGGCCATCATCTCTTCGCCGATCTGCTCGCAAGCTAAACGGACTTGCTCAGGCTCCCACCCTTTATACTTTGTCAGGAGCCGTAGCAATATCGATTCGCATCCATTTAGCATGGCTAGAAGCCAAAACTTTCCGGTAGAGCCGTCTTCGGTCCTAAGAGGGATGGCGTGCTCAGTAAGTTGGACATCAACATAACCCGCATTAACCAAAAACCTAGGTTCCAGATGGGCGATCCCACGTTGCCTTCCATGCATCACAGCGGCCTCATTAACGTCGCGCAATGCCTTATGTACTAAAGACTCGGGCTCGAAGAATGAGCGAAGATTGCTCATCCCTCGATGATCATCGAAATCCAGCACTTCGATCCATCCTCCCGGCTTGATGCAGTGGAAAGCAGATCGGTAAATATGATGCCAATCGGAGAACGATCCTTGTAAGTCTCTTATATGTATTAAGTCATAGTGATTCGGTGGCCGTTCCCACTCCAGCTCGGCATCGTCGATTTCCCAGAAGATATTTTGCGGAACTCGGCGTTCAAAAATATTGGAGATGTCAGTACCAGTTACTTCACAGTCGGGATACAGTTCAGCCATATCTATAGCCCATTCGCCGACGGCAGTGCCGATATCCAGGATATGAGTCGGCGCTTCGAGAGGGACGCTCGTTAATTCGCCGTCGAATGTTTTCAGATAAACCTGATTCATTAGCTGCAGTCGAACTTGTTCGTCGTCGTCGTTAGGCATGTAATATGAGCCGCAATATCGTCGTCCATTCTCCATTACGTAGTTGAGATCCAGTTCGTTTATTGATCGTGTCGAGTTTCTACATGGAATTAGCATTATTCATTACACACGACTTTCGATCTTGATGAGAGCTTACACGGTCCCCTCTTCTACACTTCCGTCGCTCTCAATGGAATGCTCCACCCGATACACCACCGCACGGCCTCCCGGGTGATGGCTAGGCGAATAGATGGAAGCAGCATCGAACTGACTTGCCCTCGTCTCATCGGTTGCTTCAAACACATGCCCGGTCGGTTCTGCAACACTCATCGTCCACGCACTTAAGCCATCGCTTGTAACATCTTCGGTGGAGATGTCGTCGTCCAGCTCCGGCACTGGAATCTCGGAGCTAATTACGCTACAGCCTGTTTCGGTACTAGGGGGACCGATAGACGAACTGGCGGCACTAGTCCCATACGACGGCATGGTTGTTGCTGGTTGTATACGCGATGCCTTGACCTGTCCTATCTTGTCGCTCGTCCCTCTTCCTTTTCATCACAGTCGCACTAGTTGGTTTTTAGCTGCTGGTGAGGCATTTGGTCGTACAATTCCTAAAAAAAAACTCTTGATGAAATATTTCACGGCCTACCGACGTCTCCGTAAACTGTGCCGCCTAGCGGTAGATGCGTAAGCGAAGGAGCACCTCTGTCTGACGCCGCACCTAACAAACCGTTCTCAATAGTGTCTAACCAGTGAGGAGTTCGATATGGATCCGGTGCCGGATACATTGGCAAAGCAAACACTGACCACGAAACTGCGCGTAAACTAGTTTACAATGGTCATTTCAATTTGCCTTCGAACACAGGTAGGGAGAAGAAAAAAAAGACGGTTAACACTAGGTAAGGCTTAGGCTTAGACGGCGTGACGAGATAGATGATGGAACCCAGACCCGTACTACATACGATACAAGTTGGAGAAAATGGGCCACGAGAGAGCGGAGGAACAGTCATAGGCAAGTTATGTTAACGATTGGCTACCAACCTGATCACCACCCAGACAACTGCAGAGTAAGAGAAAGACAGTTGGGGGGCAACTCCTTCGATCCAATGAGCGGTCTGCTTTCATTACTGTAACGTGGAGTCGTCGACAAGGGAATGAACCACATGGTCATGGCCACCCATGCCAGTGGGATCCCACCCCTATTTCTATGTATAAACGTATATTCGAACATGCACACGTTATGTTAGAGGTACCTAATGCTAGTATGTATGTACGTACGTATTTGTCCGTATGCATTGGTATTCTGTATGCAGCCCTTCGCCGTGGGGTGTGGTGTGTGGTGTGGACAACTACTACAACGCTGAGAATACGGCGGTGCTGGCTGGTTCAGGAAGAGAACGGTCGGTGCCTATTGGCTGATTATCATTTCTTTACCGTTTTTTTTGGTTTGTTTTTGGCTAGGCCCCAAGGGTCTGCGGTTCTGTTTGATTGGACCCGAACGGATGGGCAAGCCCGTCCGCCGCGACCCTGTGAGCAACCCTGTTGTAACCCTCGCCGGATGGACAGGCGTTCATCATGAGAGGAACAACGCTTTGATAGTAGTTTATGTATATTTCCTTCAGCTCTCAATGGCTACCTAAACTTGGGAATATGTAGGTATCTATATTATATGCGTGTCTTCCTCGTCTTATTTTATCCCTTCCTATACCTGGTAAGCGGCAGAAACATTGGTGCATAAAATGCATGCCTTTCGGTCGACGTTTCGGTTTTCTACGGTTCATGGATCCTTATTGGATTAACATAACATGTCGTCTCCAGTTTGACAGGCCGGTCAATTGAAAATCCTCGCCTTGGAAAATTCTTAATCGAACCATGGAATCCCGGCCTGCAGCCCGTGATATGCTGGAATCGATTTCCGGTTTAGTTGTGCATGGCTAGACGAGGTATTACACTATATAATGCCTGAAATGCCGGATAAGTAGTCCCGAATAGGGGAACTTGCAGAAAACGACAATACATAACATTTCCATACATGGATATTAACAGGCAGGTAGAAGCGCGATTAGCAGATATTTAACCAACACCCTAACACTCGCATCTGGGTAACATCATAGTAGCTTATAGCGGTAGGTTTGCTGTGAGTTCATTATAAACTTCCATCGTCTAATAGCTTTATCAAATACTTGACGAAATAATCCCTTTAAGTAACCAGCAATGGCAATATTCTTGTCGCTTATATCTTCTTCGGTCTAAGACGCCACATAAAACGACGCCCTCTAAAATCCTAAAACCATACGATTCGTTGCCCGGATTTACCATAACTCCCAAACCACGTATTTTCTGTCGTACCGGAAACGTATGGAGGTCATCATTCCAATCCGGAAGTGGGTCTCGGCTCCATTACCATTATCCAGGTGACTTTCGTTTCTTTGGTAACTGAGGCTCATCGCATATCTCCTCTTTATCGGACATCACTTCGGCTTCCACGACGATCGGGAAAGGGCTGAGGACTTTGCTAATGTCACCCCACCATTCTTCGCCGAAACGCTTATACCAGTCAACGGTGATCTTCAACCCGTCAGCGAAGGACGTCTTCTGATCCCAACCGAGACGTCGAAGTTTAGTAGCATCGATGGCGTATCGATGATCGTTAAACGGCCTGTCGTGCGTATATTTGACCCACTTGTTGAAGTCCTCTTGGCTCTCGTAGGGAATATCCATCTCTTTCAACACCATTCTACATAGTTGGATGTTAGATATCTCATCATGTGATCCTACATTATAGACCTGGCCGAGAGTGCCCTTATGTAAGATTGTATCAAATGCATCAGCCGCATCGCCAGCATATAAATATCTTCGGGTAGGACTCCCATCTCCATGGAGCACTGTGGGCCTCTGCCGGTTCAACAAGCAGATGAATTTGGGAATTATTTCTGTTTGGTGGTTAGTCAGGTGCGTGTCCTCCATGTTGTCTAGAAATGACTCTTACTTTCGGGGAATTGATGCGGCCCATAGACGTTATTGCTTCTGACAATAATGACTGGGAGCTTGAAACTCTTCATGTAAGAATGAACAAGCATTTCGGCGGCAGCTTTGCTCGCGGCATAAGGATTAGTCGGGGACAGAATACTTCCCTCCATCAAGTCATCGTCGTCGTCTTTTACCTCTCCGTATACTTCATCGGTAGACACGTGGATAAATCGCTTAATTCCAATCTTCTTCGCACTCTCCAACATAACGTGAGTGCCATACACGTTCGTATGAGTAAACCCATATGAGTTCCCGAAACTCAAGTCGACATGTGACTGAGCTGCGAAATGGAATATGGTGTCGATGTTGAAGCGCTCCATACAATCGAGCACTTCTGAAGGGTTGGTGATGTCTCCATGGTAGAAAGTAAAATTTCGCTTATCATTGAGCATGCGGGTATTGTTCAAAGATGAGCAATAATCCAATTTGTCGAAGGACACGATATGGTAGGCCTCAGGGTAGGTCAAGGTGAGATGACGAACGAGCCAACAAGCTCTTCGGTCATTTGTTAGCTGCGATGTGGAACCTTGAGGCTCTCAAAGACTTACATGAAACCGGCACCGCCAGTGATCATAATATTCTTAACATCCGGTAGGGTATCAAACTTTGTGGATCCAGTCAAGATAGGAGCCTGCTTCCAAATGCCATAATCCTCGAAGAACCTAGGCTTCGTGGTTTTACTATTAGGAGCTAAATATACAATATGGTAAGCTGTCTCGGCCAGTATCGGCGACGTCATGGGCAAAGCACTTACACTGCACCCCATTGGTGGTGCCATTTAGATGTAGCGTGGCCATAGCGTGCAGAATAAGAACCCAGAAATTCGCCGGTGGACCAGTCCAAGACTCGAAAATGTGTAGGGTAAATGTACGAAAATCCTTTAGGATCTTGTAGTAATAAAAGAAGAAGTCGAAAGTGCAATACGATCTGGATAATTGGGAGAAATGCGTGGAACAAGGTCCGTTCTTTTCTTTGCCTGGCACAAGCAGGATTCTAGGGTGGACAGATATCCGATATCCAGATGCAGATCTTTTGTACAGCCGGTTGTAGGTTGCAAGTCGATGCAGTCCGAGTTTGTATGAAGACTTCAATGTTCGCTAAATACCTTGATAATAGGTACTCGGCGCAAAGGCACAATAGCCGGCTTATGTCTGGAGCCTCGTAAAAGATAACGACAGGAAATCACGAGCAAATCTCGTAAAGTATAGGCAAATTTACATATTGAAAATGAATCGATCAGAGTGAAACGAATGGCAGCGCGTTCTCTTAAACAATTAAGATAATTTAATAAGGAACTATCGATCGGCAGCGATCGACCATGAGGTTTAAAAGCAGGTACACACGCAACTTGTAGCATGGAGACCCACATTCATGCAGCTGGAGCCCGCCAGACCACGACGTAGGTACAGGTACCTAAGTACCTAATCTACATTGAAGCAGCACGTCAACATCAATACTGCTATAAGTTACCTTATTAGACTTTATATCCTCTTTAGCTCACATTATGGCCCTATACCGGACTTAGAAGTACATATTATGTGCCTTGTGCACGAGTGTGATATTCATAGCTCTTTCCTTTATTTTAAGAGTTTCGTTAGAACAAGGAACTTACAATATCGTCGTCCTATGGATAGAACTACCTAACATCGGGGAAATCACCTAGGTATATTCTATGAAACAGCAGGAACAGGTATATTTCCTTCAAATCAATACCTACCTAGGTACCTAGTCGAAATTGTATAAAGCGGGAGGTACACCAGGTACCTATTATACAATGAAGCTATTCGTATATGCTTACTCGGAATATAGAAGTACATACTGCATGGATAAATATGTATCACAATTGGTATCAGTGACCTGATACCATATTTGTTTAGATAGGTGAATTCTGCTTTCCATTCTCAATTGGTACAGATATATACGAAGGTGCATTTAAGTTGATACGATGAAATATGTACATGTCGGTTGCAGCGTCCCTTGTCAGCAGTTCCAACTTCCAGGTGTAATTCAAGTCCATTTATTAATAAGATGCCAATCCTGCATCTCACTATCCTGCAATTCAAACAAGTCGGCTGCCCGGCACCCCTTGTAACATAGAGCTTACCTGCCACTGTAAGGTACAATACCTGGCATTACAGGTACCTAAGGTTAGGTCTTCCCCGTACGTGTGTTAGGCACGTAAAGTTTAGTAGTCTCCACGTTCCGTTCCCGCCTAGCGATCGGCTAAAATAGGTAGCAGCCAGTGTGACCAAACCACAAACTGTTCCAATTGAGTTTGGTCTCATCTTCATCCTGGAATCTGTCCATTATCATCACCAGAAACGGTCATCTCACATTTCAAAACTCTGGTATAACCTCTCACTTTCTTTTAATACCGAGCTCACTAGCTTCCCTCATCCACATGATTAGATCTACCAACCGTGGGCGACGGGAAGCTGGGCAGATCCCGACACATGTCGAGCAGCGCAAGACATGGCATATTTGAGTGGTTACCCTACACGACCCTCGTCTACTGCTTCGTCATCCACAATAAATCCAAATCAGAATGAGAGGCTCAGCAGTTTCGACGGCATTGACGATGATTATAAGTCTCGGCAAATTGCTGTAGGCGAAGGCAATGTTGGGGGCGTCGAGGAACGCGATGGACTACTAGAGAAGGGAACTGGCTACCAAATTACCCAGACTCCCCCAGAAAGTCGTTTTGGCTGGGCCATTTTCTGGATAGTAGTAAACACTTTAGCGACGATAGGAATTGTATGAATTCCTCTTATTCCTATCTTACCGGTGTATCTAACTTCTATATCTTGCTAGGTTTTCACAAACAAGGCCATCTTCTCAGACCCTTCTTTGAAGCTCGCGCAGTTATCATTTGCTGCTTTCCACTTCTTTATGACGTGGTTGCTTCTTTTCACATTGTCGCGACCTCGCTTCGCGTACTTCACTTCTCGTCGTATTGCTCTGCGAGATATTATCCCCCTTTCTGTCGCCATGTCACTGAACGTTATCCTCCCAAATTTATCGTTAGCCTTTTCTTCCGTTACTTTCTATCAGGTCGCGCGCATTCTACTTACTCCAACTGTTGCAACTATGGATCTTCTTTTATATAGATCCATGTTACCTCGAAATGCTATTCTAGCTCTTATCCCTGCTTGCTTAGGTGTTGGTATGGTTTCTTATTATGACTCGCTCCCGACGAATGGCGCCAATGTCAAGAGCACGTCAAGTTTGGGCGTTGTATTCGCATTCAGTGGCATATTCGCCTCGTCGCTATATACCGTATGGATCAAAAGCTATCAGCGGAAGCTGAAAGTGTCGAGCATGCAACTGCTCTTCAACCAGGCGCCGGTTTCAGCATTCCTCCTACTTTATGTCATCCCTTTCGTGGATACGTTCCCCACATGGACGGAAGTCCCGAAAGCTCGGTGGCTCATGATATTAACGGTAAGATGAAGAGAACTGCATTAGCAAGCTTGTAGCTAATATAATAGTCTGGCGTTTTTGCCGCTTTGATCAATCTATCTCAATTTTTCATTATCGGACAAACAGGACCAGTTTCAAGCACTGTTGTAGGACACCTAAAGACATGTCTCATAGTGGCATTGGGCTGGGCTACATCTGGTAGGTCCGTTGGCGACAAATCAATCATAGGCGTATTCATTGCGATAGGAGGTATTGTCACGTAGGTTGACGAATCTTTTCTAAACATGAGTTACGATTTGCTAAATAAAGCTTAGGTATTCAATTGTGATGCTACGGCAGGCAACTCGCGGATGAAGGGTAGCACGGTACGAATAGGGGTTATTGTTCCGTTGGAGAATTGGGGAAATAGAATAGCAGCTCTAGTGGGCTAGTAGAGGCTCATGTAAGAGGTATATTATTAGATCACATGGTTCTTGGCTTTGTGGTGATATAAAGAAGGGTTTTACAATTGGCACGGCGTTATTTGTTAGTATTTCTCCCATATTTTACATCCATATACTCCAAGGCTTTAAAACCAATGATTTATTCTGATATCTTCGATGAGCCCGGTGGGAGGCTAAATAAGGACAAATTCTAGAGTACGGATTTTAAGATGTAACTACAAGACTATCTTGTCCGTTCATGTCCACGGAATTAAGTGTCACGTAGAATTGGTCAAATTGGTGGGGTAAGAAGTCAGGTACTGACTGACTATACTATGTAACTTGGCAGCCATAATTAAGGCGATGACATAATTCAGCTCGCCCCGCGGCCCTGGATATTGGTACGACCTTCCAATGTCTGAAATTTCTTTCTTTCATTTTCCAGCTCTCTTTTTGCCTTTTAACTTAGACCAAACTGATATGTTCTTTTTCAGTTTAATATCTGAAAGAGTTACGCAAGGATTCACTTCATTTTAAGCTGAGATAGCATGGCCTCTACGAATCGTATGCTCATGCATGGTCGTTCTCAGTGCGTTCCTGGTATCACACTGCTTCCAAGTATTTACAAAATGATAGGCCGTAATAGATGAAAATTACCAGCTGAATATTCAAAGGCTTCAATATCAATATCATTAAAATATAGGCGAAACCTCCTTTAATGGCCTTTTCTGGACTAGGTACCTACGTGAAATCAATTCAATTAACGGAGGGTAGTACTATGTACATAGTAGGCAAGTTCAGCGCTAACTACATTTGAGCATTAAGATCTCTTAGCTGAGATACTATCCACTATAAAGGGTTAGCGTTAGCGTGGAAAGCATGGCTCAACCGCTGTAAAACATGACCTCACCCAGCAGTCACATCCTACCTCCATAGTATTTCTGAGGTACGTAGTGGTTAATAGTAGTAATCGCACAAGGCTTCCAAGTTTCCACAATCCGCAGCAGGTACCTTTACCTTATTTACCACTACATACCACTACATAGCAGACCCCATAAGTTCTATTCCACTATAAAACTACGACGCGCATAGATCGTCAAATAACTCGAAACTCTATAAGGGATCCTTACGGGCTTCACAATACTTAGTATTACAAGCCTGTTGCTCTTAATTGATGTTAGGAGCACCTAATTTTTCAGCTTGCGCCCGTTTATCCATTCTCCCCTCCCCCACATTCGCTCCTATCGTTGACGCACGTCGCAACACCCTGACGACTAGATGCGTATAAGTTCCATCTGAGACCCTCCCCGTTGGAAACCACTTGAGTACGGCTTTGTTAAACTCATTATTGCGAAAGCAAGTGAATCGAGATGTGGAACGACGAAGAAGATAATAACCCTTATGGCACAAGCTTTGAGCGTCGTGATTCCATAACCTCCTCTTCTGCACACCCTACTTCTCCAGGCTCTCGCAACTGTAAGTTCTACCCGCCTTCTTTAAACCCTACCTGGATCGAGGAGAAATAATGTGGGAAAACATAGCGTTGGATGACTCTCCTGACGAGGCTGATCCCGACTGGGAATATGTAGACCAACAACATCGCCCGAATACCCCGTCTTCTACCAGCGAAGATATCTCGCCGCCTACTACCTACGGGCAGCATCAGCATACTACGAACCCCGATAGCGATGAGGAATATGGGACTCAGAATAATCAAGTGCCGCGGAGGAAACCAGGTGGTTATGATAGCCGGATTGAGCAGATTCTCTACGAAAATCCAGAGCTTCCTATCATAATCACCGATGCCGGAAAGAGCATGGAGAGTGGCGGCAAGTATATCGTTTATACGATCAGAACGGGAGTATGTATATGCCCGGCTTCGCAGTAACTTTTCATACTCACATGAGACGCAGGACCTCGAAGTCCGGCGCCGATACTCTGAATTTGCATCTTTACGCGATGCGCTGACTAGGCTTCACCCTACCCTTATTATTCCACCGATTCCCGAAAAGCATACCATGGCCGATTACGCCGCGAACCCTACCAATGCGAAGCAGGACCAGCAGATCATAGATTTACGGAAGCGCATGCTAACTGTATTTTTGAACCGCTGCCGACGGATGGAGCAAGTTCGGGACGACGGGGTTCTATGGAAATTCCTAGACCCGAACGTTAGCTGGGTATGCCGCGCAATCATATCACCTAGGCGCATTGTCATGGCTAATTTGAATGACAGAATGAAGTGTTGCACTCGCATCCTGTCTCATCTATCCCAAAGTCGATTATGAAAGCCCCGCCACTGGATACAGCGAATCCTACGCCAGCGCATTCGTATCTGCCAGTCCCGGCTGCTTCTGCCAAGCTGAAGACGCCCGTGAACCAGCCTCCCGGTCCGGTGTTTGATAGTTCTAGCACTCTTGCTTCTCAGATATTGCGCCGGTTCCCCCCTGAAGCCCATGGCTTAAGCGAACAGGAATTAGACCCGTACTTTATCACCTATGAAGCATCAATCAAAGAACTAGAGCAAGCGCTAATGGGTCCGATGGAAAAAGTCAACAGGCGGACGCTGAGCCATTTGAGTTCTTTGGCAAGTGATCTTTCGGATCTAGGCGCCAAATACAACGCTTTCGCGCTCTCCGAGCCGTCTCCATCCCTAGCTGCAGCTATTGAGAGAGTAGGTCAAGCTGCCGATTCTTCATACATCGCAACGGAGGAACTTTCGAGTTCCCTGGGGGCGAGCTTCGCTGAGCCTATGAGAGAGAGCGCACAGTTTGCGGGGGTCGTTCGTAACGTCTTACGATACAGGATCTTGAAGAGGGTACAGCAAGAAATGGCCAACGACGAACTCCTCAAGAAAAAGGCCCTCCTAGAACAGCTGGAGAGTAGCGAGGCCGAGGCTAAGCGAATTGACCAATATCTCAGCAGCAGCCAACAAATCGGGGGAAGTTATCAGGTCCATGCACCTCGAAGATCGGTTAGTATGAGAGAAACGTCAACGTCACACCACAGGGAAGGCAGTGGAGAGGATACAGCATCTATTGATTCGGATTTCCTCCCGAGTCATGCAGATGTTTCTTCGGTACCTTCAGCCAGAGTAGGAGCTCCTGAGAGAACCTCTAGTTCGAACCATAAGAAGGTTCCTAGCAGCAATTCTATTACCAACAAGATATTTGGCCCAATACGTCATGCGATACAAGGTGTTGCTGATGTAGACCCAGAGAGAACTCGGCGCGACGCTATAGGAAAGACGCGCGAGAGTATAGAGCAACTGGAACAAGCTCAGGTAGCAGCGGCACAGGATGTGAAGGATGCGAGTGCAAGCATCTTACAAGATCTAAAGAGATTCCAAAACGAGAAAGAAGACGACCTGAGACGCTATATGGTAAGTTCATTTCGCTGCCTTCCTTATATCTAATATTACAAGATTGCTAACTGTGAATTAAAGCTGGCCTACGCGAAGAGTCAAATTGAATGGGCGAGGAAGAATAAGGAAACATGGGAGGAGGCGAAGGCCGAGGTTGATAAGATCGATGAGACGTAGAGCGTCCAGAGGGAAAACCAGCAGGGACTGGGTTACAATAAGGGTAAGGCCCGGAACCGCCCTGGCGATGATTATATTGTCTTATAAGGTTGCCATGGTTTGCCTCTTCTGAATGGATAATCAACAATAAGAGGAAACATACCAATACATTACGAGAGCCTGGCCGGATTAGAATCTTTAACGGAGTTCGGGAGTCTACGAAATAACCGAAGATTATGCTTTCAATACGATTCACTTATCACGCCAAACTTATATGTTCACAGCAGTCATGCTGAGGTTTGAGAAATTGGAACTTTTAAACTCTAACTAGGCAAGTCAAGGGACCAGGCGAGTAGTTCGTAGCGTTTAACTCTTATATATTGTTACAGAAACTTGCGTACACCGAGGCACCCCCACAGACCCGCGTTTTTTTCACATGTATACCATGATATACGTATTACGCCCCGTGGGGGTTTGCCAGGTTAGATCAGTACAGACACTGAGTGACGTTCTCCTTCGATTTAGTTAACATGAGGATCCCGACAATAACGCCGTAGAGGCCCAAGACTTCGGCGAAGATTAGGATCAGGACCATGCCGATGTAGAGTCGCGGCTGCTGGCTGCTAGCTCTCACTACGTACGGTAGGTTAGCACTTTATCAGCCTCGAGACTTATAGTACCTAGCTAGCTAGCTAAGGTATTCGATTATAACCACCTCTTTCTTTGGAAGTAGAAAGAAGAAGCAAAAGAAAGAGAAAAAAAAAGCTTACCTCCCGCGTCTCCAACTATGCCAATAGCAAACCCAGCCGCGAGGCCGCTGAGCCCGACGCTGATGCCCGCGCCCAGCTGGAGGAAGCCCTGGTGTAGGGGCATCTTCTCGATGAGGTCGCCCGAGATGATGACGCTGGCCACGAGGCCATAGATGGAGAGGATCTGGGCCATGATGGCGCAGAGTCTGCACGTGTGCATGTGGACAAGGCCTAATTGTCAGCGGTGCTTTTCTCGGCCCGGAGGGTGGTATACCTATGTGGTATATAGGTACCTCTAATGGAAGACATGGAGGATGCGAAAGGGGAGGGGGGAGGGGGGAAGGAAGAAAGCATACGTGTTCTGCATCAGCCGATCTGGGCGGATTATCCCCGAGGAAAAAATCGCGCCGGCTGATTTGGCGGTGCCGTAGGATGCGCCTAGGACGGTGAAGATGATGGACGATGCGCAGCCCATGGCTCCGAAGAAGGACTGTGGGGGGGTTGCAAGAGGTTAGAGATGGTATTGTTGTGAGGCATGGCATGGCATTGGCAACGGTGAAATAGGGGGCTATGGGACTCGGATACGCACGGCATATACTGGGCTGCATAGATGGTCACTTGGTCAGTATATGCAGTGTCTTGTTGAGTCCAGGGAGGCGAAGGAGACAGACCAGCGGGCCTCATAGACCATATCAGCGAGTGCGGCGTTCATCTCGGATACAACTGTCTGCTGGGCCATTGAAGACTACTGCGACTCGACTTGAGGAGGTTGTTGATATGAGGTAGTTTATTCACTCTAGACAAACTGCTGCACGGCAAGTAGCAAAAGCAAAGAAATACAGCTCTCTCCCTCTTCTTCTGTAAGATGTACCATCGAATGCGGCTTTAATGTATTATGTATTCTACCTTAAATAGATTCTAAACATCTATCTACTCGTCCCTTAGTATGACATAGGCGGGGTAGACGGGCGGGCTGTAGGCAGAAGAATAATCTATGGGCTGATTGGCTGTCACGAAGTATCTTATATATCTCCGGCTTAGTCCTGCTGAGAAGCCGAGAAGAGCTGGAATTATAGGGTGATTTCCAAGATCCAAGATTTGCCCTTAATAATTTCATAATTCAATAGTATATCGGGATGGTCTCCGAGCAAGTTGTCTCTGAGATCTTTTGGATTGGCAGCTGGTGATACCTACAAGCGTACATGGATACAAATCAACTTACATAGTAGAGAGGTACCTAACCTAACCCATAGATGTTTAAGTACGTGCAGTACGTGTAATTACGTGGCTTCCTTTGTGGCGCCTTCAAATAAGCCTCATCGTATGAAGATTGTTACCTAAGAGTTCAAACGGTCAGGAGGAGAACAATATGCACGTCAAATGCGATGACCTCAATCAAATGTACGTACAACCAAGCTAATGTTCCAACATTGAAGACTCCGTAGGAAGGGGCTTATGTACATGTAACCAGGTAACAACATTCCAATTGGAAGGCTCGACGTGTACTACAGGTAGGTAGGTTACGTACTTTTTAACAATGTTCCAACATTTTGGATTTGTCAACTTCTCCATTTACAATTCCCCGAGTGTCACTTGAACTTTGAAGTGTCACTTTGCGGGTCATGGATTTCCTGGTATTCGGGATGGGTGCTATTTACAGTTAAGTACTTCATTATGACTGGGTACACTCTTCGAGCTTGCGCGTCCTTACGTGTTCTCTTTCTCTCTCTCTCTCCTTTTTTTTTTTTTTTTTTTTTTTTTTTTTTTTTTTTTCCCTCTCCAAGAACCTTAACCCGAAACTAATGCGCATTTATTACAATGCCATTGGTTCTCGCATTAAGTCTAACAAAGGCATCTCCGTTATATCCGTTTGGGTATCCGCCAAGCGGCTCTTCCAAGCCTCAGCCTTGCTACTAATTAAATTTCATCCCATGCCAAGACAACCGTTGAATAACGATCAGCTTGCGTTACAGAAGGCGTTCGGTTTATCTATCGGAGTCATGGCTGGGCAGTACCTATGCTACCAGACTACTATGTAGGTCACAGCTAAGAACAACGAGATCTGAGCATCTGGGTACTATTTTCAGCTCAGTGAAACAATAATAGTTGGGCGGCTCTACAAGACCCGTGCTTAGGGCTGTTTGACGTTGTAGCTTGGGAAGCCCCTGACGAAATAAAGGAAATAAATGAAATGGACAAAATGTGACCCTGACAGCCCTGGTCCAACATTTGATACTGCCAACCGTATCAGGATCCATCTGTACTGGATCATGCCAGATGGCTTTGCTTACGTCGACAACAAAGAAGCTAATTACCCTCCTATGGTCGTCACTGGATAAGCTGCCCAGTTTCAATTCTTACGAATGGATTTTTCACAGCACCTGACTTCTCTTTTTAAAGGAGAGGTAGTCAGCAAAATATGAGTATTTGGATGGACGCGCGTCAGATGCGCCAAGTCTAAACACTATGTGCGGACTCCCCACTACGGTCTCTCCCCTAATTCTTGACTTTGACTTGAGTGCCAAGTAAGGGTCGCCTCCCATTTGACAATCCCGGTCCATATTCACAAAGCATACGTGCGCATACCATCCTGAGTCCCTCAAGTACTTTGGTTCAGCCGGCGTGGCTCAGCTACCTATTCCAACTCTTGTTCTTCGCACATTCGGCCAACCGAACTCCCCGGGTTTTCTATTCACACCACGCCGAGCAACTGGATTGCTGGATTTGTTTTTTTTTTATTCTTTTCAAATAACAGTTCCCCCCCTTCCCTTCCGCGATCTCGATTTTTTCTTATTTCCGTCCGTTAAACCGATTATTTTCACACCTTTAGATCTATCTACTCTTAGCCCTGGCCGGCCTCGCAGGACTTACGAATCCGTTTCCACTGTACTTAATACATCCTTCACCTCCTTCGCCATAGACGGACGGCTGTACATATAACTAGACAAACCAGGCAACTACTGATAGAAGTTACCTTTGATGTTCAGGTTATAGCATTTAGTGCTGTTATCGTATGCTTTGGACCGGTGGGATTAACCTGTCTTAACGATTTTCAATCTTCCATATGAAATCGACAATAGTACTTGCCCTTGTGGCAAGTATCTCAGCTATTCCGGCAGATGCACGTAATTTACAGAGTAGTACCGGCCGCCCAAAAGTTGTAAGCTTGACCACAGAACGGAAGACCATATCCGATCCATTAAGAAGAGACCGTTTACGGCGAAGAGACGGTACTTTTAGAGCAACACTAGACAACGAGGTATGATATGGGAACCTTACTTAGGCTTTCAGGTCTATATCTCTCTTGCTAAGCCACCAATAGGAGACGTTATACTTCGTGAATGGCACATTAGGAACGCCACCTCAATCTATACGCATGCACCTGGACACAGGGAGCAGTGATCTGTGGGTGAACACTGACTCTTCGTCCTTCTGCTCTCAGAGGTCGGAGCCTTGCTCTTTCGCCGGAACATATAACGCCAATTCTTCGAGCACTTATGAATATGTGGGAAGCTGGTTCAACATTTCTTACGTCGATGGTTCCGGGGCGAGTGGAGATTATGTTACTGACACAATCAGAATCGGAGATTTGGCGCTGGAGAAGTTCCAGTTTGGAATTGGATATTCAAGCAGTTCCGAGCAAGGTATTCTCGGCATTGGATATGCCACCAACGAGGTGCAAGTCGGTCGAGCAGGAAAGGATCCTTATGAGAACCTTCCTATGAAAATGGTCTCGGCTGGACAGATCCAAAGAAATGCCTACAGTCTTTGGTTGAACGATTTGGACGCGAACAAAGGCAGTATTCTGTTTGGAGGAGTCGATACTGCGCAGTATACGGGAAGTCTTCAGACGCTTCCGATCCAATCCAACGGCCGCACCTTCTCAGAGTTCTTGATTACATTGACATCTCTGTCAGTGGGTGGCAACACCGTCGCAGACAACCAGGCCCTTGCTGTCCTGCTAGACTCTGGCTCTTCGCTTACCTATCTGCCCGACGATATGGTTTCGGGGATCTATGATGCAGTTAACGCGCAGTACGACTCGAGCCAAGGGGCAGCGTACGTGCCGTGTTCCCTAGAGAACGAATCGGATACGATCGACTTCGTATTTTCCGGGCCGAAGATCTCAGTGGCAATGGACGAACTGGTGCTAGATTTGGTGACGACAACGGGAGAGCGCCCTACGTTCTCAAATGGTGTGGAAGCATGTCTGTTTGGCATTGCCCCAGCCGGTTCGGGAACGAACGTGCTTGGTGACACTTTCCTCCGATCAGCCTATGTCGTATACGACCTAGAAAATAACGAGATCTCGATCGCACAGACCAACTTCAACACGACGGAGTCGAACGTCGAGGAGATTCCCAGCGGTACGGGCATTCCTCATGCTACCGCAGTAGCTAATGCTGTCACGGCAACGGAGGGAATCGTACGAGGCACGGGCAGTGGAGGTGCCAACTTAGGTGGTGACACGGATGGTGCAGCGATGACGAGCGCGTCTGTTTCGGTAGCGGTCCTATTCCTATCCTTTGGAATTGCTACGTTGGCCACAATACTATAAGTGAGAAGATTTATACCCCTGTTGTTCGGATCTGGATTACGGATGGCATTAAAGCATTTGCAGGGCGTTAGGGTGACATAAGTTATTTCGAATTGGAAATAGTAGATTTGTTTTCTTCCATGGCATTGAGATTCCGGTATAGAAGACCGACGGGACATCGAAAGTGCATTAGGAGGTAGTTGCGTGATATCCGTGGTAGCGTTCTTTCGCTTAACATAGCCATGTCGATGGCGGAGATTTAGCACCAAGCTTATACGGAATTTTACATAAATTCATATAGAGATTAGACATTAAATACCTACCTATATTTATCGTGTACAGATTTTTTTAAATGTGAATACAGGAGTAGCTTTCTCGGACTGTCCACTACTTTTGACCATATTACAGTAAGTTTCGATGCTTGGTTTGTATTACTACCTAACTAGGCCCCTATTCATAATCTCGATAGGGGAATGGGGGAAGGCATATAGTCCTTTACCATAAGACACTTGAACATTTCTACGTACCTACCTACCTAGTATATGACAGGACATCCAAGGCTTGGCATCTTGGTATCTCGCGGGGTCTACTACACACGTATGAGCTACGCTTGATGGATTGCTAATTTTATACCTCGTCGATCAGTAGTGTGTTATTACTAGAGGTTTCATCAACATGTCAATCTTTAAAAAAAAAGAAGTCTTAAAGATAGTTGGATCGTAAACAGTTTCAAGGGGCTGGGGAGAATTGGTCCTCTGAAGGGGGTATTCGCCAAGTCTTGCCGAGAGTGGGTTGCTTGGTCTTGGTCTTGGTGTTGTTGTTATACTGTATGAAAGAGGGTTTTTCTTCTTGGGTGATAGGTATTATTTGGCTTGGCTTGGTGGGTGAGGAGTTGACAGAAGTTGAAACGTTGCAGGCCTTAACATCCATCGACGGGGAGGTGTAATAAACTATAGCATATAGGTAAAAAACAATCCAATAATATTGGAGTTGAAAACATTAGATACCTTAGGTACCTAATCTAAAGTCAAGAGGGTATCTATCTCATGCTAACCCACCATCGGCCATTCCAATAAAGTAGATGGGATAAACCGCATTGTTTGGTCCCCCTATAGTCCCCTATCAAAGTAATCGTGTATCCATCCTCCCACGCTTCTCGACGATGCTCCCTTACCTCACCTCACTACTCCCCTTCGGCTACTATTTATTCATAGCTCTCGCTCCTCGTTCTCGGTATCCTCAACCACCCCTTCCCTTCCCCCTTCCCCTATTATCCCCCCCATTGAGACCCCCCTTTCATTTATCTCATATCTCGCATTTCCTACTCCAATCCCATTCCCCTCTGTCCTAGCAGTTACTGATGTATGCATCTTATATGTATGTATGTAATGTAATGTAGGATAGGCACATAAGACCCTAGGTACCTAGAACCAAGGTAGGTACCTAATATAGGTACCTACCTATGTATGTGCATCGTATTATCGTCCTCCTCCTACTACGAACCGAACCCTACGAACACTGCTTCGAAGGCGGGACCCGCGGGTCCTTCCCCGCGCGGCGCAGGTACGCCTCGCACTCGTGCCCGAAGCGGCGGTCGCCGCCGTGCGCGCGCGTGTACGCCTCCACCCAGCACAGCGGGCACGCCGCGTACCCGGCGTTGCTGAACCCGACCCACGGCCGGCCCTCGTGCAGCGCGGTGTTGTCGTGGCACGGGCACGGGCAGTCGAGCATATCCGACGGCCACAACGGTGGCGGCGGTGGCGGCGGTGGCGGTGATGGCGATGGTGATGGCGATGCTGGTGGCGATGACGGCGTTGTCGGCAGTGACGTACTGGTGCTGGTGGTCTTGGCTTCCGTCGTTGTCGTCGTGCCTGTGGTCGCCGTTATACTTATTCTTCTTGGCCGCGGGGGCGGGGGCGGGGGCGGTGGGGGCGGTGATCGTGGCGGTCGTGGTGGCGGCATATGCGGAGAAGGAGAAGACCGAGGATGACGATTTGGGGGAAGAGGACGAGGTGGGGGTGGGGGGAGCGGACGACGTTCTCGGGGAAGAGGAGGTGATGGCAAGGGAGGTAAACAATGGCGGGTCAGTGGTGATAGTAGTAATGATAATGGCCTCGGTTCCGGAGTGCTCTTGACGATTGTTGTTGTTGTTGTCGCAGGGATCTCCTCGGCCTCGTGATCTTCCTCGTCTTCTTGCGCGCTCATGGCAACTTTGGGAGAACGGTGCGAAAAGCTGTGGATTATGCTTGTATGGTGGTGATGTTGTATATATATATATATATGTGTGTGTGTGTGTGTATATTTATCCTGGGTCTTTGATATATCGCAAAAGTTGAGTATCTCGCTGCTTCTTCGTCGTCGCTGCTAGCTAACTCTGTGAAATATGTATTAGGAGAGTTTAGTTTAGGTAGTAGGATAAAGTCTAGCAGGCTCGGGACAGAGTGAAAAAAAAGAAAAAAAAAAGAAAGAACCAACAGAGACGAAATAATACGTTAGTTAGTCCATGAGAAAAGCAGTAGTCGCAGCCTGACGTGTCGAGTCGATGCGTCGTCCTCATCGTCGTTGCAACATCCGCATTCTAGTCTAAGTCGCGACGCACGTCCGTTCGCGCGAAGGTATTTCGAGATTGCGCACGCAGAACCCAGGCGTTGTGGAACCTAAAGGCTAGGCCCTTTCGAAACCGATAGGCTCTCCATCTATCTATCTAAAGGCAAGAAAAGCCTACCTATGCCTAACACGAAGCTCTCGAGTCACGAGAAGTCACGAGCAGGTGTCACCGCAGGATACCGGAATGATCGTACCTAGATAGGATTCCTTTACTTTTTCCGTGGAGTAGAGAGCGGTGCCATCGTCAGGCAACGGAGTTCCGAGCTTCAACACGTGGTCGAGATGGATGCTGCATCGTGAAATCACGGTTAGGCTAGGCAAAGTTAGGTACCTACCCACCTAGGTATATATTAGTCCTGACGGCGGCGCTAAACAGGAGAGATATGTAGAATAGACCTGACCTTTCTTTGTATATCTAGTACGCATACGACTTATGAATAGATATAGTAATAGTTTTAGTGTTGGCCGAAGCTGGGTAGGTGACTTCGTAGCAGGACGGAGGAAGTGATTTTATGATAGTTCGCATTGTTCAGTATACGTGTTATAATACCTATTATGAGTGTTCCCTACCAGGTTCATCTTAAAGCTCGCACTGTTACTCATAAAATATATGATAAAATACCCCTGAATGGAAAGCTGCAGCCATCCTTGGGGGAGGGGGGTAGAAAAGGGGGTCCTATTTCACGTCAACAATGGATGATACATGCAATGATCGGGAGTTACGGCGGAAAGACACATCCGAGCCGTATCGCTGCAGGTCTTGGTATGCAAGACCTTCCAAGGAATTGCTAAATTCACTCGAAGGCGATGCCGGTAGGCACTTGCTCAATCTTGAGTGGTAAATGCTTTTGTTAAGCCTCTTATAGTCTCTTAAAGGGCTGATATGGCCGTGCACTAGGTAGGCTTCCTGTCACATGTAAGAAAAAAACCAAAAACCAAAAAAAAAAAAATGATAAATCAGATCAGATGGTTGTTGAGATGGCGAGTCGCGTCATGGCTATTATAGCCTAGCTTATTAGGTGGTGATGATACATCAATAGCTAAGTCATAGCCCAGATCATGAGCAGTTCCTCCTTAGTATTCGAAATCATCATCCACAGACGGACCCTTACTCTTTGTGACGCTTTCCTGTTTTCTGTATAACTCCGCCACTTGACGGCTGCTTGTCGCCTCGTCCGGTTTCTTATCATCTCTCACTTTGATAAATCTAGGGAACCGCAAGCTAATTCCCTTCTCACCAGACGGGTCGACATTCTCCTTCAACCCCGCCTTATACCTTGGACTCAGCGTTAGATCTGCCGTTCGCACTTCCCAGACATAGCGTGGTTCAAACCAGACGTCTGGTTGATGCTGCCCACCCGATGAGTGCGCATAGAATGGTTTTGGGCGATCAATAACGATTTCTGAGAGTTGCTTGTGAAGGTCTTCGAGAACTTGCTCGGAAAAGCCGGTGCCAATATTGCAGATAGTCTCGTAGGTGTCGGAAGCTGCATTATAGCAGGCGAGAAGGAAGGCACCGTAAACAGACGTACGCTTGCCTTTGCCATAGTAGGCACCGAGGACTACCAGATCAAGCGAGTCACCTACTCCTGAAAGGTAATCTTTCTTGATCTACTCCTTTGTTAGCAAAGAGCCATAAGATAGGACTTATAAGATCTCACCTTAAGCCAATTTCGACTTCGCTTACTGGGCTCGTACCCACTCTCCGCACCGTCAAGCATCTTGACCATCAAGCCTTCGCAAGAAGCCTTGACACTTTCATCTAAGAAAGCCTGGATTTCGTCGAGCTCCCTACCATTCATGTGCGTTGCGAATGCAAACTCTCCTTCTACTGGTTGGAAAGCACTATGAAGCAACTCGCGACGTTCTCGGAGCGGCTTCTCGACGACGGCCTCCCCGTTGAGGAATAACAAGTCAAACGCAAACACGCAGACTTTTACTTTCACGTCCTCCAGCTTGACGTCCTTCTTTTTCCGTGTCATTAACTGCTGGAAGGGGAGAACCTTTTTCTCGTTTACATCCCAGGCGACGGTTTCGCAATCCAACACGAAGCTTTTGGTGCCGTCTTTGACCCAGGTGTGTAGCTTCGCAAGGATATCGGGATATTTCTTGGACAGGTCTTCTGAGTTTCGAGAGAAGATAGACGCGACACCCGTAGCAGCTTCTTTGGCAGCACCAGGAAGAGCGTCAATATACTCGTCCGAATGGTCTTTCGCAACGTAGTGGATCTGCGCTCTCTCGCCGTCATACTTATACTCGCAGGTGAAAGTCTGATCTTCAAACCGATCTAGCACCTCGGTAATTGCTTTTGTAGGCTTTGCAAGCATGGGCTTGAGAGGAACTCCTGGGCGAAGCTTGCAAGTCTCCTTCAACCTCATGATGCCGTTCTTGACCATGGCGGGGATAATCACATCCCAGCTGGGAAGTTCACTATTTCATGTTAGAACAATCAATGTGAATGCTTAACTATATCACCAACCTGTACACCGTCTTCAGCATAGCCTCTGCTTCTTCTATCTCCTTGGCGCTGGGTACTTTTCCTTTTTGTTCTGCTTCGTGACAAATTATAGCTTGTGCGATGGAAACGAGGACGGTCTTTTCGGCCAAACCCAATCTGAGTTTCCCTTCCAAGAACCGGATCAGATATTTGGCTTCGCTAGGACCACCTTTGTCCTTGTAGATATCGACTTTGCCAGCCGAGTGAGCATCAGCAGATGATAATAGCTTCTTGATTCCGTCAACTTTCCTGCCCTGAGCGCCGTTTCCGGCCACGGTTGCAATGTCCATTAGACCTTTATGCACAGCTCTGACAGTTAACGGCTTGGGTTTGAACATAGTTGGTTGAGTCGATCTGCTTTTGACCGCAACAAGACCCAAGTCGCCAATCTCTTTCTGGTCAGCTTTTATAACTTCTAAGCTACGCCCTGTCGTTTCGCCTATGGCCTTCATGATAAGCGATTCGCCAATACCAAGTTCGATGCCTGCGTAGTCCGGAGCCAATTTGTTGATCATCAATAATACCGTCGGAAGAAAGTCATCGGGGGTCAGGCGTAAAACTTGTTGGAGGAATAGAGAGCAATATTCCGTGATCTGAAGTCGCTTTGAGGTGAGCTCAACAAGTGAGAAAGTTGTGCACAATGCAGCGTAAGGCACTGGTGCTCCAGGTTTCCAATCGGGATACGCATCCTTCGTCTTGCTCTGAAGCTTAGTCTGCTGCTTTTCCCGGACCTTAGATTTAAGCTCTGGTTTCTCATCTTCACTTTCCTCCTTTTCCATCTCAGAAGCGGATTCCGAAGCTTCCTCTTTGATATCATCATCCTCTTGCTTAGGTACCGGTGACTCTTCCTTATCGGACGTGGATTTAGCAGGGGACTTCTTTGGAGAAGCTTTCTTGCTTTTGGGTGATTTCTTGGGCTTGACTGGCTCGGCGTCGGCCATAGTCTCGTCTTCGTCCTTATCCTCAATTCGGGGGCGACCCCTTCGTCGTCTTTTTACCACAGGCGCTTCTTCTTCAAGCTCCTTTTCCTCAGGCTCCTCCTCATTTTCAACTTTTATCTTTGTAGAGGATTGTTTCGCCTTGCCCTTTGGAGAGGAGGGAGACCGAGATCGCTTTCTGGTGTCTAGTTACATCGAGATTAGTTAAATGCGCTTTCACAATTGGTTCAGCAAAGAGCAGTTCACACCTTTGGCAGGATCAGCGCTTTGATCGGCATTTTCAGTCGCATCGGCGCTCGCTTTCCTCTTTGGCGAAGCTGGTTCTTGGTCCTCGGAAGCTTCTGGTTCCTCCTTTGGCTTCTTACTCGACTTTGTACTGAACGAAAGCTTGGACTGCTGTGGTGCAGGCTTGGGGCCATTGGGCTGGCCAAAGAACTTCCTGGTGCGAGGTGTGATTGTTAGCAAGTGAGAACCTCACCAGTACAAGACGGACAAAGAAAATCAAGGAAGACGCACCCTAAGGTGGTCTGCGATGATTTCACATACCCTAGGGTAGCTTGCTTGGATGCCATTTTGAGTAGTCTACTGGGAGTAGACGTACTCGTTAGAACCCTAAGCAGATGTCGCAAGGCCACGGTGAAGAAAATGGTGAGTTAGAAGAAAAGAAAAAAAAATCCCCGAGGGTGAGATGCAGCTTCCGACTTTTTATTGTCGTATTGCAGCTTGGGGGCTAGGGGTTATTGGAGGTAGGCAGAAGGTACAATGCAGAAGGCAGCAACCAATAATTTCCTCTACATTAAGCACATTGAGTAGGAGGTAGCTACCTAAACTTGCATGCATGCATGCATTGAGTACCCAGGTATGACGCGACTTCCCTAGCTTGAACCGCGTTAAATTTCCCATTTAACGCGATTTTGCAAGGATCATACAGTGCTATCGTAGATATGTTGACACTTAGTACACTGTGTAATACTCTATCGATAAACATCCTCCTCGGCATAAGTCCTCTGTATCGGCTCTTTGCAACTCACCAACAACAACAACAATGAAATCATGAAGACTCCTTATGTAGCATTGCGCCGGCTTCAAAAGTCCCAATGTATAGGCCATCCAGTCTTTAAACATTACCCTACCGCTTGGCGCCGCGGATACAGTAGTTCCAATGGGTCGTTCCTAGGTAACTTCGAGGCTATCAGGGCCGAGATGCTGGCCCGTCCAACTCAGTTGAGCTGGGATGTTATGTCGCCAACAAACTCCTCTCTCCTCAACATAGCCCTAGCCGATTTCATACCAGAGAGCTGTCAGGCTCTGGCATACCAGGCGGGTGCTAAGTCTATCGAAAAAGTCGATGCCAAGTATGAGCTTCTGCAGGGCCACCATCTCGTTTACTTCCCGTTGCAGAAGACCGCATCGGAGCTATGTCCCGACGGGACAGACCCCTTACATAGTCCCGGCGGTCCGTTTGAGCGGCGCATGTGGGCTGGCGGCTCCATCGAATTCAACGACGACTTCCGCCTGGACTCTTCCAAGGTCGTGTGTAAGGAGAGAGTGGACCAGGTCACCGTGAAGGGGCCCGAAGGGCAGGAGAAGATCTTTGTTGACGTGCTGCGCGAGTATATGAGGGAGCAAGACTCCCACGGCCCATCTATGACCCGGGGGATAAGCGAGCGGCGAAGTCTCGTCTTCATGCGGGGGTCGAGTAAAGAGCAAGCCCGCGAGAACCTCGCGAAGGCATCTTTAGGAAGAGATAGGATTGTCAAGGGTATGTTCACACACTCATATATATAAGCTTCCCCTTTTTTATTGTTTTTCTGTCACCACCATGACCTTCTTAAAAGAATCCGACCTGTTCGTGAGCCTCGTGATTATGGCTGAGATTCCAGCGAAGCTCCCCATGCCCCCGACTTCTCCATCGCGCTCACGCCAACACCCACCCTGTTGTTCCACTACAGCGCGTTGACTTTCAACGCGCACCTGATCCACCTCGACCCAGCGTTCTGCCGCGAGGTGGAAGGCTACCGTAACCTACTAGTCCACGGCCCTCTCTCCCTTACCCTGATGCTTTCCGTGCTAAGATCGCGACTCCACCCGGGTGAGAAAATCCGCAAGATCGATTATCGGAACCTAGCTCCTCTTTATGTAAATGAGCCTATGCGTGTGTGCGTCAGATACAGCGGTGATGCAGGAGAAGAATCAGCAGAAGGGAAGCCTCGAAAATGGGATGTTTGGGTGGAGGACCGCGATGGAGGTCTTAGTGTAAGGGGCACTGCCGTGAGTCACAAATCTAGTATATAGGAGTAGATTCATGAGGACATATCACATTAAGCTCAAGCACTGAAGATACTGTATTCATTTACGCTGGCTTAGGTCAAGGACTGATCATACTATGTACCTTGGTACATAGCAAGTGAGTTAGTACCTAGATGTAATAAATACTGTAGCAACGCAGAATTTACGTTAGGTACCTAAGGTAGTAACGTATCTGAACAGCACACGCCGTGTGGGCAGTGCGTCCTTAGGTAGCAAGAACGTCACTCACTACAAAGACTTGTATACGAAGCATAGTTCGAAAATAATTGTTAGAGCTTAATACTTATCGTTTTCTACAACGTCGAGGTTATTTAATGCTTATAAATACATGCCCTCGAACTTGCAAGATGAAGCTGTCGTCGGCAATCATTCCTATTCATTTGCTCTCATGCATTAACCACCAGAAGCTCAGCACCGCTGCGCAAATGCCACTCATGAAACCACCACCAAATTACGAACCACAAGAGAAAAATAGAACAAAGATTGATAAGGAAAACATGACCGATTCTCCATTTCGCCGCATCAATGCATCATCTGTTTTTCTTTGTCCATCTATGGGACTAAAATGCCACCATCATCGCCCATCTCGTGGATATTTCCGCTAACTAAACCCCCTTAGAAAGCCAGTCTAAAATCTTCAGTTGTGGCATCAAAATGCCGTCCCATAAAAATAAAAGTTCAGTGATACGACGTGGGTGGATATCGCTGCTAATGAAAAAAGAAATCCGAGGTCGAAGTATGTCGAAAGCGACCATACCAAATATCACCAAGTACAGAGAGAAACTTGGTAACCGGATGGATATACGTCTGATCTATGGCCATTCAGAGATTTGCTGGATCTAGCCGCTATAACACAGCCGACCTCGTTATGCTGAGAATTGAATAATAGGTCGCTCATCGCAAAGGGGTATCGAGAAAAGACTGGCTTGAGAATATAACATCGCGCCTCTATGCGGTTCAGGTAATCGGAGCGAGGAACGGACTTAGCATAAGCTCGTCTGCGCTTGGTCGCAAGTTGTGGTCAATCTCGAAAGTCTGGGTTAAGAACGTAACTGCCTCGGGGCTGGCATTATCAGGAATAGTTGGAGCGGCCTTACCACCTCCGATCTTGAAGATGGCTTGCAATTGACTGCAGTCTGGGAAAGGATGCGCTCCGGTCATCATTTCGACGACCAAGCAGCCGAGAGACCAGATATCAGCTTTGCGGGTGTATGAGGTCTGCTTAACCACTTCAGGGGCCATCCAGAACACCGAGCCTTGCAACGATGGCCTATGCTTGTTGTTGTTGGCTCCACTGAGAATATTTGAAGCCTCGAGCTTCTTGCTAATTCCGAAATCGGAAATCTTAATCGTGCCCTTGTTATCCACAAGGATATTGGCACCCTTGATATCTCGATGAATGATATCTCGGTTATGTAGGTACGAGAGCCCATTCAAGATTTGTCTCACGAAACTGCGGACGAGAGGTTCGGGTAGGGCGCCATACGAGTTGAGCATGGTCTGAACTGAGCCACCAGGGACGTACTCGAGGAAAATGTTGAGGTGCTCAGCCGAGGAGCTGCAGCCAAGGTATTGCACAATGTTCGCATGTCGAAGATCTCGGAGCAGACTAATCTCCCGCTTAAGAGCCTCGATCATACTCTTCTTTCGGGCATCCGTCTGGCTATTGGCGCCAGGCGAAGGCGTCTCAACTTGCTTGACGGCAAGGAGTTCTCCAGTTACTGCATGCAAAGCCAGATAAACACTGCCGAACGATCCTTGACCAATCAAGGCACCTTTCATCCACTTGTTATCATCCCACGATTCACCAGCTAGGAAGCTCTGCAGTTCCTCATCGGCATCCTCGCCGTCCTCGCTCAGGGCCTGAGTGATTTCCTTCAGGGATCCAGAACCTTGAGTACTAGTTTCATCGAAGTAACTTTGACGGACATTTCCTTCTGGATCTGTAATGCTTATAGGATTGCTGTCCGAGCCGCTATCTACAAACGAAACATAAGACTTGCGGTCAGGTTCGATAGGAGACTCCTCTTGAAGAGTGTCCAGAACCGACGAAGCAATCGAATCTCGGAATAAATGTGGCATGCGGCCTTGGCTCTCACGGGCCCTGACCTTCGCAAGCTGGCCGCTGTTCAACCAAGAATCTGCAATAGTCGGGATAGGGGGCGCATCTTGGATGCTAGATGCGAAGCTAAAGTTGCTTGCGACACTAAGTCGGCTGTTCACCTTGCTAAGGCGAGTAGACCTGCGCATAGATAGTCGGGCAGTTCGGTCGATGTCTTCCCTGGGGTGATCAGGGAAGTACGATGTGAGATCGGATGTGATCAACTCGCTGGGCGGTCTCAGACCACCGAACGGTCTCAGGACCTTTCGTCTCGAGAGATCTCGAGGATCACTGGGGCGTTCCAAGTCCCTGGCGGTATTATTGAGGTTCCTTTCACGATCCTGGAAGGAAATTGGCGATAACGGCTGTTGGAGCCCTTCGGTCCAGCTCTCACCTAATAGTCTTTGAACCTTTTCTTGACTTCTCTTATCTTGGACATTCTCGAGGGCACGGGCGTGGGATTGTTGGGCTTCTTCCATGGCAATAGAGGCAGCTCGCTGCAGCTCTTTTTCTCCAGGCTCACCGGAGGGCACTCTTCGGAGAATGAGACGGTTTCTCTCTGGTCGCTTCTGATCCTTAATGATGCGCCATAGTTCGGTATCACCGAGACGACGACACTGCTTAGGGTCGGGGTCAACACCGGCTAATATCCAGAAACAGTAATTGCGATCATGGTCCTCCCGTAACGCAAACTTTCGCAACGTTACCCGCATAACTTCTTCGCAGGTATTGCAGTCGGCAATCTTCACAACCTTCGTAACGCCTCCGTTCCAGATGACGCGGATGACATCTTGACCCTGTGGTAAAGCAGCCATCAGCGAACCATCCTGACTTGAGGCATTCCGTGTGTGTGTAATTACCAGACGGCTCGGCATGGTCGGCGAGCCAGGTCCCCGAGCGGTCGAATTGGGTGTCGTGTTGCTCATATACGGCTGGTTCTGATATCTCGGCAGTCTGGCAGTTCGGGGATCCGTGTTGGGTAAAGGCGAATTGGGTCGTGACGAAGACTTTGCGACATCCGCCATAGAGGTCATAGGTAAGGTCTGCATATCGAGCCGTGAGTACCTCTTAGCAGGTGCCGTGGCGATACCACGACCAGCAGAAGCGGCGTGCCGCGGTGATCCCAGCGAAGAGGGAGCATATTGGGAATCCAGGACCCCAAAAGAATCCTGAAAAATAACTGTTAGGCGATAGTTCAAACAACTTTTCAAGCCAACAATTCGAATTATTCCTTTCACGAGAATAGCACATGCAATAGATTTCTAGGTAACTTACTCGGTTGCGTCTCTTCTGGTTCGCATACGCCTTTGTCCTAAGCTTCTTAATACCCAGAAACAGTCGGACCCGATCGCCAACTTTGTCAATGCCCATTTCTTGGAGGACTTCCTTATCCATCTCAAGCAAGTTTTCACCATTGATATTATTTTTCCGGAAGATCTTCTCATACTCGCCACACTTAACACTCCTTAAATAGTCACAGACTTGACCCTCGGACCAGTTCTTGACTGCATCAGGGCCATCGAGATCGGAAAACTCGGATTCGGTCGGGCTGGCGAAAGCTTGACCGGTGGCATGAACAGCAGGCGGTCTCCTCGCGGGAGCCATACCAGATGACTGCACGCTCGGAACCAGCGTCGAGTTCGACGAGGCTAACGAAGCCGGGAAAGACGACTTCGAAGCTAGCATAGCCATTGTGAATGATTTATCGACCAAGGCTGTCAGACATACATGAGAGGGGGGAAGGGGGGGGAGGAAGAAAGAATCGAAAACCTGTGTTAAAGGAAAATATAAAATATAAAATAAAAATAAGATTGAATTAATTTTTTAATTCTTGGATCAACTCTTCTTTTCCCTTTGTGGAATTGAACAAAGAATCAACTTTGCACCGAGTACGGGCGACGACCCCGAATGAATGAAGGAAAAGCTCACAGACACAAAAAGTCGAGAATGTATATCGACGAGTTTGTGGTTGTGGAGCGTGGGATTTTGAAAGATTTGGAAGTCGGGGGGAATTAATTGATTTACAGGTACCTGACTGTGATGGTACAAAGGTACTCTCCCATTCACCATCTTTATGGCACCTGGGGCAGCTGGCTATGAGAGTTCGTTGGCGTTGGTGTAACCTGCCAAGGGTCTTTCTTAGATGCAGGCTGACTACCTACACTACGGTAGCGTAGCCCCACCTCCTTAGAATAGCTAAATCGAGGGATTCACGGGTGGACTCACAGGTGGATTTACAGGTGGATTGGGAACTGTACAAGACACTACAGTGTGTGTCAGGTACCTAGAACTAGGGCTACATGTACCTTACTTTACCTACCTGTAGGTACCTAACCCAAAGTCTAATAGGCCTTAGGTACCTACTATAATCTAACTCTCCCTCAACGGATAAGCTTACAGTATTTATGGTTTCTGACTGTGGAGTACCAGGTGTTTGGATATGTTTAGAGAGTTATGATTGGGTTGAATATAGGGAAAAGAGGGAAAAAGAAAGCGGTAAACCGGTACATAAAAAAGCTGACGGCGATAAGTTGAAACTCGTCAAGGAACGCACGGTCTCCAGATCATCAGGGAAACCAATCCCGTCATCGACTCACTCACTCACCAACGGTAAGTCATCGTCTAGGTATCAGGCGAGATGGAAAGAATCATTTGTTTCAATACGCAATCACTTGGTTTAGCTCGGCTGATAGTCATTCAGTTTGTCTAATACCATTACGCACATCTCCACTACAATACGGAGTACATAAGTAGATGCACTTACGATGCAAGATCGGGGAGATGAGGTCTCTCCCCCAAGGCCTCTCCCCCTCCCTCTTTCTCTTCGTGGTAATCCGCGTGGCATGGTCTATTTTTACAGCCCTCATTAGGTATAATATGCCCGGATATATATACAAGACGTATGGAAACTAGAACATAGTGGATGTATAAGACACATCCATATAACATACAACACAGTCAGCATATAACATGTAGGTAACTATAGGAACATGTAGGTATATAGGTTCGTGGAGGTGCGTAATGGGATGTACGTGTACGGGCGGCTAGGTACTCGCCAACAATCACATACAGCCCCCATTCAGAAGTCGGGGTGCGTACCCCTTTTGGGCACGTCCGTATAGCTAATTTCGATACCCGTACACAAAACCCCCGTGTCGGTGTCGCCATTATGCTAACAGAGGTGATCCATTTGTGATCCATTTATTAAGGATATCTCGGGGTGCCTTACCTTAAAGCCCAGGCTTACCTTATATTGCGCAAGCCTTCATAAGGAAAAGAGAGCAGCGAAGAGTGTCTCTAGGTAGCATGATAACGCATGGTGTATTACCTGTTCTCCCTGCTACATCAAGAGACCAGTGTTACAAGTGCCTGGGTCTGTGACGTGAGAGGGTTAATAGCGACGATTAGCTCAAGCGCCAAATCCTCAATCATCAACCAACGACACACCGGCCTGGCTGGTACGGCAGTGTTAAGAAACCAACAACTGCTTAACAACGATTGGTCTGGTTGATTTTTTACGCCGCTCGCGCCCACTTCGCGCTCACCTCGCCGCCTCACCAACTTATGTTCCTTCTTAAAACGTACAAGGGGAGGCAAAGCAGAAGAAGAAAAGAAAGCTATTCCCCAATAGTATTAGAGGGGATGAAGGGAGAAGGGGGTTTGGGGTTTGATAGGTAAGGTTGATAAGGTCTTATTGGGTTAAGCTTGGACTCTGGAGAGAAGCAGAGAGATGGGGAATGATTGTGACAAGGGCCTAGGTCATGATCTCCAAACCTGAAACAGACCAAGTTTCGACCAGTCCGGATAAGATGTGTTCAATGGAGTGTGCATCGGGCTTTAGCAAGCCTTTTTGGTATATCCCTTGCCCGCATTCGCCCACCCTAGCCCTCCTCGTGACCCGTACCGGCAGTGTGGTTTACGTATGCGGGACAAGGAACTTGGTTGACGTTACCTACTCCCATATTCAAACCCAATTAAAGAAAGAAAACAAAAAACAAAAAAAGGCATCTCTTTTTGTTTTGTTTCTCTATTCTTACGAATAAGACTACCTAACCTACCTACGTATAACCTCAGTGGCTCAAACAAATCCCGTACTTTTAGAAGTAGGCGATTCCTTGTAAGTCGTAACGTAACAATGGAAGAAGAAGAAAAGTAGTACAACTCCATCCAGGCATATACCTACTTCTTTTCTCCCTGCCTATTATAGCGCAATAGGTAGCATTTAATATGTGCTGAGCTGAAGATGGTATGCAGTTGACAACAATTTAGGCGCTTATCTCCGTCCCTTGCTGGCCCTTTTTTTTTCTCTCTCTTCCAACGTAACCCATAGGCGCGTCCTGGTACAAGATCCTTCAGCCTTTAATCCGTATAATATATATCGCATTGAGAAATTAAACGCTGCTGCAACCAAGATGCGCAGCAAAGGATGTCTTGTAACTTTAGAAGTCGTGACTCAAAGAGAACATGTCGATTCGTCAAACTTCAACTTCCAACTTACCGCTAGATATAATGTTTCTCAACCATGTGACTTGGATTCATGTGGGTAGCTTATTAGTTATAGCAAATGAGGAGTCGCAGATCGACGCTCGAAAACCGCATACATGCTGCACCTAGACTTCTTAGGCAAGGGGTCTGGAAGCCGTGGAAGTTTGCTAGCGTAGATCCGGGACCGAAAAAAGAAACTAGAGCTCGGATTGAGCGAAAGAGGTATCGAAGGTTTATCGAGCAGGCGTAGAGCCAGTCGTATTATGCTGTTGCCCGGTCATCATCGGTCATCTTTTGGTTGTATTTCCAAGTTGCGGCTGCAAATGCCATGGCTGCTCCCGCGTGGGTAGGACGAAAGGTAATAAGCGGTTCATTTATATTGTTTGGTACACCAGCGACGGGATCCCGAGATCCTCAAGGATTGAGCTGGAACTTTCTTGATAAACCTGCTCAACTTTTTTTTTTTTTCATCTTCCTTCTTTGCTACCTATGCTCGCTCCCCAAATTCGCTTACTCGTATGTAATATCCTTACCAGGTAGATCATATTTAATCACTTCATCTTATGCAGCGGTGTCCGCGGGGTTTCGGTGTAGAGCCTGAGATCAAACACCAAACGTCGTGATACGCGCGCAAGGTCAAGGCATTTTTCATGACCTCTCAAAGCCCACCGCGCCAAGCTTCGTTCATTTTGAAATTATAGGTATTCAACGGCATTGAGATCCTTCGATTAATCAAAACTGGGGTCTGGAGGATTCTTTACTTTGAGGGAAAAAATGTGATGCTGGGCCGCCCTAGATCTAGGGAATCCATATGCACCAGCAAGCACGGTAGTTCCCGCTTGACATTCCATATGAGGTACCTAATATATTAACTCGAGAGCTTACAGTCAAACATATAGCCATTAGAGGTAGTGTCTATTGATCCTACCAGGATTAATGGAACTTTGGGATCATGTTTAGGTACTTGAGTTACCTTAGCTACTCGGTACACGCAATACTTTCGTGGAGTTATAAACATCGATACCAGCTGTAAGGGGCTACGAACCCGCAAACAAAGCGTACAACACACCGAATTCCTAAAGATACCATCTGTGTCCTACGTGAAAAGGTAAAAGATATGACTCTTTTCAATGCGCACTGTTCCATGTGAATGCGGCTTTGTGGGAATCCTTTTGCATTGTTGCCCGGCTGAGCTGTATAAGTCCTAACCGCGTTGGTTATTAATAAACCCTTTGTTAAGAGGCAAGTCTCCCTTTCTATCGCGTTTCATATTATAAGCCACCACAAATGCTATTATGGTCTTGAACAGTATCAGATGCTATCTTGACAAGCAAGCACATGACCACCCTAGGTATCTTGAACAACCATCGACATCAGTCGGAATGCACATACAGATAGATAGTGCTGGTACTTATCAAATACACGGTATATTGAGGGGTAGCTACATACATACCTCATACGTACCTATGTATTGTGTATATGGTAGGTAAAGACGATAAAGACGGGACTCTCAAGTAGTATAACTTAAGTAGGTACCTCGTATGATAACTGACCATGCTCTTCAAGTTCAGTTAATTCTTATTGGTCATTCTTTAGTCAGAGCATTAGGTAGTCTCTAAGGCTACGAGGCTCAATGCTAGCAATCGCAACATGCTAAGTCAAACATCATTGCCTCGATACCTCTCCCCCTGATCGCCTCTCCTAGCGCTGAAGCAGCCAAAATCAAGACATCCATCGCGGTTTTATAACCAAGGCAGATACAAATGTAAGTCCCCGAGAAAGTCAATGCTGTCTGCCTGTCCACTTCCAGCATTCTGCGACATCTGGACCAAGGTAATCAACGTGATACAGTTTCTTCATAGCCGTACAGACGCGGCCCGTTCGCATACGCTGCGACCCTAGCTGCCTTGGCTCGTCAGATCTGAGGATGCCTCGTGCTTCGGCATCTTGCAGGACGGGAATCATAGGCGCCGAAGGCTTGTTCTAGGTAGACCATCCGCTCATATTCCAGGCTGGTCTTCCCCGTCTGGCCGTCGGTTGTTTAATCTGCCCGAATTGCCAGATTTCTCCTCTCCTTACATATTCGACTTTTATTCAGCTACCCGTATTGCGAGATAAAACCGACAAATAGAGAAATTGTGTTGTTCAGCAAGCAGGTAACCTGGACGCAATTAGCTGGAGACGAGGGATCGTGACTACCTAATACGCATCAAAGGTATTGTTTATTCAAGACGTCTTATATGGAGTTCCAAGAACAAGTACTTGGGTCAAATTGAAATAAACCTTCAAGGCTACAAGTTTGTGGTTTATAACGTGAGTATTCTCCAACCGGGAGTTGTCACATTCTCTAAAACAACTCAGCCACCTGCCTGATGTTAACCGGGAGGCGAGATAAATGCAATAGAAGTAACAGATGCATAAGGATATACAAATCTAAATACGTAGCTATGTAGTTGGTGAGCCAAGGAGCTGGTAATTAGCATATGTGACGTCGAGAGTGTCTTACAAGATTCATCCTATGCTTCACATAGACACATGAAAAAGATTTTACTTCTCTTCCAGCATAGGTAATTATGTTTGACACGACTAGATGCCACCCTATACTCATCGTGTTCAGAACTATGACATAGCTTAGAGTTATTGATGTTCTTGACAAGTCTGATCTGATGTTCCTGCAAGGACTTCGTTGCTTTGGTCTCACTGCTGAATACTCCTGCGGCAGACAGTTAGATACCTACTAAGTTGCATACTTCTCTTTACCATCCATAAATCGGCCTAGATAAACCCCATGTAATTACAGTTTCCGTTTATTCAGATGTTATAGAGGTTTCTATTCAGCGCTGGTTGTATTGAGGTAGACAGGGCACTATGAACGCCCCTTGGTGATACGTACAATGGTAGCCAGTTTAGCTATATATAATTTTAGGCGCCCCATCGGTGGTCTCAAATTAACTCGATGCCGTAGTGCACCGAATAGGAGACACGCGGAATCTTTAGCTCAACCTCGACCAACCCCTATATAGGGCTGACGATCCAAGTCTATATAGCTTCAACACTAGTCTACTAAGGATCTAGTTTCATGACAGCTAATTAATTCTAACTATGATTCTAGCTATGATTCTTTCTATGCCACTCAAAGTTTCACTAATGATAAAAGCCCCAGTAATCTGTCACGTAAAGTGAAAGGAGATCTTAGAGGTAATATAACGGTTAATTAAGAAGAAAAAGAGATCTAGGCTAGTAGTCTATAGGAGATCGTTTTATATATAGCTCAGCTGATTAGTCATAGTAGGGATCTCTACAAGATCGCCACATACTGCGATATAATCCATATCATCCTAGCCCCTATCGTATAATAGTGTAAACATATTCCAAGTTTCTAGGTAGTGATAGTATATTGCCTGTCTACCACTTTGACTAGGTGATCTAGAGGCAGCTTGTCAGAGTTGAAAAGTTTATCTCTTCGTTGGGTAATACACAGTGGATAGCAATATCTACAACCTCTAGCTCACCGCGGTATTCGTTGTCCCACTTCGCTTAAATTATACTCAAGTCTTGTTTGTGAGCAATTTTCCACATGAGAGAAACTTACAGTACCCCCTTATATGTGGACCTATAATTCCTTTCTTCCATCTTTTGTATTTTCATACAGCTATAACTATAATTAACAGAATCTCTTCCATATACATTCCTATTTGGAAGTTTTACTGCTTAATGATTTCCTTATACGTGCTAATTAGAGACATGTAGAAAGTAGTACAAAATGGAGATAGATACACAGCTTTATGGTATACAAGGAGCGTACGTATTCATAGGAGATGGAAGGTAAGCGTTGTAAACCGTTTCTCCCATGTAACTATTACCTACTACTTCGGTGGTGCCGCGGATTTACAGGAATAGATCTTTTTTACCTAGCAATACGTTCCTCGGAAAAACACGATCAAGTTCTAAGGATAGACTTAACTGAGACCGGAATGATATATATGTCACGGTACCGTCTGTGAGGTACCTAGGTAGTCCTTATACGTGGAGATAGCAACGTCTACCCCTTGAGTTGACATCGTTCTACCTTTTGGTACTGTAGCGGTTTAATAGCTATCTCCCGAAACCTTTACAATATGAGTCTCTAAAGAAGCGAGGACAAGCTTGATTACTCGCCTGTAACTGATAATCATGCATTTCACCTAGATGTATGAGAAGACGAGCCCATTATTCCTAAAGATGCACCTAAGATACAGCACGACTTTAAAAGACAAGTATTTGCGTACTGATAATGAGATGTACTAGGTATAGAGGTATTTCATGTATAAGTACATGCTTGAGTTAGTTGAGGTATGTGGCTCTTAAAACACTAGAACACCCGGGAAAATGACTTCCTAGCTGTTAGAAGTTATCCAGTATTGAAAATGCCAAAGTTTTCATTCTTCAACAAAATTATATTAGTTACTATTTATCCTTCGCATTTTTATACGAAGTTACTCTTTTACTTAACTTGAATATTAGTAAATAACTTTATTACTTCACGTTAGTAAGGTATAACTAGCCTATTCTCATATATGTAATGAATGCTAGGGATATATAGTTTCTAAGAGCTAAAACAATTAAATCATACTGTATGTTTCAAAGCTACCTAGACCTAATATGTACCCAGTTATACATACAACGGGGTTAAACTAACAACTCTCCCCCTCTCCCCCTCACCATTTATGCTAACGCTTCTACCTACACCATGCACAAGGCATCACGATATGCGAGCCAGAAATCCGGGAGCGAACTGCGCTTACGGAATTACATCATTGGGCCTTTAAGCGTACACACCATCCATACTATGTATACGCACTAGCGATAGCTCTTCAGGGTAGCCATGTCTAGTGGTCTTGTGAGATATTTACCTAAACTAGGTCCCTAAGCTAAGCATCCCACGCGAACAGAGCGGCGGCGCGGGCCATACCTTACCCATAAACCTACTTGCACTACGACCGGTTAGGTATCTTAAGTACGTGCATAAGCAAACTATCTAGCTAGCCTCGCGGACGGCAAAGAAACGAGCGGGAGAGAGATTTATAAGCCGTTGGGGTTATCTTAGGTATCTCTCCTGTTTTCCCGACTGCCGTAACATGGTTAGAGCATGTCGTCGAGAGCATCAGTGGGAATATACCTGAGGCACATGTCCTTCTTAGCTTAGGTAGCTTTACTATAATAACTACACTATATCAGGTACCTGAGTAGAGAGAGGTATTGAACTGGCACTAGAAAAATCCCAACGTCGATCATTACCTACCTCAAGTAGATAAGACGAAGTGGACGTGCCTCGGCCGAAAGCCGAGCCACAACTTAGGTGCGTAAAAGTGAACGAGCCAACTATCAACTGATCGTTTCCAGGTTATTTCCCTAGTACCAAGCACGTAGGTATTGTACAGTACCAAAGTGTTAGACACAATACATACCTAGGCAGACGACAGCACCCAGCTCTACGGAATGGGGCAAAAGAATCAGTCATAAGTGATAGTTGACAACACCTACCCACCTGACGATAATTCCCAAAGCAACCAGGGGTCCGCATCCTCACCACGCGGTCGGGCTGCTAGCTCGTGTAAGCGGTGGTAGCAGGGAATAGCCAAATCCTCCATAGTCGGCGTCGGCATTTAGTTGTGATAGATCGTATGATGTGAAACAAATTTCCCACCCGAGTCGAGTCGAGTCGAGTCGAGTCATCAACTTAACCAAACTTGCATCCTACATAGTAACTTAATTGTCTACCTAGGGTACGTTAGGTACTTGTCGCCCACCGAGTTAACCTACACTATATTAACGCACGGCTACCCACGGGTCAAACACGACGAGAAAGAGAAAAAAAGGAAGCAAAGCCCTGTCGCGTGGTCACATGGTCCCCAGCGCTACCTACCCCCCAAGAAGCGCGAATATCTTAAAGAGCTGATAGTGACGTATCCCGGGCGCCTTGGTCGACGTTCACGGGGACGATATGTGGACGAAACCCATATTAGTGTAAGCCGTAGCCTTAATGCGTCCCTAGGTAGTGTATGTGCGCACCTTGGCTGCTTGGGTAAACCGTAGTGTGCCGTAGCGTATTGATGGAAAAACGTCCGAAGGGTCCCAGCGTACCTGGGCTAAGATCTTCGCCCGTGTAGACCTATTTAGGGCTGAGACTCGAGAGTCGAGTTCCAGTTGCTGGGCTCAAGCATGGGTCTAGGAACTGTTTCCTTTTCGTATTTTCATTGCGGGAGCATAGGAGCCCGGTGTACAATGCATGGCATGGCATGGCATGTATATACCTGACTACGTCCGTACCCTGCTGCTGCCGTACGTAAAACGTTCGGTAATCATACACGTGTTTAGCCGTGCCCGGTTTTGCTCCAGTGTGGATTACCTTACCTAGGCTCCTGTGGGCTCTCTCTCGTATGCGTGTGCGTGTCTGTGTGTGCGTGTTTGTTACCTGGCTGTGCACCGGGAATATTTGCGTTGCCCCTGTCAGCTTTTCCGGGGTGCAGGTAGGGATGGCATCACAAGACATCCCGGGCTGCCTGATATAGAACAACTAGGGACTCGATGGACCCAGAAAAGTATCCAGAAAGTATCCAGAAATTCAGGAACAATCTGTGGGCTGAGTCAGATCCTGGGTATATCAGCACTTTGGATATATCCCGAGTTGGTACCTGCATCAAAATTGTACAATGTTACGTGGGTTTTTAACCGTCACTCTTTTGTACCTTAATCTTCCAAGACATTCGAACCGATTGGACATCATGTTTGTTGGTACAGCAGGGAACCGAGGCGTTTATGGCGCCTAGTCTTCGTATTTTCGTCTATGTAATATATCTTCCCGTCTCACGGGAATGATCCAATACCATTACATTAACCCGCTCGTAACCTGCTTGTAACCTCGGCTTCATGGTAGTACGAAGAAGCTATTGAAGTGAATAGGAAAATCGTAGTCTGTCCAACACGGGCATCACCCCATTAGATCCTCCCATCTAAACCATCATAATATACATCATCGATAGCTTTGAGCGCAACCAGTTGTCTGCTCTAAAAAGCTAATAGGCCGTATCCCGCCAAAAAATAATAATAATAAAGGGTATAGGAAACTCGTCATTTTTCTTTTCCCCACTGAGCGCCGACATGCTGCAAAAAGAACGACCAGAAAGTAGATAGTAACCCCCCAAACTTTATACCTTCCTTCACCTAAGATCCTGTTGGTGACAACGTGTAGCCTGTTCTATACCCATTCTAAATGTTCGCTCAAGATGAAAGATAAAGAGACAAAGGAAAAAGTTGGTGTGATATACGTGATGTGTGAGATATGGGAAATATGCGGATATATGTGAAAGTGAATTTAGATAAACTTGGGCTGGATTACATCGGCCATCCAGCCCATATCGCTAACTAGATCATCCAGCCCGGTATCAATGCTTTGATGGCTGAGAAGGTCGGTGTTGCTGAGGACTACGCCACTGTCCAGTCTGGTTACTAAGCCTGTCCCAAGTGCTGTTGTGGATATCCGACTTGTATTCAAAGGCTCGCCTTCGTGCGATGTACTCTGGGGTAGACTATATTCCGTGATTGGTGAATCGTTATGTTTGCGAATGCCACGCCCCGCGTTGCTACTTCGACGAATTCCTTGGGCGGCAAATGGTTCATTTTGGGGAGGAAAGATATCGTCCTTCTCGTCATCTGAATCATCAAAGAAGGAAAATTGGTTAAGATCACGAGACTCGATCGATTGCGGCGACGATGTCGAGACGAAGCTGGATGACGTAGTCGAGAACGAAAAGTGCGATCTTGGAACGTCATCTAACTTCAGTTTTGGCAGAGTAGATGAGACGCCGACGGTTTCTGTAGCGTTATTATCTTGTTGTGTTCGTGGGGGAATAATGGTGGTTGTCGACCCGTTGTTATAATCCCTAGCTGAACTTGACGAAAAGCTTCTTTGAAACGGCGGAGGTGATAACATCGTAAAAGGCGCGGTCTCAGAGACCGCCGATGTTGCGAAGTTGTCGTCGTCTTCGTTTTCCTCGAGAATTTCATCTGGTATATATAACCGTGACGGCTCTGTAGTGGGTGCTGCTGGAGGTAGGTCGTCTGACAAAAATCTCTCGAGGGTCTCAAGAGATATGTCATGGGACCGAACGCTCCCGGATGGCGTAGCGCTCCTAGGCTCCTCAAGATGCCTGACTTCCCCATCATAGTGACTGTCGACCTCAGTTTCGCTGCCGGCGTCGCCGTCCAAGTGATTCCCCTTCTTTCGTGCGAAGAATCGTCGGGCGGCACCCTTCCAGCTAGGTGCAGGTGAGAGAGAGCGGGCCGACCTCTTGTGAACCAGCGACATTGCTGGTGATGACCCAAGACGAAGGTCAGGTAGGCTGGGTACCGGTGGAGCGGGCCGCGGGGTCATAAACCTGTTCTTTGGGTCCATCGTCTTGAAGTCAGTAGTCCGTAGAGAATTCATCGAAGCACTTCGAGTTCTCGACAGGGAATGCTCTTGAGGAACCTCAACAGTGTTGACGGTCTGGCCTGGAAGGTAGGGACAAGCGTTTGTCGTGGGCATAGAAGGATCATATGTCTCCGTGGAACCGTCCAGCTCATACTTAAAGATACGATTAGCAAGGGATGGAATGTTTAGGACTCATAATTGTAGACTCACATAATAGTAATATGTGTGACCCATCTTTAGCCCTCCGTTGCGTTTCTGATTCTTGACTTGGTCGCCGTCACAAATAATATTGTTGAAGGTGTGACAGCCTCGCCATTGGCTTCGGTCCCGTTGTATATCACGTTCCATAGTATGGTATTTTGTAAAATTATCCCACGACCCGAGGAGCTGGACTGATGAGACAGATGGATGGGTTTGACTATGGAATGGTAAGCTTGCATGTTAGATCGAGTTCCACCATGGTTATCTATATAGGGCGAGTACTGAACAATAAGTAACGAATAAGTAACAGAAAATATGTCGTGTAAGCTGACCACTGGGTGCTATCTGCCACTTGGACAAGCCCTCGGACAAGCCCTTGGACAGGCATCGGGACTAGGCTCTAGGCATGGAGAGAGAAGAGCAAGGGGGGTCTGTGGAAATGATCTCACTCCGGTACCTTGGGGTACAGGCATGCAGGCGGGCAGGGCAGGACAGGGCAGAGAGGAACAGGGTACGGAGTGTAAGCGGGTTAAGGTCGCTAAGATCATTAGACAGCACTTGCTTTTGGGGCATGTCTGACAGGAACGGTGGCTGGCTGCCCTCCTCTCAGGCCATAATGACTGAATGACTCTGAAAATGGAGCCTCGTTCCCAGCTATCGGACAAAGCTCCATAACAGTGCACAAGGGCTGACAGGATGTGCAAATTCTTAACAAAACTACTGTCGTTAAGTAGGCAATATCTGACCTTCGCGCGTGGAACCCCTGTCCGGAGATATCGCGCTGGATTTGTCAATAATTTTCAAATCCCAGCGGATTGGAGATCTTCTACTATGTAGAATAATGAATGCTTATTGAGGTTTTATGCTCTATGCCGTATGCAGTGCTACCTCTCTAAATGCCGTTTCTGCTTTGAGGAATGATCGAGGTCGGAAAATGCCGAGTGGGTATATCCCATCGATGTCTTAACAATGCGAAAGTAATAGCGTAATAGCATATGCGAATAAGGACAGGGTCGGGTTTAAACGAAAAGCACCAGGCTGAATAAAAGCATGTAGGTATAATATAAAAGAGAGTTGATATATTGTAATCGAAAAAAAAACTCACAGCATAAAAGTAAAGAGCGTCGTAGTTGGATCCATGGTTAAGGAGAAAAAAAAAACCCCCCTAAAAATGACCTCGCAGACTTAAAGAAAGAAATTTGATCGAGATATATGCGGTGGCATATATGGCTGATCCGCACGACGACGTTAAATAGGAATATTTTTACCGCCGGAAAGTTCTTAAGTTAGAACCATAAATTGACTGTGAGGGCCGTTATTTCTGCTTGTAATGGTTCGACAGACGCAGGAACGTAGCAATTGTGCAATGCGACTCCTCGTGCTTGGGCAAATTGATGAATTGACCAATAATATTTGCAGTTGAGACCTACGGAAGCGCCGTGAGTCGAATTATTTAGCGGACGGCGCTTAAAAAAGCATACTAATAAGATTTCGGAATGTAAAGGGTCCAAGGGCTGCGTAAGAGACCTCTTTTTTTGGGGTCACGGTTTTGAGAAAGGATTAATCCAGCGAGGCTTTAAGGGAAGATGCGATGAAGTAGGGGAAAAAAAGTGTTTTAGAAGTGAAGCTCGTACGTAAAGCATAAGGTGAGTACCTAAAGGTGAACGCGTCGCGCTGCTTGTAGCCTCGTACTAGTATGTAAGAAAGGGCGCACTAATAGATACCTATGCTATTAGATGTGCTAGTGTAGAAATACCTACACTAACTTGTAACACTAGCCTCAGGTGAGGTCGATAGTAGAGAAGAATAATAAAAGAGGATGGGGGGAAACTTGAAAGTCTGAAACCACCTGGGCAGATCACAATGACCTCGATGGCTTAGATTGGGCGTATTCTAGACTCGAGAAAGCTGAAAACAATGCTTGCTGAAGAGTGCATTAACAGATAGTAAGAATTGAAAAGTGATCTTGATACCTTATTCCCATAACTATATGATTTCAAGGTTTAGTATGGGACATGTGTGAAAGAGAAGCTGACGATAATACAGATAGATTATAGTGTAAAATGAGATAGGTAAGCACTATTATTACTTTTTATTTTATGCTTCATACCTACTTCTCATAAACCTCACCGGAGAATATCGGTTGGAAGGGAAAGAAATATATAGAATATGTACTGCAGATGCGATAACAATGACGATGATTTGTTAAAGACAAATTTCAGGTTTGCAGTACGATTCGTACACAATAGGTATCAAGAGGGACCACAAAAATAGGGAAATGACGACAGTCTGATGGGATGACGGAAAAGCAGATATTGGCCGGGTTGGGAAGACGAAAAGGGTTGATTGAGACGAAAAAGGAAAAGGGGGACCCTGAAACTCGATATCATTGGCCGGCTTGACACAATACATGCAAGTACCTATATAGCTAATGCATTAGCTTCAAGCTTGGAAGTTGGAACATGTTGCGATGCATGCATGCGAACAATGAATTGAATGTAAGAATAAAAATCGACCCCGAAACCGTGCGACCTAAGGACTGACCTTGTAGTCTCATTCCGTCTTACTGCGTTTAACTATGTCCTGCTCGCAGAATGCATTATATCCCCCAAATGCTCTATGCAGAGATTACATGAGGAATTGTTTTTAATAAAAATAAGATACTTTGATTTCGCTTGTGCGCACGCAAGTTTCGGCATTCAGAATTGTGTTGTACTTTGTAGGTACCCTAAGCTAATATATTATGTACTAGCATGAAACACCATTCAAGGGTTCTATTGTTCTAAAGCCTGTCTCCTACCACTAGAACTCGGGCTGGTGGCTTGCATGATAGGTGCCACAGAAGAAACAACACAGCCAGCCAACCAATATGCCGTACAATATGCGGTGCACCAACAATTACAATTGCATACCACCTCAAAAAAAGGGAAAAAAAGAAAAACAATTTTCTCCAGGTCTAGCAATCCACTCAAGTTTCAACCTATCGCAGCCGGTTGACGATAGTTCATTAACTTCTTCCAGACCAGACCATGTCTCAGAATGACATAACGATAGCGAATGGGACATGGTTGTTTCGTCTTTTCGAATATTCTAACATCATATCGATTTCAAAATGTTTCTGTCTTTTATTTAATTGGTTTGTACGATAAAGGTCCTTAAGGTATATGTCCCGATCCATACAATCCTTCTACGACGACGATATCTTAGCAATAAGATCGCCTAGGCTATATTACTTTTACTCGGGATAACCTGGTACGGTGGAACAATACTCCCATAAGAAAAAGAAAGAGAAAAGAGAAGACCGTTACAACCCTATTTGAAATATTTGGAAAATGAGTAATGGAGGAAATAGGTATTTAAAAAAGCGACTTGCTATCCATTTACAAATCAATCCGATCGTGGTGTTAATACCTACTACTACCTAGGTATTCAGCGTTGAACACATACGCGTCACACTTTACGCGTAATACCTATGTAGGTATCTACACATCGGCGAATAGGTGTATGAATTACCTGTTAGCGGGAAGCCGTAAAATGAATAATTACGGCGACCCCGTCTTTCGGTACGAGAACAGGGGTCATGCTACCTTCCTACATAGTATGCGATGCTGCTGTAGATGACAACTGTGGCTTGCATTACTGGCTTCTAACCGGCGAGCTGAAATCGCGGAATTTTATCTACAAAAAGCAAAAAGTTCTGCGGACCTAGACGTCAATGCAAGCGTTAGGAGATTTTTTTTTTTCTCAACAACACTGCATTCTTCAGGGCGTAGGCGCGGCCAGCTAGGCCGTTCTATCTGGACCTATCTTACCAGTGAAACATCACGATCCGCAATGGCGCATTTCAGCTCGACGACCTGCATACACTTAGATGAGCCACTTCGCTAAGTTAGCGCGTCCCAAGTTGCCGGGCCAGCGGCGTGATGATGTGTACAAAATCAACAGACTCATACTTGTCCCACAGAGATTCTGACGCCAGCGTGATCGAGTTTCCCGGGTATCACTTGTCGCCGATTATCATCGTTGTAGTTACCATACCATGCTACATTCCATATCACTTGTTACCAGGACGATGTTATTATCCGAGCTATGTCTTAGTCTCATCAATTTGATATTGATTCGCAACTCTCGGACCCCAAGTTTGATCTACGAAGATATTTTAGCTTGGCGTAGAAGAAGGCTTGTTAAGCTTGGGGTGAAAAAGCAACTTGCTCCTCCGTCATGATTCATCATTACGGATGATCATGATCATATGGTCTTACTACCTCCTATGTATTCTCATCTTCCAACTCCACCAAATACAGAGCAAGGTGATCAAATTCTTTCTCACCATACCACAACACTTCCAGTCGTCCAAAAGTAAAGGCTAACAGTTACAAACATTGCTTCTTCTGGTAATAATGAGGCGGAGCATAACAGTATATTCCTAGCCCAAGACCGTTAGTCGATAGGCGCGGATTTGCTCGGGCGTATGTGAGCTGCATCCATCGTCACCAACAAACCAAACTCAGCTCCAATTACAGCCTATAGTATGACATAGATCCTTTATAGCTGAAAGATAGTTCTGGCATGAACCCACTTTATGCGTTGGCTTCTAAAGGTTCATGAAGGATTACTCGCCGCTGAATCAGAGTCTTCCATGCCATTCCTAGACCCATATCAAAATAAAGTTTACGGATCTATGTCGTCCGCCTAGGAGGTATTAAGCAGAGATTGCTGTCTTGGGTCAGAATTTTCGATTTCCAGTTCTAGCGGACGGATCCGTCTTGCTATAAGCCTTAAAAAGCTGAATCCGCCCTACTCTTAATGGCAAATCCTAATCTGATGCGTCACCTGCACGCCCCATACGTCCACGCAGGTACCCATCTAATAGCCTACCTCTATATCTTATACCCATCTCCGTATTCCGTCCATTTAGAGCCCTAGGTAGTCGACCATCGTCGCTGTGTCTCCAAGCGCAGCCTCATATGGTTGAGCTAGGTACTAATAATAACCCTCCAGCTGGCCCTCCGGACATCCCCTTTCCCGGGTCTAGGCAGCTTTGGCTTCGAGAGCAGATGAGGTGCTCATCAGTTCGGTGAAAAGACAAAAAGTTCCTTGAAGAAGAACCGTGTATGATGAGAGGACCAGATAATAGTAAGATGGAGGATCACTAGACTATTATCTAATAGGTACCTAGATATAGTCCTACCGTAATTAGAGGTCGTCGGATTTCCGTCGGCATGCTGGAGGTGTACGTTAGATAGTTGATACAGCAGGCTCTTTTCTCCGGAGTTCGCATTCACCCGGTTTGCTCTACACGACTATAGCTACCCATCTTCCAGAACGTCTAGTTGATTTCATTTATGTAGAGACATTGAGTCCCCTCGTAGCAGACCACCTATTTCATCCCGGTGTATTGGTGGACCCTTTTACACTACTAGTCTTTGAAAACCTCGAGGTAGCCTTCCTTCAGACTCTTAGCACCGTTGAGACTATGGCTAAGTTGGCTCCTCCTTAAGTTGCCGAATAGTCACAAGTCACCCATGATCATACCAGTGTACATAAATAAAACTCTGGGTTGTGTTTTTAGCGCACCATACGTTGAGATTCAAAACTCCGAACAACTACAGGATATTATGTCTTTCGCTCTGGACCCCTTGGCCAGAATGATCGTTAACCTATCAGTGGCAGTTCGAAGTGTTTAATATTTACGCATAAATACTCGTATATTTGTAATATTGAATTATAAAGTCATGGCTATCGCTGTAATGATGACCATAACTAAGAGGCAATATAGCAGCACTGACGGAACATATAGGAGCCCCTGAACTTAAATAAGCCCATCGATCTATGAGGATTTACCAACTCTTTCCCAAACTCGTGGAAGTCCTAGGGACAGGCCAAAGCCGGGTAGGTGATGCGGGGGAGGATAACCACGGCATTTTTGTTCATACTTCTTCCAATAGTTAGTTGATAACGGAAAGCTACCTCGGGTCCCTCAGCCTTAACTCCCTCCTTTCGAAGCCCATTCCTAGTAAGGGGGCTCTGTTAAACGGGATCTCGCATTCAAGCGCCACGCAATAACGTTGAACTGTACGACTGTTTTTTAACTTGGTTGTGTACATCAAGAGACTACTGGTTGGCGGAAGCTATAGGTACGGTCTTGGTAAGTGTATAAGAAACCAAGTTCCCTAAAGTCCTATGAGTTGACCGTTACCGATGTCTATTTCCCACATACTACTGAGACGTCCTTTGGTACCTATGAACGGAAATATATCTAGATGCCTGTTAAATATACCACATGCGTCTGCCAGCCTCCCCAGCCATTATATCAAACGGGGACCTACTATATCTATCATAGTATCTAAAGCTTTTACGTATAAGCATTCGTAAACGTGTATCATATAATTATGCTTAAGTATGTAAGAGCTATGTAAGTGGGTAAGTGGAATATGCAACCTAGGTCTTCTATGACAGCTATAGATATGCTAAAGAAGATACTAAAGAAGACCTCTATTGATTCGACATTACACCTAGTTATAAAATACTTAACATCGTACTATCGTGTATATACAGATGTACCAAGTAGATACTTCCCGCCTTGGAAGTGAACTCACCACCTCAAGCCCTTCTTAGGTTACGGTACGTGACCCATCCAGCAAGACAGTATATTACAGCAGTTAAGACCATTTTTATTTAATAAAATTACAATATCTAGGCGCTGCTGTAGCTATAAGGGGCTTAGAAAGTAGCACCGAGAGTAGTTGGTAACTAGAAGTACACATAGGACCACAACGACAAGGCGTTAGTTATATCTATCTATCTACCTTAGGTACCTAAGGCAAAATCATACGAGGAATTACAACTGTCCCTTAACCGCTTTAGCATAGGGCCTAGGTATTCAGGAGACCCCCATTCTGACGTGAGAGAGATGTTAAAGTAACCGTATCCCCATAACGCGAACTCGCCGTGGCTCGACAAGACAGCCGACACCACACCACCACCACCTGTACGCCGATGCCCGAACGACATCCATACGACTACCCACACACCTACAATCCAAGCCCCAAGCCACGCAATTTCACCCCATCTACCCACCTAAACCAGACCGGCCTTTGCCCTTACACTTACACTTACACCAACTTCTTCTTCTTCATCTTCTCACCCGCGGCCTCCCCCGGCGCCTGCGGGGCCTGCACCGCGCCGAACGCGCCGAGCAGCGCGAGCCAGCGGACGGCATTCAACGCGAGGCTGCCGGCGACCGCGCCCCAGAGGACGTCGTTCCACGCGGCAGGGTCCCAGAAGACGTCCGGGCCGGCGCCGCGGTAGCACGCCCAGACGTGGCCGTAGTCGGCGAGGGCGACGGCGACCAGGTAACCCCTAGCGACGGAGGGGTGGGGCGTCCAGGAGCAGGAATACGTTGGCGAGCTGCAGGAGTAGGGAGAGGGCTTGAGGGGGGAGGGGGAGGAGAGGTTCCGAAGAGGAAGAAGAGGAGGAGGAGGAGTAAGGGATTGGTGCCTGAGGGGCCTGCGCCGCGAAGAAGGCTGCTGGGTCCCGGAGCGCGACGATGTATGCCCAAATCCTGGGATTGGTGTTAATCTACCCGATAGTTACAAGAGCAAGCTAGAACACGTACAATAGGACAGGCTCGACGACGCCGAACACGACGAGCGGGAATGCGGGTAGGCAGCTTTTCGGCATGGCTCCAGGGGCTCTAATTTTGTTTGCAAAATCTTTTATAGAGGGTGCGTTGGGTGCGTTGGGTTAAGGAAATACCTATCGAAATAGGAGTTTTCTAGCCATAGGACGCCGCCGCGGATTATGTTTATTTCGTCGCCCCTTGCATGTTGTCTTGTCCAATAACGAGGAAAAGCACACGGTAATTCAATTAAACGCCCTTCCTACCCCGAGAAAACGGACTGGCTAGATTATACATATACTAATCATATACTCATATTCAATCTCGACCATAATCAGGGTGCTGTGACACACCGAATGTCAACGTATTGGCAAGAGACTTGGTGTATTAGTAGTACAATGTCGAATACCCGACTTCATGAAGACTCGACTTGCTTTTAATTTCATTTCATTTAATGAGACGAGACGAGACGTTATTTGCTCGGAAGATTAATGAGATTATGTAGCCAAATGTTAAGAGGTATATTGGTTTAAATAATAATAATAATAATAACGTCCAAGTCGTGGATGAAACTCATAAAGAATCACATTCCCTATACCCTAAAATTTCCGATAACTGGAAAATACTCAATATAACTTTGAAGCGATGGTAGCGATCGAGTGTTAGTGGTATTAAGATTACGTATGGGGAAGCTGTAGCAGCGGCTGTCTACAGTCGCGGTGCTACGCATCCTTGATTTGTGTGTCGGCATCCAACGCCAACGTCAACGCCTCTTGCTCACTTCCGCACCACCTGTGCTGTGTTGGCTTGCTCATTTCCCGCATTAATCGTGCTCGTGCCTTATCAATGCGTATAGCCTAGTGTAACCATTCAGGCTACACGTAGTTTGAATGTTGCAAACCGTACAGCCATCAAAACGCGACTCGACATCCCCCAGAAAATAACTATCGAGTCATAGTGCTCAAGACTCAAGCAAACGCCCTTCCCATGCTTCCCGAGTGTATACATCTCATATCTCTTCAACCCATTCAATCCAGAATGCCCTAGTCACGCCTCGGAAGATAAAAGTAACGAATGTCCCTAGGATAATACAACGAATGTATGCACCAAACCGGTGCGCGTGACAAGGTATTGATTTACTGTGCCTTCGCGGATGCCTTTTTAGCCTCCGCCTCTACGAACTCCTGGGCCTTAACCCTCGATCGTTCGTATTTCAGCGATGTGTCACCGTGCCACATCGTACCCAAAAACTTGTCCCAAAAAGTAAAGAATGGCTGGGCGAAGTTGGTCTTGATACCCCAGCTCTGGTGGTGGATATCGTGGTAGGCAGCGTTGTTCGAAGTAATGTGCTGAAGAGGGTCCCAGGGTAAGGCATATCCGCAGTGGTCGTCGACGGTCTTGATCGAAGACATGACCCAGAAGAAGATTCCCTGCCTAGGCGTCATAAGCGCGAGCTTATACGCGAGGCCGGCGCCGACGGTGTCGAGAAGGAAGCCCTCGAATGGGTGATTATACAAGGCTCCATATGCGTAAGGAACGTAGAGTCGGTGGTGCCGCGAATGGAACGTAGCTGTAAGACGGTTAGTCAATATTATTACCAAAAAAAGGAATGGGGGGGATACGAACTGTAGAGCCACTTATTCTGGTGCATCAATCGGTGAAGGAAGTACTGCCATGTATCCAAGGCGGTGACGGCGACGAAGAGCTGGAAGCCGGGAATGACGATCCAGTAAATAGCCTTGGCAACTAGAAGTTCCCACGTGGCGAAAGCGGGCACCAAAGCTCCGTCTGGCCCGGCAAGCTCGGAGGTGAGGAAGGGGTAATGTCCACCAGCGAGCGCGCCAGCTAGGAACGGATGAGAAACAGCCATATTCTTGGAGATAGTAGCAGCATTGATTCCCAGGATACCGAGCACGGTGGGAAGGGCTCTCTGCGCCAGACGAACTCTCGTCGCCCAGACGGCAACATCATAATCCTCCATACCCGTATATTGTGGTGGATCGGTCTGGTTCAGGAAATAGGCCATACCACCCTGAATAACCTGCTGGAAGAGAACATCGCGAAGGACCTCGAATCGCGAGGCCTTGTTGCGCTGCGCAATCTCGGCGGGAGTGTGCAGACGGTATTGGGGGAATAGGTCCCAGGTGTCAATGATATGGAAGAAGATGGAGACAATCCAATACGCGATGGTGGGTGCGAGAAGGGATAGATAAAAGTCGGGTAGCCATGATATTAAATCTGGCGCAACGACAGCTTCGTACGACGGGAGCGGTGGGAGGTCCGTGTTGGACGTTATATTATTAGTAGCCATGGCGGAGGGGAAGTATTGCCCAGGCCAAGCGCAGGATCGTAGTATAACTGAATAAATGCAGTATAAATTGAAATTGAGGGACTTTGACAGCAGAAAAAAAAAAGAAGTGAGATGAATAAAGTTGTACTGGTAAGTTTTACCTTACCAGAACAATCTTTACCAAGGCGTTGTTGTTATCGGGAGAGTAATTAAAAAAAAGATCGTCGGGAGAAGAAGAAAAGGAGTGTAAGTAGTTAAATAAGGCTAATTATTTGAAAATGTTGTAAGGAGTTTGAATTATTTTTATTTTAGGGAGTTCCAACTCTCAGGATTTGAAATACTTACTACCTGGGCCGGTAGGTATGTAGGACAAAGTTTTGGCGCGTTGAAGGCGCAAATGTAAATTAGCCTTTCTAAGTGGTCCGTCATCATTCCATTGTCAGTGCATTAGTCAAAGTACAAAGGTATATGCGGGTCCCCCTTTTTATCAATTTTATCAATCTCGGCTGCCTTAGCCGTGTAGCTCCGAGATCACCTGTTTTCTCCCCGTCCGCCGTACATAGTACAAAGTTACCATGTACCTCTATCGTATGTACGTCGAGAATGACGCATATGGAACCATCTTGATTCGATTGAATCTTGATATTGAAGACTTGTCAATTTTACGGTGAAGGAGTTAACAAGACGGGCGATGGGTGACGGGTTTTGGAGTGATGCATGCCATTATCGCATGAACTTTGCATTAACTACCTCTAACTTAAAGTCTAGGTACTTATCTATAAGATGCTTACATTAGAGGTAGGTACCTACCACCTAATATCGGGCACTATGTGTAAACCGTAATGCTTCGGGTAATACAAACGCCTCGGAAACCCGATCCCGTCTCGACGATTATGTAAGTATTCAAGGACTAAGACATGCGGGTCCGTTCAACACACCGAGATGTGATGTGGAAATAACTCTTATTAAACACGAACACGGGTAGAAGGATAATATCAAGCAAGATACGAATAGACTAATATACAAAAGTATATGCACATAATGATTATATTATATAACCCCCACACAATGAATGCATGTGTACTTCGATACCTCGGATCTGACAGGCAAACAGAAAAGAAAAAAAAAAATCTAGATCTAATCGACAGGACATATTAAGTTTAGCGCGTTCGCCCCTCCATTGGAACTCTCCCACATTCGTCCTTGCCCAAAATTTTGAGGGTCTCCGCTAAGAAAATCTGCCCCTCACTATCTGTCGCAAAAAAGCCGTCTTTTTCCTCCTCTACTTAACTGACAACCTTTCCCCATCGTTCATCCTTCGTCGATCAGATCTTACTCTCCTCGTCTATTGCTCATCAGAATCCTCTGCTATTATCGCCAACATGATTATCTTCAGGGTATGGTTTTTTTAATTTTTCTTTTTTTCGCACATCTCATGCTCGAAAGAAACCAGAGAAATATGTATATACTAATATCAATTTTTTTTTGTATAGGACGCCCTTACTGAGAGCAAGGATGAGCTGCTGTCCGACTCCTTCAAGCTGAAGGAGGTCGACGGAGTCGCCTACGAGGCTGACTGCGCCATGATTGAGATCGGCGCCGTCGAAGTCGGTATGTTAACTTAGCTGCCATGGTTAAGTGGTAAGTGGACTTGAAAGCTAATGGATTTGTGTAGACACTGGCGCCAACGCCTCTGCCGAGGAGGCTGACGAGGGTATTGAAGACTCTGCCCAGAAGGTCAACAACATCATCCACTCCTTCCGTCTCCAGCCTACCAGCTTCGATAAGGCCTCGTATCTTTCCTACCTTAAGGGTAAGACAAACTTCATCACGATTGGGATCTGGATATTGACTAAACATCCGCGTATGCAGGCTACATGAAGAAGCTCGCCAAGCACATCAAGGACAAGGGTGCTTCCGATGATGAAGTCAAGGACTTCCAGACCAAGGCCCAGGCCTTCGCGAAGAAGATTGTCAGCAACTTCAAGGACTACGAGTTCTACACTGGTGAGAGCATGGATGTTGACGGAATGTAAGTTCTTACTGTTGCTTCGTGGCTTCAACCTTGTCAAAGTAAAAGAACTACTTACTGATATTTGAAACACAGGGTGGTTCTTCTCAACTACCGTGAGGATGGTGTTACTCCCTATGTCACCGTCTGGAAGCACGGTTTAGAGGAGATGAAGGTTTAAGCGCCTGCTTAATGATTACGGTCGAAACCTATTGACGAATACCATACACGATTTCCACCTAAACGACCCTGACGCTTCTTTTTTCTATGTCTATAAAACTCGATTTAGGCCCGTTACATAGATTCGTTCTTTTACGAATACTACCGGCGCATTGTGCAGCCGAAGCCTAATTAATTGATGAATTGCCCAAGTATTATCTTTATGTATGACTGTTGGGGCCGTATTATTCCGTGACTTAGATATGTGACTTTCAATCTTTTCCTTTTACACCCGATTATCGATTAATGATGCAACCGCTGTTTAGTACCTAGTTGTGAACTGATTGCCGCTTACTTCGCTTTAGTTGAATTTCGGCCTCGAGGCCATTGGTACAGGAGGTGGAACATCTTCGCTACCGGTTTTAGATACTTGGGGTTTCTTGGCTGGTGGCGGAGGAGGAGGCTTCTTCTTTCCTATTACCCCTGAAATTTGCGCTATTGATGATGTCGTCGTTCCCTGTCCATGAACCTCCCCACCACCAAATCGTTGGCTTATCCCGTTTGCTGTTTTTAATCCCGATGCTACTTGGTCCCCGTGTCTTTGCTGGAAGTTGTATGCTGTTCCAGCGGCGGCCTTCGCGTCTGCTAGGGACACGGATGAAGGGTCCTTTCTAAAACTTGCCGCGGTTTTTATTGCTGCTCGCTTCTCTGCCCAAGTAGTCCCCTGTGCTGGCACGGCCGTTGGTTCCTGTTGAGTATTGCTAGTGCCAAGGCGAGAGAAGCGGCTTTGTAGTTCGTTGAGCTGTCCATTAGATGGCTTCGTCGACAAACCTCCTGCGGATGAGACCGTACCTGGTGATCGAGCAGGAGGCGGGGGAGGAGTGCTGCTTCCAATTCCTAATCCCGGGACTGAAATGCCAGCAGCCCCTAGTCGGCTGATGGCTCCTTGATTTAGATAATTAGAGGTCTGGTTATTCCCTGTCGAGACTGGGCTTTGCGTCTGAACTGGGGACGCGTTTCCACTGCGCGGTGGGAGTCGAGGAGGTAAGGAGGGCGGGCCGCTCGGGTTGACGGGCGAGTACGGAGGTGGGACGGGATCTCGTTTGTCTGGGCTACCTCTCCTTACGGGCGGAGGGGGTAGATTCGATGTCGATAATCCTGTAGTGTCGACCCTATACGGCCGTGACTCTGGGGTGGGTTCTTCTATTTGGTGTTGATGCGGTTGCTGGACACTATGCGTATATCCGGAATGTGTAGAGGACACGGGGCTTTGAGACCCGGGTTCAGGCGTATTCCCACCAGTTCCGATGCGTTTAGGGGGAGGTCCAAAGGAAGAGGGATCTCGTAACGAGGATATAGGAACGGCACTATGATTAGAAGAAGAAGAAGCAGTAGATTTATCTCCTCGACCGACAAGGCTTTTCTAGTGGTTTGTGTTAGCATGTGATAAGGGATTATGGGAGATAAAAGATGAGGTCTTACAACTTGACCCTTTAACGATGTCCCTTCTTTCTCTGGATGCCAACCGTGTTTGACAATGCCCATACCCTTATCCTTCCAACCCGACATCTTTGGTTTACCCTGTAATTACTATAAAACTTGATATCTTGATTCGCAATTGTATAATAATGTTGTACGATGCACGCTTGTGTTGCACCAGCTACTAGCTAGGATATGTTAGGTACATCCTACCTTATATGTATGTACAATCCGTACCTAGCCTAAGCTGCTAGAAGGTCCCCATATGACGTAGACCCATAATGCTGAGCCACAGCAAAACGCCTCATCTAAAAATTAGGGGACTTGAACAATTGAACATTAAACACAATATTATCAATCGAATACATATTGAATTCCCCCCCTGTATTTTCACCCCACCACCAAACTAAATATTGACTTTCATAGACTTTAGGCGCGTCGCGTGTCATTAATTGACAACCCCCGACTTCAGCCCTTATAGCGCATTTGACGACAACGACAACAATGACACTTAAAATGCGCCGAACATGACTACATCTACCAATTCCGATGCCGAGCTTTTGACAGAGCACTTCGGGTACCCCCCTATTGTCAGTATTAGTACCTGGTACCCTATCTGGGAATAGAATAAGTATTTATGGTTAACATGGTCAAACCCCAACTATAGAGTCTTATCGACGACATAATCAACAGCGTTAACGTCCTCGCCGAGCGTGCCCTCAACAGCGTCGAACAAGGTCTATTAAACGCGCCCCCCGCAACCATCGGATTTAAGCCCCCCAAATCCTCCTCCCGCAATGCACAAAAGCAACAACAGCAACAGCAGCAAGACCCGGCCGAGGCCGCCAAGACGGAAATCGAGTCCGGGACGCACCAGCTGGAGACGCTGCTGTGCGCCAGCATCGACCGCAACTTCGACAAGTTCGAGATCTACGTGCTGCGCAACATCCTGACCGTCCGCCCGCCCGACATCCGCCACTGGATCCGGCTGTCGCATTACGAAGGGTTGGACCTCGCCGCCGCCGCCGCCGCCAACCCGTCCGACCAGGTCCCGAGCCTGGACAGCATCAACCACCTCCGTCGCAAGCTGCGCGAGAGCATGCGCCTCAACGCCCTGCTGACCGCCGAGCGCGCCCGCAACGAGAAGCTCCTCGCCGAGCTGCAGGACATCGTCGGCGTTTCGGCCGCGCAGGTCAAGAGCGAGAAGAACACCACCACCACCACCAATACAACAACAACGATGTCATCCCCCAACTCGCAGGCGCAGTCGCAGTCTCCGGCGCGTAAGAACAACAACAGCAACAAAAGCCCATTCGCGTTCCTGCACCGCAAGGGCTCCCTCACGGCCGGCGGCTCCGAAGCCCCCCTCAGCACGACCACAGCCTTCACGCTCTCTCAGATGCAAGCGCTGCGCGCGCTATCCACGTCCCTGCGCACCATCGCGCCGGACCTGGTTTCCTCCGCCCCCCCACCACCCCCCACCACCAATGCTTCTTCTTCTTCCGAAGCCATGGATATCGATAGCGAAGACAGGAGCGGGAACGGGAACGGGAACGGGAACGGGGAAAAGAGTAAAGACGGCCGGAAGAGCTGGCGGCGCGAGCGTCTCGAGTACGTCGAAGGCGCGACGAGGCGGTACCTCGAGACGGTGGAGGGCCTGGAGCTCGGGCGGCACGGGGAGGTGCGCGACGGCGAGTGGCAGGGCGCGGGCCGGAATTTGGCGAGGGATGAGGTTGGCGGGTTGGAGGGGGTGGTTGGGCTCTTGGGAGGGGGGGTGGAGGAAGGACAAGGACAAGAAGGACAAGAAGGAGGAGGAGAAGGAGGAGGAGAAAAAGAAGGGAATTCTACTGCTGCTGCTGCTGCTGCTGGTGGTACTGCGCGGAAGACAAGATCTTCGTCGAGAGACGATCGGATGGACGAGTCATGACGATGAAGAAGGAACCCTCTCACGTTACGTTTTGTATACACGTCGACGGCAACGGCTAGCACTGCTGTGGCTACTGCTGCTGCTGCTTATGCTCAAATAAGCGTCCAAGGAAAGGAGTCTGGAGTTCTCTGAGATCTTAGTCAAACAGTTTAATTGGAATCATTTCGAATTCGTGCATTAATCTACTGATACGCGCAAACATGATTTTCGAGAAAGTCTTCACGCCACGCCTCCCGTATATAAGGTATATATACCTTGAATATACATTTGCTTGATCATTCATTCATGGAGAATAATTATTTATATATGTACACTATATACGCGGCTTCTAAGCTAAACGTAATCACCAGCCCAGTGAGAAGAAGCCCGTCTAGCCCAAGGCTCCATGGCGTCTCTGCCCTCGAGGAGGCCGTTCGAGAAAACTATATACCAGAACCGATGGCCCCAGAATTTGGCGCTTTCGACCTCGTCCTTGGCACGGTTCGACTCCTCGAACATCGTCTTGGTGTTGGCAGCCATCTCGCGCGCCGCTTGGACGTGGCCGTCGCGAAGTAACGCACGCAGTAGCTCCACCTGCGTAGGCAGGATAACGGGAACGCCGATCTGGCTAAGTTTGTAGTAATAGTCGAGAGCCTTCAAGGGCTGACCGGCCAGGGCGTAGCCCTTAATGATGCGGTCGTATAGGATGTTATCTTCTACGCTGTCGTAGTTAAGCGCGGTACGGCGTTGCAGTAGCGCGTCGACAGATTCTACGTCCGGCGGACCGCACGAGAAGTAGTGCTCCACTAGCATCGTGTAGATGTGCGGCGAGAGCTCCAGGCCGTGGCTCCATAGGTGAGCCAGCACGGATTTGATAGGCTTAGTAGCCCGGTCACCTCCTTGGAGAAGGTTATAAATTATCTTGGCGTAGGTCTGCAGGTTCGGCTCTAATCCGATCTCGTGCATGTGGTCGAGCATATCTGACACTACCCTCGCTTGCTCTTCTACGGCATCCGGATCTATTCTAGTGAATGCCCCGTCCAGTATTATCGTAAATGTCGCTTCGTCGGCAGCTACGTTAGCCTCTTGCATCGCGGCAAATAGCCGTTGCACATCCTCATCCCTGCCATCCCGAACAGAGCGGCGTAATAATGTGTTATATGTGAAGACATCAGGTTTGATACCTTGCCGATCCGCCCATTGCAGGAGACTTTCGGCAGCGGAGACTTGATCCGTACGTACTAGACCAAGGAGGGCAGCATTGACCGGTTCTATAGTCGGCTCGACAGCTGTGCTATGCTCATCTTTCGAGCTTTCATCCCACAATCTCGACATTTCTTGCAAGGCCCTGATTCCGGCCTCGGCGTCACCGCATTCGATGAGGCCGGATATACGAGTGGTCCATATTTTGGTATCCAGCTTCACCCCGGAGCTCACAAGTTTCGCCCACACGGCGTTGAGGGCAACGGCGTTACGAGCTTTCCTGCAGCCAGTAAGCATGCTATTCCACGTCTTCATAGTGGGCCTAAGGCCGACTTCGCGCATGGTATTTAGCGCATTGACGGCCTCGTCAGGCTGATCCAGAGCCATCCGGGCATGAATAAACTGGTTGAAGATATCAGGATACTCTCGCATTTCAGAAGCTCTCTCCAAAGTAATGCGGTTTCCGTGCCCTATAAACTCCAGCCAGGTCCCGTTCACCTCGTGTATGTTACGAGTTAGGAATGCACGCTTGAGGCGGTATCCTACACGAGAGATATTGATCGAACCAGCTTTAGTCGGGTGTGGGGATCTATTAGGCTCTACGTTTCCATCAGACGCAATTGTCTCAAGCTTGAGTTTTAGCTGCTGTTTGATGTCAGGCCATCGATACATTATATAAGTTTTAAGCTCGGGAAAAGTATGTGAGATCCCTTCCAGCAAGCCGGCGTCTTGGAAATTGACAAATGTGATAAGATAGGCTATTTTGGAGACGAAACGAGCAGCATTTCGTCTAGCTTCGAGGTTACTTCGCTCGGGATCAAGCAACAAAGCATACGTAGCGATAGCTAAGATAGCCACGGGGGTGCCGAGCAGGTTCGGGTGATATTGGGGGAAAATACTACTCAAAGCCGCAGGGAAGTCTCCTCGACCGGAAAATTTCCTCAAAGCAAAGTTGTCGATTTTTGGAAACCAGAACCCGTCCATTAACTCGTTACCATGCATTACGGGTACGGATTGAGGCAAAGACAAGACTTTCCATGATTCGACAAGATCGTTGAGTAGGTCATCGCGGGCAAGGAGGTCAGCTCTAGCTATGGCGGAGTCTTCCTCCTCAGCAGATGGATCTATCTCTATGATCGTCCGGACTAAATCCGCCACGAGTGCAGCCCATCGCTGAGGCTTCATTTCACCAATATCCGTGTAAACTCGGAAGATGTCGGAAACTGCAGGTAGGTCAGGCGAGCGAATCGACTTCTTTTTAGCAGCAACGACTCTATCCAACAACTTAGACACTACCGTATAGAAAACCTTGGGTATGGTTATATGCGGCTCTTGGAGTAGAGGATATATTTGTGTGATGAGGTAGGCATACGCATCTGCCACGGGCTTGCCATTTCCAATCATGAGTTCTAGCTTCCCAATGGCCTGGACGAGAGCTAAGTCCATATTAGGGCTTGTCTGTTGGGTGCCAGTTGGGCCATATTTGTTTGTAGTTTGCTGACGGACGATCTGCTGGAACAAGGCGTCTACCCGAGCAGAGTTGTTGTTGACTGGAATCTTTTTGATTTTAACGGGAGACCAATTTGTATTCAAGATGGTCTTTTGGTTACCCTGCACCACTCTTCGAACCTTGCCCAGCTGTGGTTGGGTTTCGGCGGCCTCTGTAGGGGGAGGCGCATTGGAGGCATTGGACGTCGGAGTTGGTGAAGCGTTGCTCGGGTCATCGCTTCGCAGGGTGGCGTTGTTGGTGTAAAATCGCGACGCCTGGGTTTGCCATTTCGTTGTCTGTGATGTTGCGCCACCTGAATTTGCTGCTAGGTGGCGACATAGCAAGCAGGTAGATTTAGAACCCTTCATAACATATGGAGGGTAAGACAGGTGTTGCGAGATGGTGGAATCCGCAAAGGCATGAACAAAGTTCGGAATTTATCAGCTGCGAAGTATAAGTGAAGTAGTAAAAAAAAGAGGACGGATAACGGGTTTGTCTTATCGATCAATCAATATCAATTTACCCATTTGATACGGTCTTGGTTGCTTAAAATACATGTCACCCCACCTACCTAAGGTATCTTAGCTTGTAACCTTAACCTACCCCATGATAGAATTTAAGTTCAAGTACCAAGTACCAAGTAATTACCAGGCAATAGGTAGCTGCCAAATTCAATAAGACAAGCTCTACAAGCTACAAGCCTGCAAGAGGTAGGTAAGAGCAAGCAACAAAGAAAAAAAAAAAAAAAAGAAGTCAAGAGCTACTGCTTTTCGACACTATCCCATGTACCTACCTAGGTACTTAGAACCTATAAAGAAGGCGCATACTGATGTTTCTGTTCTTATTCATTGTCCTTATAATTTATAACTTCTGCTATCTCAATACGTACCTAACCTAACCTAACCTAGTGATACCAATCTCCGCATCACTTCAGACCTCCTATAATAATAATGACTTCCCTAATCCCCAGACCTCCCTACTCAGAAGATGAGCTCAAAGCACTATACCCGGAAAATCTAGAATTGCAACTTGTACAGATCCTGCTCCGTCACGGCGAGCGTTCTCCCGTATCCGTCCGTTTTCAGAATGCCGGCCTGCCCCCCTTCTGGCCCTACTGCAGCGCCGTCCGTCAGCTCAAGTCCGCCGTGTTAGACCGCCATACCGGCCAATTCTCCACTCTCGAGTGGAAACGTCGTCTTGAGACATTCGGACCCAATGACGAACCTGTACTTGCTCAGGGCCCCGCCGGGGAACTTGATAGCGTGTGCGAGATGGGCATGCTGACCGACCGCGGCCGTGAGACCACCTTCGATCTCGGTACTCGCCTACGCACTCTCTACGTCGACCAGTTGCGCTTCTTACCTCCGGTCCTGCTTAATGCTGATAACCTATACTTGCGCGCAACACCTATCCCCAGAGCGCTGGACTCGGTCCAGGAGACGTTTACGGGTTTGTACCCGGCTCATACTCGGGCCCCCAAGTTCCCGGCCCCGGCTATTCTAACACGAGCTCCGGGTGACGAGACCCTGTTCCCTAACGATAGCAACTGTCGGCGTTTCGCAGCGCTGTCGCGGGCGTTTGCCCAACGCGCCGCCGACCGCTGGAACGATACGGAGGAGATGGCGTACTTGAACAAGCTGTACGGGAAATGGATGCCGGAAGACTCGCCGCGGGTCGCCGTGGACGGACGGCCGCGTCTAAGCGGTATCATGGACACAATCAACTCAACACTAGCGCATGGGCCAGAGACACGGCTACCCAAGGAATTCTATGACCCGAAGGGCCGCGAGATCATTGAGAAGATCGGGGTCGAGGAGTGGTTCGCGGGCTACAAGGAAAGCCAAGAGTACCGGGCGTTGGGAATTGGAAGTCTATTAGGCGATGTTGTGAGCCGTATGGTGGGTAGCGCCGAGCGTTCGACTGCCGATGGCGAGTACGAGGTGGCGCGGAAGCTCGAAAGCGGCCCCGTAAAGGAAGGTAAGAGTGCTACGCCCATCCGGTTTGGGTTGAGCGGGTGTCACGACACCACGATAGCCGCTATATTAGCAAGTTTAGGATCATTCGAGAGTAATAAATGGCCCCCTTATACGAGCCATATCGCCATCGAGATGTTCCGCAAAGCAGATCCTACTCGCCCTAAACCAACAAACCTATATCAACAAGGTACAGCGACGATGCCGCCGACAGAAGCTAGCTCTACCCAAGCTAGCAAACCCGGCTGGTTCGGCTCGCTATTCCCTTCGAGCGCGAAGCCTGGTAGTCCACCGCCAGGCATAGGACGCAAGCCGATCGAGGAGTTATCGGCCAAGGAGAAGGCGAAGTTGGAAGAATACTACGTGCGAATACGGTATAATGACGAGGTCATCACGGTGCCAGGTTGTAAGGCCCCAGGTAATCACCTCGAGGGCGACGAGAGCTTTTGCACGCTGGTGAGCTTTTCCCTGTTTGCCTACCTAACTTCTACCTACTACCTACATATATATAGCCGAGAACGGTCCCCTTCTCTTGCATTTAGGCGGGAAGCAAATATCTCTTCTACCGTGGCTAATGAACATACTAGGCCGCGTTCAAATCCATCGTCGACAAGTTTGTCCCGCGCAATTGGAAGCAGCAGTGCAGAACTAACATCCGAGGCCCTGCGTTCCCGGAGAAGCCGGAGCCGGCCGGTTATTAATGAGGCTATAAGCCACTGAATGAAAGATGAATGGCGTCTTATTTTTTTAAAAAAAAAAGAAATAAGTAGTAAGTTGGTGATATTGCTGTTTGGATTAGTCGAGTTGAAAGAGAAGAACGATAAAGATAGAAAGGATGTGTGCGCATTCTTGTGGCCGCAGCCCAGCCCAGCCCAGCCCAGCCCAGCCCAGCCCAGCCCAGCTCAGTTCTACTTGCATTCTCATGCAAGCCATACATATTTCTGGTACATAGGTAACTTTGATTGCATGATAAATACTTTGAGATATTGGCATTAGAAAAATTAAGGCGTTACACGATTTAGCATTAGAATAAGCAATAAGACAATGTCATTGGTACTAGGTACTACTAGTAAAAGTACCATCATCACTCACATTGAAAGCTCAAGAGTTTGATATCTTATCATGAATGAGTTATATATATTTGCACTCGCTCGGTGAAAGGACGCTTTCATTTGTTTCAAGCTACATACATAAGTGAGCCAACAGCTTCGACATGTACATCATAGGCTAGGTAGTCACAACAAAAAAACCGGGAGAACCTTTTCAATTGTCATATTAATACCTTCCTACCATATTTTTATCAAGACAGAGAGATATGCAATGACAGCAGCGTTATAGCAAGCAAGAGATACTGAAATACTACCAATAACCTCTCAACCACCAGCTACCACTGTCGGCCACGCATCCCTTTCTATTTCCATCTCTATCCTCATATCTCCCTCCCTCTCTCTTTCTCTCTCCTATCAGAAATTCCTATCAAACTCCGCTCATATCCCATTTTTCAGAGACGAAGCCTTTTCTCCTCACTAACACATTCTCTCAGCTACCCAATATTAAGGCATCGGACATCGTCGTATCCCACCGGGGTACAAGTTGACTAACAACTTTTTTCTTCTCACAAGGTCGAATGACCGGGAAAGTTTAAGAGGTTTTACAAAGATCATACAGGAAAATGCCAACACTAGCCGTTGAAAGCTGAATAAAGAACGCCGAAGAAAATCAACGCAGCGATTACAACATATTATCTTTCCCAGGTTGTCGCCTTCGGAACGGTGTGCAAAATTAGTTGGCAACCTCCTCCTCGACCCAACCATTCAAGCCGCCCTGAATGGCGAGGCCAAGACCGGAGCCCATACCACCAAAGCTGGCCTGATATTGGTGTCCTCGACGCTCTCCCTCGCTTGGGCCACCAATGGCGCTAATAGGACTAGTACCGCCATTCTCGAAACCAGGGGCAAAAACAGGCAGGCTTACAGCACGGTTGTGCTGTCCCCGAGCGTTACCGGGGGCAAGCAGACCGCCAATCGTCGGTGCACCAGACGCACTGTTCGCCGCATACCCATTCGAGATGCTCGCAGACTGTCCATGGCCGGAGCCGCCTGCCGACTGAGGAATATCTAAAGATAGATCATTGGGCGAGGATGCAGCAGTTCCGAATAACGCCGCTTGCTGGGATGCCAGCAACTGGTGTTGCTGCTGCTGGTGCTGCTGCGCTTGCTGCGATACTTGGTTCAAGTACATCGTGAGCGGATTGTTTCCATTGGAAAACAAGCTGACGTTGTTGGCAGACTGTGGCGAAGTCGGATTGGTCGGTGAGTTGTTGCTTCCACTACCAACCGGAGCAGGCGAAGACACACCCTCTCCACGGGGAGACTGGGCCTGCTGCTGAAGCTGTCGGGGCTGGTTTCCGCAGCGATCTTTGCCGAAATTGACCTTGAACTTCCTGTACTCTTCCTTGCTTCGAACGGCCTCTATGGCTTTGATGGCATTCGCAATGTTTGTGAAGTTAACGAAAGCGCAGCTCTTCTCTCGTAAAGCGTTTACCAATTCAATCTCGCCATATTCAGAGAAATCCTGTCTCAATCTTTCTTCAGTCCAAGTCTCGTCCAAATTGCCAATATAGACATTACGAGAGGCACCGCCGCTAACGGCCAATGCAATAGCTGGCGGCAGAGCACCGGAGTGCTTTCCCCAACCAATCTTCAAACGACGATTGTGAATCATAAGGCCCTGAAGATTGCTTAGAGCATAGAAGGAAGCCGCCGCAGTCGGGTCGATAAAAGTAACGAAGCAAATATGCTTATCAGGAATGTATCGAATATGGTGAAGCAAACCACCTCGCACGACATTGCAAATCTCCTCAATCGTAGTCTCTGGGTGAATGTTGCCAAGGTAAATAGTTCGGTTGCCGAGGTTGTTAATACCGCCGGCTGTAGTCGCAACTGCTGCCGCTGCCACAGACTGCTGAGCGAGCGCACTAGAAATAACTTCGCGATCTTGACCAGTCAGCATGTGAGCATATCCAGGCGCGATACCGAGGTACTGAGCCGCGTTCTGCTGCTGGGTCTTAGAAACGTAGGCACATCGGTCCTTGCCGTAGTAAACGCGGCGAGGCGATTGCCACTTGGGTTCTTGGGGAAGCTGTTGCACAGCCTTCATGGCATTGGCGATGGACAAGAAGTGAACGAAGGCAATGTTCTTCTCCCGGACAATCTTAATTGTATCAATAGCACCAAACTTCCCAAGGTCCTCACGTAGCTCTTCTTCGGGAATGTCCTCCGGGAGGTTTCCGAGATAAACGTTTCGGGACGCACCAGATTGTTGGACGGCCAAGGCCACAGAAGTGGGCACCTGAGACGGCTTGCCCCAACCAATCTTGATATCCTGTCCCTTGATACAGAGCTTCTTCAAAATAGCATCCGAGTGGAAATGCGTAGCAGCATTGGCGTCGAGGAAAGAAATGAAAGCACAGTTCTTGTCGGGAAGCAGTCGGACGGATTCGATTTGCCCGCTCCTCACATGGCCAAGAATCTCTTCAGCCGAAGTGTCAGGGGGGATATTGCCGAGATACACAGTCCTACTAGTACCCGTAACAATACCCGGGCTCAGAGTTGGCGATTGAGGCTGCATTTGGCCGTTTATATTGTTGAAAGTACCAGTAGGAGACTGCGGCTGGAAGAACTGGGGAGCGCCGTACGTGGAGGGAGACACCATCGCCTGGTAAGCTTGAGGGGACAAGCTTTGTTGAACGGGACTTGCGACATTGTGCTGTTGCTGACCATTGTGCTGCTGACCGTGCTGAAATGCGGACAGGTTCTGGAACTGAGGACTAGCAAAAGCAGCGGGAGTGCCAGGCTGGAACGGGCTACCGAGGAGCAACTGGGAAGGGAGAAGAGGAGTGAACTGCATATCAAAGCCAGTGCCAGGTGTAGTCATATCGGGACCGTTGCTAGGGACAGGCGGATTCAGCTGATTCTGGGTGTTGATCGAGGGGATGTTACCACGGCGAGGGTGTCTGTCGGCAAATCCAGAAATGTTAGAGGTGAAAGCGCCATGAGAGAAGCCGGTATCGCTGTTTGAGGGCTTTGACGCATGGCCAAATCGACCTGAGTTGCCAGCAGGACCAGTGGGGATACCACCGGAAACTGAGAGGTCCTGCATCCCGAGAAGATGAGGAGGGACAAGGCTGTCCCGTGAGACGTGGGATAGAAGCGCCGTTTTGAAAGATTAAACGTGCCCGCGAATAGGCACGAAGGCAGAAGGCAGAAATAGGATCCGGAACGTCGTCAGGATCCTAGCAAAACAAGCAATATTGGATATTATAACAGCTGTTGACCAAAGAGTAAACGGAACAACTTCGAGTGTGTCCAAACAATAGTTTAGCTGGAAAGATAATGGGTATCTCTAATCGAACAAAGAGGTACCACCGAGTAAGATGAATATAGACTATATGCAACGATTCGGTGGTTTATCGCCAATATGACGCGCAATAATCGAATTGGACAAGGTATAACTATCCCGTAGAGTGCAGTAACCAAAAATTTGGCCGGTATTACCTAGAGCTGGCCAGGGTGAAAAGACACGACAAGAATAAGTTGCCTCGGCGAACGGCGTCGGTCTAAGCTTATACTGTCCCTTTGATTCGTGTCGATGGTCCGGCAATGTCGAACAAAGACAAGACGAAGATTATCCTCCAAAGCGAGCGAACTGCGACCTGCTAGAAACGAGCGTCGAAAAGTTACAGCGACGACAACAGCTTTCGTTGTCGAGTCGTTATGAGGAGGAACCGGGTAGATTTCGCTACGGGTAGGCTGGCGCAGACAGGTTTAAAATTGGCTAGAAGCTGTCTCTCTCTTAGGCGGGAAAAAGGGAGAGAGAGAGAATCTTGGCGCGCGGGAAGTCTATAAAAAATTATTAAGAAAAAAAAAGTATAGCGAATGAGCGTAGGTAAATAAAAGCTGGAAAAGATCCCAATGCTCTAGAAACGAGGAGACGGCAAAGAAGGATTGGATAGGTAAGATACAATAGGAGGTAGAATAAGGATGAGGAAGAGGAAGAGGAGTAGAGCGTAAGAGGGTAAGGGGGGAAGAGAAAGACTTTGGACTACTCCGTTACCGAAAGGAAAAGGAAGAGAGGACTGGAGGGAGGAAGTGAGAGAAGGAGACGAGCAGAAAAATGGAGGAAAATAATTGGACGATTCAGGTTGGTGCAGATTGCCAGAATGTCCAAAAATGGGGGGCGCTAGTTTTAATGAAATAGCCTGCAGCTAGCTACTAAACCCATTTTGAACCTCTTCCTCCTTCCACCTACCTACTTTTTTTTTATTTCTTTTCTTAGCTACCTAGGTACCTACACCCTTTTTTTTTCAACGCCCTTTTTGCCCTTTCCTTTAGGTAAGGTAGCTGGAGGTAGGTACCAGATGGTTTGGTTACCTTAGGTAAAAGCACTAAAACTAAACTTGGGTTATTTTAGACCTAGTGCAAGACATGTACTTCCGATACCTTACGAAGCCGAAGCTGTTTCTGTGTACCCCTTAAAATGGTCCCCTTGGGTAACTTCAATGGGTAACTCCCCAGGAACAGGGGGGTTCGCTGACACTACAATAGTGTAAAGCAGTTTAAGATGAGATGTATCGTCTTTATGTAAAAAGTATATATATATAAAATATACCTATGAGAAAGTATTTCTCACGAGTCATATCCACGTCTTTCAAGGTTGTCTCTTAAAATGTCAACCCATCCCTCACGCGACTGCGCCCGTAGTTTCAGATCACGGAGAGACAGGCTATTCCCACACGCGTTTTAAGTATTAATTACTTCTTATATAGGTACGCGCTTTGAAAGTCAATTCATATATGCGTATATCTACAGGTACATAGGTACGACATGGAAGGCAGCAATTGGGACTCAACGTCCAGCTAAGATGCATGTTTCGACCATTGACCATCATTACGTATGTCAAAATTCAGCCTCATTCTCAACGTTTCAACTCAATGGCTGTTCTTAAAGTTCGATGGGATATTCGGTCCGCCAAGATTTCGGGGGATCCGATCCATTGAACTATAACACGGACCTCCCCCGATGCCTAAAATTGCTTCCGGTAACTAAAGAATACGCAGCAGCTGCCAGCAAGCATAAGATTGGGACCCAAGTTGATAACCTCAATATTTCGATTTTCAATGTTTCGAATGTCTTAACTCTTTCCGAGGGTTACTCGAATATGTATGTAAGGGTTGGGAAATGCCGTCGCCTTAGTTACCTCTTACTCACTGCACTCTAAGAGCCCCATCGCCAACGTAGTGGATAAGACTCGTTGCCAATACATAGGTACATAGTAGTAGACATGGGATCTACAGGGTCTAGACACGAGTTACAGGTCATCGAAAATAGGCAGTTGTATTATGCAGATACACTAAAATCAGGGGAGAAAGACCCTGCGACAGCAATGCACACGAATTTTGGCGGGCCAAGCCATTTTCATTTATATGCGAAAACAATTCCGTCTTGCCGTTGAACGATAGAAACGAAACAACTTAGGTTAGTTACGCATTCATCATTTCAATGCATCTTTCAAGCCGGCAGGTCGGCTTCTATGCAATGAGAGAGAGCTTCCATCAAATGAGACATCAATATGCGGTACGAGAGACGATCAATGGCACATCCATGGTTCATACAGGTCTAGCGGGTCCGGAACATGGGCGGTCATCTCGATTTGGGATACCCTACGCCTGGAACCGGTCAACCCAAACCTAGACCTAGCCTTATCAAGTCTTTCACGTCTCGTCGGTATCGCAAGTTATCGTTCGTCCATCGTGTTGAGACCAACGTGACCTCGAGACATTATTTTCCGCGCGTTAAGGCGTTAGTTAAAGCGTTAGGAGTAATGTCGTATGCATCCGTACATAGCTCAGCTTAGCTTCGCCTGTGCGCCCATGCGACATGAAACTCTGAAATCTCGTCGTATCATCGTTGAACCCTCCCCCCGCATAACCTCCTGCAATGTTGGCGGCTTTCTGACGGCAGCGACGTTGTACCTTGCATATCGGCCATGCTTTTATGTCTCCCCGTAAGAAAGCTCTCTACTAATAAAACCTCCCGCATCCAAAATTGCATATGCACGATTTATGTAGGTGTTATAAATAATACCAATTTTAGGTATTTCCTCAAACTCCCCATCCCCTCCCCTCCCCCCTTTTTTTTTCATCCCGTCTTCTCAATTCCGACTTTAGCTTATTTGCTTTACTTTACTTGCCGTGCACGCGGATACCATCATATCCCATAAAGGAAAACTAAAAAGAAAAAGGGCAGCCAAGGAAAAGCCCCAATTTTCCAGCGAAAAAAAAAAAGGTAAAAACAAAGAAAATCCCCGATTGAAAAATAAGACCAGACCTTCTCTTTCACCTCCGTACATGTAGGTATGTAGGTACCTACCTCTCACACCTCTCTCACCCTGCCCCCACCCGAAGAGGCGGACCTTGTGGCCACTGCTACGGCGCTACGGTAAGGTACCCGAGGTGCGCAATACGTGACCTGTATTAGCGCGGATGCAGTACAACCATGCAGAGATACGCTTTTTCCTGTAGGTACAACCCTACCAGAAGCCGTACCCAACCCTCCTAAAGGCTAACCAACCTTAGGTGCCTTGGGTACATACAGGTAGGTATTATTCCCATAGGCTGAAGTTTGAACTCTACACGAAAAAAAGAAAACTGTGCCTTTTGACTTATGCGCATTTATAGAAACCTACGCTATAACCTCATTTACCAATTTGCAAGCCTATGAGCAACGCTACTGTATTACCTTACCGTAATGGCTTATATAGCAGGTTAGGTAGATACCTAGGTACCTATATCTATATGTACATGTTTACCTAAGGCACTCAGAATTGGTACTTGGTTGGTACAATACCTGATGTACTTGACCTACATACCGCCAGTTTACCTAACTGTCCATCACAGTGAAAGAAGGAGACGTGTGACTTGTAAGCCTTTACAACTCTTCGTAATCTCCCATCGTCATCATCGTCGTCATCATACAGATACCTCGCTCATACGCCGAGATTCGCTTTGCTCTTCGATTAATTTTTCATATAGAAGACTGCATACAAATATACACACTTACCCCGTCGGACATTTGTGTCTATCTCACTCCAGCCTACGTATTTAGGTACTAATACCTATAATCTTATCTCGTAGAATCTGAACTTACAGTCGAGAAAAACATGTACATTCGCATCCGAAACTAGTATCAAGAGCAGCTCGCATACTTCGGCGGTGTCAACTACGAAGGAATAGCTTGGGTATCTAGCCATGTAATAGCTTCTCACGAGCCGCGTCAAGACTCGGGCGATTATGAAGAGATCGTCTCTATTTCGGAGCTAGTCCATGATCAACTATGGCTTAGTTAGGAGAGTCGGTCACCACATGTCATTCTCGCTCGGACAAATGCCAGGACTCAAAATGTTAGCCGTCGCCAACGTGTCCTTCGAAGGAACGGTCTATTCCCGCAACGGCTAATCTCGGAAAGCATCGTAGAGATCCTTACGGGCTTGACCGCTTTCTCCAAGTCCAATCACACTCTCCTCTGGATCCACTAGATCTTCCCTCGCATGCTTCCCGCAACTCCCAGCGGCGGACCTCGCTCAGAGACCCAGCATCTAAGAAAGAACACATGCACTGCCTCTCAAGGCTTGCATCGTCCCATAAAGCGGGGGTATAGACAGGTCGTGCGAACAGTGTGCTGGTTAGCAATCCAAGCGAGGAATCGTTCAAGACCGAGACCATATCCACCGTGAGGAGAAGTACCGTACCTTGGCGAACAGTTAGCTTCGACTCCGATATAATGACGATATCATGAATTATAGGGAAAACTCACTTGCGCTGATCAGTGTACCAGTAGTAGTCCTTCGCGTCAATGCCCTGCTTCTTGTAGGCATCAAGGAGCTCTTCGTATCCTTCCATCCTCATGCTACCGCCAACAATCTCACCAACACCCGGCATCAAGCAATCCACACTCTCAGTTACCCGTAGGTCTGAGGGGTCCTTCTTCATGTAGAAGGCCTTGATTTCCACGGGGAAATGCGTTAGGAAGATAGGTCGGTTGATGATGTCAGTCATCCTCCGTTCAGCGGCCTCCGCAATATCGTCTCCGAAGACGTGGGGGTTACCCTCCTCGTTCAAGATAGGGGGATCTTGTGCGTTGAGCCAGTCAATAGCGTCTGTGTACTTCATGCGCAAGAAGGGCCGAGTCGGTTTTTGGAACGTGGGGTTGAGTTCCTTCAGATGAGCGGCGATGGTCGGGTTGGCAAGTACGATATCAATGACCCGGCAGATGACTTCTTCAAGATGCTCTAGCAACTCGTCGAAGTTGATATAATCCAGTTCGGCTTCGATGTGAGTGTACTCGGAAAGATGACGGCGCGTCAGACTCTTTTCGGCACGGAATGATTTCTCGATACAGTAGACGTCTCCGAGACTCGGGATAACGGTCTCAAGGTAGAGCTGAGATGACTGGGTCAAATAGGCCATTTCATCATAGTAGGGCGCGCTGAAAAGGGTTGCGCCACCTTCGACCTGGGTCTGCACCAGGGCAGGAGGCGAGACCTTGGTGAGGTGCAATTCTTCATAGACCTTCGTGAATGCTCCCTCCACAGCGGCTCGGATCTTCATGATCGCAGAGGCGTTCTCACCTCGGAGAACCAGGTGTCGGTTATCAAGCATCTGCGCATCCCATTGGTTCTGCTGGGACGAGACTTTGTTGGTGATGGCATCCTCGTCACTTGGCGACGCTCCTAGAACCTCGTAGTAGTCCACGTGCAACTCTCGGTCGTCGGGAGCTGTCTGTCCAGCAGGGACTTTGCGCATCTCACCATACAGGGCAAGTGAAGTACCCTGGGCAAAGGTTAAAGCATCGTAGGTCTTGGTAAGGTCACCAGCAGCCAATATGCATTGTAACTGCCCGTATCCGTCGACCAGGGTAATGAAAGTGGCCTGCTTTTGTACGCGCAATCTGTGTATTCTTCCAAAGACCTTGACTCGTGTGCCTTTCTTGTCACCCTCTCCAAGCTCGATGTCTTTGCGGCTAATCTTAATCCTGACAGGCTTGGGCAGCGACTCGTCCTGCTTAAGCACAATCTTCTTAGCAGCCTCGAGGTTCTGTTGCCTCTGCTTCTTGATTTCGGCCTCGGCAGCAGCAGCCTGTTGCTGCTTCTGGATCTTCTTCTTGTGAGCATCGAGGGCTCCTTGGGCTTTCTTGACAGCGCTCTTTGCGGGTTCCTTCCATAGGAGTCTTACGGAAGGGTCCTCCTCGGGACCAACAGGACCAGTTTCGGAGGCTCGAACTTGGTATTGGGGGGTGGGCTTCTCGAAGTTCTGAATATAGGCGTAGGCCAGCGACTTGTAAGGCTTGAACTCGGAGCCATCTGCAGTCTCGTCGTCCTTGCCTGCGTCAGTGTCGACGTAGCATTTTTCGTCGTTCTTGACCCGCTGGGCCAACTCTTGGACGGCGGCGGACATGTTTACAAATTTTTTTTAATTTTTTAAACAAGTTCCCTCCCTGAGCTGGAGGACTTGTTAGCTGCGCAACGGCGACGAGGTTTGGTTTAGAAGGTGGGATGTATGTGAAAGCGGGAGTAATTTAGTGGGTTTATGAAATGGATGGTGGGATGTGGTGGGGTAAAATCAAATAGGTAATTGTAAAATTCCAGTGGTCGATTTCTCTTTTGATGGCGGGGAAGGGGGAAGGGGGAAAGGGCAGACTTGTCGCAAAGGTAAGAGATACCCGAAAGTTACCTCTGATAAGAAAGTAACGGTAAATGGTACTTGTTTTTGACTTGTTCTTTCTGTTTGCTATTTTTATCTGATAACCTAAACACTTTTAATACTTTAGCCGATATTTATCTATTCAGCTCTTTTCGCCAGTTCTTTTTTCTTTCTTTTTCATGTTGACTCACTTGTTCTCCGATGAGCAATATACTCCGGACGCTCACCCTTTTGGATGTTCATCTTAGGTGCGGTACCTATTTAGGAGGTTCCTGATAAGCCATCCAGGCTATGGCCCATGAGTTCCAACCTGAAGCACAAGTTTCAAGGGTCAATTCCCGTCTTATCTCTTCGAATCCCAGTACCTAAAATCGCCTGTACTTTCTTCGTCACAAACACTTCGAGGTCACATTTTAGGTACCATGTTACCTGAATATGACTGATATGGGCCTGCGATATCGGCAACTACCTAACACAAGCATCAATTGTAATATGATAGCAATAACAGGTAGCAATAAAACTTATCCGGACAGCTATTTCGGGACAACGTGGCTATAATAATAGCAACAATAACAAGACTTTCTTTATATAGTATCGTGTCATAGCATCAGCACATGCTAATAAGTCGAACAGGTTTCTGTCTACAGCGGCATTATTCCTGCGTCCACCACAAACTTGAAAATATCTGTGTACAGCATCACGCTTAGAAGTTAAGATATAATGCTAAATATCTATGAAAAAGCTATCCTTCATGATTCACTCGAGCCATGATATTCACAAAGTTGCTCTGTGTATGAGCTATGCTCATGCTTGGTTGATATAGCTAAATGATTCATTCCAATATCGAGGCAAGCGGTTAAGGAGACATCAAGTCATCCACATCATATCGTGGCCTCTCAAACTCCTTGCCAAACATATCTTTTCAACCCGTATCACACCTTTTCCTGGATACCAGATATCCCATTGAACAATACACACCCATCTACAACTCCTCCATCAAGATCCCTTCCTCCACACTCGCCGCCCCCGTCTTTCCCATCTCGCTCAGCCCTTTCTTAACCATACTACTCAATATCTCATACACCACCTGCGCCGCTGCCAGCGCCGTCTCCTCTCCGGCACCCTGATACGCCGGCGCAACCTCCACCACATCCGCCCCCACGAGATTCAGATCCTCGATGCCCCTCAGTATCCGGATCAGCTCGCGCGTAGTCCACCCGCCCGGCTCCGGGGTCCCCGTGCCCGGCGCAAAGGCCGGGTCCAGCACGTCGATGTCCACGGACAAGTACACCGGGTCCTCCGTGCCCAGCGTCTCCATGATACTATCTATAACCCCCTTCGTCCCCAGCTCGTCGACGTCGTCCGCGCTGATCCGCACCCAGTTCTGCGCGTCGTCGTCCTCGTAGTCCTCCAGCCCCGACAGCCGGGTTCGCAGGCCCGCGTGCACGCTCGGCTTCCCCGTCCCGTTCGCGACGATCAGCCCTTCCTCCCCCGCCAGGTAGAACATGGACCCGTGCGTGAACCGCGACTGCTCCGACGACCAGTAGCTCGGGTACTTGCCCGGGTGCCAGGTGTCGAGGTGCGCGTCGAAGTGCAGCACGCGCACGGGCCCTCCGTTCGCCGCGTGCGCGGCCCGCAGCGCCGGCAGCGACAGGCTGTGGTCGCCGCCTAGCGTCACGAGCTTGGGGCGCGCGTGCAGGGCCGGCGAGGAAGGGGCCCGCGCGCCGAGCTCCGTGAACGCGGCCGTCATCTGCTTCACGGCCACCGCGTTGTCCATCGGCGTCACCGGCACGTCCCCGCAGTCGAGGATCCGCGCCCAGCTCGCGTACGGGTTGATCCCCGCCCGCGGGTTGAAGCCCCGGAAAGAGGTCTGCCGCGCCGAGGCCGCGCGGATGGCGCGGGGGCCGAAGCGTGCCCCTGTGGCGTGGGTGTTTGTCTTAGTATATCATACGGGCTCAGGGGTATTACGTTACGTAAGGATAACTATAGGAGAAGAGGAGGAGAAAGTTTTAAGAGAGGGTACGTGGGCGGCGCAAGACTCACCAGGCCGGTAACTGACAGCTGTGTCAAAAGGGGCACCGATGATGGCGATGTCAAACAGCTCGCTCGGCGTCGTCAAACACTTATGGTATTGCAGGTGAGCGAACGCGGAAATGCCTGAGTAACCCCACTGTACACGGTAAGTCGTTAATACGTATGACTCGATAGACTGGCTGGATATACGATCTGGAAATCATTGCTATGCGTAAAGGGTCGGAATAATAATGCCATCCATCTCCTCTTTCAGTTTCATAACGGGTTGGTAAGATATCATGGTATATTCTCAAGCATGATCGTTCCTTCGACACATTCCATCTAACCAGAATCTTTCAACTTGTAGCTTATATCCGTCGTATATCATAGTCGGATCAACGAAATATATTCTGTCTGCTTACCTCTGCCCCCCACTTCTTCTCCAACTCGTCGAGTTCGTCCTGAGTCCATTCTCTGGTCTGATGGCCATGCCCGCTGCAAGCGTCGACGACAGCTGAGAAGCAACCGAGGGCAAGACAGATAAGTTCTTTCGGTCTCATTACGCCTTTGTTTTTTTTTAATATTGGACTTATCAACCAAACCGGAAGAAAAAAGGGATACGAGAGCTATATGAATGAGGTAGGTGTATTGTTATAGGTAAGCGAGTGAACAGTTTCAAATTCAGAAGACGCAAGGGAAGATCGTATGTTATTATACTGAGGTGGGTAGGTAAGGTAATGTAGGTAGGAGGTAGGCAGTTAGTAGTATCGATCTTTTATTTCCCCATAGATACAGAGAGATAGGGTTATAGGTATATATTACTCTATAGATATTCGACTACCTAACCTAATCTATCCCTCCCTCTCGCCTTGGGGTACCTATGTGATCATCCGCAAAGCCCGGAGCGGAGTAGGTACTTACCTAAGGTATCTACAGATAAGCAGACCAGCAAGCGGGTCAAGATTGGAAAAAAGAACCAGAAAAGTCGCAGGTTACCTATAGGTTCCTGATTCGATTGGCCGTTGGCGCTTCCAATGCAACCATAGCAGCAGCCTATAGCAATCCCGAACCCCGGCGGTAGAGGTAACCATAGGTACATACATACCATACCTTTTTTTCTTCTCTCTTTTGGGTATTTGTATGACACCAGCCACAAGGTGCTTCTGCAACGGGATCTATACGCTGGCAGGTCTTTTTCTCTAATAGACACGCATGAACTTGGAGTGCATAAAGGTGTTGTGTATGTACGTGTATGCGTATGCGTATGTGTTGGTATAAAATCTAGGTAATCCTAGGTTAGGTTAAGTACGGCCGCTTCACCTTTGTTCATAGGTTCATAGGCTCATAGGTGCAGAGGTTGTCCATATACCAGAAAAACCAAGCTTGATTGACAAGTCAGTGTTGGACCGCACGTTTCATTTTTTTTTTTTTTCTATCTTTCTTCGAACGGCCGGGTACAATTAGTGAGGTGTCATATATACCTATACCTATATACCTGATATGTATGCGGGATTGGAGAACATTCTCGTAAGCCATGTCATCATTATCCCGATGTCTTAGACGATTTCGTTTTCTTTCGTATTAGACTAGGTAGACGTACATGTATTAAATCGGTAATTTCCAAATGCTGACGATACTGTTAGTAGCACTCACTTAAACAGGATTCCAAGTTGCATACATACCTGCATATAAGGTACATTTTAGCCGTCTCATCAAATCCTAGGTACCCGTAGGACATAGGCACATAAGGTAAGATTTGCCTGACTTGAAAAGCTTGTTATGCAGCTAGCTACCTAATAAGCAAATGTCTCTAATAAGTTTGACAGCTTTCATAACTCTCTATACCTAGCGTTGAGATGATTAAGCTTTAGGCGTACATACCGATGGGTAGGTCTTACAGAACTTGCTGCTGCTAGTCATGTACATAGGTACCTAAATATACCTAAATATGCAGGTCTGCTAGACGGCTGCAGTAGTGTGAACGCGAAATCTCTAACCTTAGGTACGAGTTATCGAAATTATACTTTATGTAGCTCCACTGAGGCAAGCTTTTATTTATATTTACCTTAGGTATCTACCTATCTCTCTCTATATCTCTATCTCTATCTACAACGATGGGGGGGGAAAATGAATGGTGGAAATTAATTAATTAATTAAATAAATAGAAAGAAATAAAAAATAAAAAATAAACCTCCAACTCTACCTAAGTAGATACCTTATATACGTATATTTGATGCGTGTAACCCTTTATAGGGCTATGCGGGTTTGTTCTGGCCTGTGTCACGGGAATTATATACCTCTCGCAATGTAGCACTCGTACGTATACCTAAGGTACCTACCTACCTAGGTAGCTAGGTAGCCCTCCGCCTATACTTGACCGAGACATCGAGTATGCCACGTAGTTTGCTGTGATACGGATTTAGATGGGAGACGCGAATATAATCCATCATCGGTAGAAATCGGGCATTTTCCCACCCGTTGTCAATGTTTCCTTCCTCATTTGGAGTCCAGCAGACAAGAAGAAAGAAAAAGTAATGCGAGCAGAGCATGTGAGATCTCGGTAGTGGAAAGCTGGGTACAAAACCGAAGCAGAAGAGAGAAAGAAAACTCGAAAAATCTTACGAGAAACATTCTTGACCACTCGGGCATAAGACCAGGTCAGGTACTTCTTTCCAAGGGGGGTCACCAAGAGGGGACATATGACAGTGTGCTATTGGCAAGATAGACGATCAAATTAATTCAGATGCACTCCGATCGCCAAACAATCCTATCAAAGTCCTGCCTACGTTCATGATTTCCCCTCCAAACCCTGGCTGCTAGAAAGTAGTAGTAAAATGAGAAATCAGAATCGGGGCCAGTATGACTCGAGTTCTTGTCCAGAGGGAAAGTAGTCGGTGCCTTGTCTCTCATGTCGAGGATCGGCCCTTTGTCCGCCATTGGTGTATCTGTGTCTATATTCCGTACCTCAACATACTTTCTGGACTGTAAGAGGCTTCTCCTGCCCCGGGTGGCCTAGAACTGGAACCCTTTGTACGGGCATCTCTGGTCCAGCTCTTCCAACCGTGCCTCATTTAGGCGGTATGCTTCCGCGTGTAGTTTGATTCATTCTGAATCCTATCCACTTGTGCTATCACAAGCGTACATGTCTAAAAAATCGCCCATTACGAGAAATGCAGATGTCGAGGGAAAAGCCCAAAGTGACATATCCTTATACCTTCCAATACTTGCGTGAGCTTGTTAGTCGTGCTCAAAGGAACGAAGGATGAAATGTCTATGGCTTGTCCAACTAAGCCACATTAAAGAATCAAGCACTTGTGTGGCTTCTTCTTCGGCGCGGGAGGCTCTAGCGCCGCGACGATGGCCTAAGAGCAGTTAGAACCTAGTATACTCGTGGAAGTGGAAGTGGAAAAAACACAAACCTCGTCGAATACGTCCTTCAGTTTATACTGGGTGAGGGCGCTGCACTCTACGTACTTGACCGCACCCAGCTCTTTGGCCATTCGCTCACCGTCTTCCTTGCGCACCGGCTGCATCTTCTGTTTGTTAAGCTTCTCTCGTACGCTGGCGTCATCTCTCAGATCTGTTTGCGTGCCGACGATGAGGCAGGGTACGCCGGGGCAGTGGTGATGGACTTCGGGGAACCACTTCTCTCGAACATTCTCGAAGGAGGCGGGCGATGTGACGCTGAAACACACTAAGAAGACGTCGGTTTGCGGATATGATAGGGGTCGTAGACGATCATAATCTTCCTGACCGGCGGTATCGAATAATCCAAGAGTGTAAGGCTCGTCTCCTATCCTACAGGGGGAAAGGAAAGTCAGCCCTCGGTTCATGCCGACCTCAAAACCCCATACTATACAATCCCAATTGACCGTTTGAGCCAGTACAATATGAACGAGCACACCAAGGATCGCAGTTTAAACGGGAGTACGGTTCGGAACATCGTAGTAATGGAACTCACATGACCGTGACTGCATAGTTGTCGAAAACCGTAGGTACATATTCCGAAGGGAACTTGTTGGTCGTATAACTGATGAGCAAGCAGGTTTTGCCGACGGCACCGTCACCAACAACCACACACCTACACAACGAAACAAGATATTAGCCATTTGCCCTTTTGGTTTAGGGTGTATATAGTATTAGACAGAAACGGGAGTGATGACGCGTGATATACGTCTAAGAGATAATGTGGAATATATGTCGTATGAAACATGGGAGTCGCACGTTCTGGAGACATGTCTATAACGAAGAGTCGCGCCTTTTCATCATAGGAATAGATGGATGCATTTGAATAGATGACGATGATGTAAATGTAAATGTAAAATGTAAATGCAAATGTAAAGGTAAATGCAGATGCAAATGACTAGACTAGAGAAAGAGAGTAATATAAAACTAACTTAATTGTTGCAACCACCATTTTAACTTGCTAAGCTCCTTCGTAGGAGTAGGAACGGTACGTTGATGTTCCCTTGATTAAGTAGCTGTCTTATCGCGAGTTGTCTCGAAATGTCGGCAGGTATCGGCCGTATTTTTTTTGACTCGCAGTAGAAAAAAAGGCGTCCGGGAAGGAGTAAGAAAAAAAGAAGACAGAGGGGTTTAATTCGGGGCTTGGAGGGGATGATGTCTCAAGTCTAAACCTCGATAAAGTGCTGGCGGTGAAGGGTGGAAAGACTAAGAGGTAGGTTAAGTTAAGGAGTCTGGAAAGCTGGAGAGACTCGGCGCGAAAATGCAATATCACAAAGAGAATTCAATGTTGTAAATGGAAATTGAAAAAAAAAAAAAAGTATCGGATGAGAAAGAATTCAAGGACGACGGAACGGAACAGGGTATAGCAGGGGATTGAGGACTTGAGCTCAACGAGATTGGCAGGCGGCAAGGCCAAGTTCCCATGCAGTCTGTCAACTGGTGCAAGCTCAAAGTTCGAAGTGGGAATTTTAAAGCTGGGAAGCTGGGGTTGGGGGTTGGGTTGGTCTTGGAGGTAGGTAAGGTTCTTTTTGGGTCCTTCGGGGTCGGCAGGCGCTGGAGACTTTCTTTTGCTTGTCTACCTCTATGTATGATTTTTTGGGGGTGCGATTTGGGGTGTGAAGCGGCGCGAAATTCAAGGTGGGCTTAGGGGAGTTTTTGATTTGACTTGTTAGTTACGTAGGATAGGTACTTGCTGCTAAGGTTGCTGCTTGCACCTTTTGCACAGACGCATGCTACCTAGACCTAGGTAGGTTAGGTACTTTGTAGATAAAAATGGTACGTACCTCCCCTTTTTTAACTTAATTTCTTGACAAGTTGAGGAATGCCCCATATAACTTGACAGGAGCTATGGGGACATGTGGTTAAAGGGTTGATTCAATTACGGGAATCTGACTACGGATCTTATCCGTACATTTACTATCACTTATCACACCATTTCGGCCATTTTCATTTATGTATATGTGTTTCACTTTTATTTATGTCACTTTTACTTATGTCATTTTTACCTACTTACCTATGTCATGGCTCTCTGACTAATGGGCGCAGGAAACGTGTAATAGAAAAAACCCAAAATAAAGAAATGACATCTCTCTCTCTTTTTTTCTCTCTCTCCTTACCATCAAATCCCCTGTTTCACTATTTTTAATTATCTCTACCTAAACAACCTACAATCATAAAAAATTGCCGGTCTACAAAGTACACTAACCTTAAGTCCTTACCTTAGGTACAAATACAGCATGGACAAGAGCCAGGACCAGATTATGCGCAATGCTTCGGACGGTTTTATGCCTTAAGGGAATTCGGGAAATCAGCAAGGAGCTAGGGGGGTCAATGGATCATTTTACCAATTGTTGACTATCATGTCATTATTGATATCCCGTCCCAAGTCGTGTCCCCCCGTGTTTATCGACCCTAAACCTATTACAAACGTGGTTACATGTGAAGCATAACAATATCGTACTCTTTGGGTTAGTCCGAAGCGAACTTACCCAAGTAACGGTTAAACCAACCAGGTAGCTTTCGTGACCTGGCTCGTGTCCCTTTTTTTTTTTGGTCTTCTCTGTTCCTCCGTACCGTTTCCTCATGCGTCATCAGGGTCCTTCGTGACGACGTAAAGGTGAAGAGGAAAAAAAAAAGGGTTAGGTACTCAAGAAAAAGGATACCTACAGCTGCATAGTCGCAGATAAGGCGAAGACCCCTTCTCACCCCTTTTTTCTAGAACAAATCCACGCAACGCAACGAGCCTTAGTTTGATAACAGAAACAAAAAAGCAAACTTGGGGTTTCGCCTTGTCTGCAACAAGGAACTCGGGCAGCCCTGCCTTGACAGCTGCGGAGCTGAGAGAGAGAGAGAATACATAGTACGATTTGCATTCGATACCTACACCTACCTAACCTTACTATGTATATCCAAGACCAAGACCTACATTAGCATACATGGTCATGTCATGGTATAATGGTACCACTTTAATACGTACAATCAGAATTCATCTGCATGCGACCTGCAGTGATACACAATGAACCAGTAGTTAATAGACGCAGGGCAGAATTTATTCGTCGACGAGGCTATGTCCGCAATATATACTCGGAGCGACGCTTGCAGCTCCGACACAAGAGCATTCACCTAGCCGTGTCTCGTCGCAGAAAATTTGCTTCTGTCCCAAGTTAAAGTAACTCGATCGAATGTTCGGGGTAAGGTAAGAGGAAGAGACATAGGGTAGGGTAGGTATGCACTCGTATCTTGTGTACCCCAATCAAGACCGTACTATGATGGCCGTGGCGGAATTGTCGATCAAAGGGCTTAGGATGGGGGTATCTGCAGCTACAATTGGCATATTCTCATATCTGGATTACACAAAAGCCTCTTCGTAACGCGCTTGGGATGAGGAAATTCGTATTACGTGGCAGCAGTGCAAGTCAACGGGTAGGCGATCTTGACCATGCAATTGATCATGTAATTGGCGTTGGAAAAGAAGCTTGTCAATCATGACATGCTCGAAACACGAAAGGGATAGATAGATGTATACAGCCTAGTGTAGATATACGAGGACCTTCTAAGTGCTAACCTAGTTTTCCGTGGCTTCTCGAGTCTCTGTAACTAGGTAATCGAAAGAAAGAAACAAACAAACAAACAAAAGCTGTGAAGGGAGTCTAATGAATATCCCTGCCGTCCACGTTTTAAATCCTGATCCGTCGTTGAAATTAGATACCTAGCACCATTTCTAGAATCGAGTTCTTCCAAGATTGGGCGACTTGGGACCCTCTGGTAGGGCTCGTAATGAACGGTGTGCTCTGCAGATAAAGAGGCCAAGACAGGGGTCGCATATGCCAGTTGTAAGAGCCACTTCAATTTATTTGGTACGATGTTTTATTCGCGATCTCAGCCAAGCGTCTGGGTGTAGGAAAGTCCTGAAAGTTGAATAAACAAAAGGTCCGGGGAGTTACGAGGATCATAGATAGGTAAGTAAGGATGGAGTTGGATGGACCCTTTGATTCATGATTCAAGGACATTTCTGTTTGTACAAATACATAGGTACCTAATGTACATCACATCAATTCAATTTGATGCATGTAGCTCGATGTGATCAAGCCACACTATTAGCTAATTGTGGCGTCTCTAGTTTACATAGATGTACCTCTCATTGAACTTGCCGTGGCCCGTAACCTCGATCTCATACATGTAACATGTACCTAACTAGCTCTAATCATAGAAAACCACGAATATATTAAATATATTAAAAAAGAGAAAGAAGAAGTGGAAAAAAAAAGAGAAATAAAAAAGCTCGTACTCGTCATGGAAGTTGATCACATCGACGTGCTCCTGGAGCGTCATCTCCACCTCCTGCACGAATACACGACGCTCAGGGAGCAGCTCAGCAGCCTGCAAACAGGCATATACCAAAACATAGCACGCGCCAACTTCGCCGCCGAGCGGGGGATGCGGTTCGGCCAGGACTGCTACGACGAGCGCATGCAGGCTTCGAGGAGAGTAGCCATAACTATCCCACCAACCGGCAACGACGGCCAGCAGCAGCAGCAGGATATCCCGGTGTTTGCTATTACCGGCGGGTCCAAACCCGCCGCCTCTGAAATCCCGGGGGAGGAAGGAGGAAGAAGTATTGCGGATGATAGCGGCAGCGGCGTTGTCGTCGGGGAGGAGGACGACGACACGAGTAACGGAGGAGAGGGAGGAAAAGAGAAAGAAACTCTCAAACCTCCCCAAAACCAACGCCAAAAAGACCCGCTGCGCTGGTTCGGTCTCCTCACGCCGATGCCCCTGCGTCAAGCGCAGGCGCAGAGCATCCAGGCCGTCGAGCAAGTCGTACCCCGACTGGCCTCTGTCAACGCACAGATGGCCGAGGTCGAGATCCAGGTTCGCAGGGCCCGGAAGAAGCGTGCCAAGGCCGAGGCCGCCGCTGTCAAGCTGGGGCGGGAAGGAGATGCCGGGACGGAGATTGCGGCGTGATGGGCATATGACGACGAAGTAGCTACCTAAGTATAGTACAACCGCGAGTTAGGTGGCGGTAGTGGTGGTAGTAAGTGATGGTGGTGGAGGTGGAGGTGGAGGTGGAGGTGGAGGTGGTGAAAGTCACGATCTAACGGCACGCGACACCCCCCCTCAATCCTGGTTGCTCAAAGATCTACCTACACACGTGGTGCTGCTTGATTCCTTTGTGACGACGAAGCTACGGGGTAGCTGCATATAGACCATCCATCAAAGGAACCTACAAATCAAGTCTTTCTTACGACATGGGCTAAGACGGATGTCCACCTAAGGCATTCTTCCAGAAACAAAGGGGGGGAAGAGGAGGGAAGGGGAGGCGGAGAGGGGCACAAACGTAGATCCTGACACGTGAGCCGAGGCGAGAACAAAGCCTCCACGAAAATGGAATTGGTCCTGCGTGCGTGGGATGTCCACGAGTTAAACTAGATCTAATACAGTATCTACCGACTTATTTACCGAATCTTGGGCCAATGAGAGATACCGCTCAGAAAGAGGAGAATAAAGAGAATATACCTCGCTTGATATCAATACAAGGCTAATTCATAGGTATCCAAATAGAGCAAGCAGAACGATGATATCTACGTGGGTATCAAATATCGTATTTTATACGCGTTCAAGCGTAAGCGGCCCATCCTACGTAATAATATGTTAGGACATGTAAAATGGCTATGAAAACGAGGATCGAGACGTAGACTTACCAGAATACAAAAATGCCAAGTTTCTCTCGTCGGTTGCTTGGTTGATCAGGTCGTTGACGGTAGCTGTCACGCTAAGCGTCTTGCTAAGCTTCTTACGCACGACCTCGAGCGCGCGGTCTGCCTCGCTAGGCTCGTTGACGACGCCCACGGTGGCGGCGGCCTTCTTCTTCGAGCCGATATCTGCGTCGGCCCCCTCGACCTCCTCGTCGCGCCTCGTGTCCTGCAGCTTGGCCATGCGAACAGGGCTGATAGACCACGAGTACAAGGGATCGTACCGCAGCACGTCGAGGATCGTCATGATGGAGTAGGTTTCCTCGCGCAGCGCGTCGAGGGTGAACTCGCAGCACCGCCGGAACACGCCCTCCGTCTTGGTGATGCCCATGCCGTCGACGATGTCTCGCGTCAGCCTGAATGGGACGAGTTCGGGGACAGGCAACACGCGGCCCATTTCGAACGCTACACCTAGATCAATGTGAACCACCTCGCCGGTTTTAGAGTCGAGGAGGATATTGTGGCCGTGGCGATCGCCGAGACCGAGAACATGGCCTAGGATGGAGATTGCTGCCGTGGTTCGGGTGTACGCCGTGCGCTTGGCGAACCAATCGTCCGGATCGGCGAAGTGTTCCATGAAGAAGTAGCGCATTACCGGTTGAAATCGATCAGTGACCTTTTTGTACGTCGCCACACGCGTATCGGCTGATTTGTTTTGCACTTGGGCTATCTCCTTGCGGCACTGCGAGCCTTTGAGATCTTTCGGATGATACCGCTCGTGAGCTGGCATAAGGTATTCATGGAGTGGTATGGTGTTTGAGACAAATTCGATGAGTCCGGAGGCGGCAGTTAGTGGCAGGACTTTGTATGTTCTAATCCCAAGATTACGTTGCTGGGTCGATCGATGGTGTTTCAACACGGAGGACACGGCTGCGAAGACCTGTTCCATGATGGCGTCCTGGCGTAGATCGTCATTGCCACCTTTCACAAGCTGCTTGAACCGTTCTCCGTTGCTGCCCACGACGGTAATGATCTTTGGCGCGCTCACACCGGAAGCGATGGACATGTTTGGTTCGATTTTAGAAATATGTGGGATGTGACTGTAGTCTTTGCTAGCCGAGAGCTCAATTTGCATCGTGGGCGGCGGTATCTTCCATTTGGTTAAAGCACTCGCAAGGTTAGAACCACCAGTAGAGTCCTTGACGGGGACCTTCTGCCCTGCCTTATAGCGCGAAGAATCCCGTTCTACTGCGAGCATATGGTACGCTTTGCTCGTTTTGTCAATGGCAGTCCATTTTGCTGACACCGACTCTGTTTGAGCAAGTCTCTTGCCGACTCTTTCCGTAGCTTTCTGGCGCGACACGGCCACGTCGTCTTTCGAATTGGTTCGAGATCTCGTACCTGACCATATCTGATACATGCCGTGATAGGGGTGGTCAACACATATACGGTATACGAGCTCAGAAAGCAAACTTTGAAATGTGCTCTTCTGGTCGAGTAAACGTGAAGTCAGTTGATTCATTAGCGTCGCGAATTTCCTGGTTGCGACTTTGTCGATGTGTTTCATGACAGCCTGGTTGGCAAATTCTTCTGCCGCCCGCTCAAGCCATAAGGCTGTGAACCTCAACGCATCATTGTTGTGGTCGTCGCAAGATACAAGAGAGAGCAGGTAGTTCTCCAAACTTAACCTGACGAACTCTGTTCGGCTTTGCTCTACGCGGCGTAATTCCTGCTCATCCAGGTCAAGCCATTGCCTTGCCTTAGCAAGATGGTTATTATATCTCGACTTCGTTTGCGAGTCTCTCGTGCTAGAAATGAGTCCTTTGAGCTGTGAGACCTCATCACTTTTGCCTTTCCTTAGGTGTTGCAGGCGAGCTAAATCCTCGAGCCCATCCGGATTCTGTAGCTGCTCGTCGCAGAACATGGCGAACTGATGATATACCTTGCCAGCTTCGCGACTATCAGTCTTACCTCTCAGTTCTTTCAAAGCAGGCTGCAGATAATCCTTTTGAATGGTCTCTGGCTTTTCCAGTTTTGCCACCGATATTTGGTATCCAGTTTTGGCGAGTAGATCCGGTCGGCTGATAGGAATGGTTTGCTTCTTAAGATTTGGGTCCTCGTCGATGCTCTGCAACATATGAATTGAAGACGTCATCTCACCGTGGTCCCATAAAGCATCGGCTGCTTCAAATTTTGCTACAGAATCGAGGTGTAATCCAAGTTCTGCACTGGGCGTCACCAAGTCCGTAAGAGACGTTGCAATATTTAATGACTCCTGGGTAGCTCGATGATGTCTATAAACGCTGGACGATAATAACATCGATTTGATCTGCGCCAGCGTAGCTTCTGGGCGGTTTATCTTTGCTATACCACGGGGCTGAGTCGTTTGAGCTAGTACACTCAATGTCGTTTCTCTGCAGGATAGAATATGGCTGATATCTTCATACCTATAATTTTATTAATAACTATACGTAGGGAATCGTATCGCGTTACATACCGTCCGCTCTTCATCCAATTAGAACGATCTGTGAATGTTGTCAAGGTTCTGTCTAGCTCAGTTGAATCGGTAATCTCAACCACATCATTAAGCTCCGCTAGGACAGCTAATGTACTTAGATGATGCCGTAGTCGAGCAGGTGTAAGATCCTTTTTGACTACATTTCGCATGGTCTCGCTAAAACTACTATGAGTAGTGATCCTTACAGGACTTAGCTCGGTAGCTTGTTGCCAAGTCTGATAGGCTTTATACAAAGTGACAGAGGGGTTCGCAGTAGACGCCGGCGCTGGTAAATTCCAAATCTCCAGCCGTCTAGCTGTGTTAAATGTGCTTTCCACAATAGTAGATGAGCCATCTAGGCTCTGTTCCGTTTGAAGTAGGGAATGTGACAAACCCGACAACCCAAGATTACCTAACGTCCCAACTAGGGATTGGCTGTCAATATTGGCGGCCGGATCTCGTCTCCGAATGTGGCTATCATACTGTGCTCCGCGGAATGCTAAACTCATGCTACCATTCTTTTCGTACTCGAGCCGCGCCAGTACGTTACTGAGACTTGAAGTATGGCTAAGGCCATAATACGCGTCTGGATCATCGATGTTCTCGAAGATATTCATTAAGATGTCCGTAGAGTCCTGGGCCCGGACAGCAGATGAGCGACGCGACGCTCGTGATCCTTCTGTCGATATCATCTCGACAAACAACAACGCTGTTTTAAACATGCCACATTTTGCAGCGGCCGAGGCCACCGAAAGAAGATCGACATCAAGCCATTGTCCTCTATCAGCTATTGAATTCTCCCCTGGTAGCGGTTGCGTTCTTAGATATAGAATAGCGTTCACCAAAAGACTCATGTTTTCTTTCGCTACTGGTGACTCCAACTTGAGCCAATTCTTCAGCGCGTTCGAAAAGCTGCGTTTAACGGACTGCTGTCTTTGTTGTTCAAATAGTAGTACCAGGTGGATTATGTATGGGAAAGCTTGCTTAGAGAAGCCCTTGACGCTGGTAAGAATTGGAGGTAGAGCATTGAGAATAACGTTATCTGGGTACGATTGTGCGAGGTATACTGCAACACCCTGAGCCCACTTTGTACTCTCAAATGCATCGTTAGAAAGGACAGAATCTTCGTGGGCGAGGCTAATAGGCATATTGTCAGATGGCGGGGTTCGATACGGCGTCCAGTCCGAAGTTGCGAGCAGGTGATCGGACAGAACTTTCTGACAAGCAATTAGTAAATTGTTGTCGCCTTGGGCTGCAGCCTCCGATACGATTGTTCGCAAGGCTGATTCCGCAAGTCCTGCCTTGTAACAATCACTATCAGAGGTTAAAGATTGTAGGAGGCCGAGGAGGCCTTGTTCAGATCCAGATGCGTCCACCGATGCGTTGAAGTATTGGGACAACTCGGACTCTCGAAGCAGGTCCTGGTCCACATGACCGGACGCAGCAAATCCTCTACCGACGACTCGGCCTGCCCAGGCCAGATACTCGTTGCTCAGCCCTTGCGCCTGGCAACTCTTCCATACAATTGGAGCCCAGGTTAATGCTTCTTCATCAGAGCTGATTACATCGAGGCCGTGAGATGGGGGAATTGTGAAGTTACTACAAAGCATTTCCAGTGCCAATTTTCGGGAGGGTTCATTTAGAAGCTGAGCTCCGTGTACTCCGTCCTGAAGGATCTCTAGGAGAAGTTTGCTTTCATGGGTGCCTCTCTCTGCATTCCCTGACGATCGGACGTGGGCTGCACATCCCGTAATGGTATCGAAAGCAGCACGATGCTCACTGTCTTGAAGAAGAGGTGACTCGTAGTCTTCAAGGTATTTCGTAAACCATGAGTGGAATTTTTGGGCTTTATTCATAGTAGCTTTGAATTGGCTTTCTTGTGTTGTAGTGGACTGGCTGGTCTCCAAAAACACGCGTAGGGAGGCTAGCGCAGATAGAGCATAACCAGCAAGGAATGAAGGTGATTGCGACAATGATTCAGAACCTTTCTCTAAGAGATATTGGCTTATACCAAGAGCATCATCTGCGCATTCTGTGTCAACGATGAGCGGACGTATAGATTGCAGAAGCATCTCTAAAGGATACGATTCCCAGGCATGTTGACCTGCTAGGCAGATGAGAACCCTGACCTTTCGAAGCACAGAACAAGTATGTAAGGGTCCCAATGCTGAATGGACGCCATTAAGCAGTTTCCTGGCGACACTGACCACGAGTGCGGGTGTCCAGAGCGCAGATATCTCATATTCTGTTCGACTGCACAGCAGTGATATCTCTCTAGTCAGATATTTAGCCCGGAACATTGGTTGCTGATTTGGGGACAGGCCGACTTCAGAGTGACCACGTTTCTTAATCTCTGCCATTGTCTCGGCAGCGTATGCAAAACTTTTGTCCCTAGCCCATGTCTCTTCAACTGGATTTTCTTGGTCAATGAGACTGAAGAACAACCCAATGATGTCAGCGAAGTTAATATAGATAGCCTCAAGAAATACTTCTCGGCCGAGGATTTTGCGTAGTCGACTTTCACCGCTTCGATGCTGCTCGGCTTTGGGCATACTGATGTCATGAGCCATGCTATAAGCAATGATTCTTGAGAAATTACGTTGGATAAGTTGTGCTAGGCTATCACCAAGGGCTGCAGCTAATCTTGCGGCTGCTTCGTCCTGTCCTCGCATTACCATCAAGGCCACTATCTCAGACTGGGCACGTTGTAGCAACTCCTTAAGAGTCGAGAAACCGAATATCATAAAAGGGATATCGTCGATACTTTTTATTTCGAGCCAAGTGTAGAGGAGCTGGGGCGCGAACAGATCGAACAGCTGTTGCGTGTTTTCAAGATTTAGCGAGGTAGATATGTTGTCGAGACATCGTGCTGCATGCCGTTTCGAGCTGGGGATCTCGCCAGGAATCTCGAAGATATGGTAAATTCCGCGCCGAAGTAGGGTAGGCCACTCCCGTGCTAGCTCTGCGAGGACAAATAATCGTAGGGCTATACCCTCGAAGAAATCGGTCTTACTTGGAAGAACTTCGAGGACGTCAACTAAGACTTCGTCGTGGGATTTTAGGGTATACCTGCCAAACAAGGTTGGCAAACGAGACCCTATGTAGTATTTGACGGGTATTGCTGCACTGCTTAGGATGCTAAGCAGCGATGAGCTCGGTGGTTCCATCTTGATTGTTTCTGTATACTTCTCGTTGACTTGGATAAGACGGAGGAGTAGTCGGACTAGCGACATCTGAATGCTTGAGGAAAGCATGTTGTTCTTGAGTCCAGCATTGAGAAAGTAATGATATAAATCACCGACGCGAGATGATATCTCACCGTCGCTATCAGCCCAGATGGGTATCAGACCCTCCATCACATCGAGACATACATTTAAAGCAACCTCACAACTTGAAAAAGTCGCGCTGCCAATCAATTCTCCCATTCTACTGATGACTCTGTCGGCATCATCTGGATTTATTATAAGATCAGAATCGAACAGTTCCCGGGTTAAACAACGGCAGGAGATAAGTTCTTCATTAGACAACTCCAAGAAGTCATCAAGGTATGATGCTGGGATTAGCCCGATTTGACCATGATCCCCATACAAGATATCAAAAAGACGCAACCGTTGAATGGTGTCGGAATAAAAAGTTGAGGCTTGCAGAGCAACCGAAGCCTCATGTCTAGATATTTCGTGTGACTTTGACGACGTATTCGACCGACGTTCTTTAGATTCAAAATTATCATCAAGGTCCATGAAATCGTCCTCATTGTTGGATGATTGACTGTCGCTTCTTTTGCGAAAAGCACCGGACAGTTCAAAGAAGAAACGGTGAAGGTATGACCATTCTTTTCCTAGCTTACCCAATTCCGCGCATGTCAATGCAGGCATATAAGGCCGGACTGCCGTGAGGAGGCAATCATACAGTATTTGACCCTCATATGAGTTTGAAACGCCAGCTAGAGCAGCTTGAAGGATCAAAAACAACGAGTTTTGGACCTCTTGTGACGGCCTCGAATTTACCTCTATTATTTCCGGAAGGATAAAAACGCCGACAATCAAGGAGGAGATAATGCTTTGCAGTTTCTCCGGGGTAATTTGAATGGACTTATCTTTCTGTTTATCCCAGGACTCGCATAGGGTTTTTATCTCATCTAGCTTTGAGTAAAAGAGCTCGGCTACGAGCTTTTTTGTACCGTAGGAATTCGAAGTATCGCCGAGATGGGTGACTGGCGTAAAGGATAGTTGCTGGCTGGGTAAAGATGAGGATCCAGAAATGTCGGGGTCTAAGAGAAGCAGGTATCTAATCAAGCTCTCGCGGTCTTGGAGCAGACATAACGCCTCGCCAATTTGCCCGGAAATTGTCTGAGATGGCTGTGACAAAATCAATTTTTCACTGCCGTAGGCTGCTCTCATTAGATTGATGATATCTACTGGTTTAACGTGGCTCGAGTATGATGATATATATGCTGCGTCGGCTACGAACGTAAAATTGTTAGACAAGACCGAAACTTTAGATGTTCGTTCTCACTCACTAGGATCCCATCTGAAAAATAACCAACGAACCACGCAATTGCAGGTTGTATAGCTGGCGCTCGGGAGTTGGAAGTTTCGGAGGTGAAGAAGCGTTGTCATAAGTACGAGCGAAGAATCCACTACAGCAGCTGGGCCGTTTACATCGGCAGTCATGATCATGCTGTTGATATCGTCGGCAATATCGCGATACGGTACTAGATCGTGAGTTATGATGGAGTGGAGTAATATACTAGAGGCTCGACAATTTGTAGTCATAGTGACAGAGCGTACTGCAATTTGCCATATTTGCTTCCAAAGCACGGATAGAGTATTGTCGGTGGCACTGACTTGGGGAGTGAGACTGCTCGAGCATTAGCATAAGGTATACATGCAACATTAATAGGACTGACCTTGTGCAAGCAATCATAGCCCATGTGGACACTTTGCTATTCTTACTGGTAATTTGGCTCGTTAAGAAGGACAAAAGCTCCGACATCTCATCAATGTTAACCTTGAGATCTGACACAAAAAAAGGGGTGATCTGCAAGGCAGTATACTGTATTGAATGATCAGTGGAACTTAGTTTCTGGCGAAGTCGACTAAAGCCTGAGGCTGTTCGTCGTTTCTTCCGTGGTTGTTCATCATCAGCTAACGTTGTTTGAGATTGCTCAGATGCTCTCCACAACAGCCGTTCAAGGAGCGCGAGAATATGCACAACTGCCCAGTTCTTCTCACCATCGATATTGAACAGCCGTAAGGAGAAGGACTGCACCTGAAACGTTGTACTGTTATGAGGTATGGAGTATGTCAGGTCGTCTTGTTGAAGCTGAGCGCGTTCTTCTCGTCTAGAGTATTCACTCCATAACAACTCCGCGAGGGATTCGATGCCGCCCAGGAGCGAAGGCTTATCACCTTGCTTGATTAAGAACTCAAGTTGAAGGTGGATATTATATAGAAGCTTCAGCATTTCTACTCGGACGCCATTTAGGAGCGCATCATGCGCAGATGCGGATTTCGTTTGCCACCATTGACTTACCAGCGGTAGGCAATCTAAAGCTAGAGAGTTCGCGTAGTCGGAATCATCCGTTTGGGAGGCCACAAACAGCTTGTTGACCAGGGCAAATGCTAGCTGATGTAACGGGCTTATTCCAAGGGGACGCAGTTGGAGAACCTGGATCACAACGGACGACATCTCCTTTGAACGCTGTAAAAGGGGCGCATTTGGAGTAGATGAGAGATAAAGCAGACATTGCAAGAGATCTGGAAGCTGACTACGCGAGAGTCGGCCAGTGCGTTGGGACGAGGTTCCAGGTCGTGGGGTTGAGAATGTGAGAGGCGTTGAGTGTCCCGAACCGGGAGCCGGTGAGGCCCGTAAAAGAATCGAGTCTCTATCATTAGCCGCCAGATATAAAGTCAAGACGTCAACAGTGAAGTCTACACATGTGAACCAGCCTTCACCACCCCCGGCAGCAAGGAGCTCGACATTAGCGGCATGGCTTAGGAGAGCAGCTAAGGCTTTAATGTAGTCCTGTACCAGTGGCGGGACTAAGTCATCTTCAGAATGTGGCAGCGTTTGAGTGATGTGGTCGATCACAGCAAGGACGGTCTTTCGTTTTACCTTGCCTGCCCCTAACTCGACACCAAGGCGCAGGGCTTCCGCGCACTTGGTAAGTCTGCTAGCAGCGGTGCTCTTATGACTATAGTAAGCTTGCTTTTCAGCTAGGGCACACCGAAAGATGGCCTCGAAGGTTATATGATAGCTCTTATCATCTAATATTGAACTGGAACTCATTAGCTTGATAACCGGAAATGTTTGCTGTTCCTGCTTACAAGTTGGAGGCTTTCGTTTGTTCCTTGAATATGTGAATTAAATCTATACAAGTCAATATTCCAATGTTAATTATTCAGGCGTAAAGGTTGTTGGCAGCCTCACCATCCAAACCGGAAGAACGGGTGGCGCCGTTGCTGCTTTCAATAGCGACTATTTAGGTACGTTATATTAGCAATTATCTAAATTCATCCCGATGGGAAACATAACTTACTTCGGGCGCCATCCATCGTAATTTGTCTGGCTCTTTGTCGAGGTGCCATTTTGCTGCCACTTTTGCGCCATGCACCACTCACTTGTCTATAGTAACCCAATAACTATTTGAGAAATAGAAAACTACACCGCATACCTAGGTACCTAAGGTATGGATGAAGTATGAAGGCTCTGGTTCTGGTCGCCTGGGGAAATAGGTGGTATAGTAACACCTAGGCTTAAAGACCAAATATGATTTATGATATTACTTCATTTAGAAGCTAGACGTAGAGCGTATATTTTCATGTAGGTCAATGTGGGAGAAAAGTTGGCCAAGTTGATTGAATCGCAAGCATGAAGTCTAGCATTGGATACTGACCTGGGTTTTTATTTGCAAAGTGAAAAAGTAACGCGACGTAAAAAAAAAAAAAAAAAAAAAAAAAAAAAAAAAAAAAAAAAAAAAAAAAAAAAAAAAAAAAAAAAAAAAGACCGAATAAAGACTGGAGAAAATGCGTAAACAAGAAAATAGAAAACAAAAGTATTAAAGAAAAAATAAGGAATCGATATCGCTGATGGCTGATAGCTTCCAAGGTCAGGCCATGCTGGATATTATCTAATCTATGTTGATGGCGTTTTCACCAATTAACTAACTTATTTTATATTCTTCTTGTTAAGCTGGTAGCAAATGTCCAGTATGCGGTTGTGGTCTTTTACATAGTATGTACAATATGAGAGTTGCTAAGGCAGCGAATGTACAATGTACGAGAGAGCTGAGCATTTGTTTATTGTTGGTACCCAGGCTTGCATTTTACACCAGATTTACCCTACGGTACCTACACATGAGTCTGAACATGACATACCTAACCGGGTTTGGTTTAGTGTCAAATGGAAACAACCAGTTACATGTGGTAACCGTAGCCGTTAAACAGTGAAATCGGCAGGTAGATGTGGGTACCTTACCTTACCTAGCTTAAGCTTGCAAAGGCTTGACACGTCCGGGCATCATTTTCTTATGGAATTCCTAAAGATTAAATAAATTAAATAAATGATTGACGACTTCGCGCCCCTCCGTACCTAAAAAGGCTTGCCGAACCAACGACGAACCCAACCTTCAATACACCACATGTGCAGCAGATAACAAGCCTTCTGCGAAGTTAATTAGCGGTGCATACGCGTTGCATCGCAAAGCAGTCTTTCTCTCGGTGCCCTGCGCGACGATGCGATAGAAACCGAGAGTGGAACAATGGCGGACGAGGTTACCACCACTATTCAGGAAGCCTTCCGGGATTTGAATAGGGAACTGCTTTACGTGGTCGAGGCACTGAAGGAAGACCGAGAAAATCAAGGGCCATTCTTTTTATCACAACTTGCCCAGAATGAGGCCCTAGAAATCCTCCGTGACAGCTTCAAGCGATTCCTGGAAAAACCTGCGAGGAAAAAGGAAAGCCGAGATGCTGTCTTGTCAGGTGAGTCTAGTTACATTTTCGTCTTCGTCTAGGCTACCTATCTTTGTTATATAGGTTAGGTACCTAACCTGATATAATATAAACTAACAATTAACCTGCAGGGAAAATTAATATCTTCGACGACGAGTATTCCCTGAATAAGGACTTCCAAGAGCTTGTCTTGCAAGTTGCCGACGGCCTCGATTTGGATGAGCTCGAAGCAGCCAAGCTGACCATTCTTTCGAAAGATGACGAAGCTATACTGGGGCGTCCGCTGAGAGAGTGTGCCGTGATAAGATTTCATTACCAAAGGAACATCCTGCTGAACTGCGTGTTACTGCTCCTGCAGCTTTCCAAGGAAGAGGATGAACTTCTGGCTGAAGATGTCGGTGATGGTCTTGGATATCTTAGCCAATATGTTAGCGAGAACATTCTCCGAGAAAACCTGCCTGGCATTACCAATACGACGCCTCAACCTCGATTCGTACCTGCGTGTATGACTTCGATGAGTGAGATAAGGACATGGCTTCAAAACCTCACTGAACAGGCCGCAAGCGCTTCCGTACTGGGTCGCGCGGGTGACGCTCAATTTCAGCAGCTCCTTGAGGTGTCATATATAAATCTTATCCAACAACATGAACTCCTTGCGGTTATTCTCTGCTACGCAATCGAAAAGCACGTGGCTATTGAGGATGACTTCACCAGATTTCTTGGGGTTCTGAAGCAAATCAATAGATACGACTCGTGCGCTGGTAGGTCTCTTCATCATGTGTCTCCTGTTCTGTCTTTGATTCTACCTCTCTTTCTATGGACCGTAAAAACCATTAGCAATAAGTCATGCCGTCTCTAACTTTCGATAGTACATCTCATACCTGTGCTCGGCAGCTACATAACGATTTTTGGCTCGACAGAGGGTAGCGGAAATATCGAGCAAGCCAGAAAACTGAACAAGCTTGTTTGTGAGCCGGGAGATGATACACGGCCATTACCTTTCCTCAATGCTGCTATCAGGGCCTGGTGGATCGCCGAATATAGCGGATGGTATATGGAAGATGCTGCCGGTTCAGGTCTTGCCGGCGTCGATCTTGATGAAGGTTAGAATCCCCTCTTATCTTACACCCGCCAAGCGGACTAACGAAAAACGAAATAGAGGATAAGCAAAGGTCACGACAGTTCGCCGAGGCCCTGAAAGATGGTGCTTTCGATTTCCTGCTGGCGGTTATCGCCGACGTCAGGGCATCTGAATGGGAAGATTCTGCTCGGAAATCTTTACGGCAATGGCTCCGAAAAAGAACCCCAGCGCTGCCCGTAGATACTATCCCATTTTCTGAATCTCTACAAGATCATTTGGCAACAAAGCTGGAGACTTTTGTTGACGCCTTTATATCAAATATGCCCGACGTGCTTCGGAGGTTGAAAATTGAGGAAGACGAGCAGCGCCAAACGAATCAAGCTCAAGAGCAAGACTACGATTTAGAAAGGTTCCTTCTCATAATTGCCTACTCCTTTGAAGGCCGACCGGAGGCCGCAGATGGCTTCTGGGGCGACCCCGAGAATAACTTGGCGGGATTTCTGCAATGGGCATCGCGGAGGGCAACAACACCTGTACAGGCTGCATTTTGTGAGATGCTACAGTCCTTATCCGAAGACTCAGAATCTGCAACAGCTGCACATGATTTTCTCGCGGATGAAGGGCATCAGATTCGAAAACCGCTATCCATCACATGGTCTCATATCATAAACGAACTGGAATATTTTGTTAACAAATCCAGAGAGAAGCCCGCCACAACACAAGCCAGTGTGCATAGAACTGGAAAGCTTAATACCGAGCAGGCGGAGACTGAACCGGAATTTGCAGCGATGCTGGAGTCTTATTTGAGGCTGATGGCCAAGCTCGCTTCTCAAAGCGAAGCTGCACGCACTTATCTGGTTGACCAACCAGCGTCAAAGCTAATTGAGCTACTCTTTCATGTGATAAGTAGTCAGGTTACATCTCGAATTAGAGCATGCACCTTTGCAGCATTGGGCTCACTTCTTAGTCGAAAAACCCTTACTGAGAACTACACTATGTGGTGGTATCTAGAAGCGTGCCTCAGTGGAAACTACCTTCCGCCTACAACAAATAAGGCCCTGGCATCTGCCGCAGGCTCCCCGCACTCTTCTATGTTTATGGAGGCATTATTCGAAGAGATGAGCCCGCATGTCGATGACGCCAGCGCCTTTATACAACTCCTCGTCAGTTTGACGTCTCTCCCAGAGGGCTCTGATCCGTTAAACGACGTACTACCGTATCCGGGGGATCTCGGTGCATCTGCTCGAATGCGTCCTGGAGTCGAGCCATATATCGACTTTACTTTAGGACACATGTTTTCCGTTCGAGCCCAAGCTGTTACGGAACTTGTACAGCAGAGATTGCTCCGTTTGTGTTGCTTGGATCTCTCATTCACTTGCGTTTCTATCTTCAACGAGGATTTGATTATATTCGCCAATGAGACCAATATCAATGCGGATTCCGCTATCCAGTGCGAAAGTCTAGATGACTATGTTACGCTTCATCCATTTGCTAGGGTCATGGAGTGGATGTACGATAGCAGGTTCATGAAAGGCATTCTCGATACCATACATCAAAACCCAAAGGACATAGAGAAAGCTCCACCGGATTCACCTCTCATTCATAGCGTTCTACGTGCAGTCCAGCTCATCTCAAAGGCTCTCGATCTTCAAGCTACGTACCTTGATGTGGTACGGCCAAAGGTAAAGCCGCAAGCTCGAGCGCAAAGTCGATCACTCTATACGCCAACACCCAATGGGGCATATGTTTCCATTGAAGATGGCCTTATGAGTAACATGACGTTGATGTCTGATCTGGGTAGCTATTGTGGTATAGGCCACCCTGATTTGACCTTGGCCAGTCTAAAGCTACTGGAGAAAATATCAACGTCACCCAGGGTAATTTCGGCGTGGCAGTCTGGACCTTCAGGGCAGGTCCATAGAAACAAAGCGGTTATTGCCTTGGAGGAGCGTAACGACGCAGCTGCCATAGCCGGCTCTTTTATTGCTGAGTTTAAGAATTTCTTGGACCTCCGCAAGGAAGACAGGTCGCCAGAGTACCAGACCAAAGTCTACATACTCAATTTCATCTACTCTTGCATAGAAGCGAGCCCCGATCGGCCTACAATTGCTCACCTACTCCTCGGTTTTCGTTGCGGGGCCAACGCGCTCGAAATCGAACCCCATGGCTTGTTCGCCGAGGGGAAGTCTCTATTTCACGCGCTGCTACCTGTGATTCTGGAGCTTCCGTCAGAGGACAGAGGGTCTATGCGGAGTTGGTTCATCAATCTCAAGTACAAGGTGATGCGAATTTTCAGGCTACTCTGGAGCTCTCCACTATCAGCTAGTATCGTCCTCGACGAACTCCGAGACTCTGACTTTCTGTTCCATATTCTGATACAGGGTCTTGTAGCTCAGCAAAACCCCGTATGGGATGAACAGGAAGCTGTCGGCCCAGACTTCCTCAGACATCCTGCGGCCGAGGGGTACGTCAATTACCTTTCAATGAGGGCTATGGCACTTGAGTATATTACCCGCGAGCTCCATGCTGTCTCTCTTGAACGCAAGCCGGCGCTCAAGAGACGGGTATTCGATGCCCTGGGCGGTCAGATCAGAGTTGACGATTTGGAGGTTATAACGGTATCTTCAGTATTCGAGTTTCAAGATTCGTTGCCTCAGGAGAGTTTATTCGCAGCCCCACCACCTGATCTCAAGATATACGGAGAACAAGATCTGCGGCCGTGCCTAGAAGAGGATGACGACCGGAATATGGTATATGATTTGGACAAAGTCCGAGAGATTCTGCTCCTCAAGCGCAACGAGGCTCGCAACTCTGGCCATGTTATTCTACAGCAAGACGTTGCAGCTTTAGACGCAGAAGAGGAAAATCTGCTGCTGTACTTGAAGTACTTGAATCGGTTCACACAAGTAAAAACGCGCGGGCTTAAAGTTCTGACAAATTGGACACGACTCTTGATGGTGATGACCGACTGCAACGACTTCAAAGGCACAAACAAAGTCTCATTTATATTACAAATCCTACAAGCAACACTTCCAAGTCTCGAGCTGTACAGTTCGGAGAACCCTAGTGCCGCTCTAGAACTAGCAAGGCTTGCCAAAGTGTTAGTATTCGAACTGGATTTCGCAGCGATGACTTCTACCGACAAACAAAGTAGAACGGTGGAAAACCTGATTAGCGACAAGCTTTTCCAACTACTCCAGGTGTGCCTAAGCGCCATCGCAAAATGGGTCGGCAATCAAGAACTGCGTGCGGTCTATTACAGTATTTGCTACCGTCACCTGACTGGGCTTGTGGATCACGAACAAGGAGTGTCGTCTAGTCTCCGAAAAACAACTAGAACAATACAATCGTTCGGTGAAAAGCTTTTAAATGTCGTCTGCGATGACGCGTTTGTCGGAGACGCGGCATGCCAATCGGCAGCTTTGATTCTCCTAGGAACGTTGGTTCAGCTTGGCAAGCAGGAGCACGATAACTTCGTTGTAGAAGCATTGAACAGACTGAACTTCATCGGTATACTTGTAGATTCTCTACGAGGCATTCTGGTTGAATGGGAAGAGGCTGATCGGACAGGTAAGTCCTACAGTCCCCTCCACATTTGTGTTTAGGATCAAAAAGTCTAATCATCCATATTAACAGGTGACTCAGATCAGCAGAACTATCTGAACGCCAAAATGGCACTACTATTGCAGTTATGTCAGACGCGCGAGGGTGCTAAGTATGTTCTACATGCGAATCTATTCCGCACTATCGAACAATCTGGATTGTTTTCGGTGGATCCAGAATTGCAAGTGGATTCTACAGACAGCAGAGGCTTGGAGAGGCACTATACCCTCCTAGTTAACATAACCCGCATCATCGGTGCGGCGATAGTTAGTCGGGGATCGCATAACGTGCTACAGGGCAGACGGTTCCTGACCGAGCACAGAATGTTGGTGATGCATGTCCTCAAACGTTCGGCCGGAATTGGTACAGGAGGTGGGAAAACGGATGCATTACTTTCGGGACGCGTCGATGAATTAGCTGAGGCGTTTATGGTCGTTATCACAGCGACCGGATTTCTAGAGGTAGGTCCAGAATATTCGTCTTCGTCGCGGACATACACGAATTACATTGGGCTAACGTGTTAATTTTGTATAGTTTGAGGGCGGTAGCCTAGATGAGGCCACAAGGCCTGCGCCGATCCTATTTCACTAAGGGCAAGGCAGACAAGTGAAATTGGAAAAAATTATAAAACGTCTAGGGGAGGAGATGATATAGTCCAGCCCAAATTTCCCAACGGCGTTATAGGAGAAAAAAAAAAGAGAGAGAGAGATGCCTTGGGTACCTATGTAATTTAATAGATCAATCCCACGGTAAGCTGATAGCTTAGGTCTAGGTAGCGTTTGTAGTTGCAGCCTCGTGGCTGAAAGCTGATCTGAGACACGAGAGCTATCTACGAAGTAAGGCATCTGCGAGCATGATATGCATTGCATAGAGTAGCACTAAGGGCAAAGCAGCATAAGGCGGAATGCATGGAAACTTCCATGTTAATTCACAATAATTATTGCGTCTGTGTGTAAACCGTCGATCCCCGAGTATCGTCATGTGACTAAACCTAGGTAGTCTGGTAGGTAGTCCATTAGTGTAATGAATTGGATGCTGGATTGCATGGAAGAATGGAAGAAATGTATGGATGGGAGGAAGTAGTTGAGTGGATCAAAGGATCTACCTCGTTTACTCTAGTGCGGTTTGTACCCTGGAACCTTGGAAGACGTGGAAAAGATACTGCGGTACGTAATAATCAGTACTTGGTACAGTAATGTAATTGATGCCTCTATTGTTTGCCACAGAGTTGAGATATATCAATGGATTGTGATTGGCTATAGCCGATGTGTTCTGTTAGTAAGCTTTGGCCCAATCAGCTGGTTTACCTTGGCATCGGTCCTTGAAGGTTGGTGTTTCCCCAACTTCTCTTCGGCCTCCTCTTGGCATTGATAATAAGAAGCTACAGCCTATCAAATGTCGAGCTAGCCGAGTACTTGGCTACCTCTCATGTGAAATAGAGCTAATAATTGACTAGGTACTAGACTAACCACTTGCCCCAGATAATGAGATAATGGACTAGAACTGCCAGATCCAGTAGGAGGTCCTTCCTGACATAGGTAGTATGTATACCTTTTATGTAAATCTTGATCGTCTCCTTATTCGTCTACTATCTAAACTCGTCCAACTTTTTTTAACTTTTTTTTTTTTTTATCTCGAGGCCCCGAGCAAACTCAACCATTGTGGGCAGCCCATCTCCCATAAACTGCGCCGCTCCGCTTTAAACAATATTATATCTTGGTACACTAAGCTGGTTGGTTGAAGCGCTAGCCCTTGTAAAATGACGATAGCCAGCACGGCTGGGGAATCAGGAACGAGCATTCGGGTACTGGCCGACGAAGAAGTTGATTCCCTCACCCTCGACAACGAAACATCACATGTGATCTGCGATCAGCATGCTACAGTTCGTAGCATTCGGGGCAATTTATATATAGTGTTTCTCCTGAATTCTCCTCGACGATAGTTCACTGGCGTCGCGCATTGGTTAAGTCGTCTTGTAATGAGGCGCCGAGGAAAAGCCAGAGAGCACGCGACATGTTGCCAGCACCCCCCCTCGGCCCCCGGACCATTTTCTTCTCTTAGTAGGTAACCACCATGTAACGGATTGAACTGAGAGCACCCTAGACGAGCTACCAGGGTAGGGGTCCCCGAAGAGAAGCAGTTAGCCGGAGAAAGCCAAGAACACTAAGAGGGCCCAGAATTCATTCCATGTGCTGATACGGTGTTATACTCCATATAGTGATAGGAAACCGGGGTCACCCGTACATACACCTACACCAGTACAGGACGTCGGTCAGCGATATGCACCTAGACTGGCTAGTTCCTCCCGGACGAGTGTTGGAGAGAGATAACCAATGCCCCGCCGCCTCTCTACTATGTACACTACCTACCTAGTAATTGCTGCGTACATAGTAGAGAAAGAGATAGACAGTAAAATAAGGTCAGTCATTGGTTCTTTATTTCTATCGTAAGGTCATTGCTACGTAGTAATTGTTCCGATCACCAATCCGGGAAACGGAAACCGTCGGGGGTAGAAGTCTCGTTACCTACCCGTTGTTGGATTTAATTCATATAATATTTAATAGCTGAACATCTCCCCAGCCTAACCTTCACGTCCCCTTCGCCCTCTTATTTGTTCTGATTCTTCGACAAAAAAGAACACTAGGGCTGAACACACAGAATTGTCTGGAGTTGTCTTGCAATTCTCTTGTGTGTCGTTTATAGTCGACCCTTTCTTTCTTTTTCTTTTTTTTTGTTCGATTTCGTTCATTATTAGGAACCTTTTATCGAAAGAAGAAAAGTACACGATAAAATCATGGAGAAGCAGGGAGTGGTGCAGAGGTCGGTCAGGTCGACGGCCTCGTCGCCCTCGGGCGACAAGGACAAGACCTCATATAACGACGTGGACATTGAGGGCTCACACATCCGGGGTATCGAAACATCGGCGGAAACGTCGTTGCATCGTGGTCTTAAAGCCCGTCACATTACTATGATTGCTATCGGTGGTGCTATTGGAACAGGTCTTATCATCGGAACCGGTAAGGCTCTCGCGCAAGCCGGCCCGGGCTCTATTTTCATCTCGTACACCCTCGTCGGTATGATTGTCTACTTGGTTATGACCGCTCTTGGTGAGATGGCCGCTTGGCTCCCGATGTCTGCTGGTTTCACTGGTTATGCTTCTCGATTTTGCGACCCCTCCCTCGGTTTTGCGCTCGGTTGGACGTAAGTTTTTGATCCTACTCACTCCTTGTCGCTCATCTTATTCGCGCGTGTCGCGCAGTACGCATATAACATGCATAGCAACAAAAGCTGACATGCCAAACCTTTGCGATATAGTTATTGGCTTAAATATATCATCGTGACGCCTAATCAGCTCACAGCCGCGGCTTTGGTTATACAGTTCTGGCTGCCTCGAGACCATGTCAACCCGGGTGTTTGGATCGCCATATTCCTAGTCGCCATCATTTTCATCAATTATTTCGGTATCCAGTTCTTCGGTGAATTCGAATTCTGGCTCTCGAGTTTCAAGGTTATCGTCATCCTTGGCGTTATTCTTCTATCCCTTATTATCGCTTGCGGCGGTGCTGATGGCGACCCGAGGGGATTCCGATACTGGCGTGAACCTGGGTAAGTGGATTCATGTAGTCTTATGATAATGATGATGAGACTATTAACTATAGAGAAATCATGTTGCTGACTCGGAACAGTGCTTTCGCCCCTTACATTGCGACAGGCTCCTGGGGCCAGTTCCTCGGCTTTTGGTCTACCATGGTTACTGCTACTTTTGCTTATCTGAGTACCGAGTTGGTTGGTGTGACGGTTGGTGAAGCTCAGAACCCGCGCAAGACTATCCCCCGCGCCATCAAGCTCACCTTCTACCGAATTGTCGTCTTCTACTGTGTCAGCATTCTTTTGATCGGCATGTGTGTCCCCTACAACTCTCCGGACCTTATTTTCGCCACCGACCCTTCAAAGAATCCCAATGCGGGCAAAAACGCCAACAGCTCCAATGCCAGCGCTTCCCCGTTCGTAGTTGCCATCAAGCTTGCTAAGATCCCGGCTCTCGACCACATCCTCAACGCCTGTATCCTTCTTTTCGTCTTCTCCGCCGCCAACTCCGATCTGTACATTGCTAGCCGAACTCTCTATGGTCTGTCCTCCGACGGCGCCGCCCCCTCCATCTTCCGAAAGACCGATAGCAGGGGCGTGCCTCTATACTCCCTTTTCACTTCCGCGGCGTTCGCCCTCCTCGCCTTCCTGAACGTTTCAGATGACTCCAAGCAGGTCTTCAGTTACTTCGTCAACCTGACTACCATATTTGGTCTCTTGACCTGGATTTCAATCCTCGTGACGCATATCTGGTTCGTGCGGGCGCGCCGTGCGCAGAACCTAACCAACGACATGATGCCGTACAAGGCGCCTCTTGGTTTGTGGGGTTCGTATGCGGCGCTGTTCATGTGCATCCTGATCGCACTTACTAAGAACTACGATGTGTTCACGGGCGACTGGAGCAAGAAGTACCCCACCTTCATCACGGGCTACCTAGGTATCCCCATCTACCTGATCCTGATTCTCGGACACAAAGCCTGGACCAAGAGCAAGGGCGTCCGCCCACACGAGTGCGACTTCTACACGGGCAAGGATATCATCGACCGCGAGGAAGAGGAATTCCTCGCCTCGCAGGCCGCCAAGAGGGCAGCGACCCCCGAGACCCACCAGGGTCTTGCGCGCTTCTACAGACGCTTCGTCTCCTGGCTGTTCTAAGACAGCGGCGGGCTACTCTCGTCATGATCACGTGTATTTAAGGAAGTCGGTTACTTTGCGTTGGATTTTTGCGTGGGACGGGGGCGGGACAGGGGGAAAGCGAGCGGGCAGACGGTTGTATTGCTTGCCGTATATTGAAAAGATACCTATTTCTACCTATAGCTACCTATACCTATCTGTACATATATATCCTGCGTTAGGTAACGTCGCGTACAAGCGCTACAGTATAATGAAGGAAATTTTATTTGTTACATGTATAGTTTCTCTTTTTGAATTGTGTGAGGTGCGTTGTTGTCTCTACGGAGATACTTTCTATAGTGGGAGCCGCGCCGATGATGCTGCTGTACACGCGGTGGTATACCTATTAGGTAGCGAGTAGGTAGCATTAGGTATGTAATTTCTTGCTAGGTATTGTCTATATACCTAGGTACAGAGTCAAGACGACGAAGCCCCTTCGCGGTTTTACCGCCTTTCTTACCCCGTGTCAGAACTTACGTGATCCCTAAATCCCGAATTGTCGGGGAAAAAAGCCTTGAGGCTGAAGAAGGAGGGGATCGGAAGATAGGTAGCGGTAGGGCGGGCAGGTACAAGTCTGTGGGCGTAGCGTAGCATCACAGGGACGGCGGGCGGAGATTGCGAGAGGCCCTGCGTAGGGTTGCGGGTGCGGTGGTATGAGTTTGGGATGGGTTTGATATAGTTGGCTGGATGAGTGAATGAATGGTTGGTAGCTTTTTTTTTTCTACCATTCTCCAACCCCCCCTTTTGACTACGCTACGTTACCTAAGAGCTTAGAGGGCGGGAGACTGTGGACAAGGGGGCTAACAGGTTAGGTAGAGATGTGAATCGCATGAATGACATGAGCGCGGCGTTTCATTGCCTTATATGAGGTATTGCAAAAAGAATTAAAAAAACGGCGCAGAGATAGATAGTGTTGACTGGTCATTTAGCCGCGTTGACACATTAATGATATAGTAACCTAATGAATTTTTTTTTTATTAACTACCTGTCAATTCTATCGGAGACTACGATCAGAAACATGGAGATGCGGTAGCGTCATTCCATACTACTAGTCAATTGCTCTAAACAATACCGAGATACGCTCTACTGGTATTACCTATGGTATCCAATGGACTTCACCGGGTACCTATATCCACACTCTGCCTCGGTCCTCCCTTACTTACTCCAGGCACGCTATCTGCACTGGGCATCGTGTTTGCTGAAAACCCAGCTGCCCAGTAGTATGTAAGGTTGGTGAACGTTATTCTCACGTAGGACCGGACCGAGACCCGTTTTCTGGTAGAAGTAAACACGGAGCGACCAGGGTCTGGGGCCGAATAGGAGACGAAGTCATGTATGATCCCGCAAGTCTGTGATGCACTGGTACTCCTTTTAAGGAAAGTAGTATCCAGCCATATTCAAAAGAAAGAAAAAATTCCAACGCTTGCACGACATATAAATATGACGAGTCACGGGGAGCTGGGAGTGTTGGGACAGGGGGGTCATCACATCGTGCATAATGGGCGATTCGAAGCTTCTATACGTTCCGCTACGTACACACTCTCTCTACAGTATACCTATGATAGGTAGAAAGTAACGTTTGCTGAACCTATCAATCAACTCGCAGTGGACGTTACGGGCACGTAAGATTGACATCGGATATCCAATAGGAAGACGAGTCACGAACCAACATCTCCGAAAGGTGGCGAGGTTGGTCAGAGTCACAGCGAAAGATAAGGCCAGAAGCCTAACAGCCGGCAGAATAGAATAGGGGTTTTTGTCTATCTCTCTGAATGTGCGAGATGGAACGACAAAGTGGAAATGCGAACTAGGCGAGCATTAGACAAGAAGCGAAAAGGAGAAGAAAAGAAAAGAAGGCAAAAAAAGTTAGCCTCGATGGGATTTGAGCCCATGACCTTCCCAACCTCGACCTCGCATCCGAGTACATTGCTCGGAGGCGCGTAATGATGGACTATGCTCCCACTACATCACACATCACCAAGCTTTGTCTTGTATTGTTTGATGCTGGTGAACCTGCATTTCCGATTCATAAGTTTAGGTAATATGCAATAGATGTCTAAACCGCTTGTTCAAACCAGAAGACTATATTGCATCTTTGACTCTGTACTTCAGGGTTGTAATATCTATCTGAGGCAAATAACCCCTGAGTGAGGCCAAAGTCAAAAAGAGCCTGAACAAGATAAACTGCGATATCCAAGTCACCACGTACGAAAATAAAATCAGACGGGTACTCAATAGCCTACTTCTAGGTAGATTTAGGTTAGGTTAGGTGCCTACTTATGCGTCTAGTTTGGATAACATATATTCCAACTCTTTCGCGGTATCACTATTCCCATCCACCCTACCCTTTAACTGCTCCGCGACGCCCCGTATAGCATGAGTCGAATGCACATACCGCCTCTTCATGCCGGGATTCGCATTCGACAGCAGCGTCGCGGCAAGCTGCAACACATCGGTCTGGAAGTCGACAAGCACCTCGTCCCTGACGCCGCTTTCCACAATCGGTACGTCGTGGGCCGCTACCGCAGTCACCACGTCCATCCAGTCCTCCGGCGTGGCGCCCTCGCTCTCCGCTACGATCTGCAGCACGAGCGCGATGCGCGTCCCGCGGACGACGTCTGCCTCCTGCAGGGTGGTCGACGCGGAGCTCTCTTCGAGGATCCGGAGCATGTCGCCCGACAGGATTTTCCAGCCCTCGTACGAGGCGAAAGCCTCGAGCCCCTTCGACGTGCGCAGTATGCCTTCGAGAGCCGCTAGGATGGGGAGCCTGTAATCGAGGCTGCTTGGCTGCGACGAATCTGAACCACCTTCACCACCACCACCACCACTGCTGCTGCTGCTTTGGTACAACTCCATAAACATGTCCATCAGCCCCGCGCCCTCTTTCCTCAGGACATCGCCGTCGTCGTCGCGGACCCAGAGCGCGATGGCGCGGATAGCGGACAGTATGAACGCGTCCGTAGCCGCGCCCTCGTCCTTGGTGTCCCAGGCCAGCGTCTTATGAGAGCCGAAGTGGGTATGTGCGCTGCCGACGCGCGCCTCCGGGTGCAAGCCCCGGGCCCCCGCGACCGAAGCGTCCCAGCGGTCCCGCAGGTACTCCATCGTGACGGACAAGGTCTCGGCGATGGAGCTGCTGAGCTTGAGGACTAGGTCGGGAGACATCCGGAGCCAGGAATCCGACGGCTTCTTCGCGTCCGGCCTGGGATTGTCTAGCTCCTCCATCCACGAGATGAGTTGCCCGATGAATGCGGTCAGGATGTCGAGTGCGGAGGTGAGACGCTGCGATATCCGCGGATATTCCGGGTCGTTGAGCTTCCCCAGAAGAGAGGGTAGGGTCGCGCGTAGGTCTACCAGGATGAGATTGATGAAGAGGTACGAGAACGGCTTCGGGGAGTCCTTCTCGTCGAGAAATAGTAATTGGGGCGTTGATTCTGGGTATATAAGTAGCAGGGCGCCTGCACAATTCGTGTATGCAGAACGGCTGGCTGCAGTTGGTCTATTAGTCGACAAGTTCCGTATGAGCTTGGTAACAGAGCCGAGCCACTTTGGATTGTGAGGGATGAGCTAGATGATGGTTAGAAGCTGTTTGCGAAGGTTGATGGTGTATTGGGTAGGTAGACAGGGATGGGGTCATACATACATTCTCGTTGAGATTTCTCAGGATATGGGATACGAATTCTAAAAGGCTAGTTGCGTCGGTTCCAATGAAGGAGGATACAAAAGCTTGTATCCCTTGGTCGATTTTAGTCCTCATCGCTTCCCTGGCGGCTTCATCTTCAAGGCCGGTAGTTCCCCTTTCCCAGGCCCATATGAATATCGTGAGCACATGTGCATGCTCTGGAGCAATTTCTATTAGGGGAGTCCAGTCCTCGACGTCAAGATCAGCGAAGCTTTTGGCACCACCAGGGACGGCGACAAGAGTCAGCAACGTCTCGATGATTACCTGGGTTGTTTCTTTAGAACTGACTTTGTGTTAGCGTGAGGTACCTAATGACTTGTAGATGAGGGTCGGTTTTCATCACCTGTAGAGGACGGCTTTGGCTAATCTTGGTATTCTGGCAAGTAGCTTTGCGTCCTGCTTCGCATCATCGGGCAACAAGACAGCGAATGTATGGATGACAGCGACAGCCAAGTCAAGCATATCCCTAGAGCTCTTTTGTTCTGAGCTAGAGTCAGAACCGGTGCGTAACAGGCGGTCCAGGAATTTGGGTGAAATAGAGTCCCATAGTGAAACTATGACTTCTTTCTCGCTCTGAAGCTCTGGGGAGTTGTCTAAGACGGATTTAAGTAGAGCTAAACCAACGAATCTAGAGGTGTCATCTTTGGTCTTGAGGAGTTGTTGAATTTTCTCTATAGATGAAGTCTTAGTTTCGCTTGATCCGTTTTCATCGGTGTTTTCAACTTGGATGTTTGAGACATCTGAAATATCCATCTTCTCTTTCTCTCTCTCACTTATACGGGGTATCAAAATATCAAATCCTCAACTCGAGGGACACACACACTCTCTTTTCCAACGTATGATGTAGATTCGGTTGGCATTTATGAACGAGTAGCTTGTTTTGAATTTTAACTCGTAATTTAATCCAATGTAAATTAATGTCTTTATGAATAGCTCGAATCATGAGTTATTGAATCATCTCTTTTTTCTGATTTGACTTTGCATCATTTCTTCGTAAGAGCCAATAAAAAGGGCAGTAAGTCACAGTTACAGTTACAGAGGGCCGGTAACGATTAAGCTTTTATCGTTATCGCTTCTCCGCAACTAGACCTACGCGGTACCTCCTAATAATAGACATTAGGTACGTATTGCACATGTACCAAAGTACCTCTAGGTACACTGGAACCTTACTCAAACAGGTCCAGTGCACGTACTACGTACATTTAGGTACATGTAAACCCACTTGCGTAGGTACGTTAGCGACAGGCTACAGCGATTCCGACCCCTAACCAACCTTCTAACCAACCTTCTGGTCGCAAAGCCGCAACGCGAATATCCACCTCTAACCTACTCGTAGCCATGAAATCTGGCAAATATCCCTACTTCGACTCAATAAGGTAGCATAGGGACCGCGATATGGCAGATCGCATCATCAGGCCTTCAACATGGCAAGCAGCAGGAATATCATAAACCCCCACGAAGAAGAAGGCTCGTCTTCTTCAACCCGGTCACCGAACGGACTGCAACCTCCCAACAATAACGAAAGAGACGAGCTGGACTACTTGTTTGGCGGCGACGATGGGGATCTACTGGGAAATGACCCCTTGAACGAGGATTTGACGGAACCTATGAGCTTCAAGCGAAAACAAAAGCAATCCGTCTTCTCGCAGCCGAGTCGATTATTATCCGCACTCACCGGTAATCGCTTGGGATCCGGATCCCCACGAGCACCCCATTCCGACACCGAAACACCCACGAGGCTGGAAGGTCTGAATCTGGAGCGACCAGAGAATACTTCTGATGCGCCGGACGGTCAGAAAGAGGGAGCGCCGCTGGATTGGTACGTTGAAGGGCCAGGCCGGAGAGTGGGGTATGAGGATCTTACGGCCATCGATTGGATCTTCGAGTATACAAAAGAGCGACAACGCCTACGAGTGCTGTACTCGAGCGCGACGGGCATAGTTGGATACATACAACAGCTCTTAGATTCCAGCCAGACATGGGTTATCCTCGTGTTGACGGGAATTGCTGTCGGCGGGCTGGCAGCGGCTATAGACGTCGCCTCGGACTGGCTGGGTGATATAAAGACTGGCTACTGCACTTCCGGGCCTGAAGGAGGCGCGTTTTATTTAAACAAGCAATTCTGCTGTTATGGCTACGACCAGGGTGCTAAGTGCCTTGGATGGAAACATTGGGCCGCAGCTCTGGGTATAAGTTCTACTGGCGGGAGATGGTTTATAGAGTACTTCTTTTTTCTATTATTTTCTGTGAGTTCAACGATCAGCGTTTTCGAGCACAAGTTACTAATAAATTTGTAGGTGACATTTGCCCTATGCGCCGGTTTCCTGGTTAAGGAATACGCCATATATGCGAAGCACAGTGGTATACCTGAGATAAAGACCGTGTTGGGTGGTTTCGTTATTCGGCGCTTCTTGGGGACATGGACGCTTGTTACCAAGTCCCTGGGGTTAGTAAGTTCTCCCAGATCACAGCAGATCACATATGTTAGACAGCCAAGCTGACTGGTATTAGTGTCTTGCCGTCGCCTCAGGCATGTGGCTGGGTAAGGAGGGCCCTTTGGTACATGTTGCCTGCTGTTGCGCAAACCTGTTCATCAAATTATTCCCCAATATTAATACCAATGAAGGTCCGTATCCCAAGTAGCAATGGCTTTAAACGAGTGCTTTAAACGTGTGCGCTAACCTGAACCAGCACGGAAACGAGAGGTACTATCTGCGGCTGCGGCGTCGGGAATCTCTGTCGCATTCGGATCCCCTATTGGGGGTGTGTTATTCAGTCTCGAACAGTTGTCCTACTACTTTCCCGACAAGACTATGTGGCAGAGTTTCGTGTGCGCCATGACAGCAGCCGTCGTGCTACAGGCCTTTGACCCCTTCCGGTCTGGCAACCTCGTGTTGTACCAAGTCAAGTTCAGCACGGGTTGGCACGACTTCGAACTGATACCCTTTGCCCTTCTCGGTATACTAGGCGGCCTCTACGGCGGACTCTTCATCAAGGCAAATATGCGTGTGGCACAGTGGAAGAAGTCAACATCATGGCTTCCAGGACCCTTAACACAAGTCGTCGTCGTGGCTCTCTTGACAGCCCTAATTAACTACCCCAATTTCTACATGCGAGCTCAATCTTCGGAGCTCGTGTCTTCACTGTTCAGTGACTGCGCATTGGTGCTAGATGATCAATTCGGCCTTTGTAAAACGGGCGCTGCGACGGCCGGCACCATCATTTTGCTATTGTTTGCCGCCGTTCTAGGCTTCTTCCTTGCGTCTATTACCTTCGGGCTACAGATCCCGGCCGGCATCATCCTACCTTCTATGGCTATTGGAGCACTTTCTGGCAGGGCAGTCGGTATCATCATGGAGATTTGGCAGCGAAGTCATCCCGACTTCTTCGCCTTTAGTACCTGTGATCCTGGCCGACCCTGCGTCACACCAGGTGTATACGCCATGATCGGTGCAGCTGCTACACTTGCGGGCGTTACTAGAATGACCGTCTCTATTGTTGTTATTATGTTCGAGCTTACAGGCGCGCTGACTTACGTGCTCCCGATCATGGTGGCTGTGATGCTATCTAAGTGGGTGGGCGACGCATTCTCACGGCGCGGTATCTACGAGAGCTGGATTCACTTCAACGAGTACCCGTTCCTAGACTCCGGTGACGAGGGCAGTGGTGCGCAGCACGTACCGGATATCCCAGCATCGCAGATCATGACGCGCATCGAGGATCTAGTCGTGCTAACCGCGACGGGCCACACCATCGCCAGCCTCCGCGGCGTGCTCGAATCGTGCGACTACCGCGGGTTCCCCGTGGTCAGCGATCCGCGTGACGCCATCCTGCTCGGCTACATCAGCCGGGCCGAGCTCGCGTACAACCTGGCGGCCAGCACGCAGCCGCCGCGCAGCTTGCCTCCCGAGACGGAGGCCTTCTTCTCGCACCAGCCACTCGCGGACCCGCGCACCACGCTGGACCTGCGCCCCTGGATGGACCAAACCCCCCTGACGCTGCCCAGCCGCAGCACCCTGCACCTCGCCGTCGCCTACTTCCAAAAGCTCGGCGTCCGTTACGTGCTCTTCAGCGATCGCGGCGTCCTCCAGGGCCTGCTCACCAAGAAGGACTGCTGGTACGTGCTCAACGGCGCCGAGGAGGGGCGAAGTACCGCGAGGACGGCAATAGCCGGGCAAGGGGGTCGTGTGAGCGGAGGGGGCCACGATGACGATGATGTGGCAGGCGCCGTGGGGGAACGGAGCGGCTTATTAGGTCCCGACGAGAGCTTGCCGGATTCGCCGGCGGACGATGATAGAAGTGGAATCTTATAGATCAACTAGGTGACTTAGGTACCTAGGTAGATATTTGTGATTTGAGTTCGGTGGCGGCGTTTGGCTTTGTTCAGGACGTATCATACCTAGGAAGGCGCGTGATATAGGCAGGGCTAATATTGTGGGATATCTTGACACTCTACTAGAAACTTCTAGACTTCTAGGGGCTTCACCTATCACATTTAGGTACTTACAAGTGGCGTGCTGATAAGTATACGTAGACGTAGACGTAGACGTATACGCGAATGTGAAATCTCGTCATCTCATCCACCCGGAACGCCGTCTTAGATAAACTCACACCTTGATCCGCTTCTCCCTCGTCACACCAGCCAATAAGGTGGAATGGTAAGAGAAAAAAATCATTTTCGACGAGTACGAAAAAAAAGCAAAAGCAAAAGCAAAACGAACGAGAAAGAAGAAAAGAAGAAAAAAGCAGTAAGCTCTGAAGCGGTATAACATAAGTTACTAAAGTGGCCCAGTCCAGTCCAGTCCAGCCCAGTCCAGGCCGGTGTCGTTTAATAGGACGGGTTCGCTATTACGGTTTACAGGTACCTGCCGCAAGAGAAGCGAGATGAAATCAAACAGCAGGTTAGGTTAAGTTAGAGGTAAACACCTACCTAAGGTAAGGTCTGTGATAGGCGGCCTTGTAACGAAGGTGCTAAAACGCGAGCGGATTGTACTACGAAGGAGGTTAAGTACCTTCCTGGAGGTAGGTAGTTTAGGTATGCGGTATACGGCATGGCTAATATACCTAATAATACCTTGTGCCTACATGCGGACGTGCGTGCTAGAAGGGCTCATGTGCCGAAATAATTTGTGTGTTCATGCATTAGGCAGAGTATGAGAAAGGGGGTGTGGCTATTATCAGCGTTCACGACGTTATCGAAGCGTTAATAGAAGAAACGTTATTAAATACCTACACGCGTGGTAAATATGATTTATTCATGTCAATTAGAGACGGTACACATTAGGTACCTAACCTGATATTTTGGAAGAAAGAAAAAGCACACCGTCTCTTATTGCGCCTATGTAATAGTATGCTTGTTTCCCTTATCGTAGCATGATTCTCACTCCTGTCGTCAGGAACACCAGAATATGAAGGCCGTAGCTGTTGAAAAAAAGACGCAGGCCAGCATCGTAGCCCGACTTGAGTCAATAAAAAGATGGGTATCACGCCGTGGATGTTATAAATCCCAACTCCCCTTTCCATGCAGTAAACTTATGCCCACCACCGTTGTACCCTCCGTTTCTATGTGCCCATTTCCGATCCCACTTGGGTCGGTAAAAAAAACCCATTCTTCCTGTTGGAAAGTCACTTGATAGTATAGTAGAACACCTCTATTACAATTACGCACGAGGCTGAAAATCTCATGGTATGCTGCTGCCGCTCCACAGGTTACCCAGCTACCCTGCTAGCCCTACTAACTTGTCCCACTTCTCATCTGAACTGCGTCTGCACCACGTCAGCTGGACAATGAAGTGGCATTTCCTTACAATGCGCCAGGCCACGTCACGAAGAAACAGCTGGTCGCTTCCCCTTCTTATTGGCGGTCATGATCTTCAGTTCGAGATGGTAGTAGGACTTTTGGTTCTTGCCCTTCTTTTCCTTTGGATCGACTTTAGTTCGGCAAACGGGACATGTCTTTTTCATATTATCGATATGAAGTGCCGAATGTAGGCATTCGGAACAGAAAAGGTGACCTAATGGTGTGTGGGTTAGTAACGGAACATATAAAAAGAACTGGGCAGCAAGGTGTCTATTTACAACATACCACAATGCGTGACAGTTAAGTAAGAGGTGTCGTCCATGCAAATGACGCACTGGAATTTGCCAAGCTTGACGCGATTGTCAGTTTTAGGGGCCATGAGCTCCGACGGGACTTCAGCAGCATTCGATAGGTCAATAGCTTCATGAATTTCGTCCGCGGGGCCACAAAAACCATCATCGGCAAAAGGATTTTGATCGTTCGGTTTCCATTTTGTTCTGCTTGCTCGGCCGGAGTTCGAAGGGGATGAGTGAGATGTTCGTAGCCTCTTGGAAGCCGCATCGTTATTTGCGCCGACAGCGGCTCGTTTCCTAACAGAAGGCATAGAGGGTGTTGCAGGGTCGACTCCTGACGTAGAATCGAAGTCTGGTTCCTCCTTTGTCAGGTCGACTAGATGCTCTTTGTTGTTCCTCGAGCGACGAGAACTGGTTGCTGGCATTGCCTCACCAACTTCGAGAGGTTTCGGTAGGTTAGAGGATCGTGGTCTAGTAGGTAGAAGAGGGCTGCTGTTGATCGGAGGAAGAGACGGCGATGAAAAATCACCGTCGCCTAAAGCAGTAAGGTAATAGTCGTCGCTGTTCGCCTCGAAACCGGGTCTACTCGACTGTGGAAGTTGGTCGATAATGTTACGAGTGTTAGATGATAATGGCCTCTGTTCCTGGCCTCGCGGTGGGGCAAGTCCGAGGTGGGCGTCGGTCTGGAAATGAGACAGCCGCCGTAGACTTGAATCCAGCCCGAACAATGTAACTCCTAGTCGAGAAGGCGCCCAACTAGGCCTTCCTTCGCTGTGGTTATTGTAATTCGCGGGTGGTGATCGGTTGCGTTCTTGAGTCGGATAACGGCGGGGCGAATAGTGAGGTACGGAAGAATGAACTTGTTGGAAGGAACCGGAGGCGGTAGAAAATTGGTAATCGTTCAGTAGTAGGTCAGGTAAAGAGGGTAACCGGTTACTCGAGTGATCTTGCTGATTCGGACTGAAAGGTGTCAAATGCGTAGGAGTAGATGATCGTCCGAAAGAAACAGGTCGGTTGAGGATATTGTAGTCGAAGAGGTCGGCGACGCTGGCAAATGCGTTTCCATGCGCAGGATCTAGATCCGGTTGTGATACTACTAGGTTGCACGCAGCCAGGTTTTAGCCTCCTATTCCTATTCCTGACAGTGCGAGATGTGGTTATGGATTAGGGTGAAGTTTGATTTGAGAGGAGTGAAGTAGGTTAGGTACTTGTGGGAGAAAAGGTTTAACGGTACAATAAGTACGAAGTATTGTTTGTACCTAGGGTAAGTTAAAGCAGTGTAAAAAAACACTGTTTTGAGAAATACTTAATAAAGTGGGAAGACTTACCTCTGTATGCCATTATTTCTTTTCGTTTCTTTTCGACTTTTTTTTTTTCTTTTTTTACTTCTTCCTCTTCCTCCGGTCTGAGGAATGTAGGTAGGTTAATTAGAAATAGAAAAACCGAGGTGACTAATAAAAAAAAAGTTGGATTGTTGATTCCCTCCTGAGAATGGAAGCATACAGCAATAACAGTAGCAATATTGTTAGTTAGCAATTGCAAACCTTTAGCTTAAATGCTTCTCCTTTTTTTTGGTGCGTGATTGTCATCTGGTAGAGGGCAGTGGCGATTTACTTTCGGCGATAAAAGACCGGTGTTCTTTCCCTGTCGCTCTTGAGGTTTCCAGGCGTTCACGGACCTTAGGTGGTAGGTAGGTAGTAGGTAGTAAGTAGGAGTCAGCTTCCCAGGATGCGTAATTGCCAGGTCTTTCTCTCTTGCCAATTTGCAATAATAACGATTACCTAGGTAGTTATCTCGGTAAATTTGTAGAACCCGTAAAACCAGTAAAACAACAGTTCTTCTTCCTCAAACAAGTTATTCTTCCACCTCGATGTTCGAACATGCTATTCGATTTATCGTCGTTCGATTAAAATGAAAAAAAATATGTTGTTGCTGATAAGAAGGGCCGTAATTTTGCTTCTTTTGGTTTATCTTTCTCTCACTTTTCTTTATGTTGCTTAATTAAGAATTCGGCAAAAAAGAGAAGAAAAAAGAAGAAAAAAGTAAGCTGTTCATCAAAAACTCATTACGAGGATGATGTGAGGTTTTGCACAAGTGGTTACATGACTTAGGTACCTGTAGCTATTTATCTGATTCCTCGCCGGGTACGATCATGCATCCACAACTGGATATACTCCGTGTGGTGCTGTTAGTCGAACCATCATCAATTGGAGCCACCTGGGGGCACTGTCTATTCCTCCTCCAGCAAAATCTAAGTACTTATCCATACGACAATCCAAGCAGCCTTCTTAGCAGGGACGGAGACAACTGGTGACGGCGTACACGGAGCAGAATACATACCTCGGATATACATTGTATGTAGGTACATCAATGGTGACCCTGATTCTTGTGCAGTGAATTCTACAACTTATAAGAGGTGCGTACCTAGTTAATGTGAAGCTACCCCTGTTGTGTCTTCTCTATCCCCCACTTACAAGACAGTAACAACGTCAGCTTCAGGCTTTTTTTTTAACCCTTTCTATGATATTACACATCACTATATCTATAGAAGAATTATTACCTGTTTCTGCACTGCATCGCGAGGGATTTATGTTAGGGTTGGTTGGCAGCATCTCGAAGCTTCGGAGATGTGCCATATCCTCTCCAAGACTTTTTACTCATTACGTCTTGGGGAGCTCTCATAGGAACAATACATGACAAGCAGGGCTAGTACTATCTATACACCTCCTCGTAGGAATATGTTTTAAATCTGCTAATGAGACATGGTACTGCATGGCTTGCTGCATCCAGGCCGAATCCATCTTGTCATAAGCCTCTCTGAGTTTTGCAGCCGGCTAAGGATGTCTGTCTATGTACAAACGGAGTGCTGACCACAGTGGTTAGATAGGTATGTGATACCTAAGTTCCAATCAAGCGTCGATCGTACCTACACTGGATTCTCAACATATGTGCTGTAGGAGCTAGGTAATAGCGAATCACACAGCTTCCCGAGACTGCAGACTGTGGACTGCGGGTATCATACCCGGGCAGGATATAACATGCATCGAGGCATGAAACAATATGTACTATGTAAGTGAATCCATTTCAATCATACCAATAAGAGAAAGATCATTTAGGTGGTTGCCTGCCATCGTCTTCGTCACTAGACACGCACTAGGCTGTTCTATTCACTCTTCTCGCACCGTCCCGTATACGCCACTTCTATCGGCTTGAAACGTGAGCAACATCGGTTACAGTAGCTGCCGGAAGAAAAAAAATATTCATACCAACAGGGCTTATTTTCCGTTGCCAAGGATTATCGGGACACTCTCCCCTTTTGAATTGCCAATGAATTTTAATTACAACGCTATCAACTCCGGTCGGTTCAAGTCTCGGGGCCAGTGTTTTCCCGTCCTACCACCAGGTATTGAACAATGTCATAGAGACACCTGAGGTTTCTCCTCAACTTTAGCTTTCTTTTGGCGCTTCGAAAATTTCCAGGCGAAAATTAAGCATAAGACAAGGCCAACTATGCCCAGACCGATGGCCACGCTATAGTCCAGGAAGAATCAGCAGCTGTCTGAAGTACAGAGTTCAAAATTACACTCTAAAATAGTAACTCCTGAATTGGATCTTTTCAAATAGCCTCATTCTTTCAAAGCCAAAAATGGGGAGAGGGGGTAAAGGGAGTGACGAAATGACTGTGTTACTTACTACCAAGCTCCTCTATACCCCTTCAAGATGTCTTCGGGGGTAACTCCGCCGTTATTCACGTGAAGCTCAACGGTTCCAGCAACGCCTAACGCAAGCGCGCCACTATAGTTCACAACTGTGGTAACTAAGCTGGCTGCGATGCCTTGATGCTCGCTAGATACCAAGTCCGAAAGCATGAGTGTAGCCGCCGGAAAGCTTAAATCCATCCCCCAAGTAATAATCAGGTTGCAGAGGAAGGTCTGTGTCCAGTACGTCTGTTGAATAGGGGCTGTTGCAATGAGGGTGGTCCCGACAGTAAAGGCTAATAATGCGAGGGCCATCACGACCGCCGGTCCAACACGGTGAATGATGATACCTGTAGTAATGGCTGCCGCAATGCCACTGACAAGGATCGGACTATGCATCGCCGTGGCTAGGAGAGGCGGCGCGCCACGCAGGACTTCATAGAATCCCCAGATATAATAGATATAAATCCCAAAGCAGCCCCAGCCGCAAAAGACGGCGCCTAGGACGAAAAATACTCCAGAATTGACGGCTTCGAGTGGTATCAAAGGCTTGCTGGCGTACTTCTCAACAAAGACAAAACTCACGCATAGCAGGGCTCCAGTTATCAAAAGCCCGGGAATGCATGGGTTCTGCCAGCCCTTGACAGACGCTTGATTCCAGGAAACGCTGATAAGAATAAGGCCACTGACCCCTGTTAGGGCGCCGGCGATATCCAGCTCAACGCACAATGCTTTGAACCCTCCTGGTGAAGCTCTATTTCTTTCCGGGGACAACTCATTGGGGATGATAAGAGCACCGATGAGAGTAGTGAAGATCAGTAGAAAGGACAAAGCAAAAAAAGCATAGGGCCACCACGCCAATGCCAATAGGCTTGTAAACGCCGGAGAGATGATAGCGGAAGCTGGAGCCATAGCCCCAAAGATGGCAAATAACATAGCCTTTCGTTGCCCAGGCACATAGGTGACTCCCAACAGCGCTACAGCGTTCGGGACTATCAGTGCTGGGCCGAGACCTTGCATTATTCGTGCAAAAAGGAAGACAGCGTAGGGCCGAGGCGCGTATATAGATAAACCGGCGGCAAGTGAGAACAGCGCGAACCACGCATTTCCGATGAGGAAGATGAGCTTATGGCCGTACATGTCTCCGAGGCGGCCTGCTAGCAAGATGAACGTCCCCGTTAGGCCGTATCCAGCGATAGGCCATACGAGCTGTCCCGGGTTCGTGGCTCCTAGATCAGAACCTATGAGGCGAAGGATACAGAGAGCTTGATGGAATCCGGAATCTATTTGGTTGCGATGAGTCGGATCAGGAATAACTCAAAATGGAAAGAGATTTGGGGGGTTGAACTCACGCGGTGTAAAATTGGCTGTTGACACTACGGCGAAAAACGCCAGCTCATGAATAACTGACATAGGTTTGCCGAGGAAGATATGCGCCCTTGGGTTTCCTTCACTATCCTTCCTCTCTAGGTCGCTGTCGAGACTTGACTGGTTTTGACAATCATCCTTTCTCAGACTTGGCGATAAGGCCTTGCCATCTACATCGCGGCTCGGTGATTCTGGCGTGTTGTACTCCTGGACTGTGTCCTCATCATTGTCCTTCCTGTTATATCCATCCTCATAGCGTCCTAGAGCACCCGGCAATACACTCGAAGCCATGAGGCTTTTCTATTCTGAATAATAGTGATGACTGGCTGCGATAACGAGACTCGCCGTCTGATTATCGGAGACTAGGCTAGCAAGGGCGAGTCCAAAGGTTCATACTTATACATCCACAATCCATGGAAGGCCGATACTGGGTTCTAAATAGACATCCTTATACTTAGGCGCTGATGGGGATTATCAAATCGATTCGTATAAAAAAAAAGCCTTGTCGGACTTTGCCCGCTTATTAAGTCTCGACATAGGGTCTCGGAAAGAGCTGAGACTTATGTGAAAACATGGCAGAGAGATCTCTGTAGAACGCGACTATCTAACTCTCTCAACTGCCGATACTACGCAATATTCCCTTTTTTGCCTCTTGCTCCTCTGTGCTAGGCCATACGGCGGGAACGATGTACACTTCTCCCTCTCTCCCTTTCCTCTCTCAAAATCTACTCCACCATCTGGTGCAACCATCCCGTACTAGTATCACGAGCTGGGTGAGTACCTGAAGCACAGGGAATTCTCTGCACAGGAGCTACCTTATCCGTTTTTCTGGATTTGTTTTCATCTAAGAACTCTAAGCCCCTAGTGCTGTTGCGAATGTCCGAGTGGCATTCTTTCCGGCTTTTGCTGACGAGAAGGTAGAAGTAGGCGGAATGCTGTCTACCATCGTGTCACCGTCTGGACGCACATACAGCACCTCCTCTTATGCGGATGAAACTCTACGAGGGGAATTGGCGAGGACGAGAAAATGCGATATTCACAGCAGGAACTTATGGACTGAAGTTTGCTACTGAATTTTGTTTCCCCTTTTCCCGTAAGATAAAGTTTCGGGAACGGAAGGCATGTCATCACTGATGTCTTGACTCAAGACCGGAACAAGACAGTCATCCTCGGCCAGCGAAGAAATTGGTCCGAGACCTCTCGGCAAAGTGGTCGCAGGCAAACTACCTACCTAAGCCATGTGTTCGTGCGGCCGAAGAGGTCTAGTACACAAGCTCGTGGTATTTGTCTTATTATGATGCGCGGCCGCACGTTGTATATCGTCGGGCTGACCTTGGTTCAGCTTAACGACGGCGTAGAGCGTGGGGTCTATTCGATATTATCGTGGTTTCGTCATGCGAGACTAGATTCGTCATCCGCTATGGTTGATGTCCCCATCTACCAGCTACCGAACTGTTGGAAGTTCTGTCCCTCCGCTGCCGACTTAATTTACCGCAACACGCGTCTATTAAGATGTCTTTGTACGAGACGTTTAATTAGTCTATCGTAGTATTTATAGTTGAGACCTATGGAGTCTGGAGTCAAGCATAAAGCTCAAGACTAACGACTTCTAGATCCTTCGATTAGATAAATTCGCACCTTGCACTTTCAACTAAAACTTGGGGGCTCTTACTGGAGTAAATATTAAATATAAACAGGTCTTGATGTGTAAGGTAGATTTCCCTCCCCCCTCCCCCCTCCCCCCCAGACGACTATCGCTCCTTTGTAATCAGGATTGATATACCGACTTTTTAGGGCTGCAGATTTTCTATCAAATGGTTATGCCGCCATTGGGAAATGCAATCGTGATTCTCACGATAGACAAATGAACAGCATTAGATCTCCATCATCTTCTACCAAGCTCTAGACTCTCCGGACAACTACTATGTACGTCAACGCTGGGAATAAGGGGCGAAGCCTTGGCATTTGTTCGCGTTGGCTTAGATCCATGACTAATACTCATTTTCTCGGTTTAGATATCGATGGCACTGTTCTGGCTCTTTTCGCCTCCGTTTAGTGTTCTACCTTTATTACGACGGAAAAATTTGTCGTCGGTTATCGCTCGACGTAGCACACGTCTACTAGTGAGCTTTGCCCTTTTGCATTAGAGAGATGCAGCTATCCTATGCCGTGACCCCTCGATGCGTAATAGGACATCCGAGATATTCCATGTCGACTAGAGCCTGGGCGCCTTTGTGACTTCTGTCACGAGCCAGACGCATAGAACCCCAGGGTCACGTATGTATGTGGTTGCTAATATCCGTCATTTTCCGCAGGCGCCATATCAGAATCTTCCTTTACAAATGAGGTCTCCATTTCAATAATTTATTAAGATACCCAACTATTAAGCAGTACTTAGTAATCTCCATCCCTTTTCTATAAGCTGGTGGTGCTACCTCCTACCTATCGGGGGGGTGGGTGCGTGAATAGACACCCGTGCGTGATGACTTATGCTGTACGTCCATTACTCGTCTAGATTAGTTGTGCCACAAAGATACGGTAGAGCAAGATCTCCATGGGCGCAAATACATGATGAGTGCGAGATGAGTTTGAATAAACGGATAATAGAATGCGCTGTCTAAACGCATTATTTGACTTTGGTCAATATATTCGTTAAAACGTTGGATGCGGAAAAACGAGATGGATGGGGAGGGAAAAAAAGGAAAATCGGGGAGGGGGAGGGGTAAGTCCCGCTCTGTACATAAGTACTACACAGCTACAGGAAAGAGCCCCACATAGATGGCTAAATTATCTGTTGCCGCAAAAAATTGTGGCGGCTTATCAAATCTTCATCGCGCTATCAGAATTAATTCCTCCGTCATGATTCGCAGTTCTTCAATACATTCAAAAAACCTACCAAACCGAAATGATCTTCAATAGACGGCAGTGATGCTTCATCCTGCAAAGGGCCGCATAAGAAGCGTAACGACTTCAAGCTTCGTGCGGTTTGCCAATCGGGTGCATAATCACCCTTGTCGGTCATGGCCGTCCCCATTGCCGTCTCATTTGAGGTGGGAGACCACCGCAACCACCGCAACCAGCACAACCACCGCAAACGCCGCACCCCAAACTCCCCAAGCTTCCCAGGCTTCCCACGATCTTTCTTCACAAACGCACAAGCAAAATCGTACTAGTTAGTTATACATCTTTCTTGCTTCTCTCTTCTTTTTTCTACCCGCTTCAAATCAGGTATGATAGACCTCTAAACAAAATTACAGCTCATCCTAGCGCGAGATTCAACGACATAGGCGTACAGCAAGTTAGTTTAGGTATCTATAAACAAGTTTTCAAAAATGGCGACAATCCACCGCCACCAGAACTTGTTGAACTTTCCATGGAACACCTGCGCCGCCATGATCTTTATGGAAAGATTACCGACAGCTCTGAACCTATCGAATTTGATGTGCCCTCCCTCCAAGGTCAAACGCTGGACGAACACTTCTATAAACTCGGTATGGACTGCGCCAACCCGTACCTTAAGATGGCGAAAGACTTTACACAAGCACAAGCACCTGAGCGACCAAAACAGTGGGTAAGGCAAAGCGGCTGGACAAAATACTATGATGACGGAAGGGACCCTGAGAAGGTTGAGGCCCCAGATGCTAACATGCTTTCCTTCGACGTCGAGGTCTTATGGAAGGAGAGTTCTTTTGCTGTTATGGCGTGCGCGATGAGCCCGACAAATTGGTATGCTTGGTTATCGCCCTGGTTGTTGGGTGAATCCGAGTCGGACCGGCATCTAATTCCATTAGGTGACCCGACGAAGGAACGTATTATTGTCGGCCACAATATTGGGTATGATCGAGCGAGGATCCTTGAAGAATACGATTTGAAACAGTCAAGGAACTCATTTATCGACACCATGTCATTACACGTTGCGGTCAACGGTATGTGCTCGCAGCAGCGACCGACATGGATGAAGCACCAAAAAAGCAGAGAGTTACGGGATAGGATCTCCAAAGAAACAGACAATATTGAGCTGGTAAATCTATTAGCTAACATCCGCGAGGATGAAGAAGAACTCTGGGTTGAGAGAAGCTCGATCAATTCCCTTCGCGATGTTGCCAAGTTCCATCTAAACATCGCAATTGACAAGGCGGTCAGAGACCAATTCGGGGAGTTGGACCGGGAGGGTGTCCTCGGGAAGCTGGACGAGCTACTAGATTACTGTGCGGCGGACGTGGTCGTTACCCACAAGGTGTACAAGATCATATTTCCTCATTTCCTCGAGGTCTGCCCTCATCCGGTTAGTTTCGCTGCGTTACGACATCTTTCCTCGGTTATCCTCCCCGTAAACAAGTCCTGGGATGAATATATCCAAAATGCGGAAGCCACCTACCACAGGCTGTCTGATAGTGTCCAGGAGCGTTTAGTCTCGCTTGCAGAGAAGGCGTTAGAGGCCAAGGACGACCCGAATAAATGGGGCAGTGACCCTTGGCTGAGGCAGTTGGACTGGTCTGGCCAAGAAATCAAGATGGTAAAGGGAAAGAAAAAAGGCGACCCTCCGAGGCCTGCTGCTCGCCAGAAGAAACCCGGGATGCCTAAATGGTATAAGGACCTGTTCAAGAAACTCGATGCGGATATTAGTCTCACGGTCAGGACTCGAATTGCGCCGCTTTTACTCCGACTTGCGTGGGATGGCTATCCTTTAGTTTGGTCGGACAAATATGGCTGGACTTTCAAAGTACCCCTTTCAGACATGGCGAAATATAGTTCAACGCAGCTTATTAGATGCGACTTTTCGGATGAAACTAACGAATTTCTAAAGAACGATATGACTGGAATATATTTCAAGCTTCCTCATAAGGATGGCCCATCTACGCGATGCGTGAACCCTTTGGCCAAAGGCTACCTCCCATACTTCGATAATGGCACTTTATCATCAGAATATCCGTTGGCGAAGGAGGCCCTCGACATGAACGCTTCGTGTTCTTACTGGATCAGCGCTAAGGCCAGAATTATGTCTCAAATGGTGGTATACGAAAAGAATAAAATTGAAAACCAAGAGCCCGCCACCGCAAACGATGACTACGACCTTGGATACATACTCCCTCAAATTATTCCTATGGGCACTATTACACGAAGAGCGGTTGAGAATACGTGGTTAACCGCAAGCAACGCGAAGAAGAACAGGGTCGGTTCTGAGTTGAAAGCAATGGTCAAAGCACCGCCAGGTTATTGCTTTGTTGGCGCTGATGTCGACTCGGAAGAACTCTGGATTGCCAGTGTCATAGGAGATGCCACCTTCAAGCTCCATGGTGGCAACGCCATTGGTTTCATGACTCTGGAAGGCACCAAAGCTGCAGGAACTGACCTTCACTCCCGCACAGCATCCATCTTAGGCATAACACGTAACGATGCTAAAGTCTTTAATTACGGACGGATATATGGAGCCGGAATTAAGTTCGCTGCTACCCTGCTCAGGCAGTTCAACCCTAGCCTGTCGGAAGAAGAAACGTTGGAAACTGCAGGCAAATTGTACGCCACCACGAAAGGTACCAAGACAACCAGGAAGACACTTTCGAAACGGCCTTTCTGGAGGGGTGGGACGGAGTCATTTGTGTTCAACAAGCTTGAGGAGTTTGCAGAACAAGAACGCCCACGAACGCCGGTTCTAGGAGCTGGTATTACCGAAGCGTTATTGACTAGATATATTAGCAAGGGCGCCTACCTCACTTCTCGCATCAACTGGGCCATCCAGTCGTCGGGTGTGGATTATCTGCATCTCCTAATTGTCTCGATGGACTACTTGATTCGGCGTTTCAACATTGCTGCTCGACTTTCCATTAGTGTGCACGACGAGATACGCTATCTGGTCAAAGAAGAAGACAAATACCGAGCGGCCATGGCTCTTCAGGTTTCTAACCTTTGGACCCGAGCAATGTTTGCGCAGCAGGTCGGCATAAATGACCTTCCACAAGCGTGTGCTTACTTCTCTGCGATCGATATTGACCGCATTCTCCGTAAAGAGGTTGACATGGACTGTGTCACACCAAGTCAACCAACGCCTATTCCACCAGGCGAGAGCCTTGATATCTTACAGCTACTTGAAAAAGGAGATGAAGCGAAACTTGACGAGAAAGTTGCCCCGGCAGAGCCTATTCCAAAGCCAGAAGAGATTCCATATACGCCTAGGGTATCTGTGATGGAGGAGTTGAATGCTTCGCAAGACCCCAAGGACCTCAGTTTCTTGAAGGCGCAGATCGCGAAAGACGACCAGGAGCTTCGCGAGATCCTCAAAGAACAGAAAAAGAACTCTGGAGGCGGATTGGCCGGCGGAGTACTAAGCGCCCCCAAACCGAAGAAGATAGTCCCGTACAGCTCGCAGGCACAGCTCATACCGCACATGTATAGGCCGTTCGAGGCAAAATTTACCGCGAAGCCGCGAAATTACTCGGCGGACCAGTGGGATTTTGAGCCCATGCCTTCGGAGACAAATTTCCAACGGCGGGCCTAAGATCTGAAGTGGCGTACCGTACCGTACGATACAAATACTTGCGCGGCATATTTTTTTTCTCTCTTTTTTGTTCATTACATAGTAGTCACGGCACTGTTATAAGGAGGCTTGTGACTATGATCTAGCGCAGTCACGAAAAGGATGGCGAGGGCAATGTATTAAAAAGGCGTTTTTTGGCGGATTTACTGTACCATAGCAAGAGCAGATATACCGTTCGTATTGAACAGTTGGTAGTCGAATAATACTGCGACTTGGTGGGTTGTACCTATGTAATTCCATGACGGCCCCCATTGTGAGAAATTAGGCTTAGCCACCCGCCGCATCCCGCTTCGTCCCGCTCAGCCCATTGCACGTGGTGCTACCTACTACCTAGCAGCCTAGGTAGGCGCAGCTAAATGCGGAGGTGAAGGGGCAATGTGTGTCAATTGTTTGATTATAGCCTTTGCTACGCCTAGGTATACTACCACCTAAGATGTGATACAAATGGTGAAATACTTGTCATATTAGGTAGCAATTATGAAAGTGAGTTTCTTCTTATTATAGTATTCATAGGTACTTGTGATAACGTGTATATAATAGTATAAGTCCACATTAATTTATTAGTAACCTCCTTTAACTTACGCAAATACCCCTGAGTGCTACCCAACTGTTACAACGTATCTCACTTACCTAACATAAGGACCGGGTACGTATGAATTATAAAGCAGGCACACAGTAATTTCACCCGTACCTAATGAGGTCTTAGACTATTTTTAGCCCCTATATCAAAAAGTTCGTCGCAAATGTTTCGTCCAATGGTTTGTCCAAAACACCATCATCAGCCTTCAATATAGGGAACAGGGAACATAGGTAAGCACTAATAATATCACGCAGTAGCAGTGTAACATCGTCAAGGCCTATATTCCTTTCGCCGATCCGTTCGATGCGGGCGTCGCGTCCCCTCGCAATGGAACTTATCTAGAGTTATCGGAAACAAAAACACAATGTCGTCGTGGGTGTGAGCCCTTGCAAAGTGAGGAGAGAGGAAATCTACTGGAAATAACTCGAATCCGGTTCATCATCTTTCCACAAATTTAACTGTCGAATCTCCATCGTCGCGAACCTACCTGGTACCTAACGTCTTGGCATTGAAAAAATAAGCCGGGTAGGGCTGAAATGTCTTACTTCTCGTCCTTTGTCGAGCGCGCATCACCTTCGGGAAACTTCAACGGAACGCCGCCCGACCACCTGCCTGCCGAAAATGGCCTGCATATATGGCGCGCTGCGGTCATCATGCCGTTCTTCACCTTTGCCTTCGTCGCTTTGAGGTTCTATACCCGGACCTATCTGCTAAGGACTAGGAAGTATACCATCGACGACTGTAGGGTGTTAACCTTCAACTATACCTGTTAGCAGAAGGATTGTCAGGGCTAATGTAATTATTGCAGATATCGTGATGCTGAGCATGCTCGTCTGCATCGCCCACGCCGTACTCATGGCTATCGCAACATACAACGGCATGGGCCTGCACGCATGGCAGTACGACGAGGAGCTCAACTCGCGGTACTATCTCTGGATCGGCATCACGTCCGAGTTCTACGTCCTCGGCCTGATGGGTTTCAAGAGCGCCCTTCTGCTGCTCTACGTCCAGCTCTTCGGCGTGTACGCGAAGTTCAGGTTGGCGTGCTATACCACCCTGTTCTTCTGCATGGGCTATCTGTTCTGCAACCTGACGACCGAGTTCCTCGGCTGCCACCCTATCAAGAAGAAGTGGGAACCGGACCTGCCGGGACACTGCATTAATAGCATTGCGACGGCCACGTTCTACGGCGCTTGCAATATGGCGAGCGATCTGGTCATCGCTATCTTGCCCCTTACCATGATATGGAAATTGCAAGTGGCGACGAAGTTGCAAAAAGTCGGTCTCAGCCTTGTCCTGAGTAGCGGGTTTGCGTGAGTACCTAACGGTCCTAACCTAAGTTATGCCATCTGCGGTATTGCGAACTGTGCTGATGTGCGAGCTTCCAGTGCCTGGGCAGTGGCTGTCGCTCGTTGGGGCATTGCCACATATGATTGTATGTTCAGCTATTCTAAACTTCTATACCGTCTTGTGAATTTCTTCCAGCCATTCATAATTATCTTAAGAACAAGGACACACACACACTCTTGGAAATTAACTAGACGTTAGCTGACTCATTCTTTTCCTTAGTGGTGGGAACCGAAGATAGGACGTGGTGGGCCGGCGTCAGCTTCACCCTGAGCATACTGGAGATCAACACGGGTCTCATCTGCGCCTGCGTGGCTACCTTGAGCCCGCTCTGGAAACTAGCATACGCGCAGGTCAAGGACTGGACCGGCTGGACCGGCCCCTGTAGCAGCAAAGAAGCGACTTGGCCGTCTTTCGTACGGAAACCCCCGTACAGCCACTCCTCCGAAGAAACGAGAAGACCGAGCGGGCCGTATCCAAACCGTGCCGTCGGCGGACACGGACTCCCTGCCGGCCGAGAGAGTCGCGTGTTGGCGTATAACGGCTCGACGCTTACTTCTCATTACGAAGACGAATATGGGCTGCTGGACGCTTCGGGCTGGCATCCCCACGGTATAAGAGATGACGGGTCTCAAAGGAGCACGGAGGGTGTATGAGATATGTGTATTTTGTATTGGAGTATTCTCGTTGCTGTGTTTTATTGTATTATGGCGGGCGCATATTATACCCTCGGTAGCAAATGAAGAATTGTTTTGAGTTGAATTAAGTCATCGCTTCTCCTTGTCTAGCTGTTTTGACAACGACTACTACCGTTCCTCGACATATAACACAGACTAGCCCCCCAACCTTACGCAAGTCGTCTCTGTAAGGAGGAACTAGGCAGTCTTTTATCTCATTCATCATGGGTCAACTATCTTCATCACGATTGAAAATTGGAGGCTCGCGTATCTTATTATGTTACATACGAGAGCCGGACCGGTTTCTACTTTTGATATCAGCCTAAAAGATAAAAACTACGACTTTGCCATTCGACTCTAGACTTATTTAGGATGTTGGGGTAGGATATGAATTCCCCACGATATCCACATCTAGGTACGTTTCCCCATCCTACCTCGACTAGCTTGCTTTGGGGCACCATGGGCATATATGTATATGCCTTGTTTATGGGGTGATAGGCTACGAAGGGCCGGGGACATGATACGTGACCAATGCGTGGTCCGGTGGAAATAATAATATTTACCTAAGACACCTTCTTTTGAACTGCGCCGCAACGAATAAGCATTGTGAGTTTACATGGGGCGGGTACAATTCACATATCTAAGCCGGTACGGCCCTTTCAGAAACGAGGTAGCTATCTTCATGATGCTATTAAGATTACCATTTGTAGTTTTTGCCGTTGGGGCTGTAGCGGCCCCCTCTCCGCAGAGCCTGAACTCGAGTTTGACGTTGCTGATTGATAATGATCTACAAGGTAAATGGTATCCTACAGACCAAATTACCTACCTATATTCAACATATCTCCATCTAACTAACTGTTGTCCTAGGTGTTAGTAGTCCCGTATCCAACTCAGGCGTCTTGCTACTCGAAGCGCGGTCATTAAAACACGCCCGTGAAACATGCGAGGCTGTTGGCGAACAGCTCTGGTCGCTTGAAAAGGGGACAAAAAGTATCCAAGCCAATTTGGATTATCTCAAATATTCAAATCTGGATTTGGGTCTCTCGAAGTTCTGGATTGCTTCGAAGAACCAGTCGGCTCGGGCTGTAGACATTGACGGCCATGTAGTCCAGGAAAACCCGGATACGAAGCTCCCGGTTCTATGCTCTCAATCGGCACCGTTTTCCAATGTGACTTTCCAGGATACGGGGGAGAAATGGCAGGTCATCGTGAAGTCCAACAACGAATCCTTGACAGGGTAAGTACCCATCATCATTAACCTAGATACCTACCTAGGTAGGTATTGTATTATCTGGGCCATCTCATGCTAAAGCTAATGCTACTTCTGCGTGCCTCAGGTATCGCGATCGCCTGAGCTTCCGCTTCTTGGGAGTCCGGTACGCGCCGCAACCCAAGCGGTTCACATACTCGGAGTCTTACGTCGGTAACGGGAGTGAAGTTTCTGCGCTGGAGTATGGCTCCCAGTGCGTGCAGGCTGGGAACATCGGGTCTGAAGATTGCTTGTTTTTGAATGTTTGGACTACTCATATTCCTGGCCCCAAAACCGCCAAAAAGCTCAAGCCAGTTATGGTAAGTAAAGTGCCACGTGTTATCAGATATGTATAATACTTAACGGTGGCCATCCCGAAAACATGAAGTAACTAACGATTTGGGCAGTTTTGGATCCACGGGGGCGCATTTATCAACGGAGCGGCAAGTGACCCTACCTTTGACGGAGGCAATCTAGCCTCGAGGGGCGACGTTGTCGTGGTCACCGTCGGATATAGGCTGACAACACTCGGATTCCTAGCTCTGAACGACGGCGTCACCAACGGTAACTTCGGTCTTGCCGACCAGATCAATGCTCTGGAATGGGTCCGGAAGAACATCAAGGATTTCGGCGGGGACCCTGATAAGATCACCATATTTGGCCAGTCCGCCGGCGCGGGCAGCGTCCACGCCCTGATAGCCTCCCCTAAATCGATCGGCAAATTTGCAGGGGCTATTCCCGTCAGCAATCTTGCTAGCAACGACCCGAGTAAAGGGTATACGAGGTACTATACCATCGAGGAAGAAGTCGAGGCGTTAGGAAATACCATCCTGGAAGAAACCGGCTGTGCGAATGCCACGTCCCAGGTAGGCTGCCTGCGATCTATATCCCCCCACGTCCTTGCGGGTGGCTTGAGCACCTATGCGCGGTTCCCGGTCGTCGACGGCACGTACCTCACGTCCGACAGGCTCCCGCTCGAGGGCCCGACGCTCCCCGTGCGCATCATGACGGGGACCACGCGCGACGACGGGGCCGCATTTATCGGGTTCCCGACGACGACGACGAACGCGACGGCGTACTTCGAATCCCAGGGCTACGCGGTCCCGCCGCCCGAGCTCTTCCCGATCCCCGACCTGGCGAACAAGTCCCTGGCGCTGTTCGACATGGCCGCGCGCCTCGTCACCGACAGCATCTTCCGGTGCGGCGGCCAGGCCGAGATAAGCGGGGGCCTGCGGAACGGCCGGTTCCATCCCGTGTACTTCTACGAGTTTAACCGCACGTACCAGCTCGCCGGGTGGCCGGGGCTCGACGTGTGCTCGCCGCCGAAGACGGCGGGCCGCCCGCACGGCGACCCGGGCGCCGAGTACCGCAAGTGCCACTCGGGCGAGCTGTACTACGTCTTCGGCAACCTGGTCCGGCAGGGGCTGCCGCTGCGGGACGAGGCCGACCTGCCGTTCCAGCAGTTCGTCCTGGACGTCTTCAGCTCGTTCGCGCGGACTTTCGACCCCAACCCCGCCGCCAGGTTTCTCCAAGCGAGAGGGTTTCGGAGCACGTTCGGGGAGATCGGACGCGCGGGGCGGTGGGAGCCGGCTACGGCGGAGGGGGGGATGACGAGGAGGATCTTGCAGTGGCCGAGCGCGCAGGAGCCGTTTGGGGAGCGGGAGCAGTGCGAGTATGTGGGTTTGCCTTGGAACTAGTCTTCTAACGCGTCAACAACCTGCGGCCGGAATGCCTGCTGCAGCTTCGGGTCTTCTTTTGAGTTGTCGACCACATCAAATCTGTTTTCTAGATATTTGAGAATCACCTGCTCTCATACTATCGAAGCCCAGCACCAGCGAGTTGTTGTTACAAATCTTTGCTGTCCTATCGCCAACCTTCAAGAGGGTATTGATGGTGCTCAAAATAAAACTTGTGATGCCGAGAGAATCCATAATAGGTATACAGTAAGATAGATAAATCTCAGAATTTGGGAGTTTGAAATGGTAAGTGTATAAAATTCGTCATGTAAGACGATGTGCAAGCTTTAAGAGGCTGAGCAGCCCGTGGACGCCATTGGCCCATGTAGAAAATGCATCTCAAACAAGGACCGCGCAACTCCTCACAAAGACCCCCTCATCTTTATAGAAATGTATAAGCTGCCTCTAAATACTGTACTTGAACATGACCATTTGAAAGTTATATTCATGCTACGGCGGAGAATAATGGAATCGGAACAGGGGCAGGCCAATGTATGCGAACTCACCCACCAACACGTAAATTAATTAGGTACCTATGATCCATAAGCTGACTCAATCATAACAAGAACGAGGCACTGCCCATAGCCTCGACTGAAACTTGGAATACTTTCTTATCGAGGACGTCGGTATCCAGTCTTAGCTCTGCGGCATTCTCGAATCCTCATCTCACCGGTCGGGCCAACGGTCTGGATGAAGTCCTTAACACAGTCAAAGCCCTCTCTTTACGTCGCATTCCATATGAGGAGATTGAGCGCCAGGATGTCGTCGGCGAAGGGGAGACCTTTATCGTTGAGCGCTGCGTCGTGCGAAACCAGACTCTGGCGATTAAGCATTTGAAAGCCAACTCGTCACCCGACGATAGGGCATTTCGACGGCGTATCCAGTCCATTATTCTTGAGCTTCGCATTATGGGGCATGCGCCCCTTCGAAGTCATCCTAATATTATTACAGCGTTTGGGTACGGCTGGAATACGGGAGCATCGAAGATCGCGCCGTATCTACTTGTCCAATATGCCCCTTACGGTACATTGCGCCAATTCCTGCAACATACCAAACCCGGAACGTCAATAACCCAGAAGGAGATACTAATAGGTGATGTTGCGGCGGCGACCAGTGCCCTTCACCTCTGTGGTATCATCCACGGTGACATAAAACTGGACAATGTACTCATATTTCACTCGTGGGATCGGCCAGCGAAATCCATAGCTAAGATCTCGGATTTTGGACATTCCTTAGTCGTTACCGGAAAAGAAGACTCTGAACGATACCTGAGATATAGCGGCACATTTATGTTAGACCTGATCCCCCCTTTTATCCTTTATGAGTTTCACCTTATAGGTATCTGATAATAGCTCTTCAGGTATAACGCCCCCGAAGTTCATAATCAAAAGGTCTGTCCAATAGATCGATCAGCGTTTATAAAGTGCGACATCTGGGCATTTGGACTTTTGACGTGGGAAGTATTTCTCGACGGCGACGAATATACGAACTATATCGCGAAGGTCGAAGAACTAGATGTCGAGAATAAGGATGAAGCCGCCGTAAGAGTGGCAGATCGGTTTAAAGATCTAGCAAAGGAATCAATCCCCTTCTCAAAAAGAGACTTACATGGCAGCATTATCCGTTCGGCTTTTAATTTAACCCTCCAAGTAGATCCGACAAAGCGCACCTCCAGCCTTGCTAAACTCCCGTTCTTGTCGAAATGGCAGTAAGTAAAGCCCCGAGAGCCCTCTATTCGGTGTATCTAACAGCTGTTTAGTTCCGTTGGAGTTCAGGGTCTACAAGCTGATTTGGCACTGCATTTCGGTAGTTCTGAGTGGTCTTATGAAGTAACAACCTCAATGCTGCCTACTAGAGTAGAGGTAGATAAGTGCTAATAGCTTATAGATGCTCCGCCCTGAAAATGGTAGGGAAATACCGTGGGAACATGAAGTGCATATATATCAAGGATTACGTCGAGTTTATAACAGTTCCGATAATCGGAATGCCGACGCCGCCTGGCAACTTGCGTTATGTCAGTGTATCGGCTTTGGGGACTCCCCTGACCTCCAGTCAGCTCATCAATTAGCCCTGGCTGCTGAGCGGCTTGGACACCCAGTTGCAAAGATCTTCGTACCTCTTCTCGCGCCAGATGGCGCCCCTGAATCCTACTCTATGGAGAGGACCTATGCTAGTCGGATAGTCGATTTACTCAAGCAGAACAAGGCTGTGATTGAACAATCGCAGTTAGCAGAAGCATGTTGTAAAGGAGACACCGAGACTATTTTTACCTGGATCCTAACACCAGCAGAGTCTGATGAATTAATTGAGGACAAATGCGATATCTTGAGATTCCTATTTGCGCTCGAGGAAAGTCCCCAACAACCGACGATCGTTGAACTCCTAGCTCGGGACGGAGAACGGTTACCAATAAACCTGCCGTCTAAGAAGGTGTATACCGTCCACAACCAATATCCGCTACGATTATTTGGAAGTCCACTGGTGTTTGCCATATCAGTTAATAGTGCAGATACTGTTAACCTGCTTCTCTCACTGGGTGCAGATCCTTGCGCAAAAGCATATGCTCCAGACCAGTTCCCCGAAGCAGACCACCGCTCAAAATGGACGCCGATACACGTGGCCGTCCAATACCATTGCCCTAAACTTTTATCGGTGCTTCTCAGGGTCGCGTTAGCCAAGGGCTTTAAGAGCGAAGTACCGTATGCCTGTGCATTAAGCTACCCGTCTTATCTTGAGCGCGTGGCAATGCATGGGAGAAACTACCAGCAGTCATTGCGAGAGACAGTCTGCATCCTTAAAGAGTTCGATAATATTCTTGCTGCAACTCCAAGTGGAATGACGGCTCTCATGCAGGCCATCGACTTCCAAGACACAGACGTTATTTCTGCCCTCTGCTCAGTTCAGAAGGGAATAGAGAGTGTCCCCTTCCACGATCCTCGAAACTCGGCTAACTTCACTCATCCAATTCACTTCGCGGCACAGCTTGGATGTCGACGGGATATTCCCGAGGCCGTGGAAGCTATCGAGATTCTCGCGGAGAATATGAGCTTTAACAAACCCCTATACGATAATTTCCGGCGCACCCCTCTCCATTTAGCAGTTACCGGGCCATCTAACAGAGCAGCTTCGTGGCTCCTAGACAAGAGCCCTGCTTTGTTGAACATCGAGGACCAATATGGCATGACCGCTCTTCATTACTGTACTTCGGCTGCAAATACCAACCTGCTCCTCTCCAAAGGCGCGGACGTTAATTACACAAATAAAAATGGCATAACACCGTTGCATTGGGCTTGCTACCGTGGAAATTTTGACATGGTCCTATGTCTACTCGAAAGAAAACCGCTACTCGATCTTAAAAATAACCCTTACGGTAGCCCGCTACATTGCGCCATCATTCGGGGTTCGTTGGATGTGACAATCGCGTTGCTCGAAGCCGGTGCTCCTGTCAACGAGGTAAACCAACTCGGAACATCTCCGCTACACCTGGCTTCGGCCCTCTGCCGTCACAGCATAATTCGGCATCTTTTACAGAACGGGGCAGACATCCACATGAAAAATGCAAAGGGCATGACCGCGGCGACGATAGCCAAACAATTAGGCACAATGGCGGGCATTGTTGCCTCTGACATCTTGGAGAATAACAACACTACCACGTCGCTTGAAGCTCTTTACGTCGCCCGACATCAGGAACCCGGCCTCGAAGACGATGTCCTCCCCGGATACCAAAATACAACCGCGGCAGGGCCATCTTCCGAGACGATAACTAGTGGCCCAGACACGGCGTCGGCTAATGGATTCGAACTCCCCGACTACAGCGAGGTTTTCGAGGTCAATGCTGGAGAGCAGGACCGTTTCGACGAGTCTGAGAGCGCACCCGAAGCCCAAAGGAAGGAAAGAAGGTACGCGGAATTTATCTACGCCTTCACGGCAGAGTACGCGTGCTATATTACCGACGCGAGATACCTCTTCGACAAATTCATACCCATCATGCGGATCGTCGACGAGATCGACTTCGAGGAGCTGAGCGCGTACATCGGCTCGGAAGAAGAAGACAGCGGCTTGGATTCGATACGGAGCTGGTACGACTTCTCGGTGGCGACGGAGTGCTACAGGGAGGGCATGGTATCGTATCTCCAGCGGGCGGAAAGCGTGGTCCGGATCCTGCGCGAGGAGATCGCGCTGCCCCCGGAATCCCGTACGAGGCTGCACGACGCCGCTAAGATCGACGATATCCCGGACGGCGATTCCCAACGGTACGGGCTCCACCATTGTCTAGCGATCAGCCTGGAGCTCGGAAGACCCCTGTGGGACCTATGGGGGCTGGACGAGGCCAAAGTAGGGATGCTGGTAGCCCTTGCCAAGGTGGCCAGTCGTTTGGAAGGTTACAACGACGACGATACGTGGCACACGAATATTGTGCCCCTGAATCGACGTAATTCTTTGAAAGCAATGGATAAAGCTGAAGCTGTAGAATGTGAACCGAATCAAAGACTGAAAATAAGTAGTCCTGATACCACAGAGCGCTCTACAGAAGATTCGATAAAAGAGGGAGATTAAGGGGACGCGCCGTATATACCGTCATGATACGCTCGAATAGATTACTGGACATGGAAATTGGGCTTAATACTACGCATAGCATAGCATGGCATGACATAGCTTTAGGTTGAGATCCTGCTATTTATTAGTACATGTCAGTGTAAACACGTTCTACAGCATGATATCAAACGATTATATGTGATCACCTTTGCTTCAAACCTTATAAACGAAACCTCTATCGACATAGATAAATTATCGAAGATTATCAATGCTCTATCTTCCAACTCGTAATTCATCGCGATGCTATGTCATCCGCCATGCACGTCTAAATACTTCTATAGGCCCTCGACGATCTTGGGCACTTAGTTATATACCAGGGAGCCCGACGAGCGCTCTCAGCCCCGGTATCCACCTCGGGAGGAAGTATACGGGGTAAATGCCCATGGCAGCAACCAACAGTCCAGTCAACTGTCGTAAGAATCAGCAATTATGTTCGAAGAACCGGAGAACCGGAGAAAAACAGGGTGTAGGGGCGAGGATAAGGGAGAAGGGGTAGGGGTTACAACGGACCTTCTCAAACCAGGTGTGAAAGTAAATAGCAGTCATAAGCAGCATCCACAAGCAAAGCGCGACAACGCCGACCGCGAACCTCCCGCCAAACCCCAACTCCTCTTCGTCCGGGACCGGCCCCGCGCTGCTACTACTCTCCGACTCCACGCTGGCGCCCTTCGCCGCGCCGTCCGGCATCACCACGCTCCTCTCCTCGCGGCCCCCCGCGAACCCGGCCCGGTACACCACCCACCCCACCTCCTGCAGCAGGAAGAAGCTCCCCAGCACCAGCAGGAACACGTGCCCGCTGATGTCGTGGCCCCCGCTCCACCGGCCCCCCGCCGCCTTGCACGCCGCCGCCGTGAACACCTCCGCCGCGCTGGCCCCCGCCGCGCTCTCCTTCGACAACACCACCTCGCGCGCGACCTCGCACTTGCCGCCCGTGAACCGGAACCCGCGGTCGATGAGGGCGGGGCCGAAACACCACTGCGTGACGAGCACCCACCAGGCCGTGATCAGCGCCCACCTGACGCCCGCGCGTACCCTCCTCGCCGCATTCCCTCTGCTCCCGAATCCGAACCCGAGAGCCGGGTGCGTGGCCACGAAGGTCGCGAACGCGACGGTGATCCACGCCCACCCCCTCTTGACGAAGAAGATGTTGAACACATTGTCCTTGCGGGCGAAGTAGCTGGGGGCGGCGGCGGGGACGTGGGCGCGGCCCGAGGGGTCGTAAGGGGAAGCGCGGGTCTGCGGGCTCAGGACGGAGAACAGGGTGCCGAAGACGAGGAGCGTCGGGTACGCGAGGAGGACGAAGGTCTCGAGGGGCGTCGGGAGAAACGGCGAGGTGCGCTTCGAAGAAGGGGGCGGGTACGAAGAAGAAGTAGAAGTAGTAGGTCTGCTCGGGGAACCACTGTCCGAAAACGATGATGACAAATATGTGTTTGTTTTGCTGCCGTCGGAGGCCATGTTGGCTTGTTGTTGGCGTGATCTTAGCGAAGGGGAGATATTGTCGTCGGTCATGATAGTTGGGAAGGCAACATGAGTGTTGACGAAAAAATAAAAACCCGAAAAAATAAAAAATAAAAAGAGCCTTATTGGCACGTGTCAATTATTGACGAGCCGTAGCGAAATAACTCACGGCGTCCGCTATTAAGTACAATGAGAGATTACACGATAAACCGCTCAATCAAAGAGTGAGTTTTTTTCTTAACAATCAAGCCGGATTAATTCGAAGAAATTCTACATTTCCTTGGTGAAAGAGAGAGGTATGTAAAAAAGAAAGCTTACCGACGGCGATGACGTTTAATCTGCGTTGGGTAAAAGTACCCAAGTATCTAGGTATGCATCGGGTTCCACAATATGGCAAACTCGTCTTAAGGGTCCTCCCCTCCTACGTCACTTACGATTTACGTATATCGGCTTAGGCAACGGGCACGAAACAAATGTAAAAAGGCATAGGGCATAACATCAATTTTTGGTTATTCATGAATACAGAGCAATTAGCACCTTGACGTCCTATTGACCGTCACTTTCCCTCCCCGAGATACGTACTAATAATCTCGTGAGCACGAAGTGGTATCTCGAAATGCATCCTATCATTCATCTGAACGCCCGCCATCCTCATGTACTGGCTGCCTCGCTATCCTTTTTTTTTCCTGCATACACCGAATCAAATGAAAATGTAACTATGTAAATGCCACTAGGGCCACAAAAGAAGCGAATATATAGGACCGAGGACCTTGAACGTAGCTCTTCATTAAAGAAATATTGCGAATGAATACCCCTGCTCAACTCAGGCATCTTTCACATGAGGCGTTTTGGACGCGCAGCCACTGGACGTCACCGTGGTTGTTCTAGTGGTAGTGCTCGTTGTATAGCTCCGAGTAGTATAGCTCCCAGTAGCCGTACTTCAGGGCGCCGGGGAGCACAAACCCGGTACTGTTACCGTTTGGGTGACAATAACCGTCACAGGTTTATCACCGCCGGCACTGCCACTTGGTGTATCTGATGAAATCGGTGGTGTGACCACAGGCTCCACTGCCGTCTCGGTACTCGAACCTACACCAGGCTGGACGTAGCTACCTGTAGGTGTTGGTACTGGAGTACCCGTAACCTGAGTCTCGATGGCGGATGAGCTGCTAACTGAGGGGCCGGTGTCAGAACCTGACGTTGGGAGAGCTGTACTGGTACTGGGCGAGGCTGTTCCTGAGGCTGACGTCGAAGTTTCGACAGAAGCCGAGGTCGAACCCTCTCCAGAATTACCCGGTTCTGGTTCGTTTCCTGGCACAGCACTGACTTCAAAATTAGCGATGGCGGCACAGAAGTTGTTTCTGTTGTCCTTGTCGAGAGCAACAGACTTGCCGTCCACGGTGATCATATTAACCGACGCCTTAGTGCTGATTCCAAATAGGTGAACTCCAGTAGAGTCCTCGATACTGACCATGTTGTCCTGGCAGTTCTGTTCGTCCACACATTTTTGGCCATAGTTGTTAAAGAAGCTATACAGACCAGCTCCATAGATATATACGGACGACGAATTTGTGACGCGAAGACCCCAAGTCCGGGCGCATGTCTGCGAAGAGCCGTCGCACGACTTTTCAAAGTCCGGGTCGAAGAAGCCTTCAAGAACGGTGGTGCCATCAGGAGCCTGGGGATTGCCCTGGAAGTACGCCGTCTCAGATTGAGCCACACCAATGAAAACGTTCTGGGCATTGGAGATCTGGTAGTTGTATAGGATACTGTGCTCCGAAGCGGTACCCCAAAACCAGACAGGCTTTTGTGACTCAATGAGCACACCACGACCATTGAAGATGTTGATCTGATTGTGGTCGTCGAGATCAAGCTCGTGGTCGGCAACCCAGAACCAGCAGTTCTCGATGTAGGCCGAGGCTGTCTGTGTGACATGAAGCATCATGAAGGCACCCATACATTCAGGGTTGGCAGTGGTTGTAACATTCTCGTTCTTGGTACACTTATCGGACTGCAACTCAGTTCCGGCAGTCCCACCAACACGGAAATGCACATCCCACATGCCTGCAGCACCGTTCTCAGAACCTGCCAGGTTCCACTGCATGAGGATGGCGCCAGGAAGGGATCCCTTGGTTTCAAAAATGAGGTCGGACATTTCAACATTGCCTACTTCACCGGGCTCGCCAACCTGGAAGACAGGTACTGGCTTACTTTGGTCAGCGAATTTGGTACCCGTGGCCATCAAAAGCGGCCACATTTCTCCGGTAATCTTAATGTTCTTTGGGATCTTGACCGTGTCGGAGACTAGATACGCGCCGTGGTCGAAATATATGATATCTCCTTCCTTGGCATCATTAAAAATCTTCTGGATCGCGGCAGTGTCGTCGGTTTTGCCGTCACCCTTCGCTCCCGCTGTCTTTACGCTAACAAATTTGCTGGACGAGACAGTCTCGTACTGAGGTTTGACGCGCGTGAAAATCTTTCCATTGCCGTCGAGAAGAGCATTGGGCTTGCGAATACTTTGCTTGTTGGTCTGGACAGCCTTCCCAGTTGTTCCAGTGTATTGACGGCCCTGGGCGAATCCAACAATCTTCTGGTTTCCTTCAAGCACGGTGGTGTTATCCTTCGCATACTTGATGGCAGTGGGGACGGACTGCGTCATGTCCACGTTGTCCATAATGAGGGTACCATTGGTGTCCGGAAGATCGGGCTTGTACAGGGTGCTGATGCCAACTTCGACGTTCGAGATCTTGCTATCGACAAGGAGTAATGACCCGACTTTGATGGTTTCGAGGCTGTCGCTTGTCATGTCAATACCAAGCTTTCCGCCGTTGATCGTAATGTCTTGCATCAACCAAAGCCAATTCCATATCATATGGATAGCAGTGTTGCAGTTGTTAAACGTCATATTTCGAGAGGTGTACTGCTGGCTGCCGATGTCTGCTCCGATGCCTCCACCGTTGAACGTAAGGTCGGCCATGAAACCACCGGATCCATTCTCAATATACAGTCCCTTCTGCACGTTCTGTTCGCTGGTGTCAGGGTTCATCTCGAAGACGATGTTTTGCAAGCTAGTGGCCTGGGCCACTTGCCAATGAATACCAGCACCCTTGGTGATAGGCATATCCTTGATGTCGATGATGAAGTTGCGTACTTGCCGGAAGAAGTTGTTCTGGTTGATGTACCAATTTGCGGCTGGGTCGACGGTATAATCGTAAGGGTTGGCATCGATGACGGCCATGCCATCGAAGTCCGGGGTGGCCTTGAGCGTCGGGATATCAAGCGCATCGCCGACGAATTGGGTGTAATAGGACTGGATGATTGGCTTGCTCACCATATACACACCAGGTGGGAAGTAAAGGAGGGCTGGAGCAGTGGTTCGGGAATCACAGTGCATGATGCATCGGTTCTGCCCATCCTGGACAGCCTTGTTGATGGCGTCTGTATCATCAGTTGTGCCATCTCCCTTAGCACCGTAGTCTTTGACGTTGCGGAAAACCTTATAGTCAGGCTGTCCAAATGCGGCCACACCTTGGCGTTTAATGTCGGCAACCCAATAGCTAGAGGCAGCATTGGCTACATCTCGTACTTCAGTCGTTGCCGTCGGGCTAGCTTCCGCAACGCCAGAAAATAGGCGGGCGGCCAAGAAAGAAACCGTGAGGAACTTTGAAAGTCCCATCTTGAGGGTAGTGCCTGCTATACTTAGGTAGGATTCCAAACTTCTTTTCCACAAACTTGAGGGGCGTCGAATATCAATGGTTCTATCCAAGATTAGTTATTGCTCCTCCAGGGAGGTTTGTCCGGATGATAAAATGAAAGCAATGAAATAATAAAAATACACAGAGGGAACTGTTTATGGATGTATGTACGTAGTTGCGATAAATTTAAGAGGTCAAAAGAGGCAGGAGGATAAAAAGCAAAAGAGCGAGAGATTAAGTAGGCAGGCAGTCTTGTATTCGCAAATGTAATCATTTACTTTTGACTTTGTTTCTTGGGGGGCAAGTCGCTAATGACTGTGTTCTTGAAAATCGAATGTTGTTGAACAATAGTGATTGTTCACGAACAAGCCGGCGGCTAGACAGATAAGGGAACGCGACAAGGTAGGCTTTGTGCAGGACAACTCGGGAAAGTGAATTGGGTGCAACGTGTTTGTGTTCCGAATGAAAGGGCACAACAGAGTCGAGCTGAAACCACAAAGACTTACAGGTAACGATAAATCTCGCTGGTGTTTGTTGATGAACTCCCTCTGCCTAGTCAATAGGATCAAGGGTGGTGACCTATCCAAGGTCGGGATAGAAACCAATCTTTGGACTTCTTAATAATGAACGACTGAATGAGTGACGGTAGTTAAAAAAAGAGGTTGTAGGAGAGAAGAGAAAGGAGTACCGAAAAAAAGTAATTGAAAAAAATGAGAAAAGGAAAAATAGAATATGGCTGTATGACTGAGAAGAGAGGGTGATATAGGAAATGAAGGGTTGTTGAGAGGGGATGACAAAGTCACGGAAAATGCACAGGCACATACCCAAGTAGGTACCTAGCTCATGCGTTGATTTTCATACGTGCCTACCTCACCTAGGTGATTACTTACATTATGTAGGTTAGGTACTTATTGTACAATACAGAAGGAGTTAGTTACCTTCTGCATCATACGGTACAATACTTCCCTTATTATTGTGCACCTGCCTACAGGTAGTTTGCATCTAGGGTTCCACACCCAGGGAGGCAGTTACCTTCAAGAGCATGGTTTTCCCTGAGCCAGCGCCTTCTTTGTTATGAGATCCGATCCAATTGCCCGCATGGTCATACATACTACAACAAGTGCGACCCTTGTGACCCAATGAAATTCGATGTACATTTCCCAAAGTAGCAAGCACTGGATAGCAGCTTTCGCATCTGACAGCCTCTTTTTAAGGGCTTGTTTTTAGGTACACCTGCAATCTGGTCGCTTAGCAAATGCCCACATCAGGCGTCGACCTGTTCCACGCCAAGCCAAGGAACGCTTCTAAGGCATGAATAGGCCCAGAAGCTGTTTATGAAGCCAGTTATGAAATGAGGCTGCAATTGGATAGCATATATCCCGCTCCTAAACAAATTTACGTTAAAACTATGGACTACCTCCTATGGACTGCATACGATGTGGTGAAGGAGACACAAGCTCGGGGAAAAGGATAGTTAATCCCATGAGACTACATAGTACGTACAAAGAACCTCAATAGGTATAGAGAGCCCCAAATAAATATTATATTGATGACCTAATCCAATAAATGTTGCAACTAAAATCTTCAATGTCAAGGGCGACATCAACAAATTGATTGTCATAATCTCCATATAAACGTCATAGGCATAATAGAGATACGGCTGTTCCTGCATATCGAATTCCTTTTGGCGATCATCCCTGGGATTAATTCATTTGCGGCCTATCACAGCGCAACTGAGATATCCAGTTCTTCGGCTAGGTATGTACCTGAGCAGGTACGTACCTCTACTATAGTACAGAATTTTCAAATATCCATGGGCACGTACTCACAAACATACCTAACCTAATGCACCTAACTATTATAAAACTTTGTCACGGGGGGCATAAATTCCTTGTTTGCACGCATTTCCATCGGATTCTTTTATTGAATGAAAACATGGTGAGGTAAAAGTAGTGAGTCAGTTAGATTACCTAGGTAGGTAGTGAAGAATAGTAGATGGGGTACAAAGCTCCGGAAAAGCCTTGCAGCTTTCGAGGTTTCGGACGCAAACCACGGCGGCTATTACTATCGATAGATTATTAAGTTGCTGCAAAACTTGGGTAAACGTAAGGATCAATTGGTTCATAGTAAATACTAGCTTCTTTTTCTTTCCTTCTCTTATCCCTGTCTATCTATTCAAGCCTTGTGTAACAACAGTCACCGAAAATATCCATATGATAGTACCGTTGAACAAGACCGTTCCTCGAGTTCAGAGTGTTGTGCAAGGAGAATCGGTGATACTTCGTCTGTCCTCGAGGTTTTTTTTCTTTCTTCTTCTCAGGTGGAACGACATGATAACGGCTGTTTCTAGTCCTACCAGGGTTAAACCCCCCCATGTAAAAATTCTTGCTAGATTCCATATTATTTGCACGTTGGTCGGTATACATAATCTGGATAATATATACGGGGTGGACTAAGTATATAACATACCTTGATAGGTAGTAAACGTAATGCTTGCGTATGTCGTTGGTACCTAATGTTGGGTAGAATTACAATTAATCCGCTACCTACATATATTGTATACCTAAGGTACTTGCTTCTATCTAATCTCCTCGCCTGTTTTCTTTTGTTAGCAATTTTAATGAGATGGCATCTTCCTTCAAATTTTTGTTCTGTAAAAGAAAGGGGATGAGCATAGCGTCGGCAGGCGCATAACGAATTAACATCATCTAACCCGTGCGGCATGACACGGCGTCATTGCGCAACCAAAATTACCGACCTCGTTCGATCTATTGGCTCAGCTTATCCGCCCTTTCTCTTTAACATCTCCACATGCGGTATTACTAACCTATCGGCCTATTCCATCAGCCAACAATTCGGGACCAAACCATAGGTTAGCATTGTTTCGAAACATGCCATCTAGGTACAGGTCTTTTGCAGTGTGCCCCTGAGCTAGGGCCAAGGTAGAGATTAGGGGTCTGTGTTTCATCGCCCCTAGGAAGTTCGGATCGCGGGGTCATTCTTACCAATGAATTTCGGGTCCCACTTTCTTTATAGATCAGACTCAAGCTCCGTCGGAGCCGGAGCGGTTAGACAGATTAAACTCTTTTCTTTAAACGCTCGCCTAACTAGCGTATCGTAATTCGTAAGTGTCTGGGTTTTTTGTGGTTAAGCGATCCACGTTTCTCGGAGGTTTATTTTACTGTTTCTTCTTCAATACGCAGCTCACTCTGCGTAACTTATCGTATTAGACAGAAACCAACCCAGCCCAACCAAACAACACCTCGAAAGCCACAGTTTCATATATTTACGAGTATCAACTTTATTAATCTTTATTTCGGACAGAATCAACCATATATGTTTTACAAGGGTAGATACCTAGGGAGCAAGTTATTTACCTATCATCTAAATAGTTCTTAATCTATCTCTTATATATATTAATCCGCCAGAAACGTGTGTCACTAGCTCCCATTCTTATTACGTGACAACGTGCTTCATGATTTCTATCCCTCTACACTATAACTACTAGACACGTTACGGGTAAGCAGAGGTATTGATATGTTGCAAAAAATTAATTAATTAATTAAAACAAAGACGATCCAAAGGTATATAGTTCAGGGCGAATTGACATATCGGAATATTTATACATTATATTCATGGTTATCAAGATGCTACTCATTAGCCTTAAGTACCTACTTGGATATAAGATAAATGAGTGTTAGCTGTGAATCTATCACATGCTCCCCCCTTTCCTTCAAAATAGAACCTATTAGAGTGCCTATAGTTATTATTAGTCCTCTTGTAAGGTTCTGTTGGATTGAGTCCAGCTGGTATGCAGCTGGCACGCAGCTGGCAAGGGAATATCACACAACGTCAATGTTTCTCTAAAGCGATTTTCTAAAACGGTGATGCAACTAACAACTCGGGATTGACTTTGAAGCCTTCTCACATAGACTACAATACCCAATACCCAATACTCGATACTACAATGACAGAAATGGCTCGCTCAATTGCGCCACAAAACCTTCCAGAGCTTGTGAAAGCTGCTTTCGACGCGGCTCGTACTAATGGTGATTTGACGTACTATCCGACCCAAGTTGCCATTTTAACACCTAATTCCATTCCTGTGAGCATAACCATATACTTAAACACTTAGGCATATCATAGCAGTAGCTTATCCTCTATCTTAGTTCCAACTTCGATTCTCGCCATCCTTGGCGTTGAAACCCAAGGCTCCGAAACCCAAAGAGCCTCATGGAAAGCCGTTCAATGCCTTCGAAAACCCCTCCCCCAACATGCTTATTGCCGACATACCGCCATCCCATCGGCTTGTGCTGAATAGATTCGCAGTCGTGCCAGAACACTTCATCATAATTACCAGGGAGTTCAAGCCCCAGACGCATATTCTGGAGGAGGCCGATATAGCCGCGACGTTCGCTTGTATTCAGGCCTACCGTAATAACGGACAGGAGCTATTCGCATTCTTCAATTCGGGCCCACATTCTGGTGCTAGCCAGCCGCATCGCCATCTGCAGCTTCTCCCTGTCGAACGGATGAAAGATGGGTTAGAGGGTGTAGATAGGGGCAGCGAATGGAGTATCCTGGCGGAAAGGGTCGCCGAGTCTGAGAAAACACTGCCGTTTAACGTCTTTGCAACAAATATGCATTCGGACATGACCGCCAAGGAGAGGCATAGTGCATACCTAGAGCTTTATAGAAAAGCGGTTAAGGCTAGCTTCCCAGACGGGGAGGCCAACAGCGAAGGTGAGGCCATGATCAGCTATAATTTCGCAATGACGAGCAACTCCCTGGCCCTCTGTCCCAGGACGGCAGAGGGCGTAATGATCAAAGACAAATCGGGCCAAGATGTTGGTGTAGTATCTCTCAACGGGACTGTCTTAGCCGGCACAGCTCTCGTCAAGAACCAGGCCGAATGGGATGTTTTAAGAGAAGACCCCGACCAGTTGCTCGACGTCCTTAAAGGGATTGGCTTACCCCATTAGCAAATATCAACGATATCAACGAGCAGACATCTGGGAGTAGACCCCGAATAGGACTAGCCAGATGGCTACGGCTTTGAAATCATATATTTTTCATTTGGTGATAGGACCAGCTTTGGTATCCCAACGTTGACATCGTAAGTACATACATACTACCCCCCCCCTCCCCCTGTTTCTACATTACCTTAGGTTCCTAACATTGCCAGAAATTCTAGATACCAGCACACATAGTTCAGCCCAGCCAGCATACTTGTGATAGCCAGGGCAAACACCCAAATAAGTTCATTTCAATCCCGCTTTGCCTTCTTCCACCAATTCTTTCCACTTCCTATGGCAAGTGGCGCCGCCAAATTGGTACGAACCGCCGTGGTCCATGATGTACTCGGCCACTTGGCCCCACGGTGCCTTGGCCGGCATCATATCGTTGCCTTTCGCCAGTTTGCGGACAGCTTTCTTTAGTAAACGTATCTATACCGTCCCGTTAGTTGAGCACGAAGAAATCTAAAGTTAGGAAAGAAGAAAAAAAAGTAAAAAAGAAAAGCCTACATCGTTATCTTGCCATTCTGGTTTTCTTACACGCGCCTCCTTGTCCTTCGTCAGAGTCCGGAACCGCCCCCGCAGCGTAGATTCGGCTTCGGTGAAATTTCCCAAGCGGCGGATCTCGCGATACGTCATACCCGCCAGCTTTGATCGGACTAGAAATTCGTCCTTGGCAGACCGTACTCCACTGCTCCTACTGCTACGCCCGCGAGCCGGAGATCCCTCACTTCCTTGGGGCGCCGCATCGTGGCGCTCCTGTTTCGGTTGAGCGACCCGCACTTTCTGAGGCGACTGTTCGTGATCGCCGGGAAGCTGGGGGAGGGCTGGCCTCTTTCCTTTCGAAGATGGCGACGGCTCGGACGAGGTTATTGGTACTAGCCGCGATCTCGCTGGTTTGCTCGGAAGTTCTTTTCGTGGCTTTTGACTCTGCCGTTGCGACTGGAACGGGCTGCGAGGATGAGAATGAGAATGCTCGTACGCAGAGGCACCAGGGTCTAAGTCGGCACCAGAAAGCATGGCGTTGTGGATTGACTCAGACGAGGACGCAGGTGTCGGCGATGGGTTAATTCGCAGCATCTTTGGGGAAATAGTGGAAGGATAGCTCGACGATGTCCAAGAGCTAACAGGATTTCCCGGGCTCGCAACAGAACTGTCGGCTTGTAAATGTCCTGCCGCGTTGCTGTGTACCGCCCTCGGGTTGAGGGTCATCGCGGCCATGGCTTCAGAAGTCGCCGACGAGGGAACCGAAGAAGAGAAGCTGCTGGTGCTAACTTGTGCGCCTTCTAATGGTTCCCCGAGGACGGGAATGTTGGGATACCAGTCGTATTGAGGTAGACCATCTGGATAACCCAGATAATTATCCGTTTGGTGATGGCCAGTCATGTATGCCTGCACGTCATTGTAGTTCGCCCCGGAGCTTCGAAGCAAATAAGTGCTTGTTGTGCGAAGTTCTGGCAGACCCATTGGGTCGTTTCCAACGGGCCCTTTGTTGTGTTGGGAGTGACTCGGATCAAAATCCCTTCCGGTATTTGCAGTATTTTCGCCTGAGACACCAACGGCAGTCGTTTGGGTTCCAGTATAAGGAGTACTCGTACCAATAAGTTGCAAGCATCCACTATAAAGGTCCTCGGGCTGAGAGCGCAAGCATGAGCAACTACTCCAATGCCACTTCAACGGGCTAAGTGATGATCTTACCATGCAAGTTTCATCCCCACTATCCGCGGCCATATTCGAGGACCAGTTTTGTTCATACATTTCCTGCTTTAATTTCTGTTGACGCAGTATCCACTGATTTATGTCGTGAGGGTAAGGCAATCCTTGAAAGAGCGCCTCTAGATCTCGTCCCTCTTCATATCCGTGGTGAATGTGAGACTCAGACGCAGAGACGTCGTCACTCGGTAGATCATTCCAGGCAAGCTGGGGTGTCTCCGAGTTGATAACCATCTTGGATATCAGCCTGACCCAGGCTTCTGTCATGCCTCCTTTTTTTCGCTTCCTTCGCCAGCTACCGCCCCCTCTTTCTCCCAACCTTCACCGCCGCTTCTGTCGGTTCTCTGCGCGAGCCTAGGGCAAGAAGATACCTTCGAAGTTCTTCCCGATTCTCCTGGAAGGCCGGTATTGGGTATGCCTGCAGCAGCGCCTAGCGGTCAGGAACGTGTGTTCTTGGTAGCGATGCAGGTTTTGTGCGGCCTCCCGAACATGAGTCAGGAACCGTTCCCGCAGCTGTCCTTCTAGCCAGAGCGCATGGAGCAGATTGTAGTGGGAAAGGTATGTAAGTAGCGTGGGGTGGAGAAGTATGTTTGAATGTAAAAAAAGATAACTCTACGCACTACACGACATTCACCCTCTTGGAAAGGCAACAGGGTAAACAAAAATTATCGGCTTTGCAGATAGAGAGTTGAAGCAAGAGATAGTTTCTAAGTCGAGCTTTCTAAGGATGGTTGATTAAACTAATATGCCTAGAATTATCTACCAGGTAGCTTATCCTATAAGGAAAGACAGAGAGCATGTAGGAACTAACGGGCACTATTCATGCGTAACTTGCCCTTTCCAGAAAGCCCCCATCCATTGTTTTCTGGATACTGTCTACGATCGATATGCGTGAGGATATCCCAAAGCCTCCCGAGCATTAATGAAGAACGGGTAGCAAGGGTAGGAAGCGGAGGAGCGGGAAGCAAGTCTCTCAAAAGGATAACCAGATTACCCAAAACGATTTCGATGCCGTCTGGTCAACATCATAGGTGACAATATTCTACGGTAAACCAGGTAATAATCACGGTCCTGGAAGGCGTCGATGAAGGTTGCGAGAGCTCGAACAAGGGCTATCCCTGTGCTGTTATACCTCTAGCTGCGGCTCTAGATGCAGATATATGTACCGGAAATCTCGGGACAGAAGAACATGACGACCGTTCTGCAGGGGTAGCATCTGCACGGAAAATTATGTGCAGGAGATATCTGCATCAAGAGGCCATCATCTATTGCTTCTAATACCAAACGGGATAGGCACTAGCTACCCCTATATGCAAAACCACGGGCATCCGCGGGTAACTTAGAAAGTAGTATCTAGTACACCATAACGCCTCGTAAGGTCTACGCGTGGGGGGAGTATCTCTCGGTCAACTCGAGCCGAGCAATCCCGACGGCCAGCCCCTAACTTCATTCGCCCGTTTGACTCCCTAACGTTGGGGCCTAACGCTGCGTGGACTTCTTGACACCTGCGAGCGGGATCGCGGGATCGTGCTTCTCCTGGTCTTGAAATAATCGCTCTAGGCCTGCCAAACCTTTGGGTTCGAGAGGAGCTTTTCCCTAGAAGTGGGAAGCTACGGGACGCTTCGCCATTCGTTCCCCGCCTCGACTTTTTACGAGGTCTAGAACCAGAACAGGCTATGGAGTTGCTATCTAGGCTGGCAACCGAGACATGTTGAGCGAAGCCTGTCTGGGGAAGAGACATAGCTGCCTAGGTAGGTAGCAGCTACCTGGCGAGGGTCGTCTCGTCCGTACTTCTTGTACCTTTTACTCGGCGGGCATTTCGCAATTCTAACCGCGGTAACGAATATTAAATCTACGAGATCTCAAGCCAACCCTAACGATATCAAGGAAAAGAAATAAAAAGAAACTGACATGTCATGTCGCCTCTACGATCTAATATCCTTGTCCCCGGGATCATAGTTGCAAGATCCTGGTAATGTTGCTGCTTCTTCCAGACTCACGCATGCAGGCCAGTACCGAATCGATTGGCCCTACATCGATCGTATCTAGCGCCCAGCAATAGCCGGGTGAGAAAAAGCCTAGGAGCGGGGGTTGCAGAAAGGTTTTGCAGCTTCCCATCCCAGGGAACGAGCCTATCATCATCGTGGGCGGATGATCAGCAGAGACAGACCATCACCCCTCCCCATCTGCAAACATTACGTATAGGAGCAAGTAGGTAAACAGAACAGTTGGGCCGATATCTATCTATCAATCACGGTTATCGGATGGATCCGAAATGACTTAGCCAATGGGACATGCTAACCGATATATTATCATCCCCCCCCACGAAGAAATAAGAGGAGGCCCATGTCATGCTATCTGTCCATATGCGTTTGCCGAATGAGAGGGTGGGTGGGTGCGTGATGTATGCTGAGGCTACCAAATCCCGACTTCCTGGTACCTGGCCCTCCCCTCCCCAACTTGTTAGCTTTCGGTTTTCCCAAGGACCTGGACTTCGCCCCTAACCTAAGTTGTGGGAGGCCCCCCGAATCTTGATAGTATGACGTCTCAGTCAGGGGATGTACCTACATGTGAATTTCATGCAATGCAGCCCAAGAACTCCAAAGTCCGTCCAGTCAGTCCGTCAGTCAGTTAGTCTCCATTATAAGTTCTGCAAACCGGCACGGTTCTGGTAAGTACCTAACCTACCTAAAGTGAGATGGGCAGATGTTGTGCGTTGTTAGCTTATTTTAGTTAGTACAGAGATGACGGGTACGTCTAACGTTTTCCGTTTGAGACATCTTTGCCGACAGTTGACAGACAACGACAGTTTGTGGCTCTGTGCAACTAACCGTTTTATTTTATTTCTTCTTCTTAGGCAATAGTTTCCGCGTATGTGGCTAGATTCATAGGCTGCTGTTGCTGCTGCTACCTAACTGCGATTTGGTCAGATATGATAATCTCGTAGCAACGCAGTTGTTGTACTACTACCACCGCCCTGTGCTACGGGCTTGACTATCGCTAATTGGATATAGTTATATGAATGGAAGGCTAGGCAATATCTATTTGTTTGACGATGATGTACCTCTGAGGAGGGCTATGTAGGTAGCTGTCTGTAGCAGATGATGGATGATCACTATGATGAGTTGACCGGAGTGGCTGATCCAGTCAACTCGTGTAGCAACGAAAGAATGTGATTCTCCCACATCATTTGTACATGTGTTCTCTTACTTTTTTAGATTTTCTTTTGACTACCTAGGTACTTAGGTTAGGTAGTCAATATGTCCACGCATTCTCTAACTAATAGATATAGATACACAGCATTTTGAACGCATATACGGTAGCTTCGCATTTGCATGATCTAATGTAACGAGGCATTTAAAATTTTTAGAAAATATTGAACGCCTTCAGCAGATTCGGCATGAAACCGGGAATTTTCAAGATCTGAGAGGGAAATAAGGTGGTTGGTGTAGAGAAGTAGGTAAGTTGGCCTGTGTGTTGGTTGATACCGGCGTTAGGTATTATTATGAAGTTGGCTCGAGCTGACTTTTGTTACTTTTTATTCGTGACTATTTCACTAACAACCATAGAATTTGTGTTATTTTGAAAGAGGAGAATGACTTTTAACAAAATAATATTAATAATAATATGGATAGTGACTTAATATCAGAAACAAGTATCAGTTTCAACATTTCCGATCCGGATTTGGAAACTCACTGATAATAACTGGATGTGGTAGTCAGAAAAAAGCTGCCGAGGCTCTGCGCGTTGTAACCAGTTACCTACCAGTTACATACCTCATACCACCCCAAGTCCCGTATGGTGGCGTCATTGGCTCCTCCTCCCTCCCCACTTGTCCTTACCTTAGGTTAGGCAGGTACCTAGGTAGTTTTAGCGTCCAGGGCGGTCCAAACGGGGACCCCGGCTGCCCGGAAGCTAAGTGTCCAGGTTACCATGACTAGCCCAGCCCGGCCTAGGTTAGGCCAAGTAGTCGCACTAAAGGTTACAGGTTGAAGCAGCTTCCTGGCTTTCTAAACTTTGCCCCAGGAATTTTGACGTCGTACATGTTACTCAGAAGCCCCGGGTTGCGTTGACCAATCGGTAGCCAACCAAGATCCACCAAATTTCCTTAAATGGAAAGGCTCAGCCAATTCGCCAAGCCTCGTTTTCTCATTTCTCATGCCACGCCGTGTTCATCATTTATTTCTCCTCGTGAATAAGGAAGAAAAAAAAAAGACATGTCTGTTCTGTTCTGTTCTTTTTTTTTTGTCACATTGTACACTACAACAACAATAACCTGCTAGCAGGAATTTCGAGTCTTCAACGACCCGAAAGCTAATTACCCCGGCATCTATCAAGTCTTCAACAGACATGCCCGAGCCGAGTATTATTACTATTCATTTGTATGACGAATTCCACTGTCCACTTATACCCGGTCTTCATTTATTTCCCTTCGTCCCAGTCCCCAGTTTAGCGCAAGTGCCATGTCCTCCATAAAGACACTCGGTGTTGAACATGAACATGAACATAAACATGAGGATGGACCTGAACCTGAACCTGAACCGCAACCGATCCGCATCGCCATCTTACTCAACTCGTATCGGTCCCGCCTCCTCCCCGCCATCAGGGCGTCCTACGAGCGGACCATAGGCGCCGTGGCCCCGGACGCCCGGCTGGCCTTCTACGAGCCCGCCAACAAGACCGGCCACGGCCAGTTTCCCGACCCGGCCTTCTTCGACCTCATCGTGTTCGGCGGGTCCAACGTCGACCCGCGCAAGTCCCACCCGTGGATCCTGGATGTGCATCGCTTCCTCCGCCGCCTCGTGGCCCAGTACCCCGAGAAGAAGATCCTCGGCATCTGCTGGGGCCACCAGACCATCTCCCGCGTCTTCGGCGGCAAGGTCGTCGACGCCCCGCGCCCGGAAGTATATAGATCCCCCCCTCCTCCCCCCTTGGTCTTCTTTCCTCTCTCTCTCTCTTTCTCTCTCACAGCACAAATAAAATACAATACAACCTAAAAACTAACCAACGCCCCCCAAAAAACTCTTAGATGGGCGTAGCGGACGTAACCCTGACCGCAGCGGGAAGAAAGTTCTTCCCGGCCTTCGCTTCCGCAGGGGCCCTGAAGCTGCAGCAGCACCACCGGCGGGAAGTCAGCCGCGCGCCGCCCGGGTTCGCGCCGCTCGCGCGGGGCAACCAGTGCCTGCTGGGCGCGGGCAACACGATCCTGACGTTCCAGGGGCACCCGGAGAAGGACGCGGAGGCGGCGCGCCTGCGCCTGCACGACTCGCTGCGCTGGTTCGGCTTCGACGCCCGCCTCGACGAAAAGGCCTGGCTCCGCCTCTGCGAGTCCGTCGAGATGCAGCACGACGGCGCCGCCGTCTGGGCCCGCGTCTTCGAGTGGCTGAGGGAGCCGCCGACGCGCTTGGGGCCGGATGGGGATGGGAATGGGGTGGTGGATGGTAATAATTAATAATGGAAGCGAGATGTAATTTATGCATTTAAACTTGTTTACTCGTCGGGTATATAAGGGACCTAACTTTGTACTTAATCCTTACGGCGGGACACCGTTTTAGTCTGCTGTTTTGAATATAAATACTTAATCACTTAACCATTATAACATGCCAGCTTGATGACGGTGGCAACCAATGAGATGGGATATGATGGCAGGTGTTGGCATTGTGTTAGAGGTTATACGTTACGTGTAAGCCATGTTTTACATAGCAATAAGGTTTGATCAGGGAAGAAGGCCAGGTCAGAAACTTCCATGTATGCGTGTCATTATGCGTACTCACAGCAACTCATGAACAAAGACGAGATATTAAATTAAATTCTAAATTTTTATTATATACTCTAGCAGTGATGCAGACTATACACAGTATAGTTAGGTTAGGTACGTATGCGAGTATGAAGTGAGACCAACGCGGAAGACATAAGAGAGAAGCAAACAAAAGGCTGCTTCTAACACAGGGTGATGATTACAGATTACAGATGCATCCGAACTCCTGATCTAAGTCTACTTTTTCTCTTTTCCATTCCCCAATTCGAGGGGCGGTCTAATATGGTTTAGCTGATGATTGAGCAAAAGAAATGCTGAGTCTCTTCTCCCGCGAGGGAGTTCAGACGCCGGGCTATACTTCGCAATGCACAAAAGGGCTTGGGAAATAGATGCCGCTTCTCTCTGTCCCTGTTCCCCGTTCCGTGACCTCCAAAGTGCAACCTGTATAAACTCCTCCGACATAGTAAAATATATCATAAAAAGAAAATTCGTGAATGCCGAAGTCGCTGGCTATCGGCCGTTGAAAATGCGAGATGTCCGCAAACTGATGCCTCGCGCCTTGATGGCGATGGCATATTATCTCCCAAGTAGACTAGCTCCTCGCAGGCCTTATATCTTATATGAAACCCGCCTCGCAAATATCACATGCTTCTTCAGGCCTGCGAGAGCTTTCGAGCATCTTAATGTCCGGTACATCAGCACCGAAATCCATGATCAGGATCTTAGCGTCCTGCCCAGTGCTGACGATACGCCTGTAATCGGACTTTGCACTGAGCACCCAACTAGCATGCCAACCTGGGAAGTCTAACTGTTGTTGGCCCGTTTCCATGTCGAAAACTTTGATATCGGTATCGTAGCTACCGCTGATAAGACGTCCGCTAATGCTGTCAATATGCAAGCTGCGCACAAGACTCTGGTGGGCCTGTATTTCTTGAAGGCATTCACCGGTGTTGGCGTCCCAGATACGAATAACTTTATCGCTCCCCGCAGATGCAACAAAGCGACCGTCCTCGGAGAACTGGCTACAGGCAAGACCCTTAGTGTGGCCGGTAAGTTCGCGGATTACCTTACCGCTGTCGATATTCCAGAGCTTCACGGTGAAATCTCCAGAGCAGGATACCAAAGTGTTCCCACGCAGTTGTACCGCATTAACGGGTCCAGTGTGGCCATTGAGTTGTTTAATCAGTGAGAACGTGGCTCGGTCCCAAACAGCTATAGTACAATCCTTAGAGCACGTCACGATGTATTTATCATCGAATGCCAGATCGAGAACAGCGGCGGTATGAAACTTGAGACGTCGAACTGGTCTGTATCCTGAGCGCACGTTGTAAACAATGCAAGTCGAATCCGAAGAGCCTGTAACCAGTATCTCGTCGTCATATTGGAGACATAGAATAGAGGCGCTGTGATGAATCGGGAATGAGACTGTGACGGGAACCGATGGGCTTATCCGCTCATTGCTGGGGAAAAGCGCGTAATGTGTGGGGTGACCGGCTGGGTCGAACAGAAGTGATGAGTCGTTTACAACTTCCGGCGGCCCAATTATAAGACGACATTGGAGGGTATGCATGTCCCAAATTCGAATTGTCTTGTCCCGAGAACCGGTAATGATCTTATTCCTATTCCACGTATTAGTAAATCTTGATTGAGTAACACACCGACGCAGGGGGTTCGGGTTCGTACTCATCGAATTGCTGGCAATAAACACTGTCTGTATGCCCATTCAAAAAGACCGCACGTGCTTGCTTTCCTAATTTCCACCGCCCATCTAACTCTTCTCGTGCTTTGTATATCTTCTGCCAATCTCTCTGGGAGCGAAGCGAGGGCACACCAAAGCCAGATCCAGGTTGGACAGGGCGACCAGTGGCGTATGTGCCCGTCTTTTCTCTAAGGAAGGACTGTCGCCAGATATGCTGATCCTGTGCCATCTTATGCCAAAGCTTAGAAACTCTGCTTGCGACTGCCAGCTGGGCAGCATCTAAATGAGACAAAATTTGCACAGCTAATTCCGGGGGAAGCTGAGCTACGAAATCCTTTCTAATTATGGGCGCGCTCTCCTCGATTTGTATATTAAGTTGAGACATAGACGTAGTGAAGGTAATTCCAATGCCGCTTTCGCGGTCATTTTGCGACTCGGCGAGGGAAACCAATTCTTGGTAATATCGAGCGTGACCGAGAGACTCGTTTTGCAGAGCTGCTGCCGCCTTGGCTGCTGCACCGGTATGCCATGGAATGATGGGGGGTTCGAGGCCATTTCCAGGAACAGGACGATTAGGAAAGTCGGCTTGAAGAGGGGAATAGATAGTCTCTAGGGTGCCAGGACCGCCATATGAAGTACGCGAGTGTCGGAAACTGGTAGCTTGCCTCAATTTATGCCAAGTCGAGTGCGAAGTGGTAGGACGCGTTTCGTGGCTCGCCGCAGCTGATTCCGAGACTCTGCGTTCGCGACGAACGATACCCTTTATGGATAGGGATGCACGTCTGATTTTGCCCTTAATCATTTCCCCGGAAACGCTTCCATGACGGCTCTTACGAAATGGGTTTGCACTTGTCGGAGTCGTAGATTCTTCGTCAATGCCTGGTTCGATACCAGTATCGTGGGAGTACGACCTTGCGCTCAATGGCGAGGGATCGTGGAGCATTGCTGCTAAGGGCCCAGCTTGGGCAGGAACTTTATTAGAGGTAGACATAACCGTATCGAAGGTCCGGAGAAGTTTAATTGCTTTAATTGGAGAGGAAAGAAAAAAACGCGGATAAGTCGTCTCGGTCTGAAGGATGCGTGTGGATACAAATAACGGTGTCAGGAAAGGGACAGCCAGATAACAACAGGGTCAAACAATGCGAAGGCCGTAAGGTTAAGGAAAAGAGAATTATATTTTTAGTATGGGATAAAAAAAAAAAGAGACAGCAAGCGAGAAAGAACGGACAATATGTAAAGTAAAGTAAACAATGGCGCCGACGAGGCGAAAGAATGTAAGCCGTATAAAATAGCTGCAAGTAATAAAGTAAAAAAAAGTATGTAACTATTGTTCAGTAAGTTTCGATGTTTTTGTGGCTGGTCAGCAACAAAAGAAGAAAAAAAAAAAAAAAAAAAAAAAAGGTTCCAATCCAAATGCCAGCATCGGCTTTGCGTACTATGGTAGTAACGTTATTTAAGAAAGTACTGCAAAGTCACGCTAATGTACGTTGTATGTACCTTCCCGATATCCTGGACCGCAGGGGTTCTTTTGGGCTTCATTGCTACCCCACGCCCCCTTTTTAATCGTATAGTTCTTTCTTTTCTCCTTTGTTCGCCTCCCCTAAGACACTTGAGTCAGGTGTACTTAATCCATAAACGTCCCATAGATGAACACAAAAGGGAAAGGACTGCTAGAATCCAGGTATGTTAAATGTATACATTAAGCACATATACTTAGCATAAGGTAATCACCTACCTAACTTACATTATAGGTACATATCATGTACTTTACGGAATAAAGGTTGGAAAAAGTGCAGGTGCTGGCCCATGCGGCCAAAGATTGTGGAGTGCGGGTAAAGATTGACCAAAATTGGATCTGGCATGGTGCCAATACCTTGAACAAATCCACATATATTTTCTTCTTCTTCCTTCCCTTTCGCTGAATGCTTTATTCTCGCATCTGCTTGTCGGCTGTCTAGAAGCGGTGCAGCATTCGGTACATGTTTCCGTACATGAAATAGGCGCTCCACTCCACTATCTACTAGGGTCCAGACAGGTACCAACGGAAGGATAATGACGAAGGGGGAAAGTAAAGAAGAAAACAAAAAAAAAACAAAAAACGATAGGCTGATGTAACTACTCGTCATCAACAAGCCTAAAGCAAAGGTCGGGATTCCCGTTATAAGCGTTATAAGCGGGCAGGGGACTACTAATAGCCGGTACCCATTCAATCTCTTTAGCTTGTCTGACTTGCAGTGTACTATGTAAGAAAATAACCTATGGGATAAGTCATATCTTAGTTCTGATGATTCTTTGTAATCCAATAGGACAGTACTTAATAATTTAATGAGATCAAATCCTAAGGGAGATCTTGTATTCTATTTTTTTTTTTTTTTTTAAAAAAAAAGGCAAGGGACTGGCGATACCTTAAATTGGTAGTTACCATGCAAAGCAAGTGTCAAGTGAAGGTACCTAATGGCCCATCCTTGTACAAATACTTGCAAATTAAGTTCAGATGAAGTACAGATCCCGTACCCTAATGGTTTCAAGGCAGAACTTTGTCCCTACCTTACACGTGGAAAGACCCTTCTTTGAACGTGAACATTGCATGCACCCTTGTTTCAATAAATAGCATTTAAGGTTAATAGGTGCGTCAATGACAAGTCCCCTTGAATGGAAATGCCATACATCCTATTACCTTAGGTACCTGTATAAGGTACCTGTTAGGTAGTTAATAATCGCATTGTTACGTGTTCGACATAACATTGAAAAGAAAACTATTAGCAAAGCCATCCGCAACTTATAGGCCGCCACGCTACCACTTTCAGGACCTGCAGAATCTTTATAACTAACGTACCTAGGTAACCTAACTCTTTCAAGTATTATTATTATATACTCCATCACACACCGATTCTATTTTAATATTCGCCGTGGACATTTAACGGTACCTAGGTACCTAGGTACGTAATAGCAAAAGTCTATGCAAATATTGCGAAATATGTTTTTACCTTGATGAGCTTCGCGGTAGGAATTCTGTCAGATTCATGCCGAATCCTATGTCTTGCTAGTGGCGTAAGCCATCCATGATACTATGTAGTAGGTGACAATCAACAACTATTGAATGCATTCCCTTGCACAGTACTTTTACTTCTAGTTGGAGTCACTTAGAAATGTGTCTCGTAGAAAACAAGTCTTTCAAAATGACATTTCATGCGTAACCTTAGGTTGAAAAGTTTCTTGACCATCTCTCCCGTGCATATTCTCCATTCTCCTAACTCAACAACAAAGTATAGGAAACCATAAACCTGTAAGTCGGTAATCTCATCATATCGTTCCATCGTTAGTATAATCAGCCGTCTGTACCTAACCTACTAACTAGCACTTCAATTTCTCGGCCTACTCCCCCTATCCCAACCAGCCGGGCCGCGTTCCCTCCCGAGCGCCCGATCGACCTTCTTAACGTGATCCCGGTGGCTTCTTCGCGCGTCGGAGGTTTCTTGATTATCGATTCTCCACCACGGGTTAGAGTGGAGGTTGAACGCCCGCCAACCGTCCTCGTCCTTGGTCGATTTAACCTCCTCGCCTCGTAGTATGATGAAATATCTAGATACCACCGGCCTTTCTTGACGGCGACGGAATAGTCCCTTCTTCTTGCGCTCCGGAAGCAGCTCCGTCACTCGGAACTCGCCTTCCTCGAGCACGACGACCTGCCAGTCGCGCTGGCGGAACGGGGTCTTGTTCGCCGATCTGAGCTTATTATCGACAAGAGACTGGATCTGGTTGTACACCCCGGAATTCAGGCGGAACACGCGGTTAGCCAGGTCCTGAGTGTACGAGCGTCCCTTCTTGGAGCGTCTGGCGCTGTATTCGTAAGCGGCGTTTGCGTGCAATCCGACTAGCTCCTCCTGGGAGTAAGATTCCAGGGTTCGATGTCCAAGAACCCGTCGTTGTGGCTCCTCCATTTGCTGCCGAGCTTGATGCCGCAGAACGTCTTCCAGGCAACCCTGTCGACGGTGTTCCCGCTGTCGAGGACAGCCCACGCTTCGTAGACTGTCTTTGCTGGTTTATCGTCTGGGACGGTGCTGCTTCCGGTCAGAAAATTACTTGTTATAATGTTGCGATTCTTGGTGAACGTACAATGGCTTCCGCCCGGAAATGTCTGGGCAAGATTCCTTAGACAGAATGGACATAGCATCTTCGTCAATCTCTCGCCGGGCTCCCGTCATGGTTTTGGCGTCTTCGCTCAGTGACGACGGGACCGGGCTTAGAGGCGGCATTCCCTTCTAGTCTACCGTCTGCTTACCCTCATATTCTGGTGATGTAGCCATTGCTTGCGTTATTAGAGGCTGGAGGAACTACTAAGAGTAAGTAGAAACTAGGATAGTGGTGGGTAGGCTAAGGCATACAAAGCAGGGGTGGTCAGAAGTTTGTAGGGACTCTTTATATGCTATTCGGTCGTCTTACATACATCTGGATTTGGGGGCTACGGCTGCGGGATTTCCTAACGTTACACATGCCTCTCGCTGAACAGAAATCGGTGTACGGTAGGTATGTTCTTGGCAGCAGAGGCTGCCTGGAGTTATGTTCCATTTAGTATATACTCGAGGTCGTGATTGGACGCCACCAGCTACGCACTGCTTCTATAACATGATTAGATGAGATTATGGGGTAATACCTGCATATAGGTAACTATCACGCATTACGCGATTGGAGCAAGCTTATGATGCTAGGGCTGAGCCTTGCTGACCAGGGGGTTTCTAGAACAGACCGATAGGTTGCTTTGTGCAGTATTAAACCACAGCCGACCTCAATTACAACCACTTCATCAGGATGAGCACGTTGTATACCGAAGTAATGTCCCGCACAGTTTTTTCCTTAGGGAATTACAATTAACTACACGGAGACCAGCCATATTTCATTCAATCTGCAATGAATACATTATTTGCCGCATAGAAACAATTTAGAAACCCCAATATCATGTTGGCTGACCCAATCCGCTTCCCGGTTCTCATAACCCTATATTCGTTCATGCTACGGGTCCATCACACTTATAGCTCGGGCAAAAAGATCGATATTTCAGGGTCAGCTTCTTCATCCAAGCGCCGCTGGTCGTGGCTTTCAAATATATTACAAGCTTCCCGCGGAACTCGGAGCTTGTCGAGCAATCCCTGAACAGTGGAGGTCTCATTGTTTAGATAAGTCGCGATGTCGTTCAGCGACTCTTTGAAGTCATCTGGCGGCGCGTCAACGCCTAATTTCATGATAGTCGTGGTAACTTCAATCCAAGCGGTGACCAACGCCGGCTTGAATGAACCCTGCACCTGCCGGAACTCGATGGTGTTGAGCTGGCTCCGGCGAACTTTCCCGGGGAATTCCGAGGTCGCCGGCAGGAGTTCCATGAGGCCGATGGATGCTCTGCGGGACTTCTTCGGCTCGCCTACTAGCATCGCGAGTTCGTCTACCGTCTCGGCGCGACACAGCCATTGAACCTTTGGCTTGTTCTGGTGGAGAGATCCCCAAACGTTCGGTGGGACGTTTTGCTCCATCTCATGGACCCAGCTCCCGTCGCCAAGGTCATCAATCCAGCCCGGGAGCTTGGAATCGTTGTCGACTCCCATGTTTGTTCCTGTTTGTAGTAGCGCAGCATATTTATTGGCGTACTTCCGCCAGGACGCGTGAAGTTCCATCAGCTTGTCCTCTGCAACCCACATGAGGGTGAGGATTCGTTTGATAGTTACGAGATTATATTCTGTGCCGCTGAGACCCCAATGGACATGAGTACCACACTGGCTTGAGGCAGATCCCGAATCCTTGCCAGCGTTTACACTGACCAAATAATTGGTGCGAAAGGTTCGGCAGACGCTGTTAAAGTCCGATTTCATAGCATCAAGATCACGGAACCGATATGTCTTGCCGACGAACTCAAAACCGAGCCAAAAATGCCCTGGTGGCGTTTCGGGCCTCACAGCCATGCGCTTCCCTTCGACTTCTGGGTCGGTCCACTGTATTGATTCAAGTTAGTATTTGCTTCTCTTAAAAGAAACCCCTGAAGGTTACTTCTTCATGTTGTGTCAAGAGAATAGTTGCCCCTTAATCAACTAGGCGTAAGTCAACACAGCCAAACTGAAATTTCAAACATACTATCATTGTGTCTTCAGGAACAATACTATTCTCCTTGTAGTAACTATACAGAAAATCGTCAAAGCTCCCTAGTTTAGCGTAGGTATCGCTAGGATTCAGTGTTTTTTCATCTTTGGGATGGCTCTTTTCCTGGTAGACTGTCGCCGTTCCAGTATCAGTCAGCTTCTTCGCAATATCTTTTCCAAAGTAGTGAACCCGCTGCATGTGGGCTTCGTGATCGTCGGAATAGTCTCTAGTTAAGTCTGACGGCTCTTCCGGTACTTGCTGGGTCGGAGGGCTACTCTTGCCATTCTGAAGCTTCGAAGGAGCCACGCCAGCCTCTCGAAAGAGAACTAAAAACTCCAGCTCAACGCCGAAAGTCGCCGCGTCGGAAAAGGAGTTCATGTCGAAATTTTGGATTCAATTCTGATTGAAGTTGCTCTCTTAGAAATCTGAGCTTGTTGTCCTCTTACAACCCGCATTCCTAAGCAGTAGATTTTCCTCCTTATATACGGAACTGAGAGGCGTATTTTCCATGGCTCTTGCCGAAATATTCCTACTCAGCACATGCAAAATAGATGCCGGACATCTCTCGTTAATACTGACCTACCATTGATAGTTCAGCAAAACCAATAAGTGATCTATCTATATGGATACCCAAATTCCGACATGAAAACTGGAAAGTTGGCGACGAATGGCCAGGCAGGACTACTGAGAAGCAGCCATCGTGCCATGTCTCGACCTCTTGGACATGAAGAAGTCAGATTCCTCCTCAGGCTGTAGTAATGGCATGATGTCTCCTTTCTGTCATGGACGCAAAACGAAAGTCATATTTTGCGAGTCGAAGAACCAACGTCACCATCGATGTTGCCAACAACACGTCCGTCTCCACGATATAGACCACGTCTATCATATATCAGTCTTTATACATCACTTGCACATCGCCTGTGACATAGAGTGATGTCTTCCCAATCATGCCCAACGGGAATAGACTCTTTATTGTCTCGAGGTGTAAGACGCAGGGTGTAACTATGTTTATAGCCGTGGCCTGTAAATGGACCTCATAGTTGGTGAATAAAGTGGTCTACCACCATAATCATCACTATCATTGCCGGCTAAGACTCCGGACACACAATACGGGCCGAACCTCTCGCCCAGAACCCGATGCCATCATGTAATGGGCCAGGAATACGGCTGCATCACCGATGGCCCAGAGCGGGCCGAGCCAGAGTCGGCACCCGGCTTGACGTGAAGAATACGAGATAAACCTATGCTAGTAGTATATGCTCTTGTATCGTGCATAAAGACCCGATGCAACATTCTCATCATGCTTACACGGCTTGTTCATTTCTGTTTCTTGGACTACTCATAAGCGTAGATGCCGCTCTGGATTGGTGACCATTCCCTAGAAAATCCGAGTGTAGACCTATTCTCAGTCGGGCCATACACGCTGCCTTCGGAATGAATTCATCTAGAGGTGAGGACGATCCATATGCATAGGTACATCAGGAGATGATATACGTATTCGCAGCATCATTGTGAGCAAGGTAGGAGTCTTCCCATCGTTCTGATGGTAGATTAATCCGAGGTGGAATAGAATTGGTTACCGTATTATTTTGCTGGACTTCCAATCACAAGCTATCAAAGGTTCCAACATGCATATGAGAAATCAAACCGGGAGAACCCCCAAGGTAGGAAACGCAAACCATGTGATGGCGTCGGTACCCAGGTAGGTAAGGTAGCACCCAGGGTTATAGGAATGAAGAGTCTCACTCTAGGTACTTAGTCTCATCACCACACTTAGCTACGTGTTGTAGAAGTCGAGAGGAACAAGGTTGTTCCAAAACCGAGCGTCCTCTTTTTTTTTTCTTTGGAAAAAAAAGAAAACAAATAAGACAAGAAATAAGGCACAAAATCAAAGTCAAAGTCAAATGGAGCTTGGAAAGATATCATTGGCCAAATTGTATTTAGATAACTCCAGATTTCTCCATAATCTTCTCCCCTTTACTTGTCATCAAGGTTCTATCGGCGGAATATTTCGATACCTGGGTAGCTAGCTGGTTATAAATACATTAGGTACAGGTACATAATTTCAACATCATCATCATCATCGTCAACAAAAACAACACCAACAGGTTCACAGATGGCCCCGCGTCAAACCGTCCTCCCGCTCGCCTACCGGGCCTTCTTCCTCATCATCGAGCCCATTTCCGCCCTCGTAGGCGCGTACTACGCGCACCTCCGGCAGGATGAGTACCTGTCGATGACCACGCACACCGCCGCACCGCCGGTCCCGCTCGGAACCTCCGTCGTCCTCTCGCAGCTCGCCAATCTCTACCTCCTGTTCGCGCTCAACGAAGCTCTGGTGCTACGGTCTACGGGCGATCTCCGGGTGTGGCGCACCGTGCTGTTCGTCCTGCTGGTCGCCGACTTCGGCCACCTCTATTCTGTGAGCGGGTTGGGTTCCTGGGTCTACTGGGACGTGACGCGTTGGAATCCTATCGACTACGGGAACGTCCTGTTCGTTTATCTGGGCGCTTCGATGAGGATCGCCTTTCTTACCGGAGTTGGGCTGGGGACGTCGTCATCATCCCCAGCTAACAAGACAAAAAAAGCGGCTTAAGGGGGGTAAGAGTTTCTCTCTCATGGAAATATGAAGCGACAAAGTCGCTCACCCATCTACGGCGATCTTCAAAGTCGATATACGATACATCTGCATGTGTTTATGCTATAGTGTGTCTCTTTCTTCTCTTATTATGAGCCTTTTGTCTTGGTACCGATGCCCCCCCAACATTGGGAGCCCACAATAATATTTTTTTTTCTTTTCCCCCCTTCTCCTTTCGGCACGATGAAATACCGCACTAGAAAACGTGGGGTTTAGCCTCTATCTCCGATCGATTCTTACCGAATAGTCCAATCAGATCGACCAGCCAAAAGACGACCAAGGTGATATACCCTTTCTGCAAGTAATGGCTCGGGTCCCTGTTTAGCGAGAAAAAGGAGTTCTCCTTCTAGCATTACTCCGAAACTGGAGCATTTTATACCGCTAGGAGTACCGCTTCTATGTCAATTGTGGATAAAAAGGGTGATTGATTGGGGGGGAGAAATACCAACCGTACCTACATAGCACTCTTATTGACCGAGGAAATGGAGGGGAATTCATTAGGTGGGGGAAAACGGGAAACGGGAAACGGGAAACGGTTAGATCGTGGGTGGTATCCTTGGCTTCAAATATCAACTTACAACTCTCTTCCATTGAACCCCTCGTCGACCAGTAGGTAATCCCTTATATCTTTTTTGGTGTATCTACGAAGGTCTTATTACCTACCTATACCTCAAAATGTCTACATTCGATCAATACGAGGGTTTCCAAGTCAAGTCGGCCGACACTTGGACCGAATTCCATCTTAACAAGTTCGATACCAAGCCTTTCGGCGATAACGATGTAGAAGTCAAGATCGAATGCTGCGGAGTGTGCGCTAGCGATATTCACACTATCACTGGCGGTTGGGGCGGCGCACGTTTCCCGCTAGCCGTCGGCCACGAGATCGTCGGCAAGGCCCTGAGAGTCGGCCCCAAGGTCACTCTCGTCAAGCCCGGCCAGCGCGTCGGCGTCGGCGCCCAATCGTGGTCCTGCTTGAACTGTCGCCAATGCAAGAGCGATAACGAGACGTACTGCCCTAAACAGATAGACACTTACGGCGCCGTCTGGCCGGATAGCGGTGTCGTGACCCAGGGTGGCTTTTCGTCCCACGTCAGGACGCACGAATTCTGGTGTGTACCTTGCATAGCCGATCGAGCAACGATCTCACATACCTAGATCGAGTGCTACCTAACCTAAACTGTTACCTACTTACACATTGCCAGGGTATACCCAATCCCAGACTCGATACCAAGCCACCTCGCCGCGCCGATGCTATGCGCCGGTATCACCAGCTACAGCCCGCTGGTGCGAAACGGAGCCGGGCCGGGCAAGAAGGTCGGCATCGTGGGCCTGGGCGGCCTAGGGCATTTTGCGGTTCTCTTCAGCAAAGCGCTCGGCGCGGAGACGTGGGTGATCTCGCGGACGCACAGCAAGGAGGCAGACGCGAAAGCGATGGGCGCGGACGGGTTCCTCGCCACGGAAGACGAGAACTGGAACAAGGACCACCTGTACTCGTTCGACCTGATCATCAGCACGGCGAACAGCACGGGCGAGGGCTTCGACCTGAGCGGTTACCTCGCGCTTCTCGACGTCCACAAGAAGTGGGTATCGGTCGGGCTGCCGGAGGGAGAAGGCATGAGCGTGAAAGCCATGGACCTCGTGCGCAACGGGTGCCTGATCGGCGCCTCGCACCTGGGCAGCCGGCGCGAGATGCTGGAGATGTTCCAGCTGGCCGCGGACAAGGGGATCAAGTCCTGGGTCGAGACGGTGCCCCTCAGCGCGGAGAACCTGTCCAAGACGGCGCAGAGGCTCCGGAAGTCCGACGTCCGGTATCGGTTCACCATGACCGACTACGACAAGGTCTTTGGAGCGTAAAGGTGGTAGGTAGGTACCTAGTCAGGGGTCTAAAGAAATTAGATTACCGAGACTAGCTAGCTGCCTTGATCTTTCGCATCTAGATATATGGAGTCCCGGGAGACTTTGTAATAGAGAAAATGTTGTTGCATTGATGATTGACGAGGTGCTTGTGAGTTAGGCGGAGTTGAATTGAGATGATATATGAGGTACCTGCCTACATAGAAAGGGGGAAAATAAATAAATAGACTCGAATTATCTAACATAAAACTCGGTTTTAGTCGACGCAAGAGGTTAGGTAGGTATTGGCGTTGTTGTAGTTGAAGAAACGATCTATGAGTTAACAAGCGAACGGGTCCGTACCTACAATCACACGATCCTAGTACCAGCTGAACTTACCTATGCTTATTCCTACTTAACTTGATGCTGTGATTTCATCGCCAACCTACCAGCCAATAAGCAGAAGGCGGTAGGTTTAAAGATATCGACATGTTGTGAAAGATACGAGAAATCGAGAAGCAACCGATTCAAACATTCGGCCGTAGTCTCATGGTTTGGGGGCCTCGTTGGCGAGCCCTGCGATCTTAAAAGGTCTAGGTACCTATATAGCTTAGCAGCGTCATCACGTAGCCTATCCTCCTACATAATTGCCGTGCTTTCTTCGTACGACGTCGCAGTCGCGGCTGTAGATTGCTTACATGGAAGAGGATCCTTCAGCCCTAAGATAACATGACGTCTTAAGCCATATAATATATTATTGGATGGTCCACACGAGAGCTCCGTGAACGATAATATTACTAGAGCTTTTTAGAGAAAACTAAGAAGCTAGATCGTTCATTAAAGACAGGCTATCAGGTAGGCATTCTCTAGGACCCAAGTCCTAAGATATTATGCTGTGGTGTTGGGAGAGTACGTAGTGCTCCTACTTGGGTAATGCCATCTCTCTTATACCATCCTTATGATCATTACTTGGTGTCCTCGTACAACTCAGTGCTCTCATTTCATTCCACCAACAGCAATAACAGACGTAGATAATGCAGCGAATACAGCGAATACAGCGCAAATTCCTATGATCAGCGGACGAATCAGGGATCGTAAGATAGATGTCAAAATGCTGTGCCACGGAACAGATAACCAGGTGATGAGGCTCGGCGGAAAATCCCCCGAATTCTACCTACGCAACTGGGTGGAATCCTGATAGAAACCCACACTTTAGGACATGTCTACCTAAGGCAACCTAGGGCAATGATCATGTACACCGGCGTTTTGGGCGTAAACAGTATTATGTCGTTGTCTGACCAAGTATTGACATGTGGCGTCCCTTTATTAAAGCCACTGTCTCTGATAGGTTATACACTAATTTTAGAATTCAACCCGGAAATCCCCATGCTAAACTCCAATCCAGATACCAGCCATATCCGCCTATACAGTTGCCGTGCCAGAAATACTATCGCCCGTGATTCGTTGCTGGAGAAGAAGGCAGTTCGGCCACTATACGGCGTTCCGTCTCGCGACCCTCCAGCTCTATGGGCGGCGGTCCTAGTAACGGGGAGTAGGACTGATGCTTTTGATCTGTCACGGAGGTCCATCCGCTCACCCCGGATATCTGGGATGTATGTCTATTATCTCCATGCCAGGGTTCCGCAGACTGAGGCGAGTGGGGTGTATTTGGATGTTGGTGGTGCTGATTGGGAGAATAGGCTGAGTAGCCAGGACTTGGATATCCTGGGCTTGGTGCACCGGAATGACTACCATTTTGCCATTGATACATACCCGGAGATTGAGCTGCTACTTAGTTAGCGATACGTGAATAATAGACACATGTGATGGTAATAAACCCACGTCCTTGAGTACCGAAATGATTCACGACTTCATCACCCTTTTTGTGTCTCTTATTCCTTGCCAGCCAGCCGCACCTGTACGCTATGATAACTAGAAGAATGGCGACCACTGCGGCACCACCTAGAGCTATACCCAGTATCGCACCTAGGGGCAAGCTGTAACCAGAACCTGAATCCGAACTAGGCGTAGAGGACGAAGAGAGGAAGACTTCAGCGCTGGTCGCATTGTCACTAAGTATTGCTGGCAGTAGGTGATCTGTTGGGCATCCATCAATTTCGCACGGATTTATACTGCAACATCCTAAGAATGGTTGCGAGCTCTTGCAAGTAAACCAAGCGGAAGCGTTGTTGGGCGGAGCACAGCTTTGTTCTGTTATACTATCGTAGTGATCTGATGAGAAGCTCGCTGCTGCTAAATCATTCTGGGGACAATGTCCGCTGCCATCCGCACACGGGTCGACGGTGCAACAACCGATAAAGCGGATGCTTGCCTTTTCGCATACGTAGAACTTTCCCTTGGATGGGCAAGATAGCCCGAGGTCACTGCGCATTGTTGACATTTCGAGGAGGCGCTATCTACGGGGTAGACGAGGAATTATAGAGTAGCTTTCACCGCCGATTAAGGAAGTTTAAAAAAAGGGAGTGAAAGAAACTCTCTCTCGCGGGATTGTTGCAGCAGCGACGAACACTAAGTATATGATACGATATGTGATGTGGCTTGTCATCTTTGGCTCCGCTAAGGGATGCGTAGACGCATTGCTGCCAAAAGACCTCAAAAGTGATTGGAGCAAATGTTAGTCGACCATGTGAAAGTTGAATGGCCAGTCCAAATACGAATACCGACGGATACAAAAAGTCCCGTCGGGTACTTACTATGGCAGTGTTCCCGATCATAAGAAGTATAAAAAAAAATGTTGGTTCCTTTCGGGTTGGTTGTGCAGTTCAGCCAGTACAAATGATATCCCAAATTAGGAAGATCACATTCATCTGATTGGCCAAAGGGTGGCGCGCGGTGGAGGCGCAGGAGAACTTTACCATATGGCTGGGTCTGACTTACGAAACCAGAAAGCGAAGATACCTACTATCTTCGTGTATTAGATCCCCGTTTGATACCATCCATGGGTGCTTTAGACAGGCATTATGCGGTATGTACCTAGTAGTATGTTAGTGGTGGTACTTAATCACGCTGCTTCCTTGCTACGTTGTAGGTAATGGGTGGTTACATAGGTAGTACAGGTATATGACCCTTCGGCCTGTTGGTAATGCAAATTTAGAGGTTTTACAAAATATTGTAGGCTAATACGTATAGCTCGGAACATAAAAAAATGAATTAAACGTCGTGATCTTTGATGTACGAATTGTGATAATACCTAGCTAACTTTTGACATCTAGGACCTCATCTACATACTATGTAGGGCTCTTCTCGACAACGTTGCCTGGCCTCCAGGTTGGCAATTTTAATGTTGCAGCTAGGTCATCTCGGTAATTATCTATCACGCCACGGTGATAACCTACGATGTAACTTATCAGGCGGCTCGAGAGGTATCCGAAACTTGGGAAGGCTTCAAAAAGCAACGTCAAAGTTCAAAGATCAAAGGTCAAAGGAAAAATAAAAAAAAAAAATAAAAAAAGATCCTGTCACATCTCATGAAGTACGAAAAATTGATGAATGCGTGATATGTCTGTAATGCTTAAAAATGACACGGAGATCATACACTTGAAAAGAGCAAACAGTTTTTATAGTGTTATAGGTAAGGGGTAGAAGAAGGATTCAAACGCTGTGAATTAGACGAGGATGAACTTTGGAGAACTCTCGGAGTCAACACGTGCAAGTTTATGTAATGGTTTAACTAGTTATTTCTCTAGCCACAAATTGAGCCACATTGGGGGATACTAATGTATCGCTTCTGTTCGCTAAACCCTGAGTGGTCCGAGCGTAGTTACCCACAACCGCCCACAACCGCCCACAACTTTAGCTTGGATTTCTTGAATTTTCTGTGAATTTTTTTGATTGAGCCCCGAGCCGAAAACTTTCAACCTCGCGACTTCAATTCCCATTCCACCAAACCCAACCCGCCATTTTCCGCTCTCTTTGCGACTTCGTTCCACCTTCTAGCAACGAAGACAATCAAACCGCAATCATGAGTGCCGCTCTCAACAAGATCGCGCCCAACAGCCCGTCGCGCCAGAACCCGTCGGAGCTCGAGACCAGCATCGCTGGCGCTCTCTACGACCTCGAGACCAACACCACCGATCTCAAGTCTGCTCTCCGACCCCTGCAGTTCGTCTCTGCCCGAGAGGTGAGAAGCCAATGAATACCTGACTAGTTGTTTCCTGCTTTTCTCGGTTGTCTTGAAACAAACAAACAACCAACCAACTACCTTGGGACCGCTTTACACCGGCCCTATTCCTCGATCCGATCGGACAAAGTTCTCTTTGCTATCTATATATAAAGAAACAAAACGGCTTGTCCGCCAATTGTGACGAGTTCGATATGAATGGCATTGGAAAATAATCCAGAAATATCAGTGGAATAGGACGGGAAGCGGTCCAAGGAACACCATTTTAATCAAAATAGTGTCTCCTGGAGCTCGCCTGCTGACTTTTGGGTCTTGATTAGATCGAAGTCGGCCACGGCAAGAAGGCTATCGTCATCTTTGTCCCCGTCCCATCCCTACAGGGCTTCCACCGAGTCCAGCAGCGGTAAGTCTTTAACCAACCATTACTCCCTATTACCCAAACAAGTAGAGAAGAGAACAAGTTTTTGCTAATCATTCTGTCATCTTGATAGCCTGACTCGTGAGCTCGAGAAGAAGTTCTCCGACCGCCATGTCCTGATCCTCGCCGCGCGCCGCATCCTCCCCCGCCCCAAGCGCTCCGCCCGCTCGCGCAACACCCTCAAGCAGAAGCGACCCCGCTCGCGAACCCTGACTGCCGTTCACGACGCCATCCTTACTGACCTCGTCTACCCCGTCGAGATCGTCGGCAAGCGTCTGCGCACCAAGGAAGACCAGAGCAAGCTCCTCAAGGTCATCCTCGACGAGAAGGAGCGTGGTGGCGTTGACTACAGACTCGACACCTACGCCGAGGTCTACCGCCGCCTGACGGGCCGAACCGTCACCTTCGAGTTCCCCCCGACCGGCGCCCTTGAGTACTAAGGGTTGAAACGGATCGGATCGTTATGTGGGCTGGTAAATGGGAAAGAGAGAGAGAGAGTTTGGCATCGTCTTTTCATGGAATGAATAGCATGGCAAAATCCGGTGGGCCAAAAAATTAACTACATTACTGGCACGGCGTCTAGATAGCTTGTGGACTTAATTGACAAGCTGGTTTTCTGATGACATTGATATCACACTTAATGAACTGTTTCTGTCGTTTGTTATTTTTTTTTCTTTGCTTTTCATTATCAACTCGTGGTTCCTGTTCATGCTCGTTTATGTGTATGTGCCTTCGTGAGGGGGTATCGTAGATTCTCTCTAGCTATTCCTGACTGATCCGACCAATGCCGATGGCGCACCAGTACGCCAGTTCCTTCTTCTCTCTTGTATCCTTTTCCTTGCCGCCGGCCGCGGCGCCCACCTGATCCTGCGACACGTCGCCTTCCCATTCCAACCGTATAAGCATGGGTATCTCCAGTATATCCTCGTCCTCCCTCAGCGCGCCCCGATCCAGCTCCGCGCGGATCGACGCGGGTATCACCTCCACCACGATGCTGACCCAGTTCCGGCCCCGCTCCCATATCTTGCCCGCCTCCGCCTGCTGCGACGTGCTCTCGTCGCCCCGCTTCTTCCCCGCGCCCTTGTCGCCGTCCTTCAGCACGTCGTCCAGGTACATGTCCGTGTCGGTGTTGGCGTCGATGTGGAACTCGGGGCACAGCACCGTGACCCTCGACGCGAAGCGTCCCGGCGTGGTGGCCGGCGTCGCGAGCGTGACTTTGATCTCCTCGAACATGGGGTTCTTGAAGGTCAGGAGGAACTGCGCGGGTTGGAGGGGTACTAGGAGATCTGAAGTCCCCGGCGTGGAGGGCGCGGGGTTGAGCGGCTTGATGGAGATAGAGGGGATGCTGTTGTTGGCGACGAGCCGGATACGCCATCGGGTATTGCCGACCTTGGACTCCGGTTTGCTGATGATGTGTCGGCATACGGGACATCGCTTTGAGCGCTTCGTACGTAGGAGGTACGGGATCGGCCACAGTTCGTCGGCGAACCGGGCACCTTCCTCAACCTGTAATTTATTTTGACTATTTGTGACGGTTCCGTTCCACCCTTCGCGGCGCAATTTTGAGATGGCGGCGCTGTCGTCGAGGTCGGCGACATGAAAGCCCTCGCTCGCCGAGTCTGCTTCCCGCATCACGCTCGACTTGGCCTTGTTTTTGCCAAGGCCGCCTATATTGTTGCCCGAGTACAAGTTCATGATTCGCGTAAGAGCGCCGGGCGAGCCCAGGCCGTAGTCCATGAGGTTAGACAAGCTACTCGAATTGGGCGAATTCGTGTTATTCTGAGCATTGTAGAATGACTTCATAGCAGCGAATCTTGCCGAGGCGGTATCAGGGACTGTGTCGCCTTTCTTGGGGGAAACATCGCCGGCCGAAGAGTGTTTAGAATGATCCTCGCCGTGGCGCAGTTTAGAGAGTTGGGAGAATATACCCTGCGGCTTGTCGAATTTGACACCTATCTCTGCCGAATTCCAGTTGCAGTATGAGCAGGCTAGAATCCACGGACCAGATGGAGGTGAGGCACTCGCGCTCTCGGCAGTTAAGAGAGATGGTTCGGGTGCGGTTTCGAGGGACTGAACGGCCAGAGGTCCTATACATACTGGGCACTGGAAACAACTACGTGTACATCTACATAGCGTATATTAGCTCTATTTGCAGAATTATGATACGGAATGGTTATAGAGTTAGTTATGTGAATGTGCAAACACACCTGTTCCCCTCAGTCTTGATACTACTACTCCCGACCTCGAAGAGACAGTTGGGACAGTATATGGTCACAAGCTCTTCGGCAACACATCGCGGGCAGCGTATTTGGTGGCAGACGTCGCAATACAGCAGATAATCTAGAGGATATAAGCTGTAATTTGACCGTGGCGAGCGCGGGTCGAATGGGCGCTCGTCATCATCGTCAGGCGAACCACGAGAGGAGGGAGAGGAGCTACCATCTGCGGAACGGGTGTGGATGGCCGAATCGTTACAGGGACATTGTATGTAGGTATAAGGAACAAACGATGCCATCTAGACGTCTGAAGGCGGCATATTTCAGCCGCAAGATGGACCCAGCGGTACTGCTTCCAAGCAGTTGCACGTCAAAAAGGCGTTGGGAACTTTTTGTATGTTTGCATGCGATGCGATAACGATCTAATCAAACTTGCAAAACCGAGATGAGATGCTAAGCTCCCTTACGGTTTAGTACCTAAAGGTACGATATTATGTAATATTCGGTATTTTATGCTATTAAGCAATGATGTACGAATCGTATCTTATCGACAAAACTCTTATCTACCACCTGGGCAGGTACCTACAGAAGGCTTACATTAGGTACCTAACATAGATGCAGCCTGCGCAGCTGCACACTTCCCCTTACCATCATGATTCATCCTCAACTCATTACTATTACCGATAGATGCCTACCTAACCTACCAGAAATATGAGCTCTCTAAGGTTTAAAACTGAACAACTACATATAGGTTGACTAATTGCAACATATCGTAATGAAATATGCCGGCCAAGCTTATCCACCACCAATTGAGAGTAATTCAATTTTAACTTGAAAGCCGAGAGCTGCATACACTATCGTGGATTTGTCGTCTAAGATATCGACCACCTACATACAATGCCGCAAGGATGGGACTCCAATATTTCTTAACAGGCCTAGTCCCTCGCCATTATTATCTTAAAAAGTCGTCGAAATATATAGGATCGGCAGAAGACGGTACTGCATTTAATACACGGGACTCGATATTATATCCGACTCTATGGTAAAGATGATGATGGCTTTACAATGGATCGCCGAAAAAAACAAACGTCAATGGGCCACATCATGGTTTACACTAGCACAATCCCCTGATGTTTAAGGTCCCCGAAACGAAACAAACTAAGAAGTAGGGAGTGATGAGACGCCGAGCTTGCGTATAGGATCTCTATATTTTTCACGACTAACCTCTGACCTGCACAAACTCTGTTGAATAAGAAATGCTTGACGCCTTTACACACATGTACACTCTATTGTGCCGTCTCGTGAATTCTTCGATGCTACGGCGAGACCCGGAAACTTCCCACCATGACTTTCATAGTAGAATGTCTGAGAATCTAACGACCGGTCAGGCTCACAGAATATACTTTTGGACATTGGAGAGACACCGTTCCTAGTCAGCCCATGTTTTATGCGTTAGATGCCGACCTTGGTAGGAAAACGTACCATACACAATGGCCGACGTAAGCAACCATCCCCATCCTCATTCCCATCCCGCTCGTAGCCCTTCTGGATATCGGCCAGAGAAACCGTTGTCACGGGAATTGTCTCTCTACAACGGCGTTTCAAACCGATCGCGAGGTTGGAAAACAAAGAAGTCGGAAAAAGTCGAGGGAATGCAGACATATAGACAGTCTAGTGTTGCGAGATGGGACGGTGCCTCAATGCTAAGTAACGGTTGGGATAACCTGAGAAGGGTATGCTTCAAAATCACACCTTATTTCGTCGTATTACTTATTCACAACAATAACACAGGATCCCGAGCTGTGGTATCATGATGGAAATTGCTATATCCACCTCTACGGTCAAGGGCAAAGCCGTAGAGGTCCCGCGTTCAAGGTGTCTTTCTCCGGGTTCCTCAAGGCAGGCTGCTATCCCTTTATCGATAGGTTTATGGCTCGAGATTCCATAGTGACAACGGGACGTACTCAAGAAAACGGCGATCCGGCGAGACTGAGTCGTATCGAACTCTTTATTCCAGCACCTGCTCTAGATAATCAACAATCATACGAATACCACCTAGCAACCCGCAACTTCATTGCTTACGTTTTCCGTCGGTCTATGATTGGAGAAAACTTGGGAGCTGCTTTAATCACACTCGTGCATAGCATGCACCAGTTCCGCGTAAAGGACGCGGATAATGTTCAGGACCTCATGGATTATCTGGATGAGGAAGGCTACCTCAACCTCAGAAGCCATCCAACTCACGCTATAGCTATATTGCATCTTTCGGAGGTTTTCCGGCTGAGAAGCCTCTACATAAATGCCTTTGCACACTGCTGTGGCATGAAAGACCAATTACTCGCCGTTCCAGAGTACCAGGTGGGTTGAGACGTCCTGTAACATTTGGAAGTTTATTGACTTAAAAATAGTTATTATCCCTTAAAACTCGAAAGCTCATTCATTGTGCACGAGTTGAAATGAACCTTAGGCTAGAACAAAGTGCAAACTTGGTTGGAACTTTTCTTCGATGCGAACTAGCCGAGACGCATCTCTCTTTATATCCCGGAGCTCGATCGCATCTTGAAAAGTTTAGGTCTCTATTGCACAACTTCTACGTCGCCAAGTTTGGCTCGTATCCACCACCATCAATCGACCCCGAAACGACAATATTCGCAGCAGATGTCTTCCGAATCATGAGAGCAGATTTCGAGGCGCTCTTCCAATATCTAGTTGACGAGAGCGTCGACAACACTCAGAACAGTTCATTCTTGGCAGCAGGAGGCGTCTGTACATGGCAGAGTATTCAATTGTTTGACCGGAGACATGAATTTAAGACTCTGCCTCATCCTCTTCCACTTCTCCCAAGGGTATCGCTTGAGAATATTAAGAAAGTTGCATGGCTGGAAAAACGGATCAAACGGAACCAAAGACAGCGGGAAGTTACACGCTCGGCCTTCTTGAAGGCTACAAACCAGAGGGCCGAGCTTCTAAAAAATGGGCTAGTAAGAGTATATCGCCAATTCGAAGAGGATTTAGCCCATCCTTCTACTAAAGCAAGCAAGGTAGAAGATTTAGGTCCTATGGATAGTCGCAAAGTCCGCTGGATCCAGATTTATACGGTTTACCAGGCTCTACGCCAAGCAACTGAAGCTCCGCCTGAAGTCCAGGACGCTGCTACAGCTCCGTACCATCTCTGTATCTCAACTACTGATTTACCACCGTGGGATGAAGAACTGCCGGTACACCACCTAGTACGAAGGCAAACAATTCATATTGTTCACAGTACCTTGCCATCAAACATAGGTTGGGACCCCATGGGGTCATCCCCATATCAATGCAGCTTTGAGATCAAACCAGATATTGATTACTTCGCTATCACACACCGTGATAGAACGTTAAATGAAGACAAGGACAAAGTTCCGCGGTTTCGTAGGACGGCAAGCTGGAGAGGGAGCCTTTCTAGAAGCCTATCCCGAAGCTTGACGACTCGGCATTCGTCGGCCAAGCTTACCAAACCGCAGAATAGGACTGCGCAGTCACCTTGGAACAGGCGACACCACGAGATTGTAATTCAAGGCTATGGCAACGGAACAAATGGCATTAGAGACGCTCTGACTGACACAGTACCGCCAAAGGCGCGTGCGACAATTGCGGAAGGGAACTTAGAATCCACGTCCCCTTCGCGTAATTCCAGTACTTCTGGCCTACTGAGGAAATCCGAAGATGAGAGTATCGTAAACACATTAGAAACGTCTATATGTGAGAGCCAGGTGGAAACTTCTCCTCTCCTACGAAGCGGCAAACGCGGCGGCAGTAAGAACTGGCAGAGTGAAAATCGTAATAATAATCGCGAGACGCTACCGCATCGTCCCGGATCTTCCTTTGCCGCATTCCGGCGAAAGTGTCAAGGGGAAGCCACCTCAAACACGACCTGCGGACTGCTTAGACGACGATCGAAGAGTATCGACGGCAGCTCACGAAAATTTACCGACCCGGCGCCATGTGGTATCCGCATGGTGAACAGTGTTACACCTCACATTGAGATGCCAGCTCCCCAAACCCCTACGGCGTGGAACCATATTAAAGTGATGGAAGCCAAGGCTACCCATTGGATGACGAATGATATCCAGCCCGCATGGGAACACTATAACGATCTCGGCGGTCTGACCGAGTTGAGACCCCGGGGACCTCACAAACCGATGCCAAGGTGTAAACCTACACGTATGGTATGCCCGTAGAGGGACATTGTGAGCTATGCGAAGGACCGCAATTTGTGCCTTTTATGGCGAATGATGATACCCGCGCAAGAGAACTTGGTCTCATAGTCAATCATTTCAATTCAATGTGCAACAGTCTAAACAATGTCCCCAGAGTAGTATGTACCTAATTTAAATGTTCAAGTTGGAGGAGCCATTTTAAAGAGTACAAAGTGGTTTGATAGGACACTTTAAAATTGTACTGGATATAGCATCAAATATTAGTTTGGAATAAATCTAGGTACACCATCCAGCCATGCGATCCACGACAGGACTTGGGTACCTACCTAGGTATGCTTCGTTATTCAACCACAACATTTCCCCTCATACTTTTCATACACCAGACATGTTGTTTCTTTGCTCCTGGATCTAAAAATAAATAATAAAAATATTCAAATAGGTATCTCTCGCTCATAACCAAGCCCGCATCGCTCGCTTACTCGGACTTGACAGCCGCTCTCGTCGAAGCAGCCGATAAGCCCTCGATGATTTCTTCCCCCATGACGTAGACGAGGTAAGATGGGAAAACGAGCCATAAGCCGCTGCGTCGCATTAGTTAGTCGGCTCTTCGCCGGAATATCACCACGGTATATCCGAGGTATATAAATATCGGCGCGAAACTCACTTGGGGATGATCCAGAGCAGGATTAGATCTTGCAGGCTGTTTTGGCCGATGTTGTCGAAACCGGAGAAGTACTCTTGAAGCCCTGTTGAGGATTAGTCGGTGTGTATTGTATCGATGAACCAGCAAGCTGCGAGACAAGGTAGGTAACAACAGATAGATTTGGTTAGGTACCTGGGTATATGCTGGGGAATAGGGGGATAGGAAAGGGGTTGGATTAGGTAGGCAATGCGCCCAAGAAAAAAAAAACACCAAGACCAAAATCGAGGCAGGACATACAATACAGCACAGTCTTGCTCAACGTCATAACCGCCGCGCTAAACGCGACCAGCACCGCGACGGCGGCGGGTCGTCCGCTCAGCACGCGAGCGGAGCGAGTGCCGACGGTAGCAGCGGTGCCGGAGCGGAAGTAGTACCAGAGGTAGACGAGGTACATGAGGGTCTCGAGGACGTTGAGGGCGCCCTGGGCGGAGGTGAAGCCGTTGCGGGCGTGGAAGGCCTTCCAGCCGTAGGTGTGGTCGACCTCGCCGTACAGCTTGTACGGCGCGTACACGGGCCAGTGCAGCGGCCCGCCCTCCATCGTCAGCGGCCGCAGCAGCACGTACCCCGAGTCCCAGATCACGAGCGGCAGGGACACCGCGAGCCACAGGAGCGTCGGCCGCGTCGGCACGTGCGACCACAGCTTCGCTGGCCGTGCGGCGCGGGCGCTGGACGGGGAAGAGGAGGGGCGGCTACCGTTGGTAAAGGTGCCCCGGGGTCCGGGGGTCGCGGCTTTGCTGGCGGAGCGGGTGGTGACCATTTTCCCCCCTTCTTCTTACTACACCTAACCTATTTTTATTTGTCGTTTTCTTTCTCGCTTGTTCCGCGGGGTTCACGCACGTATGGGCGGTTTGGTCTCGGGAGTGGGGGGCGGGGTATTATATTATATCTATGTATGTGTCTTGTGTCCAACACGGTTGTAGATGTTTACGTTTCGCGTGTAAAGCAATTCGGAGGTTAAAAAAGCAAAACAAAAACAAACCCTAAGCTCGCTTGCTTTAGGCAAGTAGCTAACCTAGGTTTTGCCAATAACAGCCATACAGCAGACACAAGATGCGGGGGAATAGGATGGATGGATGCAACGCTAAGACAACGACTGCCAGCAGAGACAAGCTCGGATAGAAGTCGTTCCACCTTCTCGCGACCCACACAGATCACCGGTTGATTGATGTGACGGGATCCCTTTTCAGAAGGTGCCAAGACCGGGGTATTATACTGAAGATTAATGCATTCATTCTTTTCCATAGTACTTGGTAAGACCGAGTTGCTAGGATAAAGCACCTAGGTAGTTAATAGATACCTCTTAGGTGTGTCTACTATTTGACTTGTTGAATTAGTTAGAATTAACTGGCTTGGTTGAAACTCCAATCATGGCCTCGAGTGTTGACTCTTAAAGAGATATGTATGTAGCAATTTATATTAGACAAACATTGTCTGTTATCTGTTAGGTTAGTCAAGCTTAACTCAGAGGATGAAGCTGATTTCCTTACTCATAGCTTGTAATTATCTTCTTGAAGACGAGATAGTTTAGTAGATTTGATACCACTTTCTATTGAACTTGCGGATATATTGACTCTTATTCTTTGGTAGGATAAGGCGTCCAGCATTCTTAGGAACTAGAGTTGAATCTGAGCCTTGCTTTGGCCTGCTGTCCCTTCTCGCTTTATCATCGAAGACTTGAAGCTGCAGTAACCAGTTGTAATGTCCGCCTACCTGGGTGCTGTCTTAATACCTACCTAGGTATATGTTGCTAGTAAGCTGCTGTTCTACTATGTATAATGTGCTTTCGAGTCGCTATAAGTATGTCTCACTCTATTAGGTATGGCTCCGGTTGACGGGACTTCCTAACATAACTACGCAAGAGAAGATGAACTAATAATATACGTGTGCCGCCAAAGCGTGATACACCGAAGGGTGAGCATCACAAAGAAAAGAATTGGCAACGAGCACAAGTCATTCTAGCACGCAAATATGACCGATAGCAAGTAGGCGAATAAAAATCGGTTGATTAATCGTGCGATGTTTTAAAAGTGTGAAGAAAGAAAAAGAGAAAAAAAAAATCGTCAAAGTCGGGGCGATTAAGAAAAAAAAAGAGGGCGATGGTTGTCTGATCATGTGACCAAACAGGACCTAGGACCCGCTAATCTTGCCTTTACCTAATTTTCTTTAAATTTGTCTCTTCATAAAATTTTCCTTCTCAAAACAACATTCAACACAAAAGATCTTCAGAATCGGAGAAGCATACCTACCTGGTACTTAACCGACATGTGAGGGTTGAGATATATCCATGCCAATAACCAGTTAGGGCTACTACAATCGAATTAATTCATTCGACATAAACTCTATCTCGTGGCATCTCCACGGATCAGTAGACAAGCGTCTCATCTCAATTCTACTCGAATATTCACCATTCACCTTGACATTCAAGTGTACCTAGTTGATGTTGACTTGTCATAAACCCACAAATTGCCTACCTCTTGCGACTTTCAATGCGCAGGAGCGTCAACTTCTTTTTTATCGTTCGAAGTGGGAGAAAAACCAAAGGCCTAGACAGCCGGTCCAATCCACCCTGCTGCCGTAGAATGAGTGCGGTAGCAGGACTAATGCGGACAAACACACCATTTATTCGAGTATCTTTTATCTTTCGAATTAATTTAACAGTAGATACAATTAACTACCTAATCAATATATTGTTACAACTTGGATCAAGAAATATTATAAGTTCAGACAGTTTATGGGTTTCCAGGAGAACCGTCGTCCACATTACTGTCGAAACCGGGTACCAGATCACCCCGAGCCTTTTCCAGTTGACCCGGGAAGCTCGAGTCCTTGAACGCGATGTTAGCGCTGCCGAAGTCGTGCGCCACTAGCTTGTCCCGTAGCTCAGTGCTAGGGAATCCATTGTAGGAGATTAACGCGCCGTAGAACCACTTCCCAGTGTCGTTTTCGATCTTATCATCGCCCTCGTTCGCGAATCGGAAGTCGTGCGTACTAAGCCCGTCCTTGTTGTACACAACTTTGGCGTGCGTGCCCTCCCATCGGACATCGCTCGCACTCTTGACTTGGTAGCCGCCGTGCTGCGACACTGCTACCACTTTGGCCTCGTCGTTCTGGACAAAGACGACTACGTGCTCCCAGTCGTTGCGGTGTCCTGGGTCCAGGGGGACGTAGGGGATGGCTACGTCTTTCTCGAAATAGTAGTCGTACAGATATGCGCACCATCCGTTATTACACCGCGCCCGGGAATACACATTGTTGTTGGCTAGGTCTGAGGGGTCATGGCAACCTGAGGAGAGACCAGTATTTTCATGGTCGAGGCCTGGATTTATGTTGCCCTTCGCGTCGATGGCTGGTGTGTTATAACACCCATCGGTATCGAAGTCCACTGCCGGTTGCCATCTATATTCAGGTGGTTAAGCATCTGCGATTATATCTAGTCTCAGGTAGGTAACCACAGATAGTCATGTAAAACTCACTTTTTATCGTTGGCCGTGGCCTTTTCCGGTAGCGCCTGTGGAGGATCCCGAGCGAGCAGGTGTAAAAGACGCTCAATGGGACTGCCGTTCACCACTGGCGCGGTGCTTGCCATTAGCAAAGCCAGCCCTGTGGCAGCGAGGCTCTTCCGGATCGACATTTCGATAGGTAATTATTTTTATTTTGTTTAAAAATGAAAAGGGCCGGACCTAGCCTCCAAAAGATATCTTCAAAAGGAGGTTCCCATCTTCTATATACCCTTTGCCAAATTGCTCTCCCGTCTGATGCTACACTCACTCAATTTCTCTATCCCCTCACGACATGGTCCTGGGACAGATGGCACACGGCAAGCTGGGGTTTGGCCGACGCGAGCAAGGATCTCCTCCAGGGGCCGACACGGGCCGCCTTCCTTGTTTGGAGCGGCAGCGCACCACCTAGGCCTAAACTTCCATCTTGTCTCCTATCAATCCTACAACGTGCTAGTTTAGGGGTAGAGCTGCAGTATAGAGCACATCAACTACGTTTTAGTACGGTGTCTTAAGACTTATCCATGAGAGATAGTGCATTAGTCAATTCCTTCTGTCCAACCCTATGTTATCATGCGAGCGAGCTATAAGGAACTCCGTGTTCATTTCAGTCAATGCAGAAGCTTAAGGCGTCAGCTATAGCGGTATCGCCGATCTTGAGGCTGAGTTAACACCCGAGCATCTGGCCGATCTCAAGTTTTTAAAACCCAAGAAAGCCCTATCGGCATTAGAGCTGCAGAAACCTGAAAAATATAGGATTGGATCGACCGCATTCTGACCTCCTTCCACTTCAGCTAGGTGATTGCTAGGCCTTTTGTAGTTGATACTACGTAGGTACCTACCTACCTAGGTAGATACGGACGCGAGTGCGGATGTGTTGTCTAAATTCGTACGCCGGACCGGTTCCCCACACAACATCATGAAATCTTCATCTACATATGTGGGAGGGAAATCTCTCGACGTATAGCTGTAACGTTTGGCTTGTGGGATCTTTCCTCATTGGCTGTCACATCCCACGTGCAGCGACCTACCGAAGTCGACTCCAATTCTGCCCCGAAGTTTCGTAGCTCCCCTGGATGGCGCTTGTGTTCGGTGGGCGAATTGGTACATAGTATCTCCAACAGGTACCTACTAATCCATCTGCTTGTACCGCTATTGGGTAAAACTCTACACGTACATTGGCCTAGTGGTATGAACAGTTATTTTTACTATGCGTATAGGTACATATGGCAGTTTCAGATATTAGCTGCAGCTTCAATCAAGCAAGCCGAAGACTACATATGAACACAGTACGAGGGCAAACCAACCTTGAATAATTATAGCAATAACGCAGTGAAAATCTAAGAGAAAGACTAATACTCATATGATAGTTTAGATATATTATCGGCAATATAGCAGTGCTTATTCCGTATACAAAGAGGCATGTTAAAGCTCATATGCATCTATCTCCTTTGCGATTAACAGGCAGGTGGTTGTTTATGAAAAGTGCAACTTGAATTCAACGCCTGTACCTAAATCTAAAGAACTATGCCCCTTAGATGTAAACGATAATAATATCCATCCCAGAGCCCTCATGACGTCTTGTGACTCTAGTTCTCACGCAGTCCTATATATTCTCGTACATAGTCTCGTCATCCCAGGGTATACAATTACACACACATACACACATACTTCCGATTTCCCGACCGTTCCCGTTGCTCCGGTTTTTCTAATCATCGCCACCATCCCCGCTGCCACCATAAACACAGATAAACTCGCCCGGTGATTTATACGGCGAAAATATGTATGCATATATACACAGAATATAGAGAGCCAACCAGGAGCTAGGAGCTAGCAGCAGCCCTAGTATTGGCCGTCGAACAGGTACCTCTCCTCGGTGAACGACAGCAGGAATCGCGCGACCAGGCGGCCCGTGTAGTTCAGCGAGACGTCGCGCGGGAACGGGTGCCCTTCGTGGTTAGGCAGGATGGGGTCTGCGACAAGGAAGTCGAGCTCGGCCCCTGTTTATACATCGCGTTTCGTCAGCAAGGCTGCACTCACACACTTACTCATTCGCTCTCTACGCTGGAACCATCTGATGATATAGGGGATGGGGAGGGGAAGGATAAGGGTTGGTTGGTTATTAGTAAAGGGGGGGAAAGAGAAACAGGAAGAGGAAAAAAGAAAAAACTTACATCCGTCTCCCTGGAGCAACTCCCTCAACTCAGACACCATCTGCGCAGCCGGAGGCTCGAGCTCGTCCATCTGGGAGAAACCGGCATCAGCAAGCGGATTGAAGGCCTTGGCGCCGGTGTCGCGGGTGTGCGTCTGGTAGACCTGGTGGAACTGGTAGGCGAACTGCTTGAAGGGGAGGTTGTCGATTTCGCGGCACAGGGCGAGGGCGAAGTCGCGCTGGTACTCGGGGCGGGAGCGGTTGCGGAAGGCGATCTCGTTCTGGGAGATGACGAAGGTGTCGGCGGCGGTCTCGACCGTCTCCATGAACAGGCACAGCACCAGGAAGGCCGCCAGGCACGGCGCCCACTCCCGCCGCAGCTTCGGCTTCAGCGACTTCGAGAACCCCTCGAACAGCGATTGCATCTCCTTCAGGAGCATCTCGTCCAGCACCGCTTTCACCTGCCGGTTCAGCACCCGCGACGTCAGCCACGGGTTCCCCCGCGGCACCATGTTCGTGTCCTGCAGGCTCACGATCGTCGCTTCTGTTAGGCATAGCTGTCGTGTGAGTACGTAGTGCGTGACGTAGATGCTGAGTGCGCGTTTTACAAGCGTCACTTGCGAAGGCTAATGTCCAGTATGGTAAGCCTAATGTTTTTTTTTCTTTTCCTTTCTCTTCCCTCGGGATACGCCAATAAGAAACCGGGGGGGGGGGGGGGGGGGGGGGGGGGGGGGGGGATAAAAAACAAATCTGGGGGGCCGGCGGGGCCCTACAAAAAAAAATTAGGGGGGT